CGGTTTGAGTTGAGCAGGGTGGCCAACTTTTGATTTTAGCTACCTTCGAATCATCCGGAATTCGACCTTCGTACGTGCAGAGTTGTCCGACGACTAGAACTTCTGGTACACATAGGAAGAGCTTTTTCGCTGAGATGGTGGCACCAGCATGTTTCAACCTATGGAGGACGCGATTAGCATCTGAGCAGTGTTCCCATACGAATCTACGGATTCCAGGGTTGCTGGGAAGAACTTCATAAGTGCCGTCCGGTAATTCATAGCGAGTGTGAGGTCCGAGTACGTTTACGTCGTCTTGGAAGTTCGGGGCTATCTCTGTCTCTGCTTGCAGGATGAATGCTACATCATTCTGGAAAACTGCCGGTGAGTCAGTCCATCCTTGTGGTAGGACTGTGAGGCGATAGGTGCCGAGGGGTGTCTGAAACGTAGTGATATCATGTGACTCTTCGGCGAGGGCTCGATGATTGAATTCGACAAACAAATCCATCATAGAATAGATGGACCGTCCTGTGCATTGCTCCGCAAACAGTTCGACATAAGGCATGGTGGCGGCATCTTTGACGGTGATGGAATTGAGCTGTTGGAGGTCGTGGACAATGCGGACTGCACCACTCTTCTTGGCAACACAAAACCAGCGTGATTGATAAGATGAATTTGATGGCTCATACACGCTGGAGGCTATCTTCAATTTGATGAGTTTAATGACTTCATCCTTGATACCCGGTGGAATAGGAGGCTGACGATGTATCCAAGGTACGTGTTCGATGGTTGGTATGATAACCGGCGGGAAATAGTCATCGCAGAATCGTCCTTTCTCGGTTTCATCCCAGGCGAGGGCAAGCTCATTGTTCGTTAGAACATGCGCAGCAAGTTTTTGCTCTTCTGGGAGCAGGAACTCATTCTTGAAGACTCCGAGTTCGTCCATGCGAGTTTGGGTGAGGCGGGTACTGGGTATGAAGGCAGGAGGTGTGGGGGAAAGGAATGGTAGGGATGCGAGAGGGTCCTCTGGAAATCGGCGGATGATGCGTGCATGCGCCGGCATTGTGGTGGCGACGGGTTTCACCTTATTGGCGACCTTTTTGTAGGCGAAAGTGCGGCGTAGTGGGTTAATATCGAAGGAGCCTTTCAAAAGGTTTTGGGCGGCGGCTGATGCTGTGAGGGATGAAGTGGGAGCATTACGTTTAAAATCAGGTGCTTCGAGAGATTCGATAGCGCGACCTCCCTCCTTGTCGAGTTTGTCGCCCATGTTCTTGGAGAGCTTAAAAACCTCGAGGGGTTGGGCTGAAAAAACGGCCGCAGTGAGGGCGAGTGAAGGATGTGGCCAAGGTCGGGGTATAGTGGTGACTGTTCGGACCTTGCTATGGTCTGTAGGATCGTGGACGGAGACATGTACTCCGTTAGTGTCCTCAACTTTTGACAGACGCACGAGCCGCTGCCAGGGTCGCCCTAAGAGCAGGCGATAAGGTGCGTCAGGCACCACATAAGCATGGGCCCAGGTTTTGATGCCCTCGACATCTATTTCCAGCATTTCCAGACATCCTGCCATCTCTTGCAATCCTCCGTTGGCCGTCTGCATGCGCATTCGCACGTCTTGGTTGATGGGTGCGTTCGTCTTCTGCCAGACGTCTTCTCGGATTACGACTATTTCGGATCCTTCGTCCAGCAGCGCGAGTTCTGAATGGGAGCCGTTCAGCGTTACGCGAATTTCGCGTAATGGTGTGGCGTGCTCGATCTGCAAGGGGGTGGTGCTGGTTGCTGCAACAAGGGCTTTTGCTGGGGGTATGGTGGAAGGTGCTGGTATTCGCTGAGTGCGGGAATGCTCAACCGCCTCTTTCCTCAAGTCTGGGCTGATCGATAAGAGGTCTGATATCGTTAAATGGGGAATGGGGATGTTAAGGATGGCCTCGTAGAGCCGTTTAGCTGCATCGGGTGAGTTTGCCTTCGACTCATACCGAAAGGCAGGTTCTTTCTTCATTTCGATAGTGGCTGGTTTGACGGCTTCGGAAGGAGCGGGAATCGAGACGGTTTGCATAGGAAAGGCACTATCTGGAGTGTTCACCTTGGACTTGGACCGAGTGACGGCAAGTGCCTCAGCCGTCTGCTCATCCTCCTCTTCTTCAACCGTCACCATTACTGCGCAATTTTCTATGACTGGGTCACACTGCAGAAAGTACGATTCAGAAATGAAAGCGGAACTGGGAATGTCCGATGGATTAGGCTGCGAGCTAGGCTCCTGACGAGGATTTTCGATGGGGATAGAGTTTGATCCAGTGGCAGGCGTTGAAGGGGCGGCTGACGCATATCTGGTGTCAATGACCTGTTTGAACGTCTCATTTCTGAGTCGTCTTATGCGCGATCGGTCCGGATATGCGAAGTACTGTCCATCTCGAATAATTCGTCCCGCCCGTAGGTATTCTCCAGCTGTTGAGCAGGTTCGCATGACGTGAGGTCCTCCACAAAAGAAACACATAGGACCAGATGACTGTCCTGCAGAGGACGGAAGGGGAGGAAGAGGGAGGTAAGGTAATGAGTTGTGAGGGGAAACAGTGTTGACGAGCTGACGTGATTTCGGAGGTGCCCATGCTTGAGCAGCTGCGGGAGCTAAGCAGACGAGTCGGGTGTAACACCCCGAATATGCGATGTCGCCAATGTCGAGTCCATGCATTTTGCGTGCTAGAGCTTCTACTTCGTCAATGGTGGTTTTGACTGGCACTGATGGGGGTGGCGTGAATGCTACTCGCTTAGTCTGAACCTCCCTTCATACATCCCTTTTCTCTTCTTCTTCATCTGAGTCCCACGGGACAGTAGCTTTGACTTTGTTGGTACGTCCTTCCCATATTGTCCGGATTTTGGTTGCAATGGGTTCGTTGAGGTCCGCGTCGAAGGCATCGTCCGAAAATACAAAACGTCCTGCCTTGAGGACTTCCTCGAAGTCAGTGGCTTCTGTTCTTGAGTAATTGGGGTCCTTGAGTTCGAGTCTTCTATCAATGGCGCGTCGAGTAACAGCCGGCAGTCCTTGCCAGAAATAACGATCCCGCTCTCGCGTTGAGATTTTACTGTTGGCAACGAGCCAATGGGCAATAGGACGAAATTGTCGGTAGTATTGTAGCAGCTCGGTCTCCGTTGATATATCATTCTCGACATTGCCAATAACAACTCGTTCGAGATCGTGAATGGAATAACGCTGTCCCTTGGCTGCTCCGGAGTATTGCGCTAAGATATTGGTTTTGAATACCGTGAAGTCTTTGCTTTCGTATCTCATTAATGTTACCCAGAATCGTTTTGTTTCAATATTGATGTAGCGGACAATCAACTTGCATTTCTCAGCGTCTGTGAGTGCACACGCCATTGCTAAATCTTCGAATAGCTCGAAGAACTCAAGGAGTTCAGAGGTTTCGCCATTGAAGGATGGCGCTTTGGTAGAGTTCGCGCCGGGCATCGCATTGATGCCTTTAGACGCGTTGGACATGGCGGTTGGCAGTTGAGGAGGGGCTAGAGGGGCTGCAAATGAAGGCGAGGGCACAATAGATGGATTGGGAATTATGGTTGCGGGGGCGGGCTGCTGAGTTGCGATCGCGGAAGTCTGGGTTGGCGGTAATGCTTTTCGAAGGATGAATTCGGGTTTTGGAATGGGAGGGATAGTTGACGTGGCAAGAGTCTTTGGGATGATTAGGGTCTCGGGAGGAACTAGCGGGAGTGTAGGTGTTTCGGGATCGAATACGGCCGGTCTAAGGGTGAAGGTTGGCTGAGCGGTTATAACGGGAAAGGGTGAATTTGCGTGTGGGGGAAGGTTCACAGTATCGTCGTCCGATAGAGACGATTCTGTCGGTCCGTCCGTTGCGTCTTGGAAAGGTCTGGCGCGTTGATCTAATCTATAGCGAGCTGGGGTAAAGGCCGGGGCGTCGAGGAATGGTTTTGTTGTGTCGGGAGGGGAGGTACTAAGGGCGTTGTAGGTGTTGGCACGGCTTCGGCGTTTCTTGGTTGAGGTGTTCTTCGAGGTGGCCAGCGCAGATGGCTCGTTCTGTTGGAGGCGTAGCTGCGCGTTAGGGTGGTAGTACTTAGTAATTGCGAGAATTCTAAGTTGGTCAAAAGACCGGGTTCTAGAAGAGAGCGATCAGCAGATCAAGGAAGAGATCAGCGGATCAAACTCGGGGTGCAAGGGGTTGCTCAAGAACAATTCCCCTCGCGGTGGGCTCCAAATTTGTAAGGCTAGTTGTGAGTTCAAAGGGGAAATGTAACAAGACGAAGTAGATAAGTGACGAGCGCAACGGCGAACGAGACGAGTAGAGTAAACATATATGTCGAGGACTTTCTGCGATGGTTTTCGATCGAGCTTGGAGCGGGGAATCAGTGTCTAGGATTCTGCTATGGTATGAGTGTACATGGGCAGTTTATATACGTTTTCGAGTACTTGGCTAGACCTGAATGAGAATACGAAGCATATGGAGAGGTGAAAATACTTCGGTGAAGCAAGGAGATCGTGGAGCGTGAGCACAAGGTGAGATAACGAAAGAAAGTGAAAAGGAGATGTAAAGGAATGTATCCGCGTGACTCGGATGCGAAGAGTGACGCTCTTCGCATCAGTGTGTCACATGGATGAGTTTGAATGTGTGGTGATTCGATCGTCTTCATTTTGAAGCGCGGTCGGGGCATAAAGGATATTGAATCCTTACAGTGTCCATTGGCTTTCGGCCAAATGATTTAATACATAGGTGAAGACAAAGTCCCAATGAGATAGCTTATTTTTGACGTTAGATTCAGATGACAGTGTTCAATATTACTGGCACAGTTGACATTGAATGCCCACCCACATGCACACATTATTACTACACAGTTCCAATGGAATTCATAACAGTTCGTGTTCCTTGACTCAGACCCTAGCTAGCGTGACATCTAATTTAACCCTTAGCCCATTTAATTTTAATGGTGAGAACACACTTCTTCCTGCAGGTTGGTTACACCCTGGATTATACAGATTTCTCTTTAACATCACGGTAAGGCTACTACACTATTCTTGTGCTGGATACCAACATCATTATATCTTCCTTAGGCCCATTGTCCACTACCAGCTCTGGTGGGCTACTTTGTGCGGATACCAACATCATTCTATCTTCCTTATCGCTGCTCACACACACCTCATGCATCCACTCGCACTGCATCAATGCCACCCTTGAACATTGTGGTAGGTTATACTACTATTCTTATGCTGGATACCAACATCATTCTATCTTAGGACCATCTTCCTACTCCCATTCACCTCACATATCCGCTCGCACTCAGCTTCACCACTCTTGCGCTGGATACCAACATCATTCTATCTTCCTTACAGCTCCTATTACAATATGGTGCGTCATTCAATATCTCACTTGTCCTCGTCTTTGACATCCTCGTCCTTGTTCTTTTTCTCATTCTTGCCCTCGTTGTTTTCTTTTTTCTCCTCCTCCTCCTCCTCCTCCTCTTCCTCATCTTCTTTGTCATCTCCATCCTCACCATCACCGTTCAGCATCACCTGCCTGTTTATTTTCGACACCACACACTTCACAGCAGTGACCCGCATGGCCTTGGCAATATTTTCTGCCTGCTTGAAGGTGCTTGAGTGTTTGTACACATCTTGTATCATGCTTGGCTGGAAGCCTGAGCAGTTTGCAAGTCTCTCCACTTTCTCTTCAAACCCAAACTGCGTGAACTGCACGATATCTGCAGTGTGGATTTGAGGGTCTATGTGAGGGACCCTGGCATTGGCCTCTGGGCTGCCATTGGTGGTGATGGCTCTCTTAGTATTTTCAATCTTGTTTGTCTGGCCATCGCTGGTGCCCATTTCCCCGAGGGCAGACTTGGAAATGTGCAAGTGCAGAGTCATTGAGTATATTACTGTGTACCGTAGTTCTTGTTAGCTTGAATTTTCTTCCCTGAATGAATATAGCTAGGAAATTTAAATGTTCTCAACCCACCAATCGGAAATAAAAACAATGGTGACTTGGTGCGGCAGTTAAACCAAAAATTGAATAATGCTAGCATAGTGGTTATAGTAGTCAAAAGTAAAACAGTCCTGACCCCTAAAACATGTTTTCATTCCATCTCCCGCCACCCAAGTACATGCACAATTTCACCATCACACACATGTCAGTCTTCCAACCAAAGACAGTCCTCACTCTTCTCAAGCACTCGACAGCTGTCTCCCCTCTCAAGAAAAACACCTTTGAGAAAAAATGGAGGGCTAGCATGAGTTTCTCGAGTGGCTTGAAGCGCACTTGGTACATACATTTAATGCCTTAACTAACCCAAAAAAAGGTAGAAAAACGAGTCAGCACATGGAATGAGGTGCGCAGCCATATGAACAACCCACGTCCACAGTTTCAGCTACAGTGGGAATCTGAGATTGTTGAGTATGTCCAGTTCCTGTGGGAGAAGACAAGAACACAGTTCAAGAGAGGCAAGCCCAGCAAGCTAGGAGTGAATGTCCCATTGCTCAGGCCTTGGTTTATGCCTCCTTTGTACCTGCACATCCAAAAGCGGTCAGGTGGTGGAGCCATTGAACCAAAGATACAGTACCTCAAGCCGCTCAATATTGTGCACCCCTTCTACTACCCACAGCTTGCACAGTGTCCGAGATGCAAGTCTGATGAGGACACAACTTAGGAGGGATGGATGAGCAAAGGACCTCGAGAGCTGCATGGTGTGTTCTGCGAAGAGATGGCTCTTGGCGCTGTGGGTACAACAAGTGCAGCAGCGAGAAATTGATCTACTACAAAGTTGGGTCTTTGCTGCCTGCTGCCTCACTTGAGAACAAGCGCGTTCAACCCTAAAGGGGATTGCTACTGGGGAGTACTAGTCTCTGTCTAAAGGACCCTAATCAACCCTACTGCAGGTAGGATGAGGATCCTCAAAATGCAGAACAAGTGGAACTAGCGGAACTCAAGCGGAATGGAACAGAATGAAGCGGAACTCAACTGGATACAATGTGGAATGTACGGAGTTATCGGAACTTGCAGATCAAGTCGAAGGAAGTATATCACAAGGTAAGATTGATAGTGGGCATAAGTCAAAGCGGTCCTCTAGTAAGGTGAAGGAAAAGTGGGAAGGTAAAAGATGGGATTCAATCATAAAACACCCAAGCCCTGAGTACCACTACTTAAAGGGAAGATTATTTTCAAGGAACACTGAGGTACAGGTAGTAAACTTCTCAGGAAGCGGAAGTGAAGGCAGGCAGTGCACATGGGCACAATACTCCAGAATAGGGGTCCGTGCCATAAGGGCATGTGTCAGTGTGATCCGGATAACGTTAGGAACAACAGGAAGGGAGATACAGTATACCAAAGGACCTGGAAGGATGGGGACAGGACATGCGAAGCTTGTCCGACGATGCACGGGAATATTGGATAGTGCGGGTGGGTTCCAAAGGATGCGTGGGAATGCAGAACCCATTGGATGATGCGCAGGAAATGCGGAATGTGCGGAATATGCGGAACTGATGTGAGATGATGCAGAAAGGATGGGGTTTTACACCTACAGTGGGGGAATTCCCCACAGCGCTCAACTGCGTTGCAACCGCTGCAAGGAGACGTCAAAGTTGAAGCCGAAAGCTAGGAACAGCACCACTCACAGTTCAGACTTGGACTCCAGCATCAAGGGCTACTGCTTCACAATGACCAGCGCAATGTATTGGAAGTCCTGGGAGCACTGGAGAATACTGCGTGAGTTTTGTGTGCACAGCAGAAGGAATAGATCTGACTTACTTGGGCCTTGGCAGGGGGCATACCAATCTTTTTCTACCGGTGTGCATTGATGTGGGACTTGTTCGATCTGCTCGTTGAGTTGCGGCCATCTTCAACATCTGCCAGTCTTGAAGAACGTATCCAGCATAAGTATCCATGCTCTGTCATTGGTGTATTAACTAACGCACCTACATTAGAGCTGCATCTGTTTGAGTATAAGTGCTGAATGCTGGAATATCTCGAGGCATACAGCACTTACAAGTCATTGAACAGCTCAGCAAACTCGCTCACACTTGGGCATTACTTCAATGGCACTGCCGGTGGCATGACTGCGGGAAGACAACCTGGGCTTCAAGTATTCTCAGAACCAGACGACCAGCTCGGCTATGGTAACAAGTCCATCTCACATGAGATCGTAACCAAGGTCTTTCTTGATTTCACAACTCACATCAGGCAGGACGAGAGTGCACTGGACTTAAAGTCACTATCTGGTAAGTACTACAAGACCAAATAGCATGCACATAGACTTACTCACTATTTCTTTGTCAGCAATATGTGGTTCTCTCGACAACACCTTCAAGGCAGCAAACAAGGCGACGCTGACAAACAAGGATGGGCAAAAGATGAGGGAGATCAAGGGTGGGATACTCACTGTGCTGAATGAAAGCAACGAGATCATTGCTTGGGTGAGTGCTTTGATCTGACTTTGAAAAGTTGGAGGCTGATAGTATGATTAATGATACGCCCTGTTTGCAAGTGTTTCTGTCAGACATGTGCAAATGCTGAGATTACGGAGCTACTGCATGGCCTCAAGCAGTGCCACAATGTCCTCAACCTCCCACAACCAAAGATGATGGTTGCCAACAACTGCTGCCATATTCACAGTGCAGTGGCTTCTGCCATGCCCAAGACAGAGGCCAAGCTGGACGTCTGGCATTTTAGCGCAAGGTATGTAACGTTGGCATGAGCTATACTACTCTGGCTAACAGGAACCCTCACAAAATGAAGATATGTTGCTGCGATCTTGAACACGAGCAAAAGCCCATTCCGTAGTGCCATCGCTGCTGATATTTTGGGCGCAATCCTCAAGAAGCATGCAGAACATGGATGTGGAGCAGAGTATTGGGATCGTGGTGAACAAGAGCAGCATCTTCTTGCAGCTTTTGAGAAATGGGCCGAGAAAGGTGTGTGGTCAGCAGCAGCTCAGAAGGTAAGTCTGCCTGCTTCATTAGAAGCAGAAATTGACACTCACACCATCATATTCTGCTAGATACATCAAGAGCAACTCAAACATGTCCGAAAAGGGTGCCTTGAGTGCTCAGATCAAGACATCCGGTGTGGGGAACGTCCCCACTGTAGGCCCATATCCCGCATATTTCCCATGCCTTCCCACCATTTTCCCGCGCGTTCCACCACCCATCCGCATCTTCCCCAACCCATCCGCTATATGGAACCAAGTGGAACCCAGCGGAACAATCGCGTACCACACGCATTATATTCCTTCAGCCTTCAGAACATCCTCCTCCGTCCTGTCCATGTCCTTCCATCCTCGCTGGTGAGTACTAGCTACGTTCCCCGTGTCACTAACATGTTCCTATCTCATTTCCCATGTGTTACGGTACTTATATGGATCCTTCCGCTACTCGGGACCGATTCCTTATCTCACAGCCTCACCCGGTTGTAGCATATCGCATTTCGGAACCCCTTCCTATATAGGTAGCAATAGATGGGATCTTAGTTTTTTACCTTCTGATAGACTCGACTCCACTTCCACTTACAGAGTACTTCCCAGTACTCCACTCACTGTTTAAAATATCTTCCCGAATCTATTCCTGATCACATTGCATCATTCCCGCCCCTGTGAGTTCCGCTCGAAACACCCGACATTGGATCCGACGACTTGGAGCAAGTACCAGACACAAGCCTGGTCCGACTTTGCCCAATCATCCTCCTGCAGGCTCGTAGTTTCTTTTCCCTCCATTTGTTCCCCATTAGTTCCGTTTGTTCCCCGTTTGTCCTGTTTGCTCTGCATTAGTTCTGTTAGTTCCCCGTAGTTCCGCTCGTTGCACGCTGAGTTCCGCTTGTTGGGAACCCTCCGCATCTTTGTGTTCCCAGTCCTAGTAAGGACCGGAACCCTTCGGGTCGCTAGACAGAGTCTAGTCTTTGTTTCCTCACACTTATTTGAGGACTCGCTACCCAGTAGCAATCCCCTCGGGATGAGTATAAGCCTTGCACCCTTGTTAGACTTCTGATTCACACAGAGTCTATTTTCCTCACCCACACTGGTCTGACGGCAGCCATGTTGAGGGCATGCACAAAGGCTGGAACTCATTGCAGCATGCCCAACCAAGTGGGATTGTAATGTTGTCTGCACTCAGTCACGACTTCGTCCTCTGTCGAAACATTCGGGTCGCTTCCAGTAGGCATCAAATGACACCCTTTGTCAAATTCACCCATGGCTCCCACCACATCCAACTCTCTAACCACATCACAAAACTCTACAATGGACTACGTGAGAAGGACACACAGCTGCTTCCTCTCCTACCAGAACTCCCAGATGTCGACTCCAGTGAGACCTTTGGACTGGTTGCATCAGATAATGCAACCACATTTGGTGGTTTGCTCATCAAGGAAGAGACACTGGATGCTGAACTCACGCACGACTTTGAGGTTCACACAGATAGCTTCACTGGTGGGACTCTAGATTTTGCGACTGAAGCCAGCCGCAGCATCATGATTGAGGATTGGCAGATTGATCCAGCACTCCTTGATCAACCTGCAGTGTGCAGCTCCAGTACCAAGCCCCCAACGAATGGTATGGTGAGTGGGGCATCACAAATCACCCATTTTTCATTTGTTTACTGACAAACTTTTCTAGATGGCTTCTAATGATAGTGTTCTCGCTGCCAAAGTCGCACCTCCCTCCCTTATCAAACACAAGGCCATTTGCATCTTGCCTAACTCCAATGACAAGTCAAACAGCAGGTCCGCTACTACAAAATGACCTTGGATTCTGGGTCCAGCCAGCACCAAGACACTTGATGGCTACTTTGCCTTAGGCCGTCTTCTAACATGGCATGGAGAGCCTCCCAGTATTGCCACAGGAGAGGTATGTCTGTTCTCGCCCCCAATCAACGATACACTCACGAAAGCTAACATTTTGAATTCTCGCAGGCTGTCAGTCAGTTCTCGCCCCCAATCAATGATACACACGCGAAAGTATGTCTGTTCTCGCCCCCAATCAACGATACACTCACGAAAGCTAACATTTTGAATTCTTGCAGGCTACCAGTCAGTTCTCGCCCCCAATCAATGAAACATATGCGAAGGTATGTCTGTTCTCACCCCCAATCAACAATACACTCATAAAAGCTAATGTTTTGAATTCTCACAGGCTGCCAGTCAGTTCTCACCCCCAATCAACGATACACTCGTGACAGCTAATGTCCTGAATTCTCGCAGGCTGCCAGCACTGGCAATGACAACCCACCAATCACCCCCGGTCAATGAGACAAAGCAGGCCAGACCCAGTCCCAGTGCTTGTTCTCCATCACAACGGGTATCGATCCTCGCTTGCTGACACTTCAACATTCAGATGAATTCTACCTGTTCATGAACATGTGGGCCGAGTTCAAGTGGCTGTCATACCAAATGACTTTGAAGGGCTGGGTGCTGGCAATGGAGGAGTACAATTGCCATCTCATTGGGAAAATGGGCCAGTCAGTCATCCAGAAGAACCTGCAGGCCCTCCTGCGCGCACTGGGTGATATTGAGCCCAAACTGATGAATTGCATCATCAAAGATGAGTATACCTGTGAGTTATCAATATTTTCCTTGCATTCACTCTGTTTTCTGACATCTATATTACAGCAAAGAGGAACAACAAGACATTTTGGCGCCATCATTGTTCTGTTGTGCCCCTCGTCAAGGAAGAGCAAGGGGAAAAGGTCAGTCCCAGTCCAAGCCCTTGCTTCAAGGTGTTCACAATGCTGAACTTGCTTATTTAGCCCTGAAAAGCGCAGACATGCTCATGCTGCCAAACAATTATGTACCCTGGCCCTGAAAACTTGCCACTCAACCACAAGCGGGGCTACTGCGCTGATGGTGTCAAGCAGGTGTCAAAGAGTGGCGAAGACCTCCCTCCCTGGCCTCAGCCTCAAGGCCTGTTCTCTGAAGGCTGCACATTTCACCCGCACGCATTTTTGTTGGCTGTTCAGCGCGTCTATGAGTGCATCTTCATGCAGGGACTGGGAGAGATGGACTTGCTTGAAACAGAGGCCTTCGCGAAGCTGCTTGCCTCATGCACTGAGATCCGTGAGGATGGTGCAGTGCTTTTCCAGCTGTTTGCACACTTCGTTGTTGACCCATCGACCCCCCACAACGACAAGCAGTGGCTCAGGATCAACTTCCTCCAGCAGCAGCTGTAGAGTCGAGATTCATGTTCACTGTCTAATTTTTCCCCTGCTTTGTGCCCTCCTTCCCTCACACTAATAGTTTACTTGTTCATCCACTCCATGCAGTCTTTCCCCTGTCTTCAACAAATGTTTCTGAATGGTTTTTCAGTGGGACTTGGACACTTTGTCTTTCCCAGTCAATTCACGCGGTTCTTGTTTTAAGGGCTAGGGCTTGAAACCCCAGCACATTCAGAGAGGCTCTAAAAAAGAAGGGGTAGGTATGCTCCTGTTTCATTGACTTGTTGCTCATCGTCCCACGCTGTTGTGGCCATTTGCCTTCATCGCCTGGGGCAAAATTGAACTGGTCATGTGATCTCAAACTCACATGCTTTTGCAATGGTCAAAATGGTCTGTCGGTCTTTGAAAAACGGTCAGACCATTTGTAAGCCTCCCCTTCCCATGGTGCAGCTGCCCACAAATGTGATATGTCATGTGACTTACATGTTTTGTCCATGTATTGTTTAGTGTGTTGCAACCATGAGCTAATGTATATAATTACCCACCATCCAAGCTATTGTTTCCTTCCTCACTTCCCTCTCAAGTGGCCTGGGATCAGATGTTTAAAGCTGCCAAGCTATGCTGACCTATACACCTGTAAGTACTGGTGTTACACGAAACCTCTTGGATGAGATCTGGCAGCACTAAACCCAGCAAGGGGTGTTTGTAGCATGGCTTTCAGCGCTAGCCCAGCAAGGAGCTTGCCTGCACTCAGTCTGAGTAAGGGTTGAGGCCCTTACTTGCATAGAATCGATTTGGAGATTCTCAAGGATACAATCCAAGAGAATGGAGTTCAACTCAAGAGTATTGTCTCAAGAGAAGATAGTTTCTTTGCACTAAGGGAGTTCTCTTAGGTAAGAGAAGTTCAGACCCAAAGACAAGTACAAGATGAGAACCGAGTAGATTCAAGTTAGAGAATCAATCTACAAGAAGACTTGTATATATATGTAGGTAATGTTACCGAAGCATTGGTAAGGGTTTAGGGTAAGTATGAGTCAGAACCGGTTGAACGGTAAGGGTACAGGGTATGGTGAGTCATGGTCAGGAAAGGGTAATAAATACCAGTTGAATGGTAAGGGCAAGGTTAGGGCATAGGGTTTAAATAGAAGCAATAGCTTCTATGATCTAGGGAAAGAAGTAAGAGCTTCTCATGTTTCAAGACAACCCAATCAAAAGAAAGAAGATATAAATGGAAATGTAACCATGGTCCAGGTCTAGATGAGTCTGCACAGTTTAGCCACATGTTGGTGATCACATGACATTGGTCATGTGAGTCATAACAGTTTAACCTCATGTCAGAGAATGAAGAATGAAATAACACGTAATGCTCATGTTACTGTAACAACTGGCACTTAAACCTACCTGCTCTTGATGCTTCATTATGTAAGTGAGTATGTGCTTCTCTTTAACTTGTTTTTGTTGTTGCCCATCTCCCTCTCCTCTGTCTTTCCTTCCCTCATCTATTCCTCCTTTAATTCTTTCTATTGTTTTTCATAATGACTAATTCTCTAATTTCAGATAAATGTAGTGTATGTGACCATGACTGTACTTCCTACACTCCAAGAGCCCCTTTAGATCTTGAGGTGAGTTTTTCTTTACCATAAAACTGGTGTATGCTAATTTTCCAGTTTTTGTGCTACTGTGGGCATGGTCCCACCCAACATCTCCAGCTGTTACAGGGACCCTCAGACCCCTATCGTCTCCGCCAAACATCACTGTCACAACCACGTCACAACACGTGACAGATGACATCACCGGCATGTGACTAAACTACAGAGCACAGCATGACAGCTGTTGGAGCATGACAGCTCTAGACTGAACCTAGACCAGGATCAAAAGAAGCCGTGCACTTCTCCCTTATCGCCCCTACCGATACACCGGTACTGACTATCGTTTATCCTATCGCTTATCATGACAGATAGCGTTATCTGACTTGGACACCTGCCGCTGTGCTGGTACCATACCCTGGACCCTTACCGTTGAACCAGTACCCTTATCTCTGAGTCCTTATGACTCACATAGACGCTTACCTAGTTGGGACGCTTTCTGGCTACCCAAGCCTACCCTGAACTCATAGGATGATACCTATATATACCACTGTAGTTAGACCATGTATTTCTCTAACTTGATCTTCACTTGTGATATATGACTCTAGCTTCCACCATTGAAACTTCAGTCAGTCATTCTGGATGGACAGCCTCCATTCAGTCTTCCATCGTCCTGGTGCTCCATGAAGCGGACACGGGATCGACCCTATCAAGTGCACTGTTGGAAAGCCGGGCTTTCCCGTAACACCAGCCAGCTCTTGTGCTAGTGCTGTTTTCTCCTTGTGGAGGTCTCAAAATCAATGGTATATCCTGTCTTGGTTACCAGACCTTATGCAATGCCCCCATAAGTGTCCTTGTTTGAGCTCTGGGTTTCTGTACATAATCTAATACTTTGGACATGAATTATAGATAGCATATTTTTGCCAGCCATGCGCTGGATGCAACCTTGGGTATAACTCCCATGATCCACTGGCCTCAACACCATCATCTGCAGCATCCTTTTCCACTCCCCAAGTGCCCCAACTGCCTCTGGTTCAACCATCTCCTCTCACATCATTTTCACGCCCTGCCCCACTACTCACTTCTCGCTTGCCCCAGGCTATCACATCATCTTCATCCTCTCCCCCAAATTCATAGCCATTATTTCCTCAATATGCTCCATCTTCTATAGTCACTCCAACTCATGCAATGAATGGTTCACTACTCCCCCAGGGTTCTCTGCTTTCAAAGTTCCTCATGCAGGAATCCTAATGTCAATGACCACTGGACAGATGTTAAGACTGTGCTCAGGGGTGAGGCAGAGTCTGAGGGGCTTGGCTTCAGCTCGTGTGCTGCACCCCTTACCCGAGTACATGCCCCTAATTTTAAATTGTAGTCTGACTTGAGTTCTACAAGCTCCATCAGGACATTGAAGTGGAGGCTCTCCAAAGGAGGGCCAATGGATGTCATATCCCGTACCTCCGGATCCAGAATTCTGGATCTACTTCATTGAAGTCCGTTCCTCTGTCTTACTATTCCGCCCGGCGCTCCGCCTTCATCTCCGCACTCACCCCTAACTCCTTTTAGATTAACTATTGCTCCAGTTACCGGTTATGTCCTATTCCGCTATGCTTACTGATCTGTCCATTCTTACTTCATTTCCGACTTCGCTGCTTTGATCCATTATACTTAGTAATAGACTTTCCACATGCTTCGTACATAGCCCTTACCTTTGCTGACTGATTTACCTACATGATACCTACAGTATATAAACCCCTGTAATACTCCGGAACTCCTCAGTTTGAATATCATCTTAGTTCTGCTCATTCCTGCAATCTCCGGACTTGAGTCTCATCTCTTGTCCACCTCCGAGTCTTAGGGGTTAAACCTTAGGACTACTTCTCCAGCTCTACCTTAGGGTAGTCTAAACTCTGTTCTGTTTCTACTCCGGACTTCCATAGTAGCCTTACTTCATCCCCCGTATAAGCCCTCTGGAGTTCCACCGAACTCCACCGACACTAAGTCCTCTGGAACTCCTCGGACTTCCGTCGGACTTCCCCTCTGTCCCCCGGAAATTAAAGGACACGTACTTGGGTAAGGGGCGCAGCGCATGAGCTGAAGCCGAAGCCCTTTGAGCAACCTCTCCCTTGAGCATGACCTTAACAATGGACTACCAGATTAGTGTGGGAACATTGGGCGGAGGTTGGTCCACCTGATAGGAGAGAGGCAGAAGAATACTGCTGTCAGAGCCAACAGTAGAAGCAAAGTGGATAGGACTACTCAGACAAAGTCTGAAGCAGAGCAGAAACAAAGAGGATGGATGTACAAGAGTGCTGGGCTCAAGTCCAACATGTAGGAAAGGCGTGGGAAGTTGGACAAGTGGAGAGGGTGGCTGGCCTAAGGAGTCAATCCCCTAGGCCAGTAAACAGGAGTTGACTAGGATCAAGCCCAAGTCAAAGAACAGAAAAGTAGGGCTTAGAAAAGGTAATATTCAGACTAAAGATCTACAGACAAAGTACATATGTTTATATACTCTAAGGTAAGTAGCATAGCATAGCAGGAGGCTATGTGCTGAGTGTGCAGAATTACAATAAGGATGCCTGAGACATATAAAGTGGAGGCTGGGAGAACAATATGTACATGACAGATCAATAATCCTTGGGTATAGGAATTACCAGTGATCTGAAAGGAGAAACTATAGTACCAAAAGGAGGTAGGACCAGTTGAGTGGTTCCCAGTCTAGAAGTGGACCAGTGAGGCAGTTGGGCAGACTAATAGTTGGGCATGCCAACATGAGAGAAACTGAAGGAACTGAGTGGGTCGGAAAAGCGGAAATGGTGGAGGGAGTAGGAGTAGGATCGGGCAGACCGATGGAGCAGAGGAGTGGAGCTCCAGATAGGATCGGATGGTAGGGATATAGTGTTGGAGGAAATAGGGGTAGTGTCAGAGGAGCGGAACAGAGTTGGGCAGAGGTAGCAGGGCTAGTCCTGCTGAGATGCACTTTGTGCATTGTCGGAGAAGGAGGGATGAAGCAGACAGGGAAACAGGGGGTTGGACCAGCAGTAGGGATGTATATGGATGGTGTTGGAGGTGCTTGGATTTGGTATATGACAACAGAGCTGTGTGTGCTCTAATCACAAAGTCCTTCCATACTCTGCAACAAAACCCAATAAACTATTGAATGAAAAACTTATTGATGTTGTCCTTTTTCCTAATGATGCAAGTGTCTTGTCACTTCACTGCATATCTAGCCCCCTGACTTCATCTCCAGATCAATTTTGCACTAGAAAATCCTGACAGGGATGTTTTTGAAGAGACTTATTTACATTTTCCCCAATGAATCCACACCAGTGAAAAGCTTACTAGTGATTTAACTGGCCTTCAAGCCCTGGGCCTTGTACATCACATGACTCTCTCTGCCTCTTGCCAAGACAATGTTATGCACCAACCATATGACACAATTCTTCTCATCTCCAATTTCCTCCTTCTCCTGAAAGTTCCTTTGAACTTGAAATTTTAGCTCCCAACTGAGAGCTTTGCATATTGTACCAACAGTGTCCTTTCCACTTGCTCAAAATCAGTTACCAGATGCCACAAGAGGATTATTTATCTTACAATGCCTCTGAGTCCTGGCATGATTATTCCTATTCTGCCCTATGCAAGAGAGCTTCTCAAGTCCAGCATCTCTCAGACCCTAATGTTGGTCTTGTTCTTTGTAAGTTTGATCAATCATTTTACTACATCTCTACTTATTTTCATCTTCAGGTCCAAAACATAGTCCTCTTGTTGGACCAATTTGCCCTCCATCTTTGGAATCCTGTTTCTCTGATCATGCTTTCAAGATTCTCATTGAGGGAGACAATGAGGAATTGAGTTACCAAGGCCTGGAAAATGACAAGTCTTTCATTGTAGAATGTAAAACTTTCTGCCCTCTTTCTTCTCATCAATGTACCCAGCGCATCTGTCAGGTTATTGTTGATGAAGACCATAATGTTGGCAATGAAGACTTAGTTAACCCCTCCTACTCAATTTCACTCAACCAAGCATCAACTCTATCTGATTGTGAATCAAGTCCATCTGGTGAAGAATCAACCCCTTACAGTATGTCTACTCCTTCTCATTAAGCTTCAACTTCACTGAATAACTCAGCTTCAGCTTTCCCCCACTCTTCTGTATAAATTCCTACACCATCTCTTTCTCCCATCAATACCTCTCTATTACTGGCACCTGCTGTCATTTTTATTAGTTTGGAAGAAGTCTGGACTAAAACAAAATGAGATGGCTTGCATTTTGTAGCTTCTAGGGGCACCAATATGATGCTCGGTATTTGTCTAATCTGGACATTGTCATCCAATTTGTTAGCACAGCAATATCACACGGACTAATAGAAAGTACCTGGGGGTGTGAGAGGAGAGAATCTGGTGATATGTACTGACTGTTTATGTGAGTCCAGAGTATGAAGTATGGTGTGTGAATTGATGTCAAAGACCTACGAAATAAATGATCAGGGATGCCCAGCAAAACATCATATGCACCATACCTGCACAAGATCTGTATCATCACCTGCAACAATGAGCTTTCCATCAGGATGAATGTTACCACTGTATGCAACATCCTTGAAACACAAGATCATCTTGGTCACTTTCTGGGTTTGGGGTGTATAAATCTGTACACACGTTGCTGCTGTCACAGCATATTTATAAGTTTCAGAAGGAGAGAACTGTATAGAAGGGACAGGTGCATATTCCTTGATGAATAATGGGTATTTGAACTGACACCAATATCATGATTCAGGTCTATGCTTAGTGGCACATGGAAAGGGAGAAGATAGTGTTGATAGTTTGTAGGCCCACAAATAACAACATCCTAAGAATAATCAAATCTGCACCCAATCAACCATAGGTAAGCAGTATTTGAGAATAGGAGAGAAACAAATGAAACAGTATATTATAGTGAGTTCAAACAGGTTTGGACACTATTTTGGGTACATTTGTCATCATAAAGTCAAACTTTTTGTGTAACTCTTGTGCTTTCCAACATCTTGAGTGCTGTAAGTTGGCACCTTGACAGTCAATTGCACAATAGTCACCATGGGCAAGAAAACACATGATATATGCAGTACAGCTGGCCAAGCAAAAAAGGATGCCGGAACACAGGCCCACTGGGATCAAAACCCAGAGAAGATTAAGGCTGCTGTTGAAAGAGATCTACACAAGTGCTTGGTTGCATGCCTACTGTATATTTGACAACTTATTTGGGGTTAGATGTCCATTACATCAAAAAATTTCCATCTGACTTCCTGTATATCAAGCATGATGGAGCATTGGTGTGTGACATTGTCCACAAGAACTTTGCATGCTCACCAGATGAACTTGAAGCTTTGCCCCAGCATGACAAAGTTGTTCTCTCATTAGATCATCTTCTCTCTGGCACTGTTCCTGATGGTATGCCTCTGTATCTTGCCATTCATTATGAGCACTTCCTCTCCAAAGACCACCAGAGATGTCTGGTTCTGTGATGGAATGAGGTTATGGCATCCCACCCTATGAACCACCTGAAGTCCAATATGAACTGTTCCACTACTGAAGCCCATTATCTGGGCATATGGGAGGTATTTGGGGCAAAATCACGCTTGATGGCAGACACTTGGGTACAGACTATTGAGGTGAAAGAATCGATAGACAAGCTACTTTGATATGTGTAGTCTTTTATGGCACCAAAGATTGCCACTGCATATGAGCAACATACTCCTCTTCACTGGAAGGCCCTGCAAAAGTGAGTGTGTGATGCTGTCAATGACAACACGGGCTGATACTATACTAGGGTTCATGCTCATGTCCATCAGCAACTAAGACATGATCTGTTGTCTCAGCCTAGGGTGGACATGGGGGGTCCATTTTTTACTGTGGCTGTCAAGGAGGCTGGCTCAGGTGTTGTTCACCTGGACTAGAATGACAATAGAGCCATCTATGCCTATATCTTTGCAGTTGGTGATTGGGAGGGTGGAGAATTCTGCATTCCCCAGCTAGGAATCAAGATCCCCATGTGACCAGGTTAGGTATTAGCCATACTGGCTCATGTGTTGGCCCATTTCAGCACTCCTGTGACAAGTGGGTACAGAATTGTATTTACATGCTTCATGGACATACTGCTATTCAAACATGTCAAGCCCAAGACAGTGGGTATTGTTGTCCTTTAGATCATCATAGAACAGTCATGCTATGATCAATATACCCATGTCCCATACTCCTCCTATAGCCTCAACCAATGCCAGATTAATACACCCTCCTTCAACCTCCTTCAACCTTGTCATCCCAAAGCTTTTCACACCTTGAGAGGCATACAACACAGATCAGCTCAAACATCATTCATTTGACTCATGTATCAAGCCATCTAGTCATTGATCATAAGAAGGGAACAACACTTTAGCACTGTATGAAACTTAGATTATACTGTAAACATAGAGGCAAATGGGTATTTTTCCTTTTCTTTTGTAGACATATCATCAGTATGTTGATGCTGATTTCAGGGATGACTCAGAGGGGAAGTGCATTAAGTGTATTTATGCATTCTATAATGAACACTATGGGAAGAATCAGTCAATTACAGATGTTGATTGGTTACCCAAGGTCTAGATGTTGTTCCAAGCATGACAATTCACACCAACTGGTTTTGATACAGTGCCTGGAGTTAAGGGGTCACTGGTGGAGCATGCACAATCAGCACCAATATGTCAAATTTTGATTTTCAGACTATTAAGGTGCCATTGTAAGTAGATACATATCATTATTTGAAGTACAAAAGTTCTATTCATGACACAAACTGCGAGCACACTTGCATCAACTCCATCTATCTTCCTCTCTGTCATGGTAGAGTCGGAGAGATTTTCAATATACTGATGTAATATAGCAAGATGTTAAGGGGACAGGGGACAATTTGGCTCCTCAACCTCAATCATGTTGAAATGATCAGGTCTATGTGCGATGAATGGACTGTGACCAAGGTGGTCAGGTGGGTTACCTACTGTATGATGGGCCTATATGTGCTGGTCTTTGTATGCATCCCAGTTGATACCATACTCATCAATTTCATCAACATTAAAATCTTCTTCCGGAAGCCTGAAAGCTTTCAGCATCAAATCCATGTACTCCACTTTGTAGAATGCTAAACCAATGGAGATTAGCTGGTGAACAGCTCCATTTTCCATCAGGCAAGGACATCTTATGCATGTTCCATGCATTTGCCCATTGTATTGCCTCCTGGTTAATGAAATGCAAGAAGAGGTGATGTAGCAACCAGATGTAAGCTGTATTGTTAGGGTTGAGCCCACCAGTTACTTTGAGATCTTGGAAAAAGGACTTTCATTTGGACCCAATCATATTGGTCCAGTCCACCCATAGTCTCTCAATACAGATGTTATGCACGCATCTGTAAGACACACTGAACTAAGTTGATTTTGGGTGACATAGATTTGAATCTTACCTCCTCCAAATATATAACCTCCTATCTTAACCTCACTGTTCCTCTATATATCTAGCAACAAGCACATTCTCCCCTTCATGATTGCCACATACCCAAGAAGGTAGACCATGATTTTTAATCAATGAAAGAAACAAGTCAAATACTGTGGCTGCACGGTTGTTGTTGCTGGTTCAAATCCCAGTGATGAACCTAGCAAAACCGTCTATAGAAGCATGGATAACAATTTTATAGTGGATCAGGCCTGGAAAGCGATTAGAATAAGTACATGTACCATGTATATACATACACACCATGTTGGCCATCATGATGCACCAAGGAATTATATCCTGTAACTTTATACACCCTTTGTGAGATTCATCGCACTCCAAAGGCCGCCACAGGGGGTCTATTGACACAAGCATAAGATACTTTCACATGACTGCAAGGAACATGTTGTCCAAGGTGAAGCAGGTGACCATCAATCATGTGCCAACCAAAGGTTGGAAAAAGATTAAGAATTTGCAACACAATTGCATCAAGCTCCTCATCCACAAGTGTGGACTAAGAGCTGGTCAATGACTAATATACCTGATGAGCTTGACTGTCTTCATCAACATAGGTGGCATAGACAGGGTCTCCTGGTTGCACTAGTTCTTGTTCAAGGGCTCAATGTCAGATAGTTCATGCAGAAACACCAAAAATCTCAGCAAATTCTGTAGACCCTCAGAGCTGGTAAGATATAGCAAGGACTTCAGGATCTATAAGTACTCTTGGGCATCCCTAGCCACCATCATACACAACATGGCTATGAGATGTGGGCTCAATGTCAGGGACATCTGAAGAGACCATTTTGGCTGCCACTAAGTCTGCAATCATATCTTATATGCTGTGTTCCATTACATCTCAATCTGATGGTGGAATGATGGGACCATGCCATATATGAATTTCCTTACATACATAAGAACTTTCCAACTACCTAGACAGACATACTTGTGTGATGTAATGTTGTAACCTCAGACAGCTCTGTACCTGCTTGTCCAATTGTGCTGCATCTCTAAGTTGAGTTTGCAAAGCCACTTGGACAGCTTCTTTCAAATATGAAAAGGCTGTAGCAATAGTTTGGAAAGGAAGGGGCAATTTTGCACTAATGTCAGCCATAGATATCTGATCATTGATAGCGATGGTTGTGCAATCAAATGCATCAATTTTTTTTGTCAAAGATAAATGTTTTTGTTGCACAAACAAATGTTTTCATCATACAAGCAAATGTTTTTCTCCCACAAGCAAAGTTTTCTAATATTTTTCGAAGTTTATTTTTGTCCAGTGGGGTCCCTCATACTCGCCAGCATTGTTATCTCACTCATGCTGGATCCAAGTGCAACTTCTTCCTGGTCCTTGTGCTCTTTCCTTAGCCCTCTCTCATGGTTTCTCTGACCTGGCCCTAGTGTTGTAGGCAAAAGTCCACCATTCTGCCAAACCAGTTCTGCCTGGCAGAATTCTGTGGGTAGTATGGTGGCACCCTCTGGCCTTCCGTGGTGGTCCATCCTCCTTTGAAATGGTCCCTCCCTGGCTTTCCCTCATGGTTCTTCCCTGGCTCCTTCCTGGCCCTCTGTGGTGGTACCTCTCTGGCCCTCCATGGTGGTCCGTCCTCTGTCATGGTTCTTTCCCAAAAAATTGTTGCTCCTTGACATGTGATCTTTTCCCATTCTGTCATGACCCTTCCTGGTGGTTCTTCCCTGCTCCCTCTTTTGCTCCTGATGCAGGTTGCTATCTCTCTGGTTTCTCTTCTCTCCACTGCTCTCCTTTAGTAGTAATACATATACACTCCATCTTCAATTAAAATTTGATTTGATTTATAAAATGAGTGTTGAGTTTAAGCTACTAAGTAATTACTTGGTGCCCTAGTGCTATTGGCAGCTTTCGTGCAAAGCAGTCTGCCCTTTTAAAACTTTATCTAGGCTGGTAGATGTTTGCAATGTGTTATGATTCAGATTGTACTTTTGCCAGTTTTCTGTAAGCCCATTGGCTTACCTGAGTTCCCATAATCAGCATAAATACTGTCCAAGATGATGAAGCATGAGCTTTCATTATCACTGCCTTTTGGTGTAACAGTTAAGGGACAACAGTCTTAACTACTTACATTTTCACCAGCATAACCTGCCTATCTAAAGCTTTCTCAAGTTGAGTACAATTTTGATAGATGTTATATAAATTGTAGGGGTAGTCAGAACTTTACAAAGGTATATCATTTTCGGGTCAATTTCCTGATGTAATAGCCACGTGACAATATATGATCGACTTGGGTCAGTACCTGGGCCCTGAAGACGCTGATCACCACTACCTCGGTCCACCAGCTGTGTGCACCCAGTTTGATACCCATGTACCATCTTCTAGCATAATCTGTAAAAATGCCTGAAGGAAGTACAGCAAAGAATGATTTCGTTGCTGCGGTAGCATCAAAACCTGATTCACCTTTAGCACCTCTCGATTCATTACTTTCCCCGAAAGGCCCAACATACGACGAACTTTCCCCAAGAGGATCCGTCGCAGAGTCCGACTATAACGATATAATCCTTGATGATGATCCAAGCTTCTCGACCGTTTCGCTTTCAGGAAACACCAGTCTTGTCTCCGAGGCAGACGCAGTCGATACGCTTTCCAAGCTGAACCGCCGGACAACCATTTCATCGGCACCCTTGAAAGCATTTTCTTCCTTGCGCCATTTTGCCCATAAGAAGTCTGCTTCGACAGTAACGATACCATCCGCACCTGGAAGTAGTATCCTCGCGCGTATCGGGTCACAAGGTACCCGCGATGAAGGCGACATTGATGCATTACGGAGTGCTGGAGAAGGGCAGCAGAAGCTTCATGAAGAATTTTTGCGCCTTCATAACCAGCGACGTGCTGAGGCTACAGAATCTGAACAAGGAGCCATAGACTGGGGTAAGGATGACTATCTACCAATTTTGCAGTTCTAACTTCAGCGTAAGGTTTCTGGGGAGCCGTCATTTCAGGTGATGTAACAACTTGCTGAACAATCTTGTATCCGATATTCATTCCACATCGTAGATTATCAGGGTTTTGCAGCCTCGAATCCCCAACGGCTAGCCAAAGCGATCGAGAAAGGGATTCCGGACGCGCTTCGTGGAATGATGTGGCAATTAATGTACGGTGCTTCCTGAGGCTCAACTCCTCCACTGATAAGCTGCTTGAGGCAGGGCAGCGTCAAAGGACATAGAACTAGAAAATACATACCTTTCTCTCCTCAAGGAGTCCAGTCCTCATGAAAAGGCAATCACGCGAGATCTCGGAAGGTTCGCATTTACTTTTGATGTCCACATCCTTGCCTTGACGTTCAATTCGCAGAACCTTTCCTCACCACGACTTCTTTACTGATGGGCAGGGCATCGGCCAAGAACATCTCTTCAACGTTCTTAAAGCATACTCATTGTACGACCCTCAGGTTGGTTATTGCCAAGGTCTTCCTTTCGTAGTAGCTGTCCTCCTTCTAAACGTGAGCTCCTCCTTCCTCTGGTTCAATTTGTTTTTACTTTCCACCAACTAGATGCCGGACGAAGAGGCGTTCTCGCTCCTTGTTAGGCTGATGCACTCTTACGATCTCCGGGGTCATTTTCTCCCAGAGATGCCTAAGCTTCAGCTCCGACTTGTATGTAGATGTCCATAACAACTAGTTTCAGTCACACTCACTCTCTGATATTAGTACCAGGTATGCTACTCACTTTGATCTCCGCTCCCTGTTTCAAGCGACAACAGTTCGATCGCTTGATAGAAGATCTATTACCCGTGCTCCACGTTCATTTCCTCCGGCAAGGCATCAAATCTAGCATGTTCTGCTCCCAGTGGTTTCTAACGCTCTTCAGCTATCGGTAAGCCTCCAACCTCCCCGGCGCATAGCATAACTCAGTGGTGGAGCTTTAGGTTCCCACTAGAAATTGTAGTCCGGATATACGACAATTGCTTGGCAAGTGGCATAGAAGCCATTTTTGCATTCAGCATCGTGCTGCTCCAGAAGAATGAAGACATTCTACTTACCCTCAAGTTTGATGATATCCTCGCATTTATAAAGAACAGGATTTTTGAGCGGTACGAGGTACATGTCACGTCATCTCACCATCGCACCCTGCTTGACAGTAAAATTGATAGGTCGAGCCCGTGAATCCGCAGGAAGACCGTATCAACGGTCCCCCTAAGAATGTTAAGTATCATGTAGACGCGTTCGTGGTGGACGCCATCTCTATGAAGATCACCCCATTCATGTTGGACACTTACGCACACGAGTACGACGACCTTGTCCGTGCCCGAGATGCACATGCTACCGAGATTGATACGTTACGAAACAACAATCGCAGCCTGTCCGCGCAAGTGTGAGTACTCGTCCGAAAATACAGCTAGCGGTCTTTGAACGTGTCGACTGCAATTATAGGAAAGAACTTGATACGAATATGGCGCAATTAAATGCGGAGCATGTCGAGGTCCTTGTAAGCCTTGACACACATGTTGTGAGTTCATATGGCTGACCAGTCTGTTGTCCAGAATCAGCTTGTGATGGCTCGGCTACGAAATGAAGAGCTAGAGGAAGAGTTGGTTAAATACAAATTACTGTACAGTATAATTTATTTCTCTTGCGCTATGGTTCTGAAATCCACTACAGTTATGCGGAAGTCATGCATCAAAAGGAGGATGCCATGTCGTCTCATCGCTTGTCAAACCCTCTGGGTAGCAGAAGAGGAAGTAACCACTCATGATGCAGACTTTGAGATCACAGGACATTGGGAATATACGCGAATTGGATTCCTCGGTGTTGTACATGTGTTATTAAGAAACTTCTCATTCCACTACACGGCAGACAATCGAAGGAAGAAAGAACGCCGACAAAGAACTACTTGGAATGAAGTCACTGTGCATGTTGAATCTACATACAAACGTTAAATTGTGGTCGATGATTTATTGACGCAAACACTGACCTCTTCCTGGCTGATTGTGCGCAACTCTCCAGAGGCCGTGGCCTTGCCCATGGCAGCGCCTACAACTATTTGCGCTTTTCGCATCATAGAAGAGTGCTTCGTAATCCAGTACTTGATCTCGTCTGGAATCACCTCAATCACGGCGACACGTGGGTCATCTTTGTCCCCTTTGTGAACCCCATCCTTCAGATCGCCAATATAGCCGGTAACGCTAAGTTCAGTCAACACCATGTCAATGCATGATTACGGTCGGACGAACCATGAGGACCAGTGCTTATGGATAAGCTCCTTGTCCTGAGTCACTTTGGCTCTTCCAGAATAGGACACCCAGTCGGTCGAAGATGGATCACAAAAGCTGACGTTGACGTGTGCGTCATTTTGGATTTCCTCGAACTTGTGAGTCACATTGTTCGCGAGGAACACCAAATTTATCTGCTTGTCGCTGTATGCTTTAGGAGACAAGGTGGTGCATATGAGAACGAAGAATAGTCAACAAGAATTTGATTCGTACGCGTGGCAGGAGTCATTGCTCGGGAATGTAAATTCCCGTTTGCATCGCGGGTGACGAGCATACCGATCTTTGCATTCTTTATGACGGTGTGCAAATCTGACAAGTCGTTAGTACAATGAACCAGTTATTCAGGAAACGCAATGCGTACCGGTGATCTTCTCATGAAGATTAATATTCTTATTCTCTGCAACGCGGGTGTAAGGATCCAGGCGGGCTTGTTCTTGACTCGCGTCAGACATGTTTATAAATGATGTGATAGTTTTGGTCAAGGAGAATATAGGCTGGGGATGATGGGTTTGAAGTTTATATATGCCTTGGAAGGCCGTCCCCTGACGTCGATGACCATGACGTCAGTCGGACCTTTGAACCACAATACCTGCCATATCAGGTAAGGAAAGCTTGGCGGATCCAGTTTGAATTCGAACTCCTGTTGCAATTCAATGATTTAGCCTAGATTCGAATGTGGCTATTGGTACGATTGTAACCAGTAAACGTTAGGAGGCAACAGTCAGGAGCAATTGCTGAACTCGATTTTCCCGCAGACTTGAGTTGTATTTATTCCAGTAGATGCCAGACATTGTATAGCTAATGAGTTGACTCAAAACAAACGTCATCATTGAGGCAAGTACAAGAAACATATATACAGCTACAGACCTCATAAGTAACAATACAGTTCGTGTGCGAAGCATTTCACAAGTCCGGACAACATCGAACAACAGGATTACCTCGACCAAGCAGGGGTCTGAGGCTCTGCTTGCAAATTTGGAAAATCGTCCGCCTCCCAAGTTCCTGGTATGAGGGCGATTGGGAGGAGCCAAGTGGCAGTGAGAACCACTCCATACCCTAGATGTGGACGCCGCAACGACCATCAGTTATGGCTTGATCACGTTGACGGATGGTACGGACCTTTATCAAAAACTTTGACTGCGGACCAGCTCCACGCAATAAAGGCTCCGATATAGCCGAGGTATGGTACAAGTCGGCGGAGAAAACTCATGGGGACACGCAGCTGCGGCGGCATGAGCGAGATTGGTAAATGATCGAGTAGCCACTTAAGTGCTGCCGTGATCATGGCAGCGCGTTTCGCAGCTTCAAACTGCTTGTTATTAAGTACGTCAAGCACAGGAGGCGGAAGGTAACTGAGATCAGACGCGTGAGTTTCAAAGGTGCGCGATTGTATCAGTAAAACACCTACATTCTGAAGCCCCACCACATTGCTTGAACGGAGATTTTTGTGGGAGATGGGAGCCAGACACGATATTCCCTTGCTGCTGGCTCACTTGCAGGAGCAGCAGCTATTTCCTCGGGTTCGAATCTGCTGCTTGACGCGCTTTGCTCAGTGATCGCCCTTTGTTTCCCCTTACGTCTATCGGAACTCTCGCTCTCGGCGAGCACTTGTTCAATAGACTCTGAAGGAAGGGGAATGAAGGACAGCTGGGGTGTGCGGATCTCTTCTCCATCTCCATTGAGCGAGACAATCTCAGAGCGTGCGATCTCTATCTCCGAATCTTCCGTGGGTTCTAATGGTCCGTACATCATCACCGATCCATTGTCATCTTCATACTCTGCGCCTGGGTGCAATTCCTCTGTTGCATCTACATTCGCCTCGGATATGCCATCCTTCTTGCTCAGAGGGGAACGTAATTTGTCTAACACAGACCACACGGATTCTCTTCCGCGATCAATCGACCCATTCATGACGGTGAATGAAGTCAGGAATGTTGTCATCAACTTTGAATCGGCGATGGAAAATCCTGGAGGGGGGATGGGGGGATGGTCATTGGAATCTATCGCTGGCGCTCCCGACTGAGCAGTATGAAACTGGGGAAAGGAAGTGGATAGCCCAGCTGGCATTGAGGGTAATGACGCGATCATAGCTTGAATTTTGCGAGCGAGAGTATCAGGTTCTGGTAGTTCGCTTTCGACTCTGTCCTCTCCAGCGTCAACTTGCAGAACATTATCAATCGCACTGCTGCCTGCCTCCTGGATCTCATCATCAATGATAAGGGGAGCAGGAAGGGATGCAGCAGTGGGAGTAGTTGGTTGTTGAACTTGATTGCCTTCATCCACGGGCCAGGACAATGGAGGAAATGATAACCGCTTCTGCCTGCGTGTGTACTTCAAAAACCTGTCTATTGTATTTGTCTTCGCCTGTGAAAGATTTGATGCGGATGATGATGAAGCTGCAGCCTCGTCTGCGCGTGCGGTGGACGTTGATTGATCTATTGTGGCATTGCCCTTGCTAAGGGTCTTGACGAAACGAGGAATGATACTAAGGGGCGGGTCGGAGCTGGGAGGCGATGCATACTCTCGAGTCATCGAGGCCATGGAAACAGTTTTACAAGTTACTGCGCGTCGTGTGCAGGCTGCAGCATGATATGTGTGGCTGTGCCCTATAAGGATTACCTTCTTAATTAGGTAATTGAGTCTTGGCGTTGCTTGACGGTTTCCTCGAGGTCATTACCCGCAGGGCCGCGGGGGACCGCAGGCCTTCCCGGGCAGATCATGTTCCTTCTATTACTATGTGACAAAGACAGATGTACTTAATCATGAACAGTACGCAAACTTCACTGCGTAGGCTTTCATGGATCGGATCCGGTGGTTGTTACGGCTGTCCTTTGAACAAAGATCCAGCACATACTGATGATATATGATCGCGCTTAAGTGATTCTGGGTGGGTCGGATATAAGTCGGTGGGAGATCAGATGGTATGATAAGATTAGATGCAAAGTACGGCAAACGAAAATAGCCCTCCAACTATATGTAATCGGTAAATGGTTCCGTTATCGTTCCGTTAAGGTCGAGGATACATAGACTAATCACGACGGGACCGCTTTCATTGCCTAGTGCACGATTGCGGTACTAGCACTAGTGACATATGGTACTAGTTGTATTGAGAACTACCGAGGAGAGATGGTTGTTTTCATTATTTGGGATAGTTACTTTGTGGGAGAATAGCCGCCGCGTGTTCTTGGAAAGATGCTGAAATGGGAAAGATGCTACGAGGCGTGGCGTGCAGCCGGCGCGCTGAGACAGGCAGAGCCCTGCATTTACTTTACATTTTACATTGTCGCCTTGACTCAAACCACCTGCATCAGACATCCTTTCATCGCGTGTCCTCAAGACAAGTTTACTTAAATCTAGTCTACCACCATCTAACTACCATCAGCTCATATCACCTCCTGGGACTCTATCATGAGCACTCTTTCCATACCCATGCCCGCCTCCCATCAAGACTCAAGTTTCTATCATCAGATGTCATCCTGGTCTCGCTCTTCAACTTATCCTCGTCCCCGTGACGTCTTGGCTATAACAATGAACAATGTATCCATCCCCACCTATATGTCCGACTCGGTCCATCTCTCTCGCTTCCCAATCTCCTCCATACGTCCAGATGGTCCTCAAAACACTCCCTCAGTACCACCACATACTCCCCCAAAGCCAGTCTTTCCGCGGTATGACCCTCTTCATGTCCTCTGCCGTGAACCCACCCCACCTCCACCCACAAAGCAGTCTTTTGAATCGATTGTGCACACGCTACAGGTGGCACCCGGTATCCTAGCCAATGGCGTCCTTACTGTGATGCTTCCTGCTGTCCGCGAGTTTCTCAGCGCTGCTGCCAGAGCCCCACCTGCAGCGCCTGAACTCCCGAGCGACACCAGGGTATTAGCGCTTGCTGCCCTTGCCGTCTTCTACCGTCCGCTGCACCCTGCACATTGGGTGTTTTGGAACAAGGAGCAGAAGAAGAGGACTGCAGCAGTTGTGCAGAGTGTACTCGGTGAGTGCATTTGACATGTTCACTCTCATTCGGCCTCGTACACGATAATGTCTGGATTTCTGCGTCCCTGCCTTCGATGCACATCGATTCTACATTTCAATACAGTTTTGTCAACTATGTATTGACATCCGCTTCAGATACCACTCCCACTCCCATCATCTCGCCCATCGGCTGGATAGCCACCCAAGACAACCTATGGATTCTTGGTTCCCTGCAACACGCTTATTCTAGTGCGCTCTCTTCCCAACCTTGGTACACCGCCTACGTACCCTCTGAAAGTGAAACCCGTATGAGTCTCCGCAAGCGCAAACCCACCTTGTTGCAAGAACAAGCCCTCGAAGATGATGATGACGAACTCCTCGCGCTTCCTCCACCCAGGAAGCGCGCAAAGACGCGCAGGACTGCCACAGCTGCCAGGAGTCCGAGGAAACCGGAAGAATCCTCCCTTCCTGACAAGGCGGAGCCAGAGGAGGTGCCTGATGAAGTCGAAGCAGGCAACGCACTACTGGAACCGGAAATGGATATAATGCTAACGCGCGCGGCGAAGCGCGAGCTCATCGAAGCGCCCGTGCTAGCACAGGAAGCGGAGAAATCTGTCTCACCGGAGCCGCGTAGGAGCCAGCGGAAGAAAGGCGACTCGCCGGCGTCTTCGGCGACCACTCTCACGCGCACCCACTCGCGGGAGTTGTCGATGGAGTCTGTGGAGGGAGCTGAAAGTGCCGGAAGTAGCACTGTTTGCGAGGAGGAGCCAGACAAGGAGAAAGAAAAGAAGGGTCGTGTGGACAAGGCCGTTAAGCGTCTTGACAAGAACGAGGAGGAGGGAGATGACGAGGAAATAGAGGAGAAGAAACCTGCTCCCGCCAAGAGACCTCGCGCTTCAGCTTCTCGTGCGAAGCCGAGGTCTAGGGCCGCACCAAAGAAAACTACGAACACCAATACCTCTCCTGAGGAAGACGCGGAGAACGCAGATGATACTCCTGCGCCTCCTGCGCCCAAGCCGAAGTCGCGCTCCCGCCCAAGGACGCGCAGGCGATAGACTGGCTCGGATTCTGCTTGTTTCAACACAACGACGGATTTCTAACGCATTTGGATGACCGAACGACTATATCAAGAATTGCATCGAGCACCGGAGGACACCACACATCACATCGCATTATATCGCAGAAACATCGTGCTTCGTCACTGGTCGGGATAATCTGGCCTATCAAATCAGGATTAAAGGAAAGAAGGGAGGAAGCATTTCAAAGAATGAATGCATAGAATGTACTATCATCGATTTTCAGGACTGAGAAGGTTGTTGCATCATCAGTTCTTTTTTTTCTATTCTCTTCATTTTTCATTTTTTGTCCTCTCACCATCATTTCCCAAATTTCTTTTCTTCTTCCCCTTCCCCTTCATTTCCGATCTCACTGTGCACCACCACTGGATTTGTCACGGGCAAGACCCATCACTTGTTGTCGCACTGCTATCGTTTACATCCTTTCATCAGTGTCACCTCCATCACTATCATCACTTTTCTCGAATGTTTTTTCTCGGTTTGTTCTAACTTCTGTATGTATCATCACATTACCAGCAGGTGTGTACATGGCGAACTCGCCCTTGTAGCGGCAGAGATCCTGGTGTATATGTACGACTACTACTATAGATAGCTGGGAGCTCTGCTCAGACTGCACGGTTGCAGAGCTGAGAGGGAGGTGTATATTATTTTCTTGAACCTTGCGCTGTGGATCGGGTCATGATATAGATTCTGAGCGCTCAGCGTCGAGCTTACGCGACGCGCCACAACGACGCGGTGTGACAAGTCACGTGTGTGTGAGTGTGTCACATTTGGTGAATTTTGCTCCGACTTCAAGCTCCTCGATCGTGTGCCTTCGTTGCCATGGACGTCCACGACGATTCCTCCACGTATATCTCTCGAAGATCTTCATTAATACTCGCGATGCGATCATGCTGCGACCTTAATCCCTGCCGTGCGGGAACTCAAGTCTCTGATAGCCGCATCATGGTCATAATCATAACAGACTCGGAAGGCATACACTGTCACAGGCATACACTCACTATCTTCTAAACCGGGTGTTGCTGATGTATTATTGACGGCATGCTCACTGGAAGTCCACTCCAGTTAGCAATTTGCCTTGCTTTGTTTCAGACTACATTAAATTAACTTCCTACACAGTATTATCAATACTCCAATCCGGGACTCGGACTCGGACGTAAGCACATTCTTGTTGTTTCAATCACGCTCTGATATTCCACAGCGGATTGGGAATGCAACGCAGCTTTTGGGTCCGAGGTTGCCATCATCCATGTCTCCTTAGCGCAGCAGCTTCCTCTGTGGGCGACCATTCCTAATGTGACTCGGACACGGCTCATCTGAAATATCAGAATACTTGCTAGGATGGCGGATTGTCACTTCGGCAATCTACGCCGTGCCCGACATATCCCCGAATACCACACTGGGACTCTGAGCCTGAAAACTGGATTTGGTGGTTCTTACTTAACAGCGACTTGCGTTGGATATCCTGGTCGAGGGCACGGAACGCTTGGCTTTGGGTATATGCGCCTCGTGTCGCTGTGCGGCACGACACCGCGTACGTACTCAAGGCTCTTACTTAGTCCTCGACGCCATGGCGCTTCCATCCACTGGCTGCCCCGAAGTTTCTCAAGGCGGGACTACAAGATGGCTCCCTGTATTCTGGACCTTTGTGGAATCGTAGAACGTCATCGCGCCCTCCTTCCAGCTAACTTTCCCGTGGAAGAATAGATATGCCGTAGGCTGCTATCACCGCCTTGCATCGTGCTTTGAATTCGCCCAAGACGCCTCGAAAAGCACCGTTCTCGTCATCGTGTACGGCATGCATATACCCACGTTCATCAGCATCCCGCTCTCCACGAATGATGCCATGGTGCCTGTTCTTATCCCCCATGATGACGTGGCCGCATATTTAACTAGGCCGCAAAGGTAACAGGACCGCGCGCCAGATGCTCGTACATAAAGCTTCGGCCCCTCTGGTTCTATGACCGTGACACACTAAAACGAGCTGCCATGATCCAAATGGATTCATTTGCCCACGCATCGTTATCCATCCCAGCCGCCGCCCATCACGATGTCGTGCCGAACGTGGAATACCTCGCGGTTCTCGAACGTTTTCGCAAGCCTTGGTCCTACCGAAGAGCGTCGTTCCATGGCATCATGGGAGCTCTTGTATCGCTGGTTTCTCATCATTATCAGGACACCACTTTCCATTACCAAATCCACAAACCTAGATGGCCCTTCATTAACGTTCGGCCGTTCCTGCACCAAACAATCGATTCTCATTCTAGCATAATACCGCAACGCCGAAATTTCTGGAAACGTTTCGCCTGGCCTTGTATTTAGCTTAACGAAGCGGCCGTCAAACGTTCTTGCCGCTATTAAACTCTTATCTGGACCTATCGATTTACGGCATGATTCCCAGCAATCAAGGTTACGTGTCTGGTGCGGAGATCTTATCTGCTGTCTTGTCCCCATTCCATACTGGACGTTTCACGTTGACATCCTGATACAGTCTTATGCCTGCCCCTTGACGTCTACATGTTGTCTGGCCCTTCAATGAGCCGGCCTTGGCACGATGAAGATGTGTGCTGCGGTTGCGCCGCAAAGAAGATTGCCTTACGTTTCCTTCGAATTCCTTCTCCTGGGTCACGAGACAGCCGATTGTCTTGCTCAATTTAGTTCAGATTCAAATTTACTCTTGGTCTTTCTCGATATCTGCATATTATTGGATATTCCATTGACATGCATCTCTTCGTCTCGGTTGGCCTCGGTTGACATGCATCGCAGAATGGAAGCCTCGAAGACTCCTTATCCTCATTGGTCCACAGTGGCGACGGAACCAAACGCTCGTTTATCTCGACGCAGATAAAGCCAGGAGATAAGGATATGTGCCGTCTGCCGATGAGCTTTGCGTATCCAACCCGGCAGAAACGAGGAACGAACGGCGGATGATAACAGCGATAACGTTCTGCCACATCCACAACTCCATTGGACTCAACATGCACGATGACATGGATCTGTCATATCTGGATGTGTAACGTTGCGTGTGCAATTACATGTAACAACTAATTGCATGACACCCAAGAACCTCCGCGAACGTCTCCCGCGAAACTCGGCGGGAAAACGCATTACTCGGCACCTGCTTCGAGCGAATAGGCTAGGCGTAATGTACGGCAGAGCCAACCGCCGGTTTCAAATTAGCCCGACCCATATTAACGCGAAAACCATTCATGCGCCAGTCTATCCGCGGACCCCTAAGAGATATGGAATTCACCGACAGCGATGTACCGTTTCAGTCGCAATTTCCGCTCGCCGCATGGTAAGTTTCGTGGTCGGTGCTCAGCGACGCGAGGAATATTCCGCTGCAAACGTTCAGTGGCAGTTGGGGAGATTGGATCACCCCCGCGCCTACCGGTACCGCCGGCGACTCGAATATCCCACGGCACTGCAAACATATGCTATGATCGCGGTCACCAAATTCATCTCCACCGTGGTTAGCTGTGCTTGGCGATCAAAGCTTGGACCCACACTTCTGTGAAGTGTTCGAGAGTGTTCGAGGACTAACGTCTACCAAGGCCCGGACGAACTACTCATGGAAGCAAAACCATCGCACTGGAGGAACGGGTCCGCCCGTGAACTTCTCGGTTTGGAACGACGCTTTGATGAAAGTATAACAGCGGCATCTTCCCTCTTCGCACAAGTGGTAAGTCCATGGATGGGAAGGGACTGGACTGGTGCTAGCGCTGATAGTCCGGTGGTAAGTGGCATCACACTCGGTGTATCTAGGCTACAGGACGTTCAAGGATTACCCGGCAATGGTCTCAAGTATTCTCCCGACATTATTCGTGGAACTATTTGGGGCACCTTTGCTAGGTTAGATTCGGCACCATTTGAGCACCATGATATGAAGTCACGTTGAGATTGAGTGCCCTTCGATCGACCTACCGCCGCGGGAGAATAGCGAGGTTTGGATATCAATAGCGAGCCAATTACTTGATTTTAAATCAAATGCCCACGCACGTATCACACTCCTTCAAATCGAACAAGAAATCTGCCTAGCGGCGTTAAATGTATGTGGGGTTGGATTATGCATACGTCGAAACAGATACTGACTGTCTTGTGAGCGCCAGAAAGGCCAGTGGGCGGCGAACCGCGCGGAATTGCAGGGCATCACCGGTGCGGTAGGTTCTTTCAATTTCGCTTAGATGAGATTGGCACGATAAGTCGGACCAGGCTCCCAGCACTGACTTACTTCTTGTATAAAACCACGCCGTCAACCCCCCTGAATGCTAAGTTAAAGATTTGAGGACATACCATTCATCACCCTATCGTTATTTCGGAATCCTATGTAACGTTTTGCCCATAGAAGGAACGACGGAGACCTTTTATGGTGCTCCCAGGGGAGATTACGTGCTCTTGTGACCACCAGGTGGTATGTGGTACTTGGCGCGGATCGAACGATATTTCGGTACGCATGCATGGTCGATATATATATATATATATCGAGGACAATCCGTGCTATTTTTCTCAGAGTGTGTCGTTAGATCTGGACTCAAGATGTTCCTGAACCAGAACATGCTACCAAAAGTAGGCGACGTACCGCGTAGGTAGGCGAGACATGTGTAAATGAAGTTCCTTGATCAATGACGAACAACAAGGAAGAGTTATGATTCAGAGAGCGGGTTTGGAGTTGATTAAAGGGCGGGGAAGTTAGGGATAAGTAGATGAATGGATGCAAGGCGGTTAATTACGTCGAGCTCCATAGATGGAGGGCCGCGAAAGGCGTGGCAAATAGATCAACGGTTGGTGAACCTTGCAATTGACAGACTTCGCGAATTTGGCAGTTCTCAGCCTCTCCTAGCCCGAAAGTTAGGATCACCGAAAGTGGAGATGGAATTTTGGCAAGACCCGGAATCTGAATGAACGTGTTGGCTGTGGAGATATAAACGTGCGGTCCACTGTCTCACTCTACATGTGCATCCCACATGACCCTATCGCCGTTGACAGCGGTGTACTGAGTAGTTGGTAGTTATCCCCCCCCTACATCGTCCTCGGGAAATGTGAGCCCCGGGAACCGAAAGGAAGGGGGTTACTTGAGTTAATATTTTGGGTGGACGGTGGATGACCCGATGAGGCTATACATGGCGTAACTTGTCAGGCTCTACAACACACACAACGACTATGAAGCACGTCTACTACTGCTGTACATCCGTAGTTATATTACTAGCTAGTAAAATAAGTGACATATAATAGTTTTGAATGAAAAAGGGACGAATGGTTTAGCTGTGCTTAACTATAAGCGCTGTGACCTGGCAAGGCATTACCAAATTCTGCTTCCGTCTTAGCGGGTCACCCAAACTCACTCAGTCATTGTTGCGCTGGCCACCGCTTTCTCTCTTCCCACTAACATCATCTCCCTTTTCTCAATGTTCTCCCAGCCGTCTTCCTCGTCGGCTTCTTCTTCATCTTCTATTCAAAAGATGAAGAAACGGTAAGTTAACTTGTTAGCCTCATGCTCCAACATTTCTCACCCTTCCTCATCGTATCTCTTCAGTAGATGGACGCGAGAGCAATTGCTGAATAGTCTTGAGGTCATTTACTTTTCTCATCTACTAATTTATTCATCCTAATTTATTGTTTCATTCTAGATCTTGGGTCCTCTAGCAGCACCGCTGCCACCAGACCTACCTCCATCACCTCCCGCTTCCCGGTCAAACTCCCTTTCCCCACCCAAGAGAAAGCATGAGTCAACTCAGGAATCCGATGTAGTAAAGCGTTCTCGTCTCACTGGGCTACCAGAGAAGCCCTCATCACATCACCATCATCATTACCACCCACCAGCACCACCGCCTCCACCTCCTCAGCAACCCATCAGGTCCTCAAACCAAGTTCCTTCATTCAACTTGCGTTCTGAGCCATCAGAGGATGGTGAAGTACGAGAAGATACCAATGCCGTGACTACCCGGGGTCCGGCGCCTGCAGTTCTCTCAACCACTGTGCCTGTGCGGCGTCCGCGGCGTGGTCGTCCAGCACCTGCCTCATTCGATGAAATGCATGATATATATCACAAGTACGGTAGAATGCTCAAGTATTCAGGCGATGCTCGCTTCTGGTCCACATATCCTGCCACACACAAGGAGTATCGTCCTTTGGCTAACCCACCCCCTCCCAACTCTCCATATCATAAACATGGAGGCCTCATAGCCCGCCTAGAGCTGGTAGATGCACTTGTCTGCTTCACCTACTCATTGTGGAGCAAGGATTTCAGCAGAAAATCTTGCTTCCGTGAGACTTGGGCTACAATCGAGGCATTCCTTGGCTGGTGTAAAAACAAATGGATCGCTGAGCTTGATACCATTGGCGATCGTGAAAAAGCCCTCTTGGGCTTGATGTAAGCATACCCTTGCTGTGGTTTTCTGTTTCGCTCACACATTTAACGCAAACAGCTGGATGATTGAAGGATTCATCCACGGGCGCAAGTTCTTCTTTTCAGCCAAGATGGTCATAGAACCTGAAATGGAACGCACATGGGCGAAAATGAAGGCTGACATGGCAGCACTCAGCAAGGAGGCGGAGAAAGCGGAGATGAACGGCATGGTGGGCAGCGCAGGGCAGCTATCCCTCGGCTCACAGCCGACACCACCAATGCTTCCTTCTCCTGCAAGCATAGCTCCTGCTAATAGCGCGAACTCCACGCCCATAAACAGCAGTGCGAGCGGCACTCCGAACGCGAGCTCCTCCTCTAGCAATACCAGTCTGGCCAACTCGTCCGCTCCATCGCGGCCAGCACCTCCAATCTCTACCGCACTCCCGCAGTATATGCACGGTCTTCTGCCTCAGACAACCAAGGGACAACCCGCGAGCTACAATATGGTCGAGGCAGCTGCTAAGGCAACAGCGACCATTGGTCCCGTGGTGACGTATTCCGTCAAAGAGTTGTCAGGTGGTGTAATGGCCGCGGGATACTGTATGGAGTATGCTCAACGCACTCTGACCCTGCCCATACTGGCACGCCATTATCCCACGACATTCGCCCGAATGATGAGCTCAAGTCTAACTGCGCACGAAGAGCATGAGCCTGACATCGAAGATGAAGAAGGGGAACTGTTCTGGCCTGGCCAGTGTGTAACCGGAGAGGGTCTCGGTTGGGTTTGCCTGATGGGTAAAGCCATGATCAAGGAATTTGGTCGTGATATTGGTTATCTCGGACTCGCTGGCGTTGTCCCCAAGCCCGCTCCTGGACCGATTTCAGGCGACTCGTCCCGACATGCGTCCGTGCTCCGGTAGCAGGCCATACCATTCCACACGCGCGGTTCTCATTTATTATCGACATCATCAACTGGAGTCACGATTTTACTTACTATCCATGGAAGATCTTGGATGGATTTTCTCAGATTTTCTTGGAATTCTGCACAAGGTTTTCAAGCCTTTCCGATCACTCGCCCTATCGCGCCAGCCATCCTCTATGGACGTTGCCTGCGCTCTAGCGAACGCGTCCTACCCTTCGTAGCACTAAACCTGCTGCACGCCCAGTGCATTTAGCGCTCTCAACATTAGATCGAACTTGTATTATTACTCATATCACTTGTCATCGATATTACCTCTGCCCTGGCCTGCCGAGACCGTCCCTTTCCCTACCGTCACTACCCGCATGCTGGTCTGCCGACTCTTGTTCTTTGGGTCTAGAGGATGTGCTAATTGCATCATCACCGCCACCTGCATTCTCATCCCACCGCCTTTTAGCACTGGCCTCTCATCCCTTGTATTTATTCCGATCTATACGAGTCCGTCCGTCGTCTCTCCTTTTCTCTGCTGTTTGTGAAGGAACCAAAACGTACATATGTACTTTTACTATTTTATCGAGTATCGTCAAAGACAGGACGCTCGAGGCTGAGACAGCTTGGATACCTGCGCCCCATGTATACTTCATTTTCTATCCTTCATGGGGTTGAGAATTACTCTGCTTGTTTGTACACCTAATTCGATTTCCTGCATTTTCCTTGGATGCGCGCGCAGAATTCTTCCGTGATCCTAGGTCCGATCCATGTGAGCTAACCGCCAGAAGCGGTGTTGGTTTCAGATGCAAGGCACATAGTTCAAACGTTAACTCTCAAGGGGGGTTCCATGTCATTGTGGGAATTAGCCACCATTCCATACGTATATGGTTGATGCGGGATCATGCGTGTGCATAATGTCATCGGGGTTAACATACACATATAACAGCATGGGTGCATGAGCGTAGCGTTGATAGTGAGGCAGAAAAAAGGAATATCCAGAAGCCCATAGCAGTCACACCTGGACCGCGCAGGTCCTCCCAAGTACGTGAATAGTGGGTTTCACCGGTTGGACTTGGCAACACGCTCGAGCTCGTCCTTTTTCTGTAAAATGAAATCGCGGAAATGAGGTCATGATCGCTGACAGAAGATATTGGTTTACCTTAATGGCGTACGAGTTCGAGGAACCCTTGGCGGCGTTGATGAGTTCATCAGCAAGGCACTCGGCGATGGATTTTACGTTGCGGAAGGCAGACTCCCGCGTCTGATGTCAAGTCAGGTGAGCAAAAATAATCATGAAGGTCGGGACAAGCTTACGCCGATGGTCAGGAGAGCGATGGCCTGGTTGACTCTCCGCAGGGGTGAGACATCGACGGCTTGACGACGGACAGTACCCTGGGAGCCAATACGGGTGGAGTCTTCGCGAGGGCCGGTGTTGACGATGGCATCAACGAGAATCTATATATTGATCAGCATCTTGAGTTGTGTAGCTGCTTCTGCCCGACAGACCTGGATGGGGTTCTGGTCGGTGAGGAGGTGAATAATCTCGAATGCATGTGCAACAATGCGGACAGCCATAAGCTTCTTGCCGTTGTTGCGGCCCTTCATCATCAAACTACAGCCAAACGCTCAGTGTCTTCACCTTTGTGGAAGGATCTTTGGCGCACCTGTCAACCAATCGTTCGACGATGGGCATTTGTGCCTTCTTGAACTGCTTTTTGGCATAACGGCCAGCAGTGTGAGGCAGGTAAACGGCGTGGCGGACTTGGATGTAGTCCGTGAGGGAAATGTCCTTTACTTCGACACTGAACCGAAATCATATCAATATAAGGACGGTCCCCCGACAATTTAAAGTCGAAACGTACTCCTGGGTGTCCCACTTTCCAAACAACTTAATTTCCTGACCGAGCCTGGAGACGTCCTTGGGAAGGGTGGTGGCCATTTTTAGGTGCTTGAGGGATCTTGATGCTAGGTGACCTTAGACCTTTTGCGCGACGATGAGCGGCTGTTTGCTCCTGTTGTGCCACCATGGGAGAATAAGGTTTACCAGCCTTCCGGCAAAGGCCGAGAACTGTACAGTTCCAACCTATGCGTAACTCGCTTCAACCTCGTGATGGCAATCATGTTCAGACTCCATGGTCACTGGTGTGACTTTAATTCTTCGAAAACTTTTTTGCCGATGCGCCTGATCCGGGTAGTTGACATGATTTCAGATCGGTTGTCGTCCACATGTCGTCCGCAAAATTTACTTTGGACTGTTTACCGTGTACTTTCTGAACAATGCCCCGACTAGTGATCCGAGCGGATTTGTCTGATAGATATGCTCTACTTCGAATCACATACCGAAGCGTTGTTACTCCGTTAAACTCCTTGGCTCCTGGTGCGTACTAAGTACAACATCATGTTTGCGTCGATGGGGGCAGTGTCGGCGGAGTCACGTCATTGCCTTTAATTAATCAATTTGATCTTGCATAGTGTGGTACCTGCTGCAACTATGCTACGGATCTGGTGTTCGGCATTTCTGTTTTGATTGGCTTCATCATGATACGTCTAAGTTGCAACCAACCTCATCGCCAATACCAAACTCGCATCCACTACCTTGACGACTTCGCTCTTACTCGAACTACGCGAGAGAGAGAGCACCCAACGTCTCACATAGCTTCTTGGTATGTTTTACTTTATTAAAAAGTTCAACATCTGAACGGATAAACAGTACATCATATTTCATGAAGTGAGATGTAGGCACAGTCGGCCTTAAACACGGAAGCCTCACCTTCTCTATCATATCACCGATTAGGATAAAAGGAGTGTGCTGGATTTACGTCATATCGTAGTGACTTTGTGTTACGCTACTTAACGTTCGGGAACCGCTTTCGTTCGTTCGTTCGTTCGCTCGTGTCGGTTTGGTCTGAAACTGACCTGAAACAAACGCTCTTACGGACTCTATTGTCACTTGGGCGAAACATGGATACCGCAAACAGACCCTTAGTAAAGCTTTGCGATGCAGATATTACCTTCTACTTAAGTATTAATTGTTGACTTCCAGAAGCATGCGGACCCGATCAAGTTGGCCCGGTGTCCTTTCCCCAGAACTACTAATACCAACATCCCTCGCCTTTTAAGGTCCCTGCGAGATAGTGGTCTCTTCAACAGACTTTGGCTCCAGCGAGACACCCCCTCCCCCTTTCACACGTCCTGTACCCAGTATAAACCATGTCTGACGCGGATGACATACAAATTTTTGTGAATGTCGCTCATAGTGTGTGGATTACTCGTATTTGCCAGTGTGAGTATTAGACGTGCTTCGGTCGACATTTCCACTTACCTTTTGATATAGTGTCTCCTTGTATCATCTTCGCTTATGATTACTGTATGTCCCACTTTCGTATCAAGAGCCGTATGTGCTGACGCTGACACTTGTGGTCAGTGCTCACGCTCGATCGAGAGGTGCTGTGATGTTCATCATTGTGTAGTTCAACTCTCTCATTCCTACATTAGGTTGAATTCATATGGGTCAGTCTTCGTCAAGTATCTGCAGGTCTGGCTTGCTAAAGGCCAATGTCATAGAATCGGCCTATAACAAAGTGCAACATACTATATATCATTGTAAGGTTTCTCCCATGCTTGTAGAATGCGTTTGAACGACAATCAGGCGAGATTTGGTGGCGGTACAATTCTCATGTGAGTTCTTGCTTGTTGAAAATGAAGAATAAAGCCGCTGACTTCCTTCCTAGTCTCTCTGCCGCAGGTGGTCGCAATTTATCTCGGGCTCGAATCGCCGCTGACTGACTTTCTACTCACCAGCATCTATGAGCGAAAATACTTCTACAAAGGTATGTTTCTCATCAGCTCACATCTACCCCACATCTGGAACTGAACCCTTTCAGTTGTAAGTTGTACATTATGAACATCGACATTGCATCAACTGTTCATTAACACAAAAACAATACCATTAGCTGTGAGCAGGAATTTCTAGCAATAAGCTCAAGTCTGATATGGATCTCCAGGTGAATTCTTCCTAACATTTCAAGGGTGGGCCAGTTTTGGTGTCCTTTGGGCAGTTCAGCGTAAGACATATTCTTGCAAGCAGACGAGAGCACTTACCATTGCACAGTCATATTGCAACTCCGACTGTACGCTCTGTACAGTCGATCTCAAAAAATTCTAATTGCAATGGCGATCGGTTTTGCGATGGAGGTAATACTCATGTCCTACTTTTTAGCGATAGGCACGGCAGAGAATATCAGTGAGTCTCCACATCCGCAATGAATCGCTCTGAAACTGACATTGTTTCCTAGTTACAAATGAGCCACTGCCGGGCATCAGATTCTGTGCCGTCGCGCAATCATCACCTGTGGTTGCGGACGTATGGCTGCCCGATATTGTTTTCGGAGCATTTCTGTTCCTGCTTGCAGCCTGGATTGGTTTCAAGAACGGGAGATTCGACTTCAACATCTACCACATGGAAAGAAAAACCCTTACAGACGCTCTTGTGTACGGCAACGTCCATTACTTTTTATGGTAAGTAGGGTCCATTATACCCACGATGCATTGTTATCATTGCATCTGATAGCATACTCATCGCAAACACTGTGAACGCGGGAATTTGGCAAGGGTTAGGGGTAGGTCTAAACTCCAAAGTTGTGCTCCTTTAACTTATCACTCAAACAGTATAGCTGGTTTGAAGTTCCAGAGGGGTTCGCGGCTGTCATTGAAGTCATCCTTGGATGTCGGATGGTGCTGGACCTTAGATCAGCAGCTGAAGGCTTGCATATAGTGGACTCATTCCGACTCGGAGAGATTCTTGGTGCTAGGGATCTAGAGGGTCCGTGAACATCTTCGCGGCCAGCACCTAAGAGTTCAACGCTTCGCAAGGTCAACACCAACTCACCCAAGAAATTGAGGCAGCGTCTCCAACTAGTTCTAGGGAAAGCTCTCGCGCTCTCTCCGAGGGAGGAAACAAGACACGTGTCTGATGTAACAATCTGTTTCCTACCCAATCGACTAGATACTTATGCACGACTTCGATAGAAAGTCTATCAATCCCCTCGATACACCACATTTGTTGTCTTTTTGCAGTACGAGCATCAAGGTCTCAGCTACACGGGCATTCAAAGTGATTGCCTCCTAATTGGAGGTAACCGCGAGGGGGCGAAATGCACGATAAATCAGTCCCTCTCAATAATGTTGATCGTGAGGGGTAGGGTGGGGTAGGGAATTAATTAATCTAGTACATTCTTACAGATCTGCCCTAAAATTTGGCTCTCCTGAGCTCACCGAGCTTTCGATGTTGGGAACGTTCAATGGCACTATGTAAAGTTGTAAATCTTATTACCACAGCACAAATTAAGTATGATTTTGATTCGAGCCCTACGTGCAGTGTTTCTGCTTCATAGTACTTGGGGTAGCAGTTCAAGGGGAGAATTATTAACATATCATGATCATATGAATTACCAGAATATAGCCTAAATTCGACCCGGTTGCGGGTGAATGCCACCAAACAATTCAATGAGGTCTAGAGCTTACTTAGAAGTCTGACATGTTGTCGAGAACCAGACACGTACCTTGCAATCTAGCTTCCTTCTTTTGCCTTTGAGTCTCCACACGTTTGATTCCAGAAAGCGCCTAAACGTGCGAGCAGTGAAGCATGTCCTAGCCAGAAATATGGATATTAGCACTTGCCTGTTGAATTAGAAGCTTCTTTTTCTCTTGTATCTCAAGGACCTGATTGAAATGATCAGAGAGATAAAGAACTCAATTCCACGAACGTACTTTGGACTCGACAGTGTTCTCCGCGATCAGCTGGTAAACGTGAACTGGTCGCTTTTGTCCGATACTACTCCAAGTCAGCTCGGTAGAGGGCAGAAGGCAGGTGCCGCGGCTCACCGATTGCATCTGTCAATTGCTTGACTTTCAATACCCTCCTATTGTGTGCGTCAAGTCGTTGCTATGGAAGAACGAACTGAATAACTTGCCTGCCACCATCTAAACACGATGGGATAAGGTCAGTTCCCTGGAGTAAGCCATCATGGAGAAACGCACGGGTCCATCCTACGTTGTCAGTTGAGTTTAGAGTTACAGCGATCAGAATACATCACTTACAAGAAGACATTGTTGGCTGCGGTGAGGTTCAGACCTAATGCCCCAGCTTTCAAGGAAATCAACATCACTCTGGGGATCCTGATTCCGAAAGCGGAGCCATCGAATCTAGTTTTCTGACTAGCTGCTAGGCCGTATCTTGCTTTCGCTTTACCTTTATTCCTGGGCTTCGACTTTCCCTTCCCTTTCTTGGCCCTGGTAGAAATGTCCTCCTCAAAGTCGTTATCATCATCATCAGCGTCATCTACGATGAAGCTGGAATCATCGTCCTCAAGAAGGGCATCCTCTTCCGCTAGGGTTGTTTGCATCGACGTATGTCTTCTGCGTGGCGGAAGAGGTGTCTCGGAGTCAACCGCCAGGTCGTCTTCAGCTTCAAGTAGAATAGAGAATTGCTCAAGGGCCTCTTGCCGTCGCCTTGCTGACAGCCGACCGTCGAACCGCACATATGGAATGCTACAGCGCAATTAACTTAGCAGGTGATTAGTAGTGAGATCATACCCATGTTCCTCAAAGGCCTCGGCGATCTAGATGCATTGATATGAGCATGGTTGCAACCCATCGAGGCTTGAAACGCACCTTGTCCAGAAATGAAGTGAATTGAGAAAAAACAAGGCTCTTCTGGTCGCTAGGGATAAGTTGGAGGACATGGATCAACTGATCAATCTTTGCAGATGATCCTGTTCGGAGTGTGCTATCGTGAGTTTCGTGCTCATCATGACGAACAGGTGCTTGAGTAAGTTCAGTGGGAGGTGGTGGCTCTATTAAATCACCCATTTTAAGGGTACGACGATCCTAGAGGTATGTCAGTAAACCGAAGATTGCCATGGACTCGCTGTACCATTGGGCATTTCGGGTCTCTGGCTATCACTTCAGAAATGCTTGGGAAATTAAATCAGAATACTGCCACTGTCAAGCAGTATCACGAATCCTGACCATGCAAGACAGAAAGGGTGGGCACAGGCCGTGATCCTAGGATCATCGAGGACACTGAAGCAGATAGGGCACTCTTCGTTGTCTTCAATAGCTTGCGCGAGGAGAGACTGCAGACAGTGCCTCTGATCTTGAGTAATCGGAAGAGCGACATGTGCAGATTCTTCTTTATCCTCTGCAGCGCGAAGTTGTTCCAGGTAGTTCGGAGGAAGAAGGCCTGGGTGTAGAGCTACTTGTCGTAGCCGTGTTAGCATACTAAGGACATTTGTCGTGAACTATCAGGAGAACCCAGGTTAACACAGTTGTCCTAGTGATCGGAAGATACTTACCGTAGCGGTCATTCCTCCTTGCTGGTTCAGGATTTTCTCCACACGCTGCTGAGAAACTGATACAATGGCGTCATAGAGGGCCTAGACGACATTCAGTGTGGACGATATCACAACAGAGAAAATCTCACTCGTGCTTCATCTCCTAATGCAACCGGAATGACAGTCATGTCGACCTAAGACGAAATTTAGAACCGTTATACATTTTGGAGCAAAAAGTGGTCATCACTACCGGAGGTAAAGGCACAAGTGGCTTCCCTTCGGTGTCTTGCATCTACGACATCCAAGTTTGATCAGAGCTGCCCATCTGCAGTCTGCGGTACCTTACCTCCTTGGTACGACGGATACAAATGTGGCTCATCAAAGCCTGCGACCGCAGTAATCAGTAGGATTTAACATGCTGGTGCGTAGACTACTTACTCGCAGCAGTTCTGCGCCGGAGGGATCTCCTTCTTTCAGAGGACGCAGGACCAGGCGCTTATAAAAGTCCTCGTTGTCAAGTGGATGGCAAATCTGAAGGAAAGTCAAGATAGACCCCAGATCCTGCAGGTTTGGTTTAGTCATTAGTCTCTCCCCAGTTTGCCGGAACACACCCTTGGGGAATTGATCTGAAAACATGGTATTGTAAATGAAGCATTTGTTCAAGATTTTGTGCACTTACGATGGGGGTGCCAGACAATGCCCATCTACGCTGGGCTGTAAGTTTGCAAACAGCTTTGGCCATCTTGGTTTTCGGATTACGAATCGTGTGTCCTTCGTCGAGAATGACTCGCTAATCAAAGGCAGGTATGTCACGCCTTGCGTTCATGCAATCCTTCACTCACCTTCCACTTCACGGCGAACAGCGCCCTCTCGACCTTCTTTTTCTTCTTAGATGGTCCATCACCAACTACGGATGCAGAAACGTCAGCCTCTCCGGCGACCGTCTGGTACGTTGTGATGACGACATCATACTGCAAGAGTTGTTCTGGTGTCATGTCGCGAGTTGCGCCATAGTAGACACAACTCGACATTGCGCCCCTGACACAATGTTCTTCAATTTGTTTTTCCCAGTTAGACACGACAGAAAGTGGAGCGACTGGTACCCATTGTCAATAGAAAGACCCTCGAAGGAGAAAGCAAACGACGTCACCAATAAGCGTGCTCTTCGAATGATCCTTGGGAATGTCCTTCTTAGTTGCAAGAATGAGAGCCAGCATGGTAAGCGTTTTACCCTGCACGCAAGCTTAGCGTCGCTTCCAAGTGTTTAAGAATATTGACTGACCAGCCCCATGCTGTCTGCAAGGATGGCACCGCGACCGAGCAGAGGAGGGGATGATATTGCTTGAGGAGTTTTTGTTGCAACTACCCACACCGATGAGCACAGCACAACAAGTGATGTCACATACTCAACTGTTGAAGTAATAGGGCTGATATTCTTGAGTAACCGACTGAATGATTAGGAGAAGAAGCGGAATAACTCACCTTTGAGCCATCTTTTTTGTACTGCCAAAACTGAACTGGCTTGTCGGACTCCTTGGTCGGCAAAGACGGGTATTCATGGTCGATGCACCACTGCAGCGCTTGGCTCTGCATACGAGAATCAAGTAAATGAAAACTACATGGACGACATCACCCACCTGGTGCTTGAGTAAATCAACAACTAAGTCACCACTGGCGACGCCGGGGGGATCGGGATGTATCGGAAGGTTGAGAATGTCGTCGACAGAACATAACGCATCCAGGAGAGAGGCACGTCTTCCCTCGTCATCCACTTTCTCCATATTACCCAGCATCTGTTTGAGCTCTGCTGCTTTTTGCAGAGCTTCTTGCTGCGCCTCTTGCTGCTTTCTCATAGCCTCTTGCTGGGCCTTAGATGTGGCTCCGCGTCTTTGGCTTGAAAACGGCTGAGATGCATAAGATGTGCCTGCCACTGCAGGCGCAGCTGCATATCTAGAAGAGGGTATTTGTGCAGTCGCACCCCCTGTTCCACGAGGTGCAAACCCGCGCTGATGAGGAGTAGCCCAAATTAGCTGGGGCTCTGGCTGGTCTCTTTTATCAGACGAGCCATAAATCTTCAGTGTCCTGCGAGTAGTGAGTACTCTTCCGGTACATTAGATGTAGCAGATTCTTACATCGAGAGTGAGTAGCTAAATCCAGACACTGGGCGTTTGATTGTTTCAGAATCTTCGCTGAGTCATATACACGAAACTTACAGTTTCCTTCGTGCATCACACCTTCGATGGTGATCGCACCGCGATCCAACAAAGGGGCTAGCTTCGCAGCCACCTGCTTCGATATATGCCCAACCTGAGTACCCCCAATGTTCATGACCTGGATGGCATTCCTGGAGCAGTATTAGCCTTCAACTTGATGTCGATACAAAACCAGAAATACCTGTCATATTTGTTATGCGGCTCTCTAATCAGCCGGACTTCCTCCCCAGCACCAACGAGGCCTTGGAACGCCCCGTCAATTGATAAATATGCGAGAAAATACGTGAAAACACACCCTTGTAGTATTGCACACCGACAATACTAGAACTCATGGAGCAATACAGGACATCTACAGGGTCGGGCTCGATAATGGTGACTTCATCATCCTCATCTTGTATGATAGAACGAACAGTGGTGGTTCGTATGGTCGGCCTTGCAGAGCTCAGCTGGGAGTTTGTATGTGCTGCCTGCGTAAATGTAGCTTTGCGCTTTTTCTGACTCAGAGCAGGCGCCTGGGAGGTGGAAGGTGTAACATGAGCCACATTAGGGGTAGCTGTCTTGGCGGTCAAAGGAACATCTGCTGGATCTACTCTTTGGTTTGCAATCGCTCGCCGAACCTTTGCTTGATCCTCCGGACTGAGGAAGTTAATACATGCTCCACGTGCACACCTTGGTGAACCTCTTACCGAGTGTTACCAAAGCCTATGATTGTACTTTGGTCCACTACTGCAAGACTTCTCAAGATATCCAGAGTGACACATCCCCTGTGAATCTTTATAGTCAGCATAGCATCCGGCAACACACCTGGGTAAATAGAAGCAACACTTACCAATGACGCCAAGCAACTGTTTCACCATATTCTCCTGGAACAAGTTGCCCATATCTCAAACTTCCGACCTGGATTGGGGAGCCATTGCAAGGAGCGGGGCCCTTGCAAACTGACCGGGAGCTTCTACTATACTAAGCTCCTATAAGCCGCGTTGTCAGCATAAAAACGACGTAAATGCTCACACCGATAGAATGTTTTGGCGACGCCATTGCCAGTGACCACGTATGTGCCTTCTGTACTAGCTTCTAACTCTCTGTCCGTGTCACGTCGCGGTGAAGAAACGCGGTCTGTTTGCACGGCTTTGGCGTCGACACCGCGACGCGACGCGCCACTGATTACGTGATACGCGCTACTTGTCTCCTACCATACCCGTCGCCCGAGTAAACGCTAACTCCAAAGAAATGGTTCAATTCGATCCAAACGTGCGCATGGGAAGTCCAAGCAGTCTTCCATACGATCCAGACCAAGATGCCGCTGAAAAACGCGACATTCGGAAAAAGTATCGTGCTCTTGAAAAGAGGACAGGAGGTCCGTGGCCGGCGCTACTCCGGATGCGCTAGAAGCTCATTGTCGCGGTCTCTTTGCACCAGAACAACTTCGCCCACAAGATATAAGGGCCGCCGAACTCGTTGAACAAGTCGAAGAAGCGGATGAACTATTTCAAAAAGGTGTGTCTTCTGTCATTTTCCGTTGTTATGTAACACGAGACACTTTCAGTGAAAAATCCAACCGAGGCTACCCTCGACTCCACTGTACTTCGGAATGTATCGAGTATCAGTGCGCAGAAGGCCCGTGCAATGAAGCTTGGCTCTGCTGCCTTCGATATTGATGACTTCGTTTCCAAACTTGCTATATTCATGGGCGGTAGGCACGAGCTTGCAGACGATGCCTCGGAATTAGATGACATTGGTGACTCCGTAATGGACTGGGAGAAAGTTGGTCGGAGGGCACTCGCAAAGAGCAGAAGGGTTCCAGTGATGGGATTCATGTTGGTTATTTTCCCAAATTCAGACTACGCACTCAGCCCACTGCAGGCTTGGACCTCTTTCGGTAGAACAAAAGAAGCGTGCCACAGTCAAACGCGCCAGACTTGAGAAGAGCAACGAAGAAGAACGCAGACCTCAGGAGATCAAAGAAGAAGACATTCAACGTTCAGAGAACGAAACCACGAAGAACGTGATCAAGGTAGGTTTAAAGGAGCCTCCTCAGTCCATTGCATAAAGTCTTCTCCTAGATCAGAGAAATCCTTGAAGAGTCTGGCTCTGTGAACCTCTTCCGCTTCGTAGTCAACCCCAACGACTTCGCACAATCAGTTGAAAACATATTTTACCTCTCGTTCCTCATTCGAGATGGGCTTTGTGCCCTTGAAATTGACGACCATGGGGAACCAATCATATGTGAGCGCTGCCTCGCCCATACCGGTTGTTAGCTCACAAATTGCAGTCTTGTGCGAAGCGCCTAGTGCACAAGACCGCGCAGATGGGGTAACCTGCCACCAAATAGTGATGGAGTTTGACATGGCTACATGGAAGGTAAATATCCCGTGTTTTTGTCGGTTCGCGCTCATTTTATCTGGTAAATAGCGTGCGATAGAAGTTTTTGAGATCACTGAGTCGATGATACCTCAGAGACCAGCAGCTAAGACGAGACTGGGAGGGAAATGGTACGGCTGAGATTTGAACAAGGTTGTGTTTTTTTGAAGTAGATTATACCTGTTAATCTTTCCCAGTACTGTAAAATTATATTTGTGAGAAGTAGCTTGGGTCTCAGACTATAAGATCGATTGCAATACGTGGGTATATGTTTGTCACTAGACATGCATCATGCTACAGAATATTGGTATGTATGTTCCGTGGTATACAAATAAGAATGCAAGAATGTCTAGGTGATGGTGATTGAGTCATTTGAGTATAGTACATTGATGTAAACCCCCTTAAGTCCATTAAATGTGAATCAATCACGCCCTGTACCATGCAAAAAAGGAATGGATGTATAAACGGATATTCAAGTGTCTGAGTTGTGGGACAATGTGGTCTAGCAACTCGTACGAGGCTTGAAGGCGAATTTCTTGTTCCCAGCCGTATTGTAGATGCCATAACCAGGCTCCTGGTCGTCGCTGTAGATATGAGCGAACCAACCGATACCACCTTGAGGGCCCTGTTTAAGGTCTTCACAATGACTATCAAGCATAGTAAAGTAGCCCTGCGTCAGGTTCATTAGACTAGCGAAGACATCAAATCTCATGCTTCGACTGACCTTCTCGCTAGTCACTGAGGACTGAGCAAGAGCGCTATTAGGCTGGACGCCAGGTGAAGTGACGGAGGGCCAGCCATTCTGTGAAGTAGGGGGCCTTAGGAACGATAAACGCATCCGATTATGACGGACTAACCTCGTCAAAGTACATCTTCTTGCCATTGCCATGTTGGATAAACCAGTTCATGTCAGTCTCAACGAGCGGCCATGCAGCAGAACCAGTAGTTGCAAGGGTCGAGAAAAAAGGAAGCATGTGGACATTGATAAAGTCGATAGCATTGAGGACATCTTGAGCCCCGCCACGCTCCTGGTATCCATATGCGAGTTCGCTGACAGTAACAGGGATACCAACGCCATGGAGCTTGGATTTCAAAGACAGGACCTGGGATGCGAGCTCCGAATGCGGAAGGACGTTATCGAACAGAGGTTCAGAACCAAATTGGACGCCCCGAGTGACGAACTTGGCCTTGGGGTTGGTAGTGAGCGAAGAAACCAGCGAGTCACGGCGAGCCATCCACTGATCGCCTCCATCGAATCCGAACTATTGTGGCACAAAAGCTGTTACAATCACGACCGCCAGTTCAATTTGAAAAGTCTTACCCAGATCAGAGCGTGAACACCTAGGCCTGCCTCCCATGCAGCGTCAACGATAGTATCGCTGAGAAACAACCAATCAGCTCGAGAACCATTATAACTGAGAATGCAGTACTAGAAACCGTCACTGTCGCAAGCCCCATAAAGGCGGACGTATCTCGATCCAAAGGTATTCTTGATGTCGGCAAAGTCACTCTTGAGCTTGCTTGGAGATTGGCCTAAAGTTACATTAGTTCATGGATCTCAGGAGGAAGCGTGACGATCGTACAAGCAGTGACCTCATAACTGAATCCAAGGAATGCATACTCGGTATCGGCAGAACACCACCAATTATCGGTCGAACTGGGAACACTAGACGGCATATTGAAATGTGCAGACGGGAAACACGACGACTTGGTGTCGGTGCTATTGTCAGGAGGTGCGCTACCCACAGTAGTGATGGACGACGGCTGGCTGCTGGAGCTATTTCCAGACACACTCCTATGAGGATGACAGCTTCGAGGAATGTGGCGTGCGGAAACTAGGTCCAGAGAGAAAAAGAGGAGGAACCCCAGTGCACTTAGGGTGTGTGTCATGTTGTAGTAAAGAGTGTGTCGTTAGAAGATGGGTATGGTTAAACGTTCAACGCTAAACCTTGGAGAACTGAGAGCTCAAGGGTATACAGTACCACTGGAAGAGCGAATCATTATGCTCCCCAGTGAACTATACTTATAGCCAAACAAAGCTTACCACAGTCCACAACGGTTTCTTCTTTGTTGTCGGACTCAATGATGGTTGACGAGCGCTAAGGATTATTAAATCATTATTGTGCTGTTCTATACTTAGCACAATCCACAAAACAGAGTACTGAAGCAGGAGAATCAAATATAATTGATTCGGCGGCGCGCTCAATTCTCCTGCCAGGATCCCCCAAGGATCGCGCTCTAATACCATGACATGATCGTCCATCAGCGTGGCACCGCGTGAAACCAGGGATTATCATAATCAAGTTGATGTGATGGCTCGAGGATGAGATCACTTCATTCCGGGCTTAACAGCTTATTGGATACTACAAGTAAATTTCACAAAAAGGAGGTAATCGGAGCAAAAGACATAAACAGTATACATCGTTTAGATTGTCCATGGCCCATCAGAAAGACTGACACCTCACATATCAAAATATTTATGGTACATGTGATGCGTCAAGACCCAAAGGAAGCATAGTATGATCTCGCAATGCTGACTTCTCCCAAGATGAAGTGTGCAGCTATTTTACATAGGTAATTAGTAAGTGACATCGAAGGAGTCAATCATAGAAGGACACCAACATGCTTAATCGCCTCCGTGGTTGAAAGAATATTCATGTGGTCGGGGACGAAGCCTCCATTCTAGTCAGATAATCAGCGCAGGCCGGACGCTCCAAGGGATAAGACCGCACCACTTCAGATTCGTCAAGATCGCGGAAGGCATGCCGCATGTCCAAAGGAAGCTGTGTGGGTATCACAAGTACGTGGACGGTCGGAGAAAAAGGTTTAGCGATTGCTACTCTTTTTGCCATGGCCTAATGTAGATAATCATGTGGCAGATCGACTCGTGAAAGGAACAAGCTTACCATAACGGTTTGAATTGCTAGAAAGATATCAGAACGTTTGGAACGTGCATGCATTCCAACCAGAACGAAGAATTCCAAAGAACAGTCGATAATATACACCGATTGCTGAATCATAGTCTTTGCCGATATTAATGCGACAGCACGGATCTATATTCATGTCAAGTGCAAGCCAACCAGATGTCAGCGAACAGCATACCGGGTCGTCTTCAACCGTGGCATCCACGATCCAGCATCGAGGGTCACTGGGAGCAGAGGTGTTTCTGAATCTCCAATAGTCCGCCTTGGCGTAATCCCCTGAGTCACCGAGAACCATCCAGAACATCTCGTCGTTTGCATCATTGTCACCTTCTCGAAGTTCCGTGACTAGAAACCCCTTTCACAGCGGTGGCCTGTGCGTAATCTCGTGCAGCGTTACGTTCCTTCGGAGTTGCCCCACAACCATGCCAAACATAGATCTGGTCAAGAATAGAGACGCAATAACTATAACCCGAGCACAGGTTTCGGATGTTCTGTGTTTCAGGAGTTCAGGGTCGATCTAGGACTGTTCAGCGAGTAACATACCAAATCGACCTCATCGATAAAGATATGTTCCCCACTGGAGCGCACGACGTGCATTGTTGTATTTTCAGAGGACCAATGTGCCCGAGTGCCCTAGGGAATGGGTATTAACATGAAAGCAATATAACAGCATAACAGACAACATCATGGAATATGCACCGACCTGCCGGATCACAAGCTTTCCTCCCAAAACATGAACAAGTTCTGGAGGCTCTCGCCGTTGGAACACCGTTTCCTGAAAATCATTCCTGTTTTGTACATCTAATTCCTCTCTTAAAAAGAATACTCACCAGAGCTGATCCATACCGTCTCGCCAGCTCATCTGCCTTCTTCTCCTCTCTTTCACCAAATCGGCATTGTTTCCCATGCCAGCACCAAACCTTCGTGGAAACAAGCCCATTGTCACGGGACTTGACACGGTGCACAATTGCTAAGGCCTCGGTATCGTGGAAAATATGGGTATCGCGGAGGATGGGGATCGCAGTCCCGTTATTAATGGACAAAATGTCAACAGAGATGGTATGAACATTTGGGTCGGCACTAAACGTTGGAGGAACAAATTTCAATAGAGCATCCACATCGACCTTTGGCAGCGGTTCGTTCGCGTGTTCTGTCGGAAGACTTGGATCAGTTATAACTTGACGGCGAGAAACGTGGCTGAGTTCACCGATGTGCACAACAGTCAGATGCTAGAGATGAATTTGAAGCAGCACGGTGGATGGTCGGCTTTACTACCAAACTACTCAGGGGACTTTCACTAACAAGTTTAGAATCCAGCAATGCCTCTCCAGATGATTTTGCCAAGGTCACTGCCGGAGATGACACAGGCGTTCTCTCCTCCTTCAGCGGCGGCATCATAAAACAGGAGTATTTCTCCGCGCTCGGCTTCCTCTTCTCAGCCTGAGGACCCAGGGACGGGATCCTGGGAGAAGGTGGGCTTAGCGTGCAATCGTTCCCCGGCTGCGCCTCGCTCAGGGCTTGTGCAACATCCATGACGGTGGCACGATTTCCTGTGCTAGGAATGCGACCATGCTTCGCTGGTGATGGCGAGACCGTGCGCTCCTCTCCGGGAGGAGGTTTCTCCTTCACTTTCTCAGCAGTTTCTGGTGCAGCCGCTAGACCTGGCAGTGCCCGCCTGCCCACCATACCCTGCGGTTTCTGACTTGAAGGAGGCTCACTTGCAGCAGAATTCGGGGACGGAATAGGCTTTACACCAATCAATGTTGGTTCTGTCCAGCGGTCTGTGACGTGACCGGTGGTATTGGATGGTGTGGTCGTCAGTGGAAGCCGTGGCTGAAGTTCCGACTGAGATCGACTCATTATTTCGGGAGGGGAGAATGGCAAGCGACCGTGTGTTCGTTGCTGAGGCGATCGATTCTGGCGCAGTAGTCGGCTGTAGTGAGGTGTCCCTCACATCAGAGACCTGTCCTTCAGGAGACGCAGTATGTGCAGAAGCACCGGTTTTGCGAGGTTTCTTCGCTCTGTCCTTGGTTGGCTGATGATTCAAAGGCCAGGAAAGAGAAAAATTAAATCACAGCAAAAAAAGAGTGCGCATTGTTCCAATTAAAAGGCACCACATACACCATTAAACGAGACCAAGATATCGAGAAATATGGGAAAAATCAAAAAACAAATTCCATCAACCATCGATCCGCTCAGCATTACCGAAAAGCACGCACATGACTCAATGGCTTGTTGGGAGACGAAGATACACGCGTCCTCGCCTCACTCGCATCCGCTTTCACCCCGAGCTCATCAACATTGCGAACAACTGGATCATCACCAGTCTTGGTTGGTTTGATGTATGAAATCATTGTGGTGGAGGACCCCAAGTTACCGCTCATGCCCTCAGGAAGAGCATTACTCTTCCCGGATGGTGTTTTCGGAAGGGTGGGAAGGGATGCGGAACTCTTCAAAGAGAATCCCGTGTCGTGCGTTTTCACTTCTGCTGATTGTCTGGCATCTGTCGTCCTTCCGCGGTTTGTCGGAAATGGGGACTGCGGAGGTGGTGATGGTGTTCCAGCATTGTTCATTGCAGGCTGCCAACGATCCAGGACACTTGCTCTCCTGGCACTCTTATCCCGCATTTCACTGGCGGCCTGAGCTGGGGATCCAAATGTGCTCTTCGCAGTTCCTGCCTCTGCTTCGAGGCGCCCGCTAGCTTGAACAACACTCTGCACGAAGCCGCGACCCTGCAGCCTGCTAATGCTTGGTGTTGGATCCTTAGATGAATTGAGAGGCGGACGGAGAAAGGCAGGGGAGACTCCACGCTGTGGGGATGGAGAGTATGTCTGCCGTGCAGGGGACGTTGGAGTCACCAACGGGATAGGAGCAGGCTGTTGTTTAGGCGTCCAGGAGGGCTGAGAGGAGTTGGAACGTGTATAAATTGGGCTCTGGGTGCGAATAGAATCTGCAACAGGCGTCTTCGCACGTTTGGGCTCAGGATTGGGAGTCTTTGTCCGAGCGTGTTCAGGATTGAATGTCTTGGAGTAAATAGATTCTGTCACCGTCTTAGCACGGACGGTTTCAGGATTGGGAGTCTTCACACGAACTTCGGCAACAGGTGTCTTGGGGCGCGTTTCCGTAGTGATAGGAGTTTTTGGCCGAGATTCAACGAGAGGACTCGTTGGAATCACCGCAGCTTTGGCGCCATAATTCTGAGATGGTGTGAGAGAAGGCGAGTGCGGCGTATATACTTTCAGCTCTCCCGAAACGTTGCCCGCGGGAGTGCTTATCCTGCGCTCCCGAATGCCTGGCACTACGAGTCCTGGGCCCGGAGATTGCGGCTGACTTTGTGTCTGGCTTTCAAGTTTCTCTACATATCGACGGGCGACCGAGGAAGTACTGGTGGTACGGGATCTCACGAAATCTGGTGTGGCAGTGGGAACTGCACGAGCGGGTGTGCCAGCTGAAGATGGGGATGTACCGTCCGCAGGAGGGTGCGCACCTCCTTTGACCATCCCCGGCATAGCAATTCCATTTCTTCCGAATATTGGATGCACAGGACCGTGATCCTTGCGCCCATCATGTACAACAGTGGCATCTAGTTGTGGCTCATGGCGCTTTAATCGAGGGCCAGCAGCAGTCGATCCACCCATAAATGCTGCTAATGATATGGGGGTTCTCGGAGGCGCGGCATTAGATGATACTCCTGGTTTATGTGAAGGTATAGTTCGAGGTGGCTTCTGCGCGGCAGGTGCAGTAGCGCTACCCGCAGACGGATCATTTGGCGGAGTGGGACTGGATGATGCCTCCTGTAACTTGCCTATGCAATCATCGACAAGTTAGAGAATATGGATGTGTCCACGCCAAGAGATACCGACCCAGATCAATGCCATGCATGCCGATGCCAAAATCGCCACTCATGCCTGATGTACTCCGTCTCATCCTCGCAAGTCGTGCACGCACAATTTCTTCCTCAAGGCGGCGCTGCTCTACCTCATCGTCCGCATCAACCTGGCGTTGCATCGCCTTGATCCTGCTAGTCCACTCCGCGAGGCCATTGTCAGTGGTATTGGAGGTGGAATAGACAGGTGCAGGTGGAAGGTCAAAGCGTGGCGAGCGAGGTGTGCTCGTCTGCGTCGTGGACATTTGCAGGTAAAAGAAAATACTCGTTGGCACCGTGAGCACCTTGGATCGCAGCGTATGGGAAGTTGGAACAGCTCCCCGAACCCTTGAGTCCAGTGGAAGCTGACGTAACTAGTCAAATTCAGCTGCCAATCAAATTCGTTTCTCCTAGCTGCTGAGATCGGTGCATTGACGGCGTACTCTACGAGTACAAATGTGCATATAATAAGGTCCGTAATAGCGGATTGGCAGATAATGGTAATCCACCAGTCGCTCAAAAGTCCGAATAACGTCATAAATGATAAGAACTCCATTACGAAACGATATGGCTTAAGCAAGGATTGCAAAGGCAGCTGAAACAGCAGCAACAACAGCGGCACCCATGTTGAGACTACTGACAGAGAGCGCAATAGCACCGCTACTGCTGGTCGTCGATGAGGAGGAGTTGCTTGCTGACTCTTGAATATCAGAAGGCATCTGACCATCTACCAAAGAATGTGAGCACCTTGACGAAATAAATAAATTGCAATAAATAAATAAATTACCTGTATAGTTAGTACCACATTGAGATGAAAGCGGACTTTGGGTAGCGTTGGCAATTGAAGGGAGGCCCTGATTCAGGACAGTATAGGCCGCCTTAGTGCAGTCAACGCAGATGGCACTTGATGGAACTCCAGCACTCTGACCAGTTACCAATTTTGTGATAAGTGCAACTGTGTTATTGAGCGTCATATTTGTCGCCGTGGCAGACTGGATGTTCGTTAGCACCTCAGGAGTACAAAGAGTGCTCGTCGAAGTGCTACAAAATTGATCAGACATTGGGAAAAAATAAATGATAATTGCCAGACTGACTCCTTCAAACATACAAGCTGTCGAACAGTAGGGTAGGCGTCCTGAATAGACGAGACGAGAGCAGTAGGATCGGTAGTGGTCAATCCAAGACTCGCGAGTTCGGTAGAACATCCCGAAACGACGGCTGTCACAACAGTTTGGAGCGTCGAGTTGCTGCAGGCGCCTTGAGAGCACAAGCCAGAAAGCCAGGTGTTAACACCAGGAATAATACTTGAACTCGAATTCAAGAGAGCGATCGAGACAAGTGCCGATGGATTCAAACACGTATCACTGGACGAGGCTGCAATACTCAGTAGTGTACTCTCGCACTGCGAAGACAGTCTGAAAATAAAACATATCAGCCCAAACGTTTCCTCTCCAAACGAGGTCTAACTTACGATTGAGCAACGGCGAAACCAGCGCCAGCTAGAAGAACGGCGGAGTTGAAGAACATCGTAAATATGGGTTTCAAGGACTAAGCTAGCGGACGGAAGGAAAATTTAGTAGCTGAATTAGATTAGAGTGAAAGAAAAGGTGTGTGAGCAGGCTGCGGCGCAGTGGGCAGCATTGTGCTTTATACAAGATGTCAGTGGAATGATGAGCGCCGGAATTAGTCACACCTGTGCTGCCTGGGCGCGGGACTAGCTCGGCAGTGGCTCGGCACTCTAATCTTGTCTTCCGCTATTATCTTGCCCAACTGCTCTAGCTACGTTCGCGAGAATGTTAAAACTCCTTTCCCTTCGGCCTTGACAATTGATATTTCTTTGCCTCGCAACCTATATAAATAGGCAGAACAGCAGGACGCTCGCAGCAGCGGTAAGTATTGTGTCGACCGTCACTGATCTGTTGGCATGACGGTATCTTCATTTTTAGCGGTTTATTCGATACACTTGCCGTCCAGTGTCAACTTGCACCAGAGGACCACAGGTTACTACACTGTACAGGTCATACAGGCGTTTAGCGCTTGGATTCTTAGCAGGTACGAGTGTCGATCATATCACGGCATATTGATTACATAATTTCAGAACCTTATATATATAGATTCAGTGAAGCGTCGGAGTCAAACAACTTGAATGAACATATGAAAGATGCTAGTGAGTCGGGTTCTTATGCTCAGAGTTAACTCCATTCACCTAGTAGCTATTTTCACCAAACCTCGCATGGTGTTGACAATCACCCGTCCATCACTGTCCGTTTCACCACCAGTTTAGCAGGTCAAATGGATATTCATCTGGGTAGGTGGTAATAAACTCCTTCCGGTTTCACAGTGGGGGAGTATCTATCGCCTCCCAATCGTAATCCAAGGCTTGAGGAAGAGAAGTAACGTATCGCTTCAGTGGATTAGTGAACATCACCTCCTGCTAGTTTACCTCCACCGCTTTCCAATTCCGTCGACACTAGTACTGTCGCAAATGTATTCGATGCACGCTTTGGTATCGTACAACCCTCAAAGTCCATCTTCTAACGCCTGAAGGCCATTGATCTTCTGTAATTGACTCGATTTTTCAGTTGAGCATTTTTATGTGCCTTAAGATAGGGACGTAACACCACGGAAGATCCCATAAGAGAAGGTTGCGCCTTCTGTTCAAAAGCATCAGAACGCAACTGTAATTCCTTATCCTTTCATAATTCATTTCCACCAGCCCATAAAGATCGTCCGAATCCCTCGTTCTCCTTGTTCTCTTCTCTCCCTCCCTCCCACATTGTACTGAATTGAGTTTTAGTCTTGTATCATATAGAACTACTAGTAACATCACGCCCTGCGTAAGTCTCGCGTAGGACACCCTCATTTCACTTGTTCCAGGGTCGGTAAGGTCTGTGCGTATCTATCTAATCAATGTTACGATAAATCTAATGTCTTTGACGCGTCGTAGGACCATATTCGACGCGTCGATATCTCACTAGTGACCGAAACTGTGATGCCTAAAAATCGCGCAGCCAGCCCCACATCGCCCTCACCGCTAGAGCGCTCATCGTCGCGACCCGCCGCGGACCACCTTCCACCAAGGCCCTCCAGAAGCCTCATCAAAAAGTCGACATCGCGAGCGGAAGGAGGTGTGGTCTGTAAGAAGCGCAAGCGCTCCACTGAAGCACGCGAACGCAAGACCTCCAATGATGGAGACAGGATGTGTCTTGCCCAGAGGCTACGTCATGATGACGACGATGATGCCTTCACTAGTGACCGCCATGCGCGGTCTGGCCTTGGGCGCGCGCCTTCCTATCGTAAGGAGCAACGCCGCAGTGACTCTCCTGCACCCAACAACCGCAAGGAGAGCATCCATAATACCAAGTCTTCTGATCGCCGCACTTCTGACGATAAGGGTAAAGAAAAGAGGTCTTCTTTACCCTCGCTGAACATCCGAGGTTCTGGATCCGCAAACGCCCTTCATGACGCACAGCGCCCTGCATCGCAAAGCGTGTCGTCTGCAGAGTCCGTGGATAAATTTCTGGACAGCATCAACTTGAGCGTTTCTACTTCACGCAATCCCGCGCTAGCCAAGAGCAATGTTCCTGTGACACCAAGCCAACAAGTCCTTCCCCCAACTCCTGTATCCATCGCGTCTGTTCCCCTGCCTTCGCCAGGATCTCCTGCAGTTGAGCTTCGACCAATCCCCTTCACTTTCGGACCGGAGCGGCTTAGTCTCTTGCACTGCGGACACTCCTTAAATTATGACTTGAATCTACTTCCTGATGACCCAATTGGTCCTATTACGTTACTTGGAGCGACTCAGAGCGAACCCGGTGCATATCTCGTTGCCGCAGCACGCTATAGGCGGACTGGTCGTTCTCGGGCAGCGTGCGAAGTAATCAAGGCCCTGCTGGGCAAGCACGCCCCTGTCACCGGTGGTGGTGACTTGACTGGGGAAAACAAAGAAAATGGTAAATGCGTCATCTTGAAAGTGTCACTAATTATGTCGGTAACTGACGTTTCTCGAAGCTCCCTTTCATCAGGCTTCCTTATCATCGGCGAAATCTCCTGCACCTTCCGTACTTACACCCATAGACGTCAACACCCCAGCTCACGAAGCTGCTGTCTTGCGACCTGCCTTTCTCCTTCTCGCAGCTTGTCAATTGGACATAAGCCGTGATTGTTCATGTCCCAAAGAGAAGATAGCACATGCCAACGCTGCTCAAGAACTTTTCCGCACAGTATACGGAACAAAAAGCGACATCCTTTCTTCCGAGCCTGGAAACACCAATACAGATACGAACGCCCTAGGATTAGCTTTTACAGATCGCACCCGAATTCCTTCAACCGCCGACAACAACCTACCAACCTCTAAGTCCAAGCACCCATCAAGCATCCCCACCGCTCCTGCTTCTACTCGTATTCTAGCTCTGGAGGATGAACTCCGTGTCACGCGCACAGCCAAGTCTACCCTGGAAGCCGACCTTGCCGCTGCGAACAAGCGCCAGGAACTCACCGACCAGTCTGTCAGAGAAGCTGAGACTCGTTCTCGCGATGCGCTTCGATTACTTGAGACCGAGAGGGATGAATTCCGCGTCTTGAGGCGTCGACTTTTGGAGACGGAGCAGAAGATCTCGGATATAGAGCAGTCCGCTGTTGGTGCCGAGACGCACGTATGGGTGAGATTGCGGGACATGATTTATGACCAATTTGGGGGCGCGAGAGGTTTTTGATGCGTGAGCTAAGTATCACATATCACAGCTTACGTTCGCCTTTCATTTGTTTCAGATCATTGCGGGGTTTTAGAGAATCAGGGCCAGGCATGTGGTTCGTGTCATCACAAACCCATCACCATCACCATCACACTGTACACCATACCATTTCCTGCAGCATTTGAGATACCGTGTTTCATCGTCCTTATCATCAAAGTAGTGTATGTCCCCGTATTAGACTTGTAATCATTCTCCATGTATGGAATTAGCAGTACGAGAGAACAGGAGAGAATAGACTAAAATAGCGCGTGAATCGAAGGAAGCTGATTATAACTCATTACCTGTGCTCTTGCTTCTTCGATCCCTTAATGGTAAGCTTGGACAGCCTTGAAATTGCCGAGGAATATGACCTGCGCTTACTCGTTCTTACCAGTAGAAGGTGGTTAAGAGTCCTTGCCCATGGTCTACTATAGACTTGCGGGACCCAGGCTGGCCATTTAACAGATGTCCGTTATCTCAACGATGCCGCCTTTGTGATTTCAGGGCAACTTGAACGTACTCCCGCATTCCTAAAGTCGCCTGGTACACTTCTGCGTCATCACGGACGTCCGACATTCGAGGAAGAGGATACAGAAGATAATCCGGCTGCCCGGGTATCTAACAATTTGAATCCGCGGGTGGTTGTGCCTCAGCCGATCAGCCGGCTGTGTTTTTCTCCATCATGCATCACCTTCCATGGTCTCTTTGGATTCAGACAACAACCACCTGACAGCAGTATAATGAACTACTTACGCCTCGGGTACTAGGAATCTGGGCGACGATCGGGGGTTACGCAGTATTTTTTTTAACACATGCAGACGTGGCAAACCAAACAGATCCGATTGGTACAGCCTGTCCACCCCGAGGGCTACTTCAACACCATTCCAGATGTTACAGCTGTTGCGTGGTATTGTCTGCTATATCAAAATACCCTGACCATACAGTACGTACGTACGACCAGAGTAGTTTGTGCGTGTAAAAGCAGTTTTAGAACCTGTGCGTTCTGCTAACTTAGCAGGCACTGCCAAGTACTAGTTCGGGCAAGGCCGGCCGGGACCGCCTGGGAAATGGAGGGATATAGCCGCCACATTGCCGCTGAATTACCATCGCCTCATTTCCTGCCAGTTCCTGCCCCAGTTAGTTCCTGTTTCTTTGATTTTGCTACGTCCGTCTTTGAGTACTTGAGTGCGGTTGTCAATCGGTTATCGGCGGCGGTGTCAAGCCCTGCTCGTCGCTGTTCGTATCATCGACGGCCAACCTGCGTTACATTGAATCGTCCAGCTAAGGAGCTTTTTCCCTGGGCTCTCACCGTCAATTTTTGGTCGAGTTATTTCAAGCGCCATGGCACTTGGCTGCGGTCTCGACCATTCAACCTTCACGACCTGACTGCAATTCTGTTGTGCCGTCAACTCTTCCTCCGAATCTTCACGTCAATATCTTTCAGCGTAGCCTCGCAATTTCTGATCTCGATTTCAAGGACAACCGATACCCTACTCTCACTTTGGACAAGAGCTTCCATAAAACCAGTCCCATGATCATTGGGTCCGCAGATACTCAGGCTTGGGGACCAACCGAACGCCAACATACTTCGTCTCGCTCAGAAGTAATGACACAAGAGCCACAGGACAAGGCACATCCTAATGCTGTTGACCAACATGGCCTACAGTCCAATGGGATCTCTAGCTCCTTGCCACAAGGAGCCGCCCGTGTCGTCGAGCGTTATAGTCTTGATAATAACGCTCAGGCATCTGGCAACGGAGCATTGATGGATTCACATCTGTTCAATGATTCATTCAAGTCCGTTGGGGAGTCCCTTACAATTTCACCTTCACCACCTCCTCAACCACTTCGCGAGCTTCCCGCTTCCCTCAAGCCTGCCGGCAACCGGCAGCCCTCTTATCCCTCACTCGATGCTGCTGGTTCATCCAGATTGCCACACGCAAATGGGTTATCTACATCACGACCATACAGTCCCGCCATGGGCATCACGATTCCCATTTCTCCCAATCCACGTGCATATGCACAACATCCCACTTACATTACCCCTGCTGCTGCCCCAGATCCGATCAACCCCATCCTCTCCCCAAATCCCCCCGTCCCTCCCGAGGAAATATGTGTTGAGTGCGCAATGCGTGACCAGGACATGGCAGATGTCGTCGTAGTTGGTTCTGGAATCTGGGATCGTGAAAGTGACGTACTCTATGAGGATCTACTTCGTAGAGAACAGGAGGACGAAGCAGCTGGAGTCCTATCATCTGAGTGCTCTTCCAAACCTAGAGCACGAGGTGGACGCTTAACTGAACAAAACCTCAAAATATGGCATACGATGGTAGGAGAATTTGGTTGACCGATTATCAATGATTTTAATCATTTGAACTAGACACCTCGAGAACCGGCTTCCAGACAGCAGACTCTGGAACAGTATGTGAGGACTCAACGGAGTCTCCTCGAGGCGGAGGCCCTTGCACACGCACGTGCTATGCAAGAATCCATGCAACTGGAGCACAAGATGCGAGACACGTACTCACAATTCCGTCGCTCAGCCTACGATCTAAATGGTGGCGCAGATGATGCTGCCTTCCGTCTCAAACCACCTCATTCATCCTATTGGTCCGAATGGGACCCTCGGCCATCATGTCCGAAGTCCTTCACGTGACATCACAGTTCTGGAGAATGGTCTCATTGTCGAGCACGTCGACATTCGTAAAGAAGAAAAAGAAGAAGAGCGCCGCCGTAGGAATGAGAGGCGTGCCCGGAAATCTTCCAGAGGGTCTGCAGTGGACGTTCATGTCCATTTATTCCGTCCACAGTCTGGCTCCGCATACCGACAGTGGTCTTGGACCAATGCAAAGCTCGCGGTACTCTGCTATCAGTTCCATTAGGCCGATTAGTTCTCTGACCGCACCAACCGACAGGCAGCCGAGTTTGGGTCAGGTCTATTCGCAGGCATCATTCTCAGATGCGCACAGCCGAGGATCCTGCTTCTCCACGGCGTTCGCGTTTCTTCGGCTTCAAGAATTTGAGTGCTGCATGGCGTAGCCAGGATAGTCTCGCCTGCCTCGGGGATGTCGGGCAGTATGATTGACATGCAGTATGTAATTGTATCAGATGACGAAGGTCATTCTAATGGTCTCTTTATAGCGTGGCTCTGCACCATGAAGGCAATGGACTTCGCGTACGATCGCCTGTTGGCGATCGCAGTATGCTATCAACTCCGCGGCATAGTCAACTTTGGCCACCAATTGACCCCCAGGAACCCCCTGCTATTACGGTCGACGAGAAGGACAAACCGAAGAAGAAGCGCAAGGGTCTTGCGAAAGATATGGAAGCTCGTCAGGGGGTCCACCGACAAAGACGATCCGCAGAACCACGCGAGCAGTCGCGACTCGGCCCGGTCTCAAGATACAGAGCGGAATGAGGATGATTTACCTCTTGCTCCTCCTCCCCCCTTGTCATATCTGGTCGATAGGGGACAAGGAGAGCACGTCGGAAGCAGTGGGCGTCATGCAGTCTACTCCATCGCTTCCTTCAACATCCTCTCCGCGCAACCAATTTTCTTCTTCAGGCATGTCCCCTTCGACAGCGCCGTCTAGTCTCCTTCCCTCACCTACTTCTTCACGTCCATCAGGCATGGATCGCGATCCTGAACGCAAAAGCAGCGCGCAAATCGACGAGAAGGAGTGCTATGTCATGGTTGCTGACGAGAGCGGCAGACCAAAGCTGCTTCATCCTGTCATCTCCGAGCCTGACATCCGCCTGAAGCTCCAGCAGACCACTTTCGCTTCAACCAATGGCATGACACTTCCCAGATCGGCTAAGTCACAAGTCCTGCTCTCTCGGGAGAAGTCTTTGCCGCCCCTTCCCGGTGAGGTTAAGCTTCGACCAAACAATCCCGCTGCGGAATCACGACCGCAGACACTATACACCTATGATCCTCGTCAGGTCGGCCAGGAATCCAGTGACCTTACTCTACCACACGCCCCATTCCGCGCGGATCTCAGACGACAGTCAGTTCAGCGGTTCCACCTCACGCCCACACTTAGGTATTCAGACGATGCCCTATGATCATTCAAAAGGTCCTGGCGGTATGTACAATGAGTTTGGCATCTCTAGACGCTCTCTCGGCCGCTTGGAGCATATCGATGAGAATCCTCAGCCATCCACGCCCAGTAAGCGGAGGAGCAAGTTCGGATTTGCGTCCTTGCTGGGCAGGAAATCTACACAGCCAGAGCCCGCCAATGGCAGCAATTCGCATGAATTCCCGCGATTGACGACGTCACTCTTCGAGGGTGAAGATAGCCTCGCGACATCATATACTTCCACATCTCGCCAGAGTGCTGGTCCGCGTATGTCTGTCACCTCCCGCAAGGCGCTGGAGGAGCGGGTTGATCAAGACCGCGAATTCATTGCATATCGCTACCCCTCCAATGACCAACGTCTTGATATCCTGCGGTAACGCAAAACCATCGTCCATGCCCTCTTTCACGGTCCCTCGTTACTTTCTCGCATAACATCCTTCTCTTGTTTAGTGTTTGTACATCATCCTGCGCTCACACCCTCCATCTCTGCATTTTACCTAGCTTTCTGCATCCATTGTTATCAGGGACAAATGCTCTCGTTCCCGCTCCTGGACTTTGATTGCATGTCTTTCGTATGTAATCCTCACGGTCATTCCTGCTTACTTCCATATGTAAATGAATGCATTGATGATTGAACGCTGGTGATTTCCGATCAGATAACACGTGACCAATATTAGCGTCGCGCGACGCGTTTCACTGTTTGTGCCATACCCACTACGTTTATTCTGTTAACGCAGCAAATCCGAATACTGTCCCGGTTTTGAACAATGGTATGGAGGCTTCTTGCTTTGATTGGTGGGTCATAGAACGTCTGCAGGCACCACGAGGTCTGTCTTTGGAAGAGAAACGCACTAAGCTACTGGAGATATTCCACGAGTCTGTGAGTTATCACTTCTGGATCTGCATCTCATCCTTTTCTAATGGAATCTGCAGTTTTAGAAGGATTTCTATCAAGTGTGACCTAAGCTTATGCCTCAACACGCGCACTCTGACCTTCGATGGTTCTATAGTTGAAGGAGCTTGAGAAACTTGGTCCAAAGCTGAAGGGAATTGGTACGACTATTCGTTACGCTAATTGAATAACACTCAGCGGAATCACAGTCTCTCAGTCAGTTAAAGAAGTCTTGCAGTCCCTTGTCGACGATGGACCTTGTCCAGGGGGATAAAATCGGTTCTTCAAACTGTATGCTCCCAAACCTGGATATATGCGCTTGATACGCGCAAGAAACCGGATGCTAACTATGTTTTCAAGTTTTCTGGTGCTTCCCTTCGCAAAGAGGGACTATTGTTGAACTGTTCGCTTGTCAAGGTGGCAGCCATACTGATCCAGTGTACACCATAGGTCCAAAATCGTCCTGGACAATGCAAAAGAGGCCAGGACCAGCTATGAGGTTCAGCTGGCTGAATTGAACGTTACTATCGAGCACGAGAGAGCCCTTAGACCCCTAAGTGTTGGTTTCATCTTCATCTGATGAATAATATATGATCCCTAGGGCATTTTAGGATTCTCGCGCGGCAGCGTTGGAGCAGCTGACATCCGCGAAAAAGCAGCTCGCTGCTTTGCAGGAAGAGATTGATGCTTACGGCGCTTGCGATCCCGTGAAGGTGGATGAGAAAAAGAGAGCGGTCACGCTAGCACATGAAGCAGGAATCCGGTGGACAGGTAAGTGAAAGCCATATCATATCACTTGTTGTTAACGGCCCTCCTTTCAGACAATTATTCCATCCTTCTGTCACATATCACCCGCCAAAATGGGATGGACGCCCAAGACATTAGGAGGTATCTGGAAATCGGCGATGATTATGAGGACATATTCTGAAGTATCGTACATCCATGGTTGTTACACTGTGTCTGAATAACTCATCCAAAGACTTTCTCTGTCTTTACTAATCCTACTTTCCTGTCCCCCCTCCATTGATATAACGACCGGTCGCGATGCAGCCTTGAACGTGGACAGTTCTCTGATCGACGCGACAGACCCACTATCCCGTGAGTTGAGGCTCGCAAGGAGTGTATTGCAGTATAGCGAGCAAAGAGGTAAGTCGAACACGACGTACACCGCAGTATTTGGAAAGCCAAGATACTGAAAAGCGACTTGAGCACGCGAAACACCCGGAAATATCATGGAGACTCACTGTGATCATATCAAGAAGAGCAAATAAAGCGGTCCAAATTCCGCTCAAGACCGAGAAAATGATCATTCGCTGGATCATCTCGCTCGTTCTGCAAAGTGTTCAGCAGGACTTGACCTCCTTCCACAAGAGTACTTACGCAAGCGTCATGGCTTGTCTGTGCAACTGCCACAGCGATTTAGTCAAATAAAATGCAATCGCGATATCAAGGAAGGACATGACGGCGAGATAAGAAAGCACGACTGCCTTTCATGGTGAGGGTGAGGATGTATCAAATGGGATTGACTAATATTAATTATTACCTTTAGCGATGCGGTGAAGACACCGAGGTTCCCAGTGTGAAAACTGCGACGCGTTCCTGACAGTAGATCTATTATTCAAGTAAAACCCTTACCTCTTAACGACGCAATCTATGAATGACTTTAAGTAGTCACGAAAACATCGAGGTGGCCACAAACGCACAAAACGCTGCCCCCAGTTCGAAAAGACCCAATGACAACTGTTTGGAGAACCATCTTGAGCATGTAAACTTTGGTATATAGTTGATCCTGACCCAGAGCGAGGGGAGCACCTTTGATCTCGTCTCGCTAACTGCATCACCCAGACGTTAGGTGCTTCAGTACACAAACCACATAGACCTACGTCTGTATGCTTTGACGACAAATATTCCTTGCACGCAAACACAAACAACGGTCTAATTATTTCAGGAGTCAGGGAATGCAACATCCAGATGACGATCTTACTGAGAGGAGAAAACCGGCCTGTACGGCATTTAGTGCTGTACATGATCGCGATGCTGACAGACTCACCGAAGACACCCTACAACATCATTAATGTCATGCAAAAAAGTGGGTTGACATGTAGGACGCTTACGGAAGAACCACCTCAAAAAATGAAAAGTCTCCGAAGTGAAGGACTAGGTAGGCGTAGGCTGCACTCGATGTCTGGAGATTGTCGCATCAGAGACGAACGTCTTGCTTACCTCCATGAAATATCAGTACTGTCTGTGCGGCGTTCATCGCACTAAAATCACAATTACATTAGATGGAGACGTTGAAAGGCTCGGAGGTGGCAAACAATATGGCAGCAACCTTCGGGAAACTCAGGACTGCGGATGTGACGGATACCACGAAGGGAGACTGACCATAATTTTGAGCCATCGATCATCTCTCACATAACTGAAAATTGGGTCAAGCAAATACTCGCAGCGCCCAGAGTTTACCAACCGAGTAAAATAAGAAAGACTAGAAAAAGGTAAGGATGCCATTCAACAAATGCATTACCACTCACGTTTGTATGCAAGAAGCTCCCCAGAGCATAGCGCAGAAAATTGTTGAGAGGAAATAAGCTCCGTACGTCGTTCCGATAGGAAATGGCAACATCACGATCAACTGCGTCATAAAGTGAGGATGGGACACCAAAAGAAAGGAAAACGAGGTAGTATCGTTTCTGGAGACGCCTTTTGAGGTTGGATGGAGGGAAACATGACACTTGCCGTCACCGTTACTATACAATTTGACCCTTGAAACTGTTCCACTTATGGATGCCAGAAAGAAAAGCTGTGGATAGTACCTCGTTTGGGCAACAGGATTAGCAACTCGCCAATCCGTCACCACTGCGCAAGAGGTTCCAGGCCAATGAATATCACTTGTTCACCTACATACATGGTTCACAATGCTGCCTTCGACGTGCTTGAGAACAATCGTATCTCCATCCTGTCCCTAAAGTGAGGAAGAACCCTCCGTAGCCGTGATGGATCAGTCAACACAGGGTGGCAAGCCTATATTTTGCCGTGATTCAGGACGTACGCGTTGTCAGGCATCATGGGAGCGAAGCACTAGTTATTGGACACAGTGTGGCATGTGTTGGCAGAGAAGACTTTATATGAGTTGCGCCTGAATTATTACGGAGGGGCCAAAGCAAACTTTTGAGGATATTTAGTTTCCTAACTTCAGTAAGTCAGGAAATCTTCAATCTTCAACGTAAAATTGAGCGTGAGGCCATCAGTATACTTAGTACTATGAAACCAACCTAGAAATGGGGAATTATTTATCGTTCGGCAATCACAAATGTCAACCTATGCGTGCCATGGGTCAAAACGTCAACCAAATATTACGTGAGATGAGCTCCAAAGATAGAAAAGTCGAAAATCAAGGTGACGTCAAGTACAAAGGCAAGCTGTAGGTAAGCGTCATGTTAACGTTGTCGATACTACCTTCTGAGCTCGGCGGGCTCCGACTTACGGTGCTACTAAGTACCGTCGTTTTTCGGGGTTGAAACTATACTTCTCGTAACGAAGAAGGTACTGTAACGCGTATGTATGTAATCGAAACACAAATTCCGACGATCTTCAGTGGGTGTTTACCACACCAGTGGTACTAAGTATAGCGGTGCGTACTTAATACTTATGATATATACGTCGATTTCATCATCCTATCACCATATATGTAGCCGTAAGTCTGTCCAAGGTGATCACGAGGCTGCCGAAGGGAATTTTTCACCAGGACTGTCGCCGTGCGCTTATAGACTTCTTTATTTATTTGAGATTCAAGAAGGGGTGGAACGTGGCCGTGCGGAACAAATACTGAAAAAGTATTGCCACGTACGAAGGAGAACCTTATATAGACATGAGGGGGGATAGTATGAAGACGGTTTGCTTTTATATCCCGAAAATATCGTTCTGGGCGGAACTTCATAGCAAGAGTGTAGGCAGAACCTGTCCACGTGAAATCCCCCTTTACTTAAAACAGACGACATTTACAATGCCAGCAGATTGCCAACGAACCTGCTCCATCACCGATAATCCTATTGGCGGAAGAACCTTAGTAAACGATGGTGATATGCAATTCGTTGACACGAGGATCCCGGAAGCTGAGCAGGCGTCATGAGACTAGAACTTAAGAGTCGCATCATGCATCCCGGGCGTAGCAACGCGAAAACGGATACTTACAGGGAGGTCAGCAGCTGAGCGCTGAGCGCAGGGACAGGAGTATATCCGTCCAATTCCAAAATGGTGGCCCTGCCTGACCACAAGACTAATTGCTGTGGCACATCACGAAAGGCGAAATTGATCAGCCGAAATAAAGTCCAGCACGACTTGCTAGTGAGACAAGTCGACGGCTTGACAGTCTTGATCAAGCGTTATGCTACGCCAGTTATCTGAATTTTGTGTCCCCTGTCCATAAAGAAGGATTGCTTCATCGATGTTCGTAGCCACACAAGTATGTGCTGCCCTTGGAGTTTCGTTAATAAAAAGATCATGATTCGAATCACGATAAGCAGGAAATGAGTACCGGCTTCGACTACTTCGTTTTAGTCGCAAACATCAATATTTTCATCTCCAGCTTCACATGCAGGGTGCTCTCGCGGTCTACATATCCAGTGTTGCTACGACACAAGTATCAGTCAGTTCAAGTTGTTAAAGGAGGCACATCATATGACAGGGATCTAGCTGAGAAAGCTCCAGGGCGAAGACTTACTCGTGCATCATCCAGTGGCCCAACTCATTCTTCAGCACCGAATGAGTCGCATGGGGCTCAGGTTGACCGATGGATCTTTGAAACGAGCGTAGCCGATGCGGGAGCAAATAATAGTCACATAGGAACAAAACAATCAGTACACATTGACTTCGTCGAGTCAGAAAAAATTTAAACCTATTTCACGGACGCCAACGATATTTTCAGCGTTTTGGGTGGGGCTGCACAGCCAGGTTCCTGTCTGTGGGCCTCGATCAGAAGCACAGCGTCTATACGCGCTGGAAAGCTATCTTAAGACCAAGCTCGATGCGCTAGTGCGTTCCTTCATTAAGATCCGAATCTATATAAAAGGGTAAGTACCATATACGTCCTACAGGGATTGGTGCAACTTGGCGCAAGTCGGACGAACAAACAGACGAAATTTGAGAAATGAATCCAGTCAACGCCGAAAGTGCTTCTGGCCGGTTGTTCACAATTGCCCAATGGAGTGCCGTGTGACCCTCGATATTGCATGTTTGTAGGGGTCAGAGAAATTTGCAGCTGGGAGTGCAGCAGCGCAGGCATCGACGATCGGAGCGACAGAGGAGTTACCATCACGATGAATCTGGCCGATAATTACGGGTCACAGGTGGGATGATCAGAGCGCTGTATATTATTATCATAACTTTCCTACTCACATGATATCCGACTGTGCTCCCTCAAGTTCACGAACGTTTCTATAGACTCGAGCCTGCGGAGGTTTGCTGTAGGTTTTGGAAGTCAGCGAACTTGTTAGAACGACCTTGCAGAGTCTCCATTCGGCAACTCTACTGGTTGATTCTGCAAGCTTTAGTAAGGCTGCCATGTCACATCTCTCCTAAGCCTTCTGGTCTGACTTTGAATGCGCATGGTTAATGGTTATAATCTTAATGGTCTCCATGACAAGAAAGGGATGGATAAGTGGCTTTGTGACAAGTGTGCCACTGGGGCACATCTTGCCTGCTTTGGATCGGTTGGCACGCTCGCTGAGCCGCGGCATTCCAAGTGGTGTATCCCGAGAAAGTCACTACATATTGATGTGGTTCAACATTGTCTCTTGAACTAACACTTCTGTCTCGCCAACGTCAGTGCAGCAGCGGGCAAACTACATCCTATCGCGGTCCACTTCTCGTGCACCCCTGGATCATTGGCAGTTCATGCCTTCACCTCTGACTCTCAAAATGCCGAGCTCCCGTCGCTCAGCTGGACTTTTTACCAACGCCTGTAATACTGCCCATGAGCAGTTTCGCTGTCTAGATGCAAGTTTTCTAACCCACTCGTTGGACGCCGAAATCCAGAGGATGGAGATCACGCCGCGTTTCCTTCGGACAGCGGCACTAGCCTCTCGGAATATCTCAATCTCGACCTACCTTGTCCATACCTCCCACCTGGAGCTATATCTTCTTCATCTGCGATCCATACTTCAAACTATTGCGCCTCACCGTCCCCATTCGCCCACGATGGCGAGATGCGATCCCTTCTGCTCTCTTATGAAGACGAATATCCTTCTCCATCCTCAATGATCGACTCTCCTCTACCGGTCGCATCTGTTCCTGTTCCTCACCTAGCATCTCTTTGCGGCCGTAACTACTCCCCTCGATTTCCGGAAGATCACAGGCTCCTCGAGACCTTCGTTCAAAATTACCGCCTTTGCGATGAACTTGGCTCAGGTGGATACGGTTTTGTAATGACCGCGGTCGACCGCCAGGAGAACGTTGAGGTCGCTGTCAAGTTTATCATCAAAGAGAAGGTCCCGGAGCAGGCATGGATGGAGGACGAGGTTTATGGTCGAATCCCCATAGAAGTCCTGGTACTCCATCTCGTAGAGCACGAAAATATTATCAAGTGTCTCGAATTCTTCGAGGATGAGCTCTTTTTTTACCTCGTGAGTCATGATTGTCCGGTACTTGTTTATTCCACCGCTCAATGAACAGCAGGTTCAAGAACTTCATGGCTCTCCGTGGCACAAGCGCAAAAAATCTCATGATGCTCATGCGCATTCTCCCCTTGACGACATCATTATCCCGCACTTTAGCTCGTCGCCCCCCGTGTTATCTCCCGCCGCGTCTGAATTTTCGGTTCCAGATTCTGAGCCAGAAACTCCCCCACAGGTTTCAGGACATCTCCCGCCCTCAGTTCTCGTGGAAGGATGCGATTTACCCCTGGACCATGACTTGCAGCACCACTCACTTCATCTCACACGCAAGTCGTCTACCCTCGAGCCACCTCGGCCCTGTTATACGCGCCGCCCCTCGCACGATCTTTTTGAGTGCATAGAACAGACAAAGCACAAGCGCCTCTCTGAGAAGCAAGCACGGTATATCATGGCTCAGGTGGTCGAGGCAGTACATTACCTCGACAGTCAAGGAATTTATCATAGAGACATAAAAGATGAAAACCTTGTCATCGACAAAGACTTCAAGGTATGGCTCTGTTTAGCTAAATTTTTATCTTTCATTGACCGCCGTGTTCAGGTCAAACTCATAGACTTTGGCAGTGCCGCGATAGAAAACCGCAATGAACCATCCCCATACTACAAACTCTTCTTTGGTACTACTGCATACGCTGCCTCCGAAGTACTCCTTAAGCGATCTTACCAAGCCGCACCCGCCGAGATCTGGACTCTCGGTGTGCTGATGTCATACTTGCTAACCGGGATGTCCCCATTCCCCACCGAAGTGGACGCCGTTGCGGGGCACATCGTCCTCTCCGAGCTTCCAGGGAAGGGACTCGGTAGCTCATGCCTGCATCTCTTGAGCAGGTGTCTCGAACCCAACCCTCAGCTACGTGCCAATATCCACGAGGTGCGCGGGCATCAATGGCTGAAGGGCGCGTTGGATGGTGTGTAGCCTTTACTCTTTATCGACCTTATTTTTTCTGTGTTACCGCATATACCTTGAGATGTTTTGTGGCATGAGCGCACCAGCTTAAAATACATACCCACCCATGTACTCGCTATACCTCTTTGTCGTATCCTGTGTATGGATTAGTAGATTTGACTAATTAACGTTCCTGATGGGGGTTTTAGTATGTAAGTAATTCAAATTGACTGACACAAAATCAAATTGAGATATCTTCGCAGAAGCTCCGATCCCCACAATTTTGAGATTCGAGAGCTTCACAAGTTGATACGACACGATGGCCAGTTTCATGTGGAGACGAGGTGTGCAGTCGGGCAAGCGTCACACGCCTGACTCACACGGTCCTGACACCAGTACTAGCACGATGAGTAGAAATGTCGGCACTGACGCTACTCTTCGTAAGAAATCACTGAAAGATGTTGTTCGGTGTGTCCACTGATCATTGGAGTGCGAGGGCCTCACTCACCATCCTCAGACATTTTACTCCAGCATGGTTTGCTGTCACTATGGGTAAGTCAAAATGCGCCTATCTAACCGATCTATGATAAATTGGGTATACAGGGACTGGCTCAATCGCCATACTTTTCCACAATTTTCCTTATGCCAGTGGTTCGCCTGTAATGCGAGGATTTACACTTGCCTTCTTCTTCTTCAATCTCGTGCTCTTTCTGCTCTTCAGCATCATCACTGCGGCTCGATACATCTTCTTTCCTGGCATCTGGTTTAATATGATACGGCATCCCGTACAGAGCTTGTACATTGGCACGTTTCCGATGGGCGCAACAACGTTAATCAACATCGCCAGTACCGATATATTCCAAACATATGGTTTCGGAGGAAAGCCGTTTCTTTATACGGTGTGGGCATGTTGGTGGATCAATGTCGCAATTTCATTGGCATGCTGCTTTGGGATGATACACATTATGTCAGTCCGTTCATGATGCACGCAAATGAGCTGGAACTGACCTACAGGCTACGTCCCACAGGATCTCTCTCCAACAACATTCTCTCAAGTCTATGACAACTATTTGGCTTCTTCCTGTTGTGACACTTGTCGTCGCATCTTCTTCTGGAGGCGTGCTCGTGCCGGCGCTTCAGGTCTATTCCCCCTCGTATGCGTTGCTCACAGCGACGTTCTCCATGTGCATGGTTGTAATAGGTCTTAGCCTTTCCCTGATGCTACTCACCATATATGTCCTTCGGCTGGTCGTATATGGTTACCCCACGGGTGCATCGATCCTGTCCGTCTTTCTTCCCGTTGGTCCTTGTGGACAGGCAGCATACTCGTTCTTAAGGCTGGGGTCCGCTTTCCGCTCGCTGTTACCTCTGAGTTATGGCGATCCAGGCGGAGTGTTGCGGCAGCCTGGAACAGGTGCAACAGTGGAGGTGATATGCGTGGTTGGCGCTCTGGTGCTATGGTCGCTGGCGAGCATGTGGATAGTCTTTGCTATGCTCGGTCTCGGTTACACCCTTCGACGGGAACGCATTGACTTCCGACTGTCATTCTGGGGGACTGTCTTTCCTAACGTGCGTACCTATAGCTTTTTGTTGGAGGGTAATCACTCAATCTGACTATCCACAGGGGGTCTACGCAAATCTCAACTTCACCTTGGCAACAACATTTTCCTCGGCGTTCTTTCGCATATGGGGTTCGATATATGCGGTTGGTACGTTGGTGTTGTGGGTGTGTATTGCCTTGCCTACAATACGGATGATCCCAAGCGGTCGTATATTCGACGCGCCGTGTCTGGAAGAGGTCATGATAGGGGAAACGGTGAGGGAAGCAGGGAAAAGCGGAGATGATTTAACAAACTGAACGTCATGTCGGAGAGATGTAGATATGTTCAAGACTCACTCGGTTCATTTTCGGAGGTGAAGCATCTAGCAGGTCTACCTGCCTTGTAGTAACGAAATATAGACTTGGCTTGTACTTCAGTACTGCCAGAAGGCTACAAATGCGCCTTCGATATTATTAAAGTTCGTCGATCTCTGATGTGTTCCGAGTCTTATGAATAGATCGCTTTTTCAATGATTCGTAAGAGCGCACATGGAGGCAAGTTTCCAGGTGTAGATGCTCTCAGTGCTTCATACTGAGTATTGGCTTAATCTGATTTTCCCACAGGATGTGCCGACGGAGAGCAGTATATGAGGGCCATGTCACAGGTGATCCTATCATTTCTGACTAATGGGTGCAGGCTGTTTCATGTCTCATCCTCTTTATTATCACGCACTGACGTTGCAGCTGCAAGAGATTGACATTCATTGTCTAGAGCTAGACGGGTGTATACACGTCATATAGACTCAATGCCAACGGAACCAAACAAGACGGTACGTAGTGAACCTCCGCATAAGCTTTGTTGTCGTGGGCACGCCGAGTTGGCGGGGAATGGCTACAGTTGCACTTGTGAAAATGAGGCAAATGCGTCAGTGATGTCACCCCAAGTTGCGTCATGTTCAGACTGCGAAGCCAGAGGACAAGACTGATGTGGCGCTTGGGGAGGTGTTATACGAGAGAGATAAATAAGCCGCTGAGGAGCTTAGAATCTGTGCTGGTTGCGTGCTGGTACCGAGGAGACGCTGACCAGAAGCGTGCCCATTGCTCGGATGATTCGTGGCCTTGTGCTTGTTTCAGCGCCGAAATGCTGCAAGGGAGTCCCCCTTGCGGAGGTAAGGAGGTCATTAAACTTAGAAGCGCTTCGGAAGCTCAACGAAAATGAAATATCGACCCCTCTACCTAGTGACGCCGACCGTCCCCAGAATTAGGTAATCCTGTAAAGGCTGTACTGGACCGTTGATTTCCCCGTGATCAGCTCTACATCCATGACAAATACCCTTACAAACTTTGTCAGTCATCGATGCCATCATCCATGACGAATGCCCTTAGAAACTTGTCAACGTTATTCGGTGTCGAAGTTAAACTGTACAGCTGCTGGCATTGCCAATTGATCTAGCGTTCATAGATGATCCGTGAGATGACATATATGTTGTGGTGCACGGTGGGTCATAGACTGGCAGTCATACAAGTGTCTCCCTTTCCTTGAGCGCAGATATCTGATTAGGTTCTGGAATTCAATCAGCCTCATCATTATGCTGGTGGCACCTCCGCGCAAATCATGGAAGGAATGTATACAGTACGTGTGACACAATGTCCATTGTAACCTTCTGATCGATATGTAACAGGAATTTTACCTGGGCCTGGCATACAGTGATCATGGGCACTGGCGCTACATCTGCCCTGGTCCACGCGTTTCCGTACGGAAACGGTAGTCCAGCGATCAAGGTCGCCACTTTGATCATTTTCTTTCTCAATCTCCTCCTCTTTGTCTTTTTTACTGGGGCAACCATCGCGAGATACGTGATGTTCCCTGACATCTGGCTCAAGATGATCCGACATCCAACCCAGGGTTTATTCATGGGTGCATTTCCAATGGGAGCTGCGACATTAATTAACATAGCACTGGTAAGTTTGCTGTTAACCGTTTGTCCTCATCTTCGATTTTCGTACCTTTGTTGCAGGTAGCGCATCAAGAATGGAACTTTGGAGGCATTGGTTTTCTATATACCCTTTGGGGTTGCTGGTGGCTCGACTCAATCGTATCGTACCTCATCGCTTTTGGAATGCTGCATGCGATGTGAGTGCGGAGGTTCAAATTTTCATGGTGTATCGCTGATGTATAGCTCACAGGATGGTGGAGCAGAAACATACCCTTGAGAGTGTGAACACTCTATGGCTATTTCCAGTTGTCACTCTTATCGTTGCATCTTCAACTGGTGGTTTACTCTCCACTGCGCTTAAAGCTCAGTCGATGAAGTTTGCCATCTGGACAGCTCTGTTTTCGTTGACTATGGTTTTCATTGGTCTCAGTCTCGCGTTGATGGTGATCACGATATACCTCGCACGCCTCATCGCAAATGGCCCACCAGAGAAGCCACTCGTTTTGTCTGCTTTCCTCGCATCGGGTTCTCTCAGTCAGGGAGGATACTCGCTCATCATCAATGGCCAGAACCTATCCGAAATCCTTCCGCTGTATGTCCCAGGCACGTTCCCAGAGGTAGCAGCTGCAGGACAGATGGTATTCTCGTTCTGTTTCTGCGGAGCTTACATCCTGTGGTCGATGGGCATCTGCTGGATCATTATCTCCTCGAGTTCCATATTTAGCGTGCTCAAAAAGGAGGGGAGCATACCTTTTTCCATCACGTATCAAGGGTTGATCTTCCCGAATGCTGTATTTGCGCTTCTCTCAGTGCAGCTTGGCAATGTTCTGAACAGCGGCTTTTTCCATGGGTTTGGTGCTGCATGGACAGGTCAGAATACATGTCATTGTCCTTTTCGAGACCTCACCGTTTCTGACAGTTATCGTCTTCATCCTGTGGCTGAGTATCTTTGCAAGAACCATCCCAGCAGTCATCGACAGGTCCATATTTGTTGCGCCAGATATCGCAGCTCTACCCTTACCACTTCATATTAACGAATTTAAACTGCAGGAAGCAGTTATATCAATACCATAGCTAGATACCAAGTAATTTCATGGGAACTTCGTGGATATGTAGTTCCTTTTGGAAGTACATGTCGCTGGCCGACTGTGACGGTCGCCTTGGGCGTTACCAAACACCACCGAAGATGGAAGAGCCGAGGCCTAAGGATACGAGCCTTGGCATAGATGCGTATAGATGTGTTCTAGTATTTTCTTTGCAAGGACTCCTGCCTTCGGTCGGTCCTTCATGTTTATAGTAGCAACTCAGGAAATACAATATTAGCGCAGTACATACTGAGAAACACGGTCCTCGAGTATTGGAAGGATCCATCAAGACATGAGAGCGGGGGAACCCAGTAGATAAGAAAAAGAGCGTGGGAAACTCAAAAGTCTAAACATCAAAAATAGTGTGTTGCAGTCTACACATTAAGTTAGTGGTAGGACGTAATGCCGCAACAACACTTTGACATTACAACACTTCCACATTACCTTCACTCTTAGAATATAATGTAGTACAGGATATTTGGGTAGTCTACATTCTATTCAGCTCATTTGTAACAAAATCTTCGACCTAGATATTAGTGTATTCATGTATTTCTTCTATTACATACATGGTCAGACCACAATCATACACTTATCACTCACTCAGTTATGAATGGATCTTTCTACAAATTCAGACGTGGTATCATGGGTATAGGTCCATCATATAGCAAGTGGCTGATTACACAGATGTATCCTCATAAGACCCTAGATTCATCACGGAATCAGGCTGGAGATGTTTTTAATAGATATTTTTGGCAAAACCAAAGCAAATATGCGCAGATTATATCCAAAGACAAAGTGATGTAAAAGCATCAGCATCACGACGTCAAACAACAATAAATTGCAGGAGAACTCCAATTCTGATGAAGCTTTGTAGGTCTCACAACTGTGATAGTCGGCAGATAAACACTTGAAGGAAGTCTTGCATCTCTCCAAAATGGTGGTCACCCACTGTACGAGCTTGACTTCGTGATGGCTGTTTGTAATTAGATGCAGTCGGCAAACGAGAGTTACAGTATGCTTCTAATATTTATGCAGTATTGCCATCCCTCACCATTAGCGTACGCTAGTCAGCCAATTAGCCTAGTACTAGTAGTAATGCATAGGATTGCGGCTTTCTGGCCATACAGGAGGGAAGTTCAAGTTCTGCTCCAAAGGTCTCAGCTCTATAAAGACATTTTATACATGGATTCAGCATACGAATTGAAAGTGGCACCGTACATCCTATCTACTTGCGTGTGAATAATGAAATAGGCAAGTCCCATACAACTCTCAGAGACCTCGGGGAACTGAAGCCGTCGCTATTGGGAAGTGTGCCAAACTGACCAGTGGGGATTGGCTGAATAACGATAGGCTGAATGTCTTCCAAGTTCATTCGCCTGTCACCAGTGGTGTCAGAGATAGTGCTTTTCGCACGTCGCGACTTTGCGGCGATCTGCAGAACATTAGTACTCCTAAATGTAGATCATGATGAGCTAGGTAAAACAATGCGCAGATGAAATTTACATTATGAAGGGGAGACTCCTCACGGCCTCTGAGAACACTGGAAACATGTGTGGTTGGTCATACATATGGTCCAGAGCCGTCATGATAATGTCATTCATTGGTGCTGGTTCCAGGATATTCGCGATGTCAATATCGGCGTCCACCTCGACCTCGACCTCGACCTCGACCTTGACCTCGACCTCGACCTTGACCTCGACCTCGACCTCGACCTCGACCTCGACCTTGGCCTCAACTTCGTTCCCAACCCCAGCCTCGGCCTCGCTCTTGGTCTTGTTCTTCCTCTTCTTCTTTCCATCCTTCATGATGAGAAGTAGAGTATGGTAAATCTGATATATTGACGCAACTTCTGTTAATTTGATACAAAAGGATAAAGGGAGGAAAGACTTGTGAAAGTCATTAAATTTCCAACCAGGTGTTGTGCTAAACAATTGAAGCTTGACAGAACCTCTTCTGGAAAAAGGTTGCCAATCCTTCCGTCGCATTTTCCATCCGATAACCCTTCGACGGGATACAAAAGGGACTCCCACAGAACTTCTCGAAATATCTGGTGACTTATGAGGTCTGAAATCGCTTGCTGGACCTGGATAACAAAACACTTGAGGTCGAATTAGGCTAGTTGGTCTCCAGTCTCTTACCTGAGAGGATTTGCCTGAGTTAAACATCAGAACGAAGGAGATAGCCTTCTGGCTCATCTTGGTGGCAAAGTCGGGGTGTGCTGACATCATGCCTTTCAGGACTTTTCCTAGGTCCGATTTAGCACTGGAGAATGACTTGGCCAGCTGCTCAAATTAGTTCCTTGGAGGAAGCAAACGCAAGGACGAGAGAAAACATACACTTAAGCGAAGCACAGGCCATCCGACAGACACAGGTTTCGGTCTTTGAGATCTTCGCAATCACTGATCAAACTGTAAGATAGCAACTCATAATGTAGCGTCCAAGATGCAAGGTGCCTACCTGGTTGGGACTCCATGGCCTTGTAGGTCTTTTGAGCCATGTCTAAACTAGTGAGAAAACAATTCGTTATCAAACGTCGTGTGTTCGTCGCAGAAATTCGAAACAGGTTTCCAGAAGCTCCTGTCCACAAACCGCCAACAAACAGGCACTTTGTGAGTGTAATGATTCAATTCCAGGGTGACCTCCTCATGAAATGAAATATTTGTGTGCGTTTCACCCTGTCCATGGTACTGACGGAGTCTCTCCACTCTAGGCTGGGAGGCACGACCTGTGGTTGCTCATCGAAGGCCAGCTCGAGTTGTATTCCATTTGTTTCCTCTAGAGTGAGTTGCTCATCAACACCGCTCGCAGAATAGCCAGTGGATTGGTCATAGAAGTTGAAGTCACTATTTGTAAAATTGGTGCAATCCAAACCTGGCGCAGGCATGCTAAAGGTAGGCATCTCCATAGCATATGGAAGGACTGGATCGGCAAAATCGAAGTGCTTGAGGGGTGAATGTCCCGATGGAAATTGCATAGATGTGCTAAAGGTGGGTGTCTCTACAGCACATGAATCAGCGACAATGAGATGCTCGGGGGGCGGATATCCCAATGGAAATGGGGCATGATGGAATTGTACTGATCCGTTCAACTCTGAAAGCTATCAATGTGACATGAGAAGCCATGTATGACCACTACTAAGGAACAAAACTCACCAACCACGAAGGGAGAGCTAAACCTTTGACACCTGGTCTGCAACAGGTAGAATTGATCGACCGGACGTAGGCACCACTCTCCACCTAAGTTTGTACTTGCATAAGTGAACCGTCTGGGGCGGCGAAGTTCTCACCATTGTCGCAAATAAATTGTGGATATAGTTGATATCCCCCTCGCCGGGGACAACTAGCATTCCAACTTGTAGAAGTACATGAATCCAAGGCTGATCATCCTCAAATATTTTGTCACACTACGAATGAAACAACACGATGAGATAATTAGTGATTTGAGGTAAAACTCACATAGATGGGGTAGATGTGGTCGTAGTCGGCCAGGTAACCAACGAGAATGAATTCTGCCCCAGTAAAAGTGACAAACGGATGCTGAAATTGCAGGTTAAAAGGAAACAACGGCCGATGGACGGTGACAAACCGGTTCGCTCTAGAGGGAAAAATTCAGCGGATGGTTCATAGTACAGAGTCTACTTACAGCGAGTTGTATGAGGCGAAGGACGGAAGTGCATTGTGGCATGTATAGCCACACATTGGACATTGAGGGAACACTATCCATGATCAGGGTAGTAGGCAAGTGAATTGACAATGAACAAAGGCTGGTCATTGATTATAAGACTAGCCATGGATTACCAATGGCCAGAAATCATGGATGGTCAGAAGCGAATAGCTAGGAATGTGTGGTGGGCAGGAGCGGTGGGCAAGGCGGTGGGCAGACGTGGTGGGCAGTCCATGAGTAATTAAAATTGTGCCCATCGAGTAATGTAACACATACTTCACATTAAGGCCAGCCAGGAAATCAGATCGCGCTGTAGTGTAACATTAATTTTCGTAATCATAATCGAGGGTGCAGTCCATGAACATCTCATCTAGTGCCTCGACAATCGATTCTGTGCTTGCATTCCTTTCCGGCCCAAAAAAACATGGCTCCTCGACACCAAGGTAATCGCCCTCTTCATCCTGTTCATCCCGCTTTCCGTCAGGTGGTTGGGCGATTTCCGTTGGGTTGTCTTCAATACATTTGTCTTGCACCTGGGCGCTTGTCTGGCCGGCATGTTGTGGTGCGGAGTTATGAGCTTCTAAGACCCCCGCACTATGTGAGTAAACATGCCCTACCCCGAGGCCAAAATGAAACCTCATGAGGGCGTCACGATCAACAAAACTAATTGAGTTGTAAAATCAGCAGACATGGCCAAAAACGGACAGAATCACTCACCTATTAATGTAGTACTCTTTCCAATCGTGTTTATCTCCCGCTATGGGAGAAATCCCATCATTCGAGTTGTGCTGGCCTCGAGAGAAAGCTGGAATAATATGACATGCCCTCAGCACAGCGCCCAGATTCGCTAGAGGCAGGAAATGAACACGGCACAAATTATGCGTTTCCCATGCATGGTCTTGTACAGACTCATACCACCGCATGAAAAGGAACTCTGTTCGACGAGATTCGTACACATTCCCGGTGTGAACAATGTTGACGTGGTGTATACCGAGGACCTTGGTGTAATGGTAGTGACCATCGTGCCCATCATCATGTTGGAGCAGCATGATGTTGCAATGAGGGGTTCTCGGATTGATGACGTCTTGAGCCCTTTGAACATCGTAAGTTGTATAATTGAGCCTCACCAGGTTGTGGTGATAGATTCTGTTACATTTAAAGAGAATGGAAGCACATTCTTCGGTGGTATGGGTGGCTTTCTCCATAGAAGGTCCAGAAGCTCCCGGGCCAATACGGTCCAGAATATGGTCTTTTAACCGCGGCAGGAAGTCCTAAGACGCATGTCAGAATGACAATGAATAAATTCTAAGAAGGTCAGCTACCTTCATAGCAGGATCTCCCACATGACTGCGAAGGTAATGACCAACTTCATCGTAAAGCTTCTCGCTTTGGCTGATGTGGTGGTGTAGCCAGGGATCACTCGCGGTTTCGTTTGACTCTGCATGAGAAGCCCGTTGTTGCTGTCGTTGTTTAATGCGGCGCAAGCACGTTTGACACCGCTCAATCTGAGTTAGCTGTTGAACAAATGCTCTGTGATCAGTTCAGCGGTATCTACCCTTCGGTGTGTGGTGCTCCAACTCCCCCTAATAGCAGTTGAGTTAGAGGGTGGACGGGCAGTAGATTATGGCTTACTGGCTCTGTGCTGTATGAATCTGTGGTTCCAAAGCGACAGATGGAAGTCACATAATCCCTCAGCACATGAAACTTGTAGGTCTGAAGATTGAATGACTTCTTTCTCCTCGGTTGCCTTGGTAAGGGTGTATCCAGCAACTGCTCTGCACTGGCCTTCTGTTTCCCTTTAGCGTTGGTACTTGCTGCAGTTCCTCGCCCAACGCCATTCGCCTTGCCTGTCTCCGTCCGCTTAGCTGCGTCCTTTGCTTGCCAATGAGACTGCACATCAACCTCACGATCGAGCTCCTGGGTGCTGTATGCAGTGCACACTGTCGCCTTAAACTTACGAAATTGTTCACCGAGATCGGTCGTTTGTTGGTCGAGGATCGCTAAAGTCAGGTCAGAATGCATGCAAAGCTTGGCAAGTCCATGCCAGTGTGCCATGATGAAAAGGAGATCCATGATAATTTTATTGTGACCTTCAGGGAGCAGGCCTTCGAAGACCGGGATAGAACACTCGTGCCAAGTTAGTTCACAAAGCAATATGAGAATTATCCCAAACACATACCTGAAGAAGATCTTTGAAGTTTCGTGCAGCCAAGTTCGACAATTCAGAGGTGTTGGCAGAGAATCACCTAATTGTTGTGGGCCCAAATGGGGGAACCTGTCTGTACCTGTCAGAGGTGTGGATGAGTGTGGTGGGCCTTCATTGGATACATATTAGCCACCTTCTATCAAGCTTGTGGACCAGGTCCTTATTTAAGGCGAAAAGTATTCGCAGTAAATGAATTAGAAGCATACGCCAAACCCCTAGTTCAAACTCATGCAGGAGATCGACGACAAGCGCAACAAACACATTGAATCCAAACACGCTAAGGCTGTCTGACAGCGAGTTCTAATCAAGGGTGAGTGAAGGCCACAAGGAAGATGGATGATCGTGCTCACTGAATTCGGTACCCACGAATCAGGCTTGAGAAGCGACTCGACTGCTGCACTGTCAATGCCATGGTTCTTCTCGTATATGAACCTGCGCGCGGTAGCAACAGGCTGACTCCTCAAGGTATGAGACTGTGCCATCGTTGAATGTTGTTGCCAATCATGGCTCATTCCCAGATTATGAAGGCGAGCGGTCGGTATCAGACATCGTGTACAGGGACAACCTCCCAGCTGCCAAATAGTCGCAACAAGAACCCTGGCTTTGGTGAGCTTGGATTTCTTTGGAGAACATTAGTGACTCACTTCTCAGGATAATCTGCAGAGTAGGTAAACAATCGCAGATAAAATCAGCGTTTTATCCCGTCACAGCACAAAATCACGATCCTGTGCTCATAAGCCTCCAAAAATTCGTGTTCGAGCAAGACTTTCCATTGAGCCTGAAATAGTTTGCGCTGACAATGTGTTGTGCACTCGCGACCAACCCCCTTGCCTCCAGTGTAAGTACCAGCGAAATCTTTGAATGAGTCTGGCAGCTGCCAAGACATCAGTTTTGAACACTGAAGAGGAAACTTTAGAAGGGTAATCGCACCTTTTGAAAATAGGCCACATGGTTAGCCAGATTGCAGGATGGTTTGCAACAGCAGTATTTGGATTCATTTCCAAAGTACATATACAACGGCCAGAGCTTCGCATTGCCAAATGTTGTCAGGTGCATGGCATCTGACCAAAACATGAGTGCGACGACCACGCATGGTAAATCACATCCCTCCTCTTGAGGAGACTCCTGAAGTTCACGGTGCGCGTCCATAAAAGTTGGAGAGGTGTACAGTTCACCTTGGATGTCAACCTCATGGGGAAGATGGGGAGCACTCCATTGCAGTTGGTAAGGTTTGTAATGAAAAAGTTCATCATCCTGAGGATTTGAGAGCTTTTCACGAATGATGGAGATGAGAGATTGATGGTAAAGGTCTGCTGCAATGTACAGTCGAATGCCTGGCTGAGCTGTGGTCCGAGAAAAGGGAACTTGAATAGTTACTTGCGTTTTGCGCCAACCTGCATCCTCATCCTCCCATTCGTCCCTCTCGTCGTTGTCAATACTTGCACCCAGTCTCGAGTTGATTTTTTCCCATGGCGTACTCCGGAAATCATCGGGATCAAAATTTGGGTGACCAACAATATCAATCAGCTCTTTGAAGCTTTGATGGGACTTCTGTACACTGCCATTCCAGTACCAATGACCGAGCTCGAAAGATGATTGATTGGGATAGGGGTGAAATGAAACGTTGTGAGTCTCAGCAAGGGCATCTAGCTCTGCTGAAGCAACAGCTGGGACATAACTGATATCTTGGAGCGTTACTGCTTCTTCCGGGTCGTGAGATGGGGGGGTGGATGAGAAGAACTGGCGAATCAATCCAAAGACATTCCTAGCAGTGCGGAAAGGGGGAACTGGCAGAGAAGCACGATCACCGGTGGACACGTCAGTTGGTCCCGGTGGATTAAGCTCTGGTGCTGGGGTAGTATGGCCAGGGGGGGCGCTTGGAAGAGGTTGTGGGAGCACATCCTCATGCTGCCTATACTGTAGTGGCATGGGAACACCAATACGTCGGCTCCTCTGCTGTGCCAGTGATAAACCCTCATCTTCATCTATTTCCATAGGCACGGTGCCAATACCAGCACTAGATGCAGCGGCGGGTGGATGGTCCTGCAATAAAGGTCCTGCACCCGAAACCTCATGTGGGTGGTGCATTCTTGGTGGAGTTGAGCAGACATGTAAAGGCTCAGGCTCCACGTTGAATGGCTCATTGACCTGTTTAGCAGACGGGAACGATCCCCATGGATGGTGGGGGTGCGCACTTGAAGATGTAGTGCTAAGGCAGGTATACCCATCGACTCGTGACCGTTTTGCAGAACCCAAAAGGTCCTTCGCTTTAGATAAAGTGGAAAACAACTGCTTCCTGCCCTTTGTGCATGAGCATTGATGTTTACTGTAGGCGTTCTCATGCATGAATTCACGCGTACAGGTGCATCTGAAGGTGATTGGGGCCCACAACGAGTCAGCCTGATCCATGACGATGAGGAGCAGAAAGCGTGAGGAGCTAAAGACAATATAGTTGAGCCCAATGATAAAAGATTGCCGCATGGAATGATTTATGATTTGGCAACAATAAAATTGGTCACTAACGATGGTGAGTCAGTGTGATTACTTCTGAATAGCCTTGGCATTATGATGGTGGGCCACACAGCAGGCTGGTGCACTTGATGATGGCATGATGACATAGGCTGAGTTGCTGCATCATAAAAGCGAGGTAAAACATGTCCTACGTCCTTGCTACACTGGATCACTCACTGGCAATGGAAGCTCCATCTTCACCTTCTTCAACCATTACTGCCCCCCCTGACTACCATGAAGCCGCCCGACGGTTAGCCAGAATGATTGTGGAGGCTATGACATGCAACTTCGCCCTCATGCATTATGATAGTGCCTCGGAGTCCATGATCAAATGGTGTTGGTGAGATGGCATTGGGATCCTATGCAAATGTTGAGCTGACACCGCTCGAAAAAAAACGCAGGCCTATCGGTTGTGATGGAAAAAAAAATTCCGCCATCCCATCTAGAGATGCACCACAATGGATACGATTTTAGATTCCCATGCTGCTTATGTGCTGATGGCGGTGGAAGAGGGGTGTATGTAGAGTCTGCCGTGTATTCTTGGTGGGATGAGGGTACCAAAAAGACTGATTGGACCACAAGGTGTGCAACCAATAGATGTGGATACCAAGGTTCGATATTCTTCATGCTCAAGAAGATCTCAGACTCAATATCACCTAGTGAAAATAGATAAGTACTTCTGGCTACCATCCTCAGCCGCCTTCCAGTACCCTCAAAGAGGTATGATTGCTTTGTTGCAGCACTGCAGGTTCATGACGGACAATAAAGAACAGGAAGTCTTGCCTGAGGCTATTTGACTTGAATGGACCCACAGGGAGCAAACAGAACTGTTGAACAGACTCAACTCTTCTATTGGTGATGGAATTCCTGCAAGGGAGTTCTGGGTCCTGTTTAGACGCTGCAAAAAATGCATGCGAGTAGGAGCAAGGCCATCAATGAGCCGTCATATCTGTTCAGGTGTGACAAAGCGTGTACCACGGTCACAGTACGCTTTAATCGAGTCAGTGACGCTCTGTTCATAACATATCTATATCGCTACATCACTCAGCTTGATAGTACTAAGGCCCTCCATCATCGAAACCAATCTGATAGCCTTATCACAAGCTGCGGCCCTTGACAATGAACGGACAGTGTGACTGACTGACTAAGACCTATGATACAACGTAAATATTGCGAGGATATTCCAAAGCATTTACATAGACACTCCACAATGATGTAAAATAAGTTACTGAATTATGTAATTTTGATATTGTTTGTTGTTTGGCGCTGGGTAGCCTGATACTCGCCACGATCGAATATTGAAGTTCCGGTTATAGATAATTGATAATCTGCTTTACCCACGCCAATACACAGTAGTACCATTTGCATCACTTACGGTAATTGGCCCCTGTTAAGCTGTCAATCCCCCGAAACATAACACATTATAACACTTAGATGTCTCACACAAATCACGCAGCTTGTATGGGATCATTGCCAATGAAAGGCAGAAGAGTTTTAGTAAGTAACAATTGTAATCAGCGACCAGTAACTAACAATTTTTATCAGACGCAGGTTGACATATGGTTCAATTCGGTAAGTCCGTCGGGAACTTCTCAGTGATGGGCTTACCCAAGATATCCAGCGTCCTGCTCAATCGGTCGCCGCACTGCCCATGCGCGGTCTGGCCGCGGCAATAAAAACCACGTTTATCTGTGTTGTAAACAAGGTGAAAGCAACACTTCGGGTGAGTCACACGATTTTCATTAGCATGATCATGATCACACATGTTGCCCTGTTTATGTAGCTATAATGACTCAGAATCAGGGTTGATTGTCACGCCTTAGGTGTTCACTGCATAGCAAAGCCTAACGCATCCATATCATCATATACCAAGTTGTAGCATATCTTCATCCCCTCACACCTCAGCGCTACAACAGTTGTATCATAATTTAGCATTGTACAATATCTCGGACTCCATGCAAGATCACGATTTATCTGATTTTGAGTTTTCCACAGACTACATACATATTAACACACTGGAGTACGATCCTACGGTGCCATCTTACCCTACTCCTACTATATCTATCACGATCACTTCAACTGCCAGTAGTCTGCACGGTCGCTAATTATATCCCTGGTTTAGGGTTGTTCCAAATGGAGTTATTATGATCAGGATCGTGGTGTGGAATATAAAATACCAGTATACTGATTATCATCATGTGAATGTTGAACCATGGCTACAACCATGACGGTACATTCATTCAGTCGCGAGTTCTAAAGCTGTTCATCTAGCTGTGATGCAAGACCCTAGTTGAAAGAGTTGATTAACAGATCTCGCAGCTGCCCGATTGCAGTATCCCTATCTGGCCAACGCAACTTGGGCAGTACACCGAAATGGCACGGTCACGGTGAGTGTGGTTATTACAGGACGAACACCAAGTGCTCACCACTCAATAAAATAGGGATTTTCTACATCGTGATTATGACATCGACACAATGCAGATCGAGTTGCCTCAGTTAGTGACCTTCGTTTGTGACGATGTCAACCTAACCGCGGCATCAACAGGACTGAAGTGCGTGGGGATTGGACCAAGTTGGTTCACCCGTCAGGAGCCATAGTATTTGGAGTTATACGCTCACTTTGTGGTAATAAAGACAACATACGTCGAAATGAACTTAAGGACTTGTTCAGATGAATGGCTCCAGAGGCTCGAGTCTTGGATTGAAGCATCAAGAGCCAAGCTAAACGGAAAGCGATATTTGCTAGTTGTGGAGCCGATCGTAGCGAGAGAGAAGGAAATCTATCCATACTATTACATCGTCCCAGAGAATCATATCATTACCTGGGTAGAGCCAGTGAATGTCTACCTTCTTTTCCAGGAATCTATAGCGTCGCACTGGAACCATAAAAGTATGTTGCTTTTTTGTGCATTGATTCTTGGACTTTATTAGACAGGACTCGAACTGGAGGCTCAATATTGGTGAGTGATCGACAAAGGATGTTATACTGACACAGAACATTTCTCACTGATTGAGTAGGAAACATGTCGAATATTTTCCTCACGAAATCACAATACCCCTCTTGGAAATAAGAGCTTTGCGAATTCAACTGAACTGGTATCATGTAGGTGAGTTGTTTAGCGTTCTAGAGCCTGATCAAAATGACCTGAACAACAAACAGAAGCATTGGCCATTGAACAATCAACAGCGGCTTCAATATTCTGGACTCTGGACCAGATGAAGGAAATGACCGATGAGCTGACCATTGCTGGCACGTACCTTCATCTCATCTCTCAACATTATCAAATTGATGACCGACACAGAGGAACTTGCAAAATCTGATGGGATCATGAAGGGACCAGGTGTCGCAATCTGTGGTGCGTGATTTAGGAAAACTGGCAATCATAAAACTCATCTTTCACAAGGCAAAATATTGCACATGCTCCGTATGATATCGTTTTCTCGTGCCAGACATTACTGAATTAAACAATCAAAATAGGTCATCATGAATACCTGAACCATCATGGCCAACCTGAAGCTCGCTTAATACGAATGCACTCACTGGCCAAAAAACGTAGAGACCTCGAAGATTCTCCCTTCATGGCTGGCGCTGCAGTCGTTATGCTTTGGATTCCATTAATGGTCCTCAGATGCCTTAAAAAGATTTACGTTGATGGCCTTGTGAATGGGGTGGACATTAGGAGTTTTACTGACGATTTCAGCGCCCAGGCTAAAGCTCAAGCTACCGTGGTAAGTGCTTTGTCACGGACCCAAATGAACACGCTTACTACAACTTTGTCTGCTCTGACAGGCAAGTGTCATCATGGCAGTCAATGCCAGCATCCTTGCTGTCCCAGGTTTAGGCACACAACTCACCACAAAAATGATGTGCTCCATCTCCTTCGTTCTCAGTTTCTACTGTATTATCGGGGGTGCAATGGCACAACACTTTAGTCACAGACTGCGATCCCTTGACTTTGTGGTTTGAACAATTTCTTTTTTTGTAACACGGGCCTGACGTTACTAACTTGACAGGTGTATTACCTACAAGGGAAGATGGCCAGTCTTGCAATCATTGCAAGTATACCAAGTTTTTTGTATCTGACGAGGTAATCAAAACTTGGATCGAAATGTCTTATTACTCACGGGACCACTGTAGTTTGGCATTTTCCATCCTCAGATTTCTCGCAGGCATATTTATGGCTGAATTCGGACTATCTTTATCTGCAAAGATCAGATGCATGCTGGCACTCATCATTGGGGCGGGCCTCATAATTCCATTGATGATCGCCAGTTTCGGTCCTGGGCTGATTCGATGATGAGGAACGACTCTTGTATTGGAGCAACGCGTTAATAACTAATGAATGATGAACGATGCGGATTAGTTGTACATCCGTAGGGATATTCTAATACCAATAGCTAGGAAGACAGTCATCATATGCATTATCAATACCATCGCATTTCACATTCCTTATAAAAAAACTTTGTTGCTTCTGAGACCCACGTGACAGCGAGTCACGGTCTTGAAGTTCAAACGTTCAAGTTGAAAACCAAGTACTACTAGTAGTAGATACAATATATCCCTCACAAATTGATTCTGAATTTGCCTCTACTGGAATATACAGTATGATTTCCAAGGCTTCCAGTCGTGCTTTGCCTGATCTTTATGAGGCTGCAATTGCAGAACTGGTAATACCAAGGCGGCAGAAAGTTGATGGCCCATGGGTGAGTTATTTATATCTTTTTGATGCCTACCAGCTTGCCCACCAATCTTAACTCCGCGGAGGCTGTAGGCACTCAACATTCAATATTCAACCACCGCTGTGCATACATATAAATACCGTTTATTATGCATATCGCACTAACTCATGTGTGGCCATTGATTCAATATGCCAGCCTGTCTTTCTTCGGATCTGTTTGATTACTCAAGTGCTCGCACGAGCATTTTTCAACTCTTGAATTCACTGGGCTCCGAAATGCTGGATGCCTATATAGGACTGATTGCAAGTCAGAAGGTCAGTTGGTAATTTCACGTCTTTGTATATACTGATCGTTTTCTGGTCACATAGCTTCAAACTGAATTATATGTTCTGTCATCTTTGCTCAAAGATTGAGTCTATTCTGGCGATCTTTGGGAAATAATCGGTGAGTGCAGTATAGAGGTGAGGCAAGAAGAAATGTTGCGCAGGCACCAGCATATCTGTACTGGTGGGGACGGTGGAAGGCATGCTCTTGTAGAGCAAGTTCTCATGGACGAGAGGAAGAAACAGTGTCAGATGGAGGTGTCCTTGTATAGTCAGGTGATCGAGCTCTTGGAACAACACTGGATGTGTGAGCTTATTCAAATTTAAGTGCGGCTGTGCGGTCTGAACCCACTTGTTATTTGTAGCACACTTTGGAGCTCAAACCAAGCATGCCATCAGGCCAAGCATGATGCAAACAGTTACACCTGCCAACTACATACCTTTACCTTGTGCGCCTTTAGCCTGTTTGATAGCAACACCAGAGATGTTCAAAGCTTGGCTAATGAGGAACAATGCCCACCACCTTGTTCCGTGTTCAGAACCTTTGATTGAGAAAAATTTACGTTTGGACGGTTCTACTCTTTCAGTCTTCGGTCAATCAGCCTCGCAAGCAGGAAGACCAACATCCATCAGTTTGAATGTTAGTACTGTGATAATCTGCTTGGCTGCTCTCACTGTCTTTCTACAGTGTATTGGCTCCTCATTTTCTCTGTCAAGTACATGGGTCACTTCCGGCGTCCAAGAAAAAAATTTCAAGGCATTCCAAGCAGAACTGGCCATGCAGGCAGGGTTGATGGTGATGTCCCTTGCTACTAGGTGTAACAATGCTCACCTGCATAACCTTGGGCTGGATTTGCTCATCTTGCAGGCAAAGCTATGCCGTGCCCAAGCTGAGATGGAGCTCTACATGATGGCTATTGAAAATTCCCATGTGTGCAGCTTCTGTGATGGCAGTAAGCACAAGCTGATTGTGCTCCCTTCCATTGCTGATGCCCTTGTAGGTTTGTCCACATCCCCAGATCTGATTGTTCCACGACATCTACCTGAGGAAGTAGACCTCATCCACAATGACGACAATGACAAGGATGAGGATGAGGATGACGACAGTAATGGCACAGGCAGCAAAGACTATGATGATATCGATGTTTGGTGATGCCATGAGTTAGACCAGACTAAGATCAACATCCTGTGTACATGACAATATTTTTAGCCATTCCACTGGACCTAACCTTCATGACTTATATACTGCCATTGTATCGAATGTTGCTAGCTACTGTATCGATCAGTGTTATTTTGGTGTAATCACAATAGAGGACTTCACTCCAGTTTTAAGAGTGGCAAAGCTACTTGTATTGCTGCCGCGGATCACTGATTGACCATGGTTAAACGTTAAACAGTTATATTTGTGCTTCACCAACTCAGAATATTCCAATTCTTTCTTTCCTCGACCCTCACATAGTACATCTTACTAGTAGTATCTATTAAGCATACCCAATTCAGGCAGGCAATATGTCACCCTTAGCTTCTTGGTGGGTGCATTCAATGTTGCACGTTCATTTGCTGCATTATGGGCTTTTGTCAAAGTCCTGAGGGCACTTCGCTGGTGATTGAAGATGACTCAACTGCGGGGCCCACCTCAGTACCAGGTTCATATATGGTGTTTCGCAGAAATTCGCACGACCTCGTCTCATCCAAAGATAGTGCTGCAATGTTTGAGCATTGGACGATGGAGTATGGGGTAGCATATACGATTCCGAGTGTCCTTGGACAGACTATAATTGTGCTACGTGACCCAAGAGCTATAGCACATTCTTATGCCTGAGAGACATGGACATATGTGCAGACACCCCTTTCGTTGGCGCTCATAGAGTCATTGGTATGACATCTTGCAGATGAAGGTCTTGCTTCTTGTGGGTTATGAAACAACATCCAGCGAGTTGATTTCTTATCTGCTGCTGTCATATTAACTGACTCTTCATTGGCAGTTAGTCTTACGGTAAGTCCACTGTCCGATAACGCATGTGCACACTATTCATGTGATGATCAGTGGGCACTGATCGAGCTATCGCAACACTCCAATGTCCAAACCAGACTCAGAGAGGAACTGCTTGTGTTTGGCGCTGATCCGACATATGATCAATTAAAGGCCAATCTCCCATACTTGGATGGGGTTGTTCATGAAATTCTACGACTCCATCCTCCAGGCGCCTGAGATCACTCGTCTCAATCATTTTTTGATCAATTCATATCGTTTTTCTGTGTTCCAAGCCGCTCTATATATGGTAGATCTTATCTTCTCGACCACACGAATCTCGACGCCCATACATGATCATGGTCTTCTTGAAGGCCTTGGAGCTCGCAAGGTGAGTCAATGCTAAATGCTGCATCATCTGACAGTAGACAAGGTGGTGGAGTATTAGGCACTTTCCGAAGACATGACAGTGGGTCCAAATAGTCTTACAATGTCAAGGCTCACGATGTTATCTAGTAGTATCCTGTATCTGTCATACGGCTCATTGCTGCCTGCGATCGAGAGAAAATTGGTTTATTATCACAATAAAACACTACAGTACTCCTTCTGAATTTACTCTCGGTCCTCAGGCTCAACCTCAAATTCGTATTCGCCTGGGTGATACAGTCAGTTTATTTTCAGGGCCACTCACGTCCGACATACTTTGAGCAGGAGAAGGGGCGTCCTATGCAATCTGACGAGGAGAACAAGTGCTGATTCCACTTGGTATGTATTCTTCCATCACCCTTACCTGGTAATTTTCCTCTAACCAGCGAAGTCTGTACTTTTGGTACAGATTTTCCAGCCTTGTGCAATTCATCTCTGCCAGCTGCAGGCGCTCTTTCAGCCTGGCAATGGAGTCCACCTTGCCATCTTCAGTGTTTTTTTGCTGGCAGAAGCACAAGGGAAGCCTTGTCGTTCCTTGCTGATTTGTTATCATCAACATCCTCGCTAGCCTATGATGGACTTCAAGAATAATTGATGGTATTGACTGATTTTACCTGGTGAGTTCCTCGTCGCTTTCACTTGTGTGGCCCACTAACTCAATCCTAAGCAAAGGCATCAGCGTGTCTCACCTCCGGGTAGGTGCATTAGGTTTACCGCAGGTTTAAGTTGATACTATGTCCTTGTAGTTTGAAAGCCTGGCATGAGAGACGCGACATATTGGACCTAGGCAGATGTAAAGTGGCGAGCTGCCATGAGACGATGCAAGGTCAATGGAGCTATATGCCTATGGTGGTACTTATGTCACACTTTAATCTAGCCATCAGATTGTAGCTCCCCTTCAGCTCAAGGTTAACGAATATTCACCTTGGCCACCGTTTTGGCGAACCGTAATCCCACCGTTTGGCCTGCTGCTCTGGCCACTGGTTACGTACCGTGCCTACTGCCCTGCCCACCAGTTAAGTTCAGTGCCCACTCTGGCTACCAGTTTCCCTGAGATATTACATAGCGTAATGCTGGGGATAAAAGCGACTTTCAGTATCTGCGAAGCCAATGCTATCCTCTCCTCCCAGCTTCCATGACCACCCAGGACACCACTTCCAGTATTTCGGCCAAACGTGGCTCATCTGCCCTCCAAATGGGACCTCGCAAAAAGCGTAAATTGTCCCAATTGAATACAAGTTTCGTACGCTCATCCTGTCCCCCAGCTCCTCATCCAATCCACTCGTCTCCCACGGACGCCACTTTGGTCGAACGGTGTTCGCGCTCTGCAACTACCCTTCCTTGCTCACCAATGGTATATTAAGACTGGAGCAAATGGAAGACACTCTGTTGGAAGACTTCTCTGCAGAGTAAGAGACATACACAATCTGTATTCGCTTGTTGACTGACGTACTTGATAGAGAGCGGCGAGAACATCACGTCTTTGAGCAACTCTTAGATTCCTACCCCGGCCTTCTGGACCGATTGAAGGATGGATCCGATGAGGACATCCTTCACGTTGGGGAGCTGGTATATCATTATCTGCATGGCCAGATTTCGCGCTCATAATTTACAGATTGGCAAGGGAGCCGCAGGTGCCAGAGGTGACGACACAAAAACGTTGAAGTCTGCAGTGCTTGATTGGATTTCCCCGAAAGGAGAAGCGATACAGCCTCCTTTACACAGAAATTCCAAAATTGACCGCAGATTCAACCATAAGCTCACTGGATCTCTCCTCTGTCCCGCTGGGCTGGATTGGAACAATCCTCGGTATGTTTCGGTTTGCCGTCCTTGAATATTGCACTGATTTTTAATTAACAGGATTAAAGAGGATCTTCGCAGTGGTGAAATGTTAGTCTGTGGGGATCAATGGCTCATCTTCTTGTACGCCCACTATGTTTATGATCATGATGACCCATGGTCCGGTCTTCTTAGGAGCCACCTGTGAGTGCGCACTCGTGATATCACCTCGCCCGTTTACTACATCGTGTTCCAACAGGCCTACAAGCACATTTTCACCTCTCCAAGTTCAGTCGACAGAGAGCCCAAAGCCATGCGATCCGGTAATGCTCGCCTCCACGGCATGAACTCTGTCACCATGGCCTCCATAGCCTATATCGCAACTCAGGTTCGTCAATAATGATACTTTTGTGGCAGAGTAGTTTTGACATACGAGTGAAGGTGCGATTCGCCTTAAGCTCATCTTCAGTGTTCTCGCGAACCGACACGACCACAGACTCTGAGACATTCTACCATAGCCTCCTTGATCTCTTAGAAGACCCTGAGGAATCTAAGGAAGTTGACGAGCTGCTGACTTGGTGGAATCGGTATGTTTAGCATCCTTCACCACGTCACCAAGGCTGATACATTATCACTTCCTCAGCCAAGTTTTTCCCGCTTCCTCTGCTGCCAAGAGACCCATCAGCAGCCAACAGTGCCTTATTCAAGATACGACAAAAATGAATGGCCCTCAGACAAGCTACAAACCTCCATGTTGTCTCTTCATAGATTTTATATACTCATGTGTCTGTAGTAAATAGTATTGCAATCTAATGACGGTCTGCTTTCACTTTGCTGATCTGGGGTCAACATCAGACAAGGACCATGCCTCGACTAAATTCCGATGGAAAAAATCACCTGACCAATATCAATGCCTTGGCGCCTTTGGCCAATACAACATGTCGTTCTAAGATTTTATCTAGAAGCGCCCTTTAGAGTGTGTTTGTGGAGAAAAAAATGACTCAATTGCATTGCATATGATGACCATAGCTAAGCGGCTATCCGACAGATGGCACTACACTGCCATGCCTCCACACCATGGGACTAAAAGCAGTCCCCATCCAAAAATGACTGACCTTGGAAGATCAGCAGCATTTAGAGAGAGAATGGGGAACATGCAACGAGGAACTATTTTCGTGTACCTTTGTTGTATCTCAAGCAGGGATCGCAACCACATACCTAAGGTTGACGCCGAGGGAGTTCTTGTCGAGGGTACAATGACAAGCTCTACTTGCATAAGGCAACCACGTTGGCAGAGCTTGATACTGCATTGAATACGCTTGGCACCATTGGATCATTATCAGTTATAGTCCAACACAGTCCAGCCAAATAAAAAATTATCTGATGCAGTCATTAATTTATATGTTGGGGAGTATAGAATACAAATCTTGTCGTGCATATACTTATTGAAGCTCGTCGAGGTTGGGGAGGATGGTAATTCACTGCCGCTCGTCGCACAGATTGTGCACTTGGCAGGTTGGAGCAATGCAAGCAGGAATTGCAACCGCATACCGAAGGTCAGCGCCAAGGGGGTACTTGTTGAGGGTACAATGACAAGCTCTGCTTGCACAAGGCAACCACATTGGCAGAGCTCGATACTGCATTGGATACACTCGGCACCATTGAACCATTGGCAGTTATGGTCTAACACAGTCCAACTATATAAAAGTTTATCCGACACTGTCATTAGTTCAGAGATCACAGAGGAAGTAAAAGCAGTTGAAGGCTACATGCCACCACCAGGGTAGGGTAGAATTGTAGTGTATTGCAGCTGGTCCTCAAGTAGGCGACGGTGGTTGGTCTCAACAACTTAATATTGCATTGCCACGTCTGATGGGTGTTGCAATATGTGCCATTTCAGTGATAAGCTGGCAAGTGATTGTGACTAAACTGTCACAATTATGCATTTGGCGGTATTTATCCAACTAAGTCCAAGTATTCAAAGCATGCTCATGAGGAGTACAATTTTGATGGATATTGTGCATATTTTAGATCAGATAAAGTCTTCTAATAATTTATCATTTTCGGGTCGTTTACCTGATGTTACTTATCAGTAAATCTCCCTGACATACCCCTAATATCAATACTCTGACCTATTTCTTCCTGATCCTTGCCAAGGGAAGACCCTGCACATTCACCTCTTTCATGGTCTCTTATCTCATCGAGACGGGCCCTCCTGTCTCTCTCACCTATGGCATGCACATCGCCCTTGCGAGCTTTGCACATTTCTTCTTTCTTCTCCTCCACAAACATCTGTGGCATGCCTGCGGGATGCTCCTGAGCCTCGAGTAGTAGAGACCAGAGAGCGTGCATGAAAGAGGCTGTTGACGAAGTGAGGAAACCTGTCAGGTTTATTTGCATTTTCTTTGGGTCTGGAGTCTAATGGAAAATATAATAAATATGAAAAATTCTTGGACAGATAACAATACTTACGGTGTGATTTGGATCTTCAAGGAGACCCATTACATACTCGATGATTACTTCATCTTCAAAGCCGACGAGTTCTGTGACTTTTTTGGTGATCCATGGGCGTATGACATTGAGATTTACTTTTTTGAGGTCTACCTGGAGAACGGGATAAGAACTACATTAACAGGACCAGACTTGGGGTGGCGCACCTTTTTATCAAACTCTGGTGGAAATTTCATTGACTTCAACAACTTCATTTCAGAGAAGCGATACTCTTGGTCGGCAGAAGTGCCTTTGAAGAATCCTATTAAATATTCCAGACGGCGAGCAGGACCTGAAGCACTCAGTAAATAAAACGCACCTGCATCAGCCATGACTTGCACAAAACCAGAACTTGGTTGGCTTGAGAGCGTCGATGACCTTTGTTAATGGATTTTTACGGTTTTGGGATAAGTCTCCTATGCATCAAGGCGCACTTAGTCAGTGAGGGTGGCGGGCGCGGTACAATTTGAATCAAATTGAATTTCAATGTTCATCAAGCAGACCGACCGTCAAGAATCCGAGTCTGATTTCAGATGATGCAGCTGTTCGGTAGTGATGTCACAGAATCACTATCATCGATTAGCTGCAACCTGTATCTTGTAAAATGGACTGACCGACAGTTCAGAATTCTGAATCATCAATTGATCCGCATATTTGGGTGCACCCAAAGATCACATGGCCACAGGCGATTCAGGCACACAATCCTGGTCAAATCTGTATGAGGGGCATTTTTATATGTATGGCTTTGTATTCTCTGAAAAAAATCTGGAAAAAACTTGCATTCCATTCTATTTGAGTAATGGTTCTGGAAACAAGTCGTGGCCAATGACAAGAAACACTGAAGAAACACACGAAACAAACAGAACCATGTTCTGGATTGCGAGATGACAACGACAACGACGGTAAGGTACAAGCTAAGGGAAAGAGGTGTCTATGATGCAGTGAACCATATGTCATGTGTATGTAAGCCACCTGTGGTGTTTGCACAGCCACCAATCAACACCCTTCTATTATACCATGTGACTGGTTATCTTTTCCTTTTGATATTCCTTGTCTCAGGTTCTAGAGTTTCCGAATAACCACGCTGTGTGCGTACTTACTTATATCACATGGCTTGTCTACCGAAAAACACATAAAAGACCCGGTAGATAGTATTGTAAAGCCCGGCGTTCTTGCAACTAAGCTATTACCTGGTGACATTGCACAGATTGTCTAAGTCTTTTTCCGTGTGCCTTCACCTCAAGTATTACTACTTCGAGCCATCATCACATATTTTTTCACCTTCACTCTAGCTTTATCTAAACCAACCCCACTGCCGTTCCTCAATAACCTAGGTTTGGCCAACCTCTGGCAACGAGTTGACAACAGACACTCTCAACATGACAACAAACAGATACAACCTACATCCCACCAACAAACGCACCCAGGGAGCTCTCCTGACTCCTAATCTCCCCAGTGCTATGCCTGCTACCCCCGTTGACTCCCCCCCAAATGTTACGGACAATGACGACAACCCTGAGACAGCCGCTCCTGTAGTGGCTGGATCGGAGACCTCCGTCCTCAGGACTGTTCGTTCCTATAGTGACGTAGTCTGGGCAAGTAGCCCCTGGATAAGGCCTCGTGCTGCCAGGGAGACAACCACTGAGCAGGTCTCAGTGGCTGATGTTACCCCTGTGTATAATACAGAATCAGTGGAAGACATAAACGAGATTTTGAATGAAACCATACCTCCTGCTCTCAGTGAAGCGGGTCCAGACTCCAAAAGCGATGAGTCCGACGATGACGATCGTCCTTGGATTGCGGTAAAGCATAAGAGAAACCGTAAGGGAACCTCTTCAGGGGAAAACAATAACGTGGATGAGAGTTCACCCACATTAACTCGAGAACAGCAAAGCCTCGTACGTGAGGCTGAGCGTCGACTAACAGATGATGAACGTGAGCGTATTGATCGAAGACGATCGCGGTTGCACTCATGAACGAAGGCTGGCAGCCCCGACCAGCAGATGGCGGGGCCCTCCAAAGGAAAGGCCACTGACCCCAGGGAATGGGGGGCAGCGGACCTGGACGAGGAAGACCTTAATGCAGATGCCCAGCATGTGGCGTTTGAAGCCTGGAATGCTGCGAAAGCTGCTGCTGAGGACACCGACGCTGATCAGGAAGTGACTTGTACCGACAAGCTGGTCGATTCAGCAGTGAATAACGAACTGTCTGAAGATGAGATTGAAAGACTCATTCAGGAGAGAACGGTGGAGGCCGTGCGCAAGGCGGAGGCCAGAATGCAGCGTAAATACGAGAAGAAGATTCATGAACTGGCCAGAAGGGCAGAGCGCGAACCGCTGCAGAAGGAGGCTCTCGCCAAGGGCACGAATAGCGCTTCTACGCGACTGAAACCAGTCAGAGCAATGGTAGAAAGGACCATTAAGCCCTCATCCAAGGCCCGGGCGCCCAGCAAAGCTCCGCGGACCATGCAACCCGTGCATCAGGTGACGGCACAAAGCTACATCGGGCAGGCCCTGAAGAGGGCAAAGTCGGACAGGAAGAAGGGCAAAGTCCCATCAGATCCATCTGACGATAGCTCTGATAGTAGCGATGAGGACTCTGACGAAACGATGACGTCTGAGTCCTCGACTGAGTCCTCCAGCAGCTCAGACACTGATGGGTCGCGAAGATGACAAACGAGGAAATCGTCAAGCAAGCGAAAGGCAAAGAAGAAAAGACCCACCATCCTGAGACCAGTACCACCAATGGTGTATGATGGTGAAGCCGATTCGAGGGCATACCACCAATTCATTACTGAAGGCACCACCTATGTGAAGGACGGTCGCGTAAGGTCCAAGGCACGTGTGTTTACCCTGTCGCGTTACCTAACTGGAAAAGCGCATGAGTTCTATATCCGCGAAGTGGCTAGGGACCCTTACCAATGGCGGTTGATGGAATTCTTCACAGAACTCTTCAACCATTGCTTCCCAGTGAACTTCCGGACGAAGCTGCACACCAAGCTTAAGCGCTGCTACCAGAATGACAAGACAGTTAGAGCTTACTTCTACGAACTCAGTGAACTCTGGAACATGATTGGCGACATCAGGTCGAACGACTCTGGTTTGGGCTCAAGACGGACATCCAGCGCGAGCTATGGAAGAAAGAACTTAACCCTGAGGTCTCCACCTTTAATGAGGTGTTGGCAGTGGCAGAAATAATTGAAATATCCCAATCAGTACCTGTGGGACGGGACCGTCGGTCAAGGAAGGACCCAATGCACCTTGAAAGCTCCTTTGCTGCCCCTGAGAAGAATCGCAAAGGCAAGGGGCCGCACAAGCACGATCAAAAGAAGGGCCCAGGGGCTGGGAAGGGTGACAGGCCGTGGTCTAAGGACCAGAAACCAGGAGATCGGGCCTGCCCAAGGGGAGACGAGGGTTGAAAGCCCCCAGCGTCAATGGGCAAGCGGTTCAAGCCGCTGCCCAAGGAAGAGCATGATTGATTGGCCACCGAAGGGAAGTGTTTCAGGTACAAACAACCTGGACACCAATCTCGTCATTGCCCAGAGTGGAATAACGTTAAAACGGACTCACTGGGCAGACCACCAGGTGTGTCGAGCTATGGGATTGAGGTAGACCTAGGGGAGGTCGATCGATTACACGGACTGGCCGAGGCGACAGAAGCCGGAGGAGAAGCTTTTGTCGGCTCCATAGGATTCACTGATATGATACGGGAGACAACAGCCAACCCCGACACGAGTAGCATGGGTGACGCGTTAGCTGAGCGAGCTTGCATCAAGCTTTCGGGGATACTGTATCCTGGGGATGCCCCAGACGACGTGGGCTTGCTGGCCACTGACCGTTTCTACCTGTACCAGGTATCTGAGAATGAATATGTCATAATGGACTCAGGATGCAGGCTGGATCCAGAGCTTACCATACCTATTGCGTCGCTAATGAATCCATTATTCGAACTAGATCACTGGTACTGGCATCACCTGGGTCTAAGACGGGGCTGTAATAAACGAGACCTCACGAGGAGTGAGCGTCAACATACCTGGAGGTCCAGGTCTGTGGGAGACGCCTTGGCAGAGCACGCTACCTTCCTATTGGACTCATGGTCCCAGTACCCAAACGATGGGCCCGCATGTAGAGCGCTGCGGAGGTTCGAGTGTTGCTTCGTAGGTGAAGGACTCTACGAAGTCTACGACACCGTGCTGTCCTTCTCGGCAACGGTGTCTGAGAAACTGTTAATGAACAGACACTTTAACATCACTAATTGGTATGCAAAGCGACTCACCGCAGGCTACCATGCCCTGCAGGACAAGTTTGATGAGTGGACTTGTGAATGGGATGTATTTCGGCTGTTAGATTGCGGGTTGCTATCGCCAATGGATTGTCAATTGGACAAGCTGGCGAGATATATATTAGAACCCATACCTCCAATGTGAATGTGGCAAGTGCACGGGTTAGTGCACATCATAGAGTTTAATGGGGTGTCAGTCCCTGCAGGGACATACCCCATATTGCAGTGCAATGCCGCACTGACTCGGGACTTCACGCGACTGCTGCCCAAGCCTGATAGTTGTGGTCATCCACATCAATGGTTGCCCAGCTCGTGCTTTGATCAACACTGGGTTGTTAGCGGACTTTATGTCTTTAACCTTAGCGGAACAGTTGTGCTTACCTCTGACACAACTGGAAAATCCCTTAACCATCCAGCTCGCGGTCCAGGGTTCGTGCTCCGAAGTGAATTACAGGCATGAAGGCCCGCTTACAGTATCAAGGTATTGATAACAAACAATACTTCAATGTCATAAATCTACAAAACTACAATTTGATATTAGGGACGCCATTCCTATACCAGCATAAGGTCACAGTGGGATTCAACTCACCAAAGGTCATTGTGGGGAGCAATCTGCCCATGCCAATGAAAGGCGACGAAGTCTCCGTGTTGGAATCTCATGTGGCACACATATACTCCGAGGAACTTGGTAAGGTTCGGGAGTACCTAAAAGAGTTAGTGCGACCACTGTGTATAAAGGCAGCGGTGACAGGATTGCCACCGTTATGCACGATTAACCACACGATCCCATTGATTGACGAGACAAAGGTGTACCCATGGCGACCATCGTGTTGCCCAGAGGCAATGAGACCACAGTGGTCGGAGAAGAGAGCAGCATACCTTGCATTGGGACGCTGGCAAGTGACGAGCGCGGGGAACACGGTCCCGATGCTGTTTTTAAAAAAACCTGGATCAGATCGACTGTGGACGGTGTTTGATCTGCATGAGCGCAACAACAACACTAGGAAGCTCTCGTCACCCCTACCTGACATGGAGGGCATCTTGCGCAGAGTATTGCATAAGAACTATAAATCCTTGATCGATGGTCAGGACGCCTATGAACAGATCAGAATCATACCTGAGCACGTACCGCGGTCTGCCATTACAACGCCTGATGGGAATATGGTCAGTAATGTTATCCAGCAAGGGGATTGTAATGCGCCAGCCACTTACCAGGTGCTGATGAACCATTTGTTCGGCAAGTACATCAGGAAATTTATGGACGTGTACCTCGACAACATCATCGTCTACTCTGATACTCTGGAGGACCATATAGATCACATTAAGAAGGTTTTGAAGATCTTAGAGCAGGAAAAGCTTTACCTGAGTGAGAGCAAGCTCCAGTTCCTGTGTGACGAGATAAAGATCCTCGGACGTGTGGTTGGCAAGGATGGGATCCAGATGGACCCTGCCAAAGTGGATAAGATCCTGGCCTGGAAGGTTCCTACAAACCGCACACTGTGCCATGGGTTCATTGGTTTGGTAGGGTACCTGGCGGACGATATCCACCAGGTGAGGTTACCCTTGGGGGTCCTGTCAGAAGCATCAGCGGATAGTGTTCTGTTCCATTGGACACACACAGAACAGCGTGCCTTTGATGAGGTTAAACATTATGTGTCGGTGTGTGCCCCACACAGTAGGATGCTGTTAGATTACTCACCAGGGCACGCTAGGATATGGATGATGATGGACGCCAGCGCCACAGGTGTTGGCGGCATAATTGCACAGGGGGACGATTGGTGAAAAGTGCGCATAGCAGCGTTCTACTCGGTGAAAATGTTGTCTGCCCAACATAACTGCCCTGTGCACAAACAAGAGTTGTTAGCAGGGGTGGAGAGCATGACAAGACATCGGGACATCCTGCAGGGTGTCCCCTTCACCTGGCTGACTGACCACAAGGGCTTGGTCCACTTCTTGAAGCAAAAGAACCTGTCAGGGCGTCAGGCTCATTGGCAGGAGACGACAGGCGAGTTTGACTTTACCATAGAATATCTCCCTGGGGAGGAGAACATCTTGCCTGACGCTTTATCTTGCCTCTACAAGTTTGACGAGCCAGGGACGGTCAGGGCGCCGAGTGAGTACATCACCCTCGATGGGGATGCCATCCCGTCTTCGGTGGTAGACATCATTTTGATGCCGGTGACAGTGGGCAAGGAGGCGATGGCCGACCTGCCTCGTCGTAGTGCGAGGGTGGCGGCCAGGCCAAGCGATCCGATTCCTGGTATGGGCTCGACCATACCTTTCATAAACCATGGTTCTAGGGATGGACAAACCCAAACCTTCCATGAACCGAAGAGTTTTGGGGGAAGGCAACCCCAAACCTTCCATGAACTGAAGAGTTTTGGGGGAAGGCAATCCCAAACCTTCCATGAACCGAAGAGTTCGACCAAGGGGACGTGGGCCAGTTGAGCCCGCAGAGACAGGACGCCCAGAGATGTCAGCAGAATTTGCGCGGTGGATAGGGGATCATTCCGTCCTAAAGGGCCCTGGTGAACGAAAGGAAGGGGGGGAGCACCTGATGGTGCCAAACCCTGAACTTAGCCAACCAGATGAGGCGCTGCACGTGGCGACACAGGAAGAAATTGAAAACCAAAAAGAAGGGTTAACAGAGCCTGAATACCAGCCGGCTAAGCTGCCAATAACGTACCCTGAGGACGAAGCACTGCTCTCCGAGGTAAAGGGGCGCTATGAGGAAGACTCGTTCTTCAAAATGATACTTGATGCACCTGGCTCGTATAAGAACTTTTAGTTGCAGGACGGGTACCTGCGGCTGCGTCTGCAGGATAGGGTACTACTCTGCATCCCAGATGTCTTGGTGGAAGGACGAAAATTGCGCGAAACTCTAATTGACCAGGCGCATTCATTGTTGGCTCATCTGGGCGCGCAAAAGACGATGTCGTACTTACAAGAGTACGTCTGGTGGAAAATGCTAGTACCTGACATGGAGGCGTTCTGCGCTTCGTGTAAAACCTGCCAATGGAGTAAACCACCAAACCAGAAACCAATGGGATTATTACACTCATTGAAGGTGCCATCAAAGCCTTAGGAGGCAATTGGCATGGACTTTGTCGGGCCCCTACCATTGTCGAGCAATAGGGACAGGGAATTTGACAGCATCACCGTGATAATCAATTTATTCATGGGGATGGTGCACCTCGTGCCAAGCCAAACGAACTACAATGCTAAAGAGATAGCGGAATCAATGTTCGCGGAGGTGTATCAACACCATGGCCTACCTAAAGTGATCATAAGCAATCGTGACGTGCTGTTCATGAGCGGATTCTGGATGCACCTGAATAAGCTAATCGGTATCAAACAGAAGATGTCCAGTGCTTACCATCCTGAAACAGACAGATCTACTGAACACGCGAATCAGACTGTGATGCAGATGATACGATGCGTCATATCGCCCAACCAGACAGACTGGGTAGGGCATTTGCCTGCGATTGAGTTTGCGATAAACTTAGCACACAATGAGTCTATGACATACCTGCCGTTCTTCATCAACTCAGGTCGCATGCCTCGGCCAATGATATGGGAAACGCCCGACTCAACTGAGTACTCAGGGGTAAGAGTATATGCCCAGAAAATGAAGGTGACAGTTCTCACCACGCACGATGCGATATTGGCTGCGCGTGTCAAGCAGACAAGAGAGGCTAACAAGCATAGGAGGGCCAGCCCCCTCATAGCAGGCGACCTAGTATATGTGTCGTCTAAAAACATTAGCTTCCCTAAGGGATTAGTACGAAAGTTCATACCCAAGTATATCGGCCCTTACCGAATATTGGAAGACTTCGGGAATAATTTGTATCGAATAGACCTACCCAGCAGGCTGAAACAGCGGGGTGTACATCCTGTGTTTCACTCATCTTACCTACGGATCCACGTGCCTAATGATGACCGTCGATTCCCCAGACGGCTTGAAACTCAGATCACTGAGTTCGATGACCACATGGAACGCGAATGGGCTGTCGATCGGATACTGTCTCATAAAGGCACCCAAATGGACACGGACTTTGAAATTCAATGGAAGTCCAGGGACAGGACTTGGCTACCATTTGACCAGGTAGAACATCTTGACGCGCTAAAAGATTATTTTAACGTCATTGGGGTAGAGTCCATCGGTGAGCTGGCGGATGGCAACAGGGAGGCACCAATTGACAATCCCCAGGTGTTTTTAGGGCACCTATGTCTCACTTCTGTCAGTACTTATAACACTTCCAACCTTGACATCCTTTCGGTACACTCGCACGAGGAAGATTACCGTCCAGACCCCATGCACAACTCAGCTTTTCGCAACTTTACCCTTTCCAGGCCTGGGATGTATACCTTCTTGGACATGCAAGTCCCTCAACAACTCTACTCGGTCACCCGCGAACAAGTTAAGTCTTTCGTGAACTATGATGCGCTTTTGCGATCTGGAGAAGACCACACTACCCACCCTGTGCCGCTCAGTTACTGATGAGTTCACATTCGAGTTTAACTTTAACGAGCCCTGAAGTTCTCGTTAAATTCACTACCGTTGGGATGGATGACGTGGTGAAGATCAACGGACCTGCCGTGACCACTGAATTTCTCGTCGGAGATGATGAAGTCCAACCCACCATAATTCAACCTACTACTACTACTCCTCGTGACCCGGAGGGAGGGCGTTGGCTAAACAAGCGTAAGGCGGAGCTGATTGACGACACCCTATGGGATAACCTTGAGAGGTCCCATCATCAGAACCTCCATTGTGACGAAGCCATCAAAGCTCAGAAGAGCAAGAGGCAGTACCTTGATAGCCCTCAGCCGCCCTCCTCGCCCGCACCTACCATTCCCCGTCCTCCTAAGTCCAATGCCAGTGGATCCAAGGTTGAGCCTGGCTGGGCCCCAGCGCAGAAGGAGACTAATCAGACGGATGACATGCGCATGGAAGGCACTGAGGATGATTATACAAATGAGGTCGCGAAGGAAGTCGGCCGCGTCAACAAGAAGGACAAGGGCATCGTGGGTAGGAAGTAAAGGGGACTTGGCAGTCCCCTGGAGGGGGGTATGTGGTGTTTGCACAGCCACCAATCAACACCCTTCTATTATACCATGTGACTGGTTATCTTTTCCTTTTGATATTCCTTGTCTCGGGTTCTGGAGTTTCCGAATAACCACGCTGCGCGTGTACTTACTTATATCACATGGCTTGTCTACCGAAAAACACATAAAAGACCCAGTAGATAGTATTGTAAAGCCCGGCGTTCTTGCAACTAAGCTATTACCTGGTGACATTGCGCAGATCGTCTAAGTCTTTTTCCGTGTGCCTTCGCCTCAAGTATTACTACTTCGAGCCGTCGTCACACCACCAGGCTTACAGGTTCACTGCGAAGACAAACACTTTTGCGCGTTTTTCTTCATAGAATAGAGAGATTGATGTAAAACATGCAGCTGCTTGTATTCTAACTACTTGTTGCAGGTGTGCTGTAAAGCCCTGCCATGCGATCTTTCGGTTGGACACTCATTTCAGCTTCACCAGTACAAGACGAAATCGCGCGGAGTTTGAAAATGGCTGGGCGTTGCCCATCCCCATACTCTTCTTCCTCAATCACGTGCTCTTTCTGCTCTTCGGCATCATCAGTGATCACTGCGGCTCGATAGATCTTCTTTCCTGGCATCTGGTTTCATATGATACAACTTTCTGTACAGAGCTTGTACATTGGCACGTTTCCGATGGGCACAACAACATCGTCAGTACCGATATATTCCAAACATATGGTTTCGGAGGAAAGCCGTTTCTTTATACGGTGTGGGCATGTTGGTGTATCAAAATCGCAATTTTATTGGAATGTTGCTTTGGGATGATACACATTATGTCAGTCCGTTCATGATGCACGCAAATGAGCTGGAACTGACCTACAGGCTACGTCCCACAGGACCACTCACTCTCCAACAACATTCTCTCAAGTCTGTGACAACTATTTGGCTTCTTCCTGTTGTGACACTTGTCGTCGCATCTTCTTCTGGAGGCATGCTCGTGCCGGCGCTTCAGGTCTATTCCCCCTCGTATGCGTTGCTCACGGCGACGTTCTCCATGTGCACGGTTGTAATAGGTCTTAGCCTTTCCCTGATGCTACTCACCATATACGTCCTTCGGCTGGTCGTATATGGTTACCCCACGGGTGCATCGATCCTGTCCGTCTTTCTTCCCGTTGGTCCTTGTGGACAGGCAGCATACTCGTTCCTTAAGGCTGGGGTCCGCTTTCCGCTCTCTGTTACCTCTGAATTATGGCGATCCAGGCGGAGTGTTGCGGCAGTCTGGAACAGGTGCAACAGTGGAGGTGATATGCGTGGTTGGCGCACTGGTGCTATGGTCGGTCTCGGTTACACTCTTCGACAGGAACGCATTGTCATTCTGGGGGACTGTCTTTCCTAACGTGCGTACCTATAGCTTTTTGTTGGAGGGTAATCACTCAATCTGACTATCCACGGGGGGTCTACGCAAAGCTCAACTTGACTTTGGCAACAGCATTTTTCTCGGCGTTCTTTCGCATATGCGGTTCAATATATGCGGTTGGTACGTTGGTATTGTGGGTGTGTATTGCCTTGCCTACAATACGGATGATCCCAAGCGGTCGTATATTCGACGCGCCGTGTCTGGAAGAGGTCATGATAGGGGAAACGGTAAGGGAAGCGGGGAAAAGCGGAGATGATTTAACAAACTGAACGTCATGTCGGAGAGATGTAGATGTGTTCAAGACTCACTCGGTTCATTTTCGGAGGTGAGGCATCTAGCAGGTCTACCTGCATTGTAGTAACGAAATATAGACTTGGCTTGTACTTCAGTACTGCCAAAATGCTGCAAAATGCGCCTTCGATCTTATTGAAGTTGTCCATCGATATCTGATGTGTTCTGAGTCTTATGAGTAGATCCCTCTTTCGACAATTCCTAAGAGCGTACACGGAGGCAGATTTCCAGGTGTGGACACTCCCACTACTTCATACTGAGTAGCTTAATCTGATTCACCTAACCTTTCTCCCACAGTATGTGTCGATGGAGAACAGTGTGTGGGTGGTATGTCACAGGTATCCTATGATTTCCGACCACGCATTCTGACGTTGCAGCTGCAAGAGATTGACATTCAATGTGGGTGTATACACGTCATATAGACTTGATGCCGACGGAACCAAACAAGACGGTATGTAGCGGGCCTCCGCATAAGCTTTGTTGTCGTGGGCGCGCCGAGCTGGCGGGGAATGGGTACGGTTGCACTTGTGAAAATGAGGCAAATGTGTTAGTAATGTCACCCCAAGTTGCAATGTTCAGTCTAGAATCGCTATGCTGTGCATCCTTATTCCCCACGGGCCACGACGCAGTTAAATTTACCACTTATGGTCACCGGTGAGTAATCGCAGTCTGCAAATGTTTCGTTTGGTCGTATAGTTTAACCAGATTTTCCTCCGAAATATGCAGCTTGTGCTCTCGCTGGATGCAGAGAAACGAGGAGCACTTGTTTCTTCACTTGTCAATCCGAGCTTTGCTGTCAATCATCAATGCATCACCCGTGACAAATACCCTTAGAGACTTTGTTAAACTTAAACCTTGACCCCGCAACGGCGCAACGCCACAACGTTGTTCGGTGTCGGAGTTGCAACGTTGAATGTACAACTGCTGGTTGACTGCTGGCGTTGAGCTGGCGCGAATCACAATTCATAGATGATCCGAGTGAGATGACATATATATGTTGTGGTGCACGGTGGGTCATAGACTGGCAGTCATACAGGTGTCTCCCTTTCCTTGAGCGCAAATATCTGATTAGGTTCTGGAATTCAATCAGCCTCGTCATTATGCTAATGGCACCTCCGAGCAAATCATGGAGGGAATGTATACGGTACGTGTGACACAATGTCCATTGTAACCTTCTGATCGATATGTAACAGGAATTTTACCTGGGCCTGGCATACAGTGATCATGGGCACTGGCGCTACATCTGCCCTGGTCCACGCGTTTCCGTACGGAAACGGTAATCCAGCGATCAAGGTCGCCACTTTGATCATTTTCTTTCTCAATCTCCTCCTCTTTGTCTTTTTTACTGGGGCAACCATCGCGAGATACGTGATGTTCCCTGACATCTGGCTCAAGATGATCCGACATCCAACCCAGGGCTTATTCATGGGTGCATTTCCAATGGGAGCTGCGACATTAATTAACATAGCACTGGTAAGTTTGCTGTTAACCGTTTGTCCTCACCTTCGATTTTCGTACCTTTGTTGCAGGTAGCGCATCAAGAATGGAACTTTGGAGGCATTGGTTTTCTATATACCCTTTGGGGTTGCTGGTGGCTCGACTCAATCGTATCGTACCTCATCGCTTTTGGAATGCTGCATGCGATGTGAGTGCGGAGGTTCAAATTTTCATGGTGTATCGCTGATGTATAGCTCACAGGATAGTGGAGCAGAAACATACCCTTGAGAGTATGACCGCCCTATGGTTACTCCCAGTTATCACCCTCATCGTTGCATCTTCAACTGGTGGTTTAGTCTCCACTGCGCTTAAAGCTCAGTCGATAAAGTTTGCAATCTGGACGGCTCTGTTCTCGTTGACTATGGTTTTCATTGGTCTCAGTCTCGCGTTGATGGTGATCACGATATACCTCGCGCGCCTCATCACAAATGGTCCGCCAGAGAAGCCACTCGTTTTGTCTGCTTTCATCGCATTGGGTCCTCTCGGTCAGGGAGGATACTCGCTCCTCATTAATGGCCAAACCTATCCGAAATCCTTCCGCTGTATGTCTCGGGCACGTTCCCAGAGGTAGCAGCTGGAGGACAGATGATATTCTCGTTCTTTTTCTGCGGAGCTTACATCCTGTGGTCGATGGGTATCTGCTGGATTATTATCTCCTCGAGTTCCATATTTAGCGTGCTCAAAAAGGAGGGGAGCATACCATTTTCCATCACGTATCAAGGGTTGATCTTCCCGAATGCTGTATTTGCGCTTCTCTCAGTGCAGCTTGGCAATGTTCTGAACAGCGGATTTTTCCATGGGTTTGGTGCTGCGTGGACAGGTCAGAATACACGTCATTGTCCTTTTCGAGACCTCACCGTTTCTGATAGTTATCGTCTTCATCCTGTGGCTGAGTATCTTTGCAAGAACCATCCCAGCAGTCATCGACAGGTCCGTATTTGTTGCACCAGATATCGCAGCTCTACCCTTACCACTTCATATTAATGAATTAAAACTGCGGGAAGCAGTCATATCAATACTATAGTCAGTAATTTCATGGGAACCTCGTAGTTATGTAGTACCTTTTCAAAGTACATGTCGCAGGCCGACACTAATATACGTTGATACGATGTGTACCTGTTATTTTCCTTCCTGTGACATGTAATAGCTATGAATATGACCGGGCTTACTCTCATGCCATGACCTCGGCCTTGACGTACGTAATGAGCTGCAAGAGTTGTGACACAGCCACTTACATCTCGCGGCTATATACGTGCTGAGCGCTGAGCAACGCGTGGCTGTAACCCTCAAGTACTCTGAGCTCACGTCGGGCTCAATCGACGAACGAACTCTGAAAAGGCCTCCATACAGACATCTGATTCCTCGCCGTTCCTGGGCTTCATTATGCCCCACTCTGCCGGCTATCAACAGTTACCCCAAGATGTTGAAGACGAAACCATCCTCGAGGAACAAAACCCGGAGGATCACACTAAGGCGGCTCGTGGACGAAGCGCACGAGCACACAAACCAGGTCATATAGACTTGCGGAAGTTAGATAACGCATTCAAAAGGTGTGCGAGGGGCTCGCGGTGACTTACCATGGTCTGTGGAGCTAACATATGTGTTCAGATGGACAGAATCCATTGCGCAGAAAGTTAAACGGAAGAAGAAAGTTGAAGACTACTCCCGTAAGGAAATATGGCAGAGCGTCTTTGAGCCTTGTGCGCCACCTTTTGCCGTTGGGAGCGGAAGTGACATTACGGTAAGCCCTGTGGTTTTTGCTGTCCAGTTGCATGTTCGGCATGGTTCCCAGTGTCCCGTGTTGATGGGAATTTCTTGCCTCACAGGTCAAGACACTTGATCACAAGCCTCCCATGTCTCAAGCAGCTTTCGACAAGTAAGCTAAGATTGTTAGGAATACTGCTAAGCTCATGGTCCATAGTTTAACCCAATCAGTGCGAAATGCCATATCAGCAGGAATCCACCCAAAAATGATTGTGAAAGGGTCTTCTGGATCCTACTTTGCTCGTGCGAAGGTCGATGGGAGAGTCCAGACAGTTGCGTGAGTATTGTGTGCTTCAATTGTAGTTGCGAAATTCACCACATGTCATAGCGTATTCAAGCCTAAAGATGAGGAACCCTATGGGCGCTTGAATCCAAAAGTGTGTATCATATAATTGCCAAGACGTTCACTTAGAAAAAATTTAGACTACCAAGTGGCTACATCGGCAGTTTAGATGGATAATCCCCTTCGGACGGGCTTGTCTGATACCGAATCTCAGGTAATTTACAACTTGTAACAGCACCCTACCCCACCTGACACTGACTGTCCTCAGTTACATCTCGGAGGCTGCAGGGTCCCTACTTGACGACCGCCTTGGACTCAATATTGTCCCTCGTACACAACTCGTCGCCTTATCTAGCCCTGTGAGTCCATGGTATGCTTTCTGGAATTCCTGTCTGAATAATCGTGTCCTAGGCCTTCTTCTACGATTGGATTGACAGAAACGCAGCCAAGAAAGGTAAACCACTACCTGAAAAGATAGGAAGCATGCAGTATTTCTTGCATGGATACACTGGTGTGTTCACCCTACTTGCTTGCTATACATAGATTCATCTCCAGGACGTCAGATGCATCAGACTTTCTACGGAAGCATCCTTGGCCCGGTCGCTCTATCGCAGATACATTTGACGATTCATCCCACCGTAAAGGTGTCCCTACGAAACGTTTCCTTAGCGCGCTGAAAATAATATGCGGAAGGACTGGTGAGGAAGATATAGACGACGAGGACCCGGAGGAAGAACGTGCTCTTTTCGACGCTACTGAAGACAACGAATCAGGACGTCCGTTCTATTGGTCGCGAGCGCTTCAACAAAGTTTCAGAGAAGAGCTAGAAAAGTACGTTGGTTAGCTTACATTCGGTCATAGGTTCTCATGCTGTATTTCACTCTCAACTAGGCTTGTGATACTTGGTGATACCCTCTCTGTTATATTCTTCTTGATGGCTGACCCCACGACCAGACTACTTGATGCTGAATACTGACCGTGGAGCTGACAACTACATGATCAAATACTGTGAAGGCATTCACGAGAAGCTAGTTGATGTTGCCCCCCAGCCTTCAGCTCACCCCCAGATGCCACAGATGCGTCGTGCTGACACGCAGTCTCCATCATCACAGTCTACCGTTACTTTCGCCAATGCCATCCCTCCATCTCAAGCTAACGCTGCTTCGTCCGACTACATACGTCAGCCGCATATACATATTGCAGCCATAGACAATTCACTCTCGTTCCCTCATGAGCATCCTCGAGGCTGGCGATCGTATACATACGGATGGTTATATCTTCCTGTCAACTTGATTGGGCGCCCTTTCAGTGAAAAGACGCGAGCGCATTTCTTGCCCCTCTTGACCTCCAAGACTTGGTGGGAGGAGACGACTTTCCAGCTTCGTAAACTTTTTGCAGTCGACCCTGACTTCCATCCCAAAATGTTCCAGGTCAGTTTTGAGAGTACCTTGGTGGAAACCTTACGACATAATCCTCTATTTCAGAGACAATTGGCTGTCATCAAAGGTCAAGCTTACAACATCATCGAGTCTTTGAAGCATGCGGTGAGCAAGAACTGGCTGGCTGAATGCTTTGAAATCTTTCAACTAAAATATTTTACTTCTGCTAGGATGAAGGTGAGCTATGGAGGCAGCTAAATAAATAATCTCGGTGTTTATTGTTGCAGGTCCCCTGGAGCTGACCCGTCGTACGAAAGCACTTGTTTGGGATGACGAAATTGAAATCATGGAAGAAGCACCCCGTCCTCCTGTCGGTCCTCTACCTGCATCACCCCGTCCGTCCATCAGCACCATGCCATTACCACGGCGTGCACGCAGTCATAGCTACTCTGCTGAGTTCCCTCCACCCGGCCGCCGGAGATCATCAGAAGCCGAGCGCCCCGTTCCATTCTCTGCGAAGTTCCAGAAGGTACATCCTGGCACGACAGGTGTTACGGTTCTCGAACATCTTGAGCGCCTGGATGCTGTCGAAGCCGGGCTGCAGCGGCTTGGCGTCGAAGAACCCGTCATCGAGGAGGACGAAGAGGAAGTCGATGTTGGAATGTCGTCCGCACCACAACCGCTCCTTATCCCCGCTACGGATTCGCCCTCACCCAATGACCTATCGGCTTCACAGCAGTTCACCCCACCTGGTAGTCCGGGCGGGCTCGCCTCTGTTCCAGAGGTCCAGTCACTCGCTAACTCTGTCACGGAGGAGGATCTTGCAGTCATGTCGAAGTCAATGTCTCATGTCGAGTCCCCATTCACACCTCAGCACAATAGGTGGAATAGCCATGCTGGGCGGATATACCACCAGCCTGACCAGAGCCTAGACTGGATGAACGTCGACGAACTTGAACAGCAGAAGCGAACTGTTATTGTCGAGGTATGAGCCTCGCCCTGTTAATGACAAAGATCTAATTCGCAAATATACTACCCCAGCGATTTGAGATAGTCGCCGCAAAACCTCTTCTCAGCTGCTGGTGAAATATATACACATTTCTTTCATATAGAGGGGACTACTTTGTCGTGTTATGTGTCAGGTTGTTATCGTAATTTGCTATCTGGTATAAATGTCCAAAGTACTTGGAACGCATCATATACATTAAGTCGAACATTCACCTGGCAAGCTCAATGCAAGAACAAGTATATTACATCCATTCAGTCTCCCTCAGTCATGAGCCACGACGCGAAGTCATCCAGCCGCTGCTTTTCTGATTCATCGTTATCTCCATCTAGTTCGTCGCCCGCTCCACTGCGTTTGAAGCGCTGTTTGCCTGAATACAAAAACGCCTCAACGCGTCTTCCAGAAAAGAACCTGTTGTTCATTTTCTATGACAAGGTCGATCAATACTCATCTTTGTCTAGGGGTAAGTGAGAAGGGCACGTACAATGACACAGGCCTGAGCACTCAGTGAGTCTCTGAACTTGACTGTCATCACTCCCTCAGCCTCTTTCTACAAGGCAGTTCAGACGTGGCTGTGGGGTAGTGAAATATAAGACATACATCATACAGAACCACGTTTGTGACTTCTCCTAATGATGAGCATTCGTCACGCACGTCCTCCTTCAAATCGAGTAGCAGAGACACGTCTTCATCGAGTTCCTGGAGGGTGAACATGTGTTTGAGCACCACCACACGGCAGTTCCTGTTAACTATGTTCTTTTCGTCTTCCTCAGTCCTAGAGGGGCCAAAGCCATCTTCGTCATCCCATTCTTCAATTTTTCTGTGGGCGAATTAGAGATGACAAGGCGGTCTGAAAGAGGAGAAACATACTTCTGCATCTTACCGATCCTTCTGGTAATCTTCTTCTTGTCTACCGTCTTCCGTGGTTTGGCTACCTCTCCTGCCCCGCCTGAATGCTTGTGACGAAATTCCGCCTTCTGCACCCTCATCACCGTTGATGTGTCCCCTATACGGAGTTCTGCATCATCCAAGAGGCTGACTGCCAAAGTCACTGATTCTTCTTTGAAGTAAACCACCAACGCTTCTCCACTAAATGATCCATCCTCTCGTGCGTACAGTTTCACCTTTTGTTCGCCTTCGTCATCTTCCTCAATAACTCCAAACCTAGCAAAGCGCTCGACGATTTCGTCCACCTCAGTGTCTGGAGGGAGACCAGTTACGTAGACTGCCGTGTTTTTGGACTTGGCTGGCTTGTCGTTCTTGCCACGCTTCGCAGAAGGCTCTGTTGGAGGCTTAAAAGACGTGTAGTCTTCAGGTTCCTTCCGCTTTTTATTTGTACGTTTGAGCACAGGTGCAGCTGGTGCCTGCGGATGTTATTAGTTTAAGGAGTCAAAGTATTGAACAGCACGACTTGACCTCTTCATCCACGCCAGCGACTGAATATGCAGCTTGTTGCTTTTTGATCAGTTCCTCATCTAGCTGCAAATGTTGCTTGCCTCACGATCACCGGCGCCCCACGAATTTCACACTCACCACCGGAACCCATGTACCCTTGGAAGAATCATACTCCAGTTCACTACCGTCGTCATTCTCTAGCCTCCATGTTCCCGTCTCTCTCGAAAAGTGGATGCGGTCATCATTGGCAAAAGCGGCTGCTTGTGCGGATGCCGACGCGCCCGCAACTGCTGATGGTGGTGCATCGTTGGACATCATCACAAGGCGGTTGTTTGCGTATATTTGATTCTAAGGCCTTAACAAATTCGGATAGCTACTTATATCCCGCTATGTTACTAATAGTCTAAACTTGATTATGACCACTTTCTATAAGTACCCTTGGAAATGTACTGGTCCCCGCGGCACGATGGCAGCGCAATGCTAATATTAGTGATCTCATCAGTGATTCTTCCCTACGGGAATTGTTTTTGTCATGTCATTCACGTCAGCATTTCCCTTCTACACCATACACTTACTCATTCAAATGATCACTCAGTACTCAGCGCTCAGCACGCTAATCTGTAAGCAATTGGCGTCATCATTATAGTATATATTCACTTGCTTGCAGGAATTCATCTATAATTTCTGCGCTTCATTCGCGATCTCTCCCAAACTAGCCGTGCGCTCACCATCATGTCAACTCAACAAGCTGTGTGGCTTCCTGGTATTGGACAGGATTTCTCCGTTGGTCCTAGGGAGATCGACGCACCTGGCCCCGGCGAACTTCTCGTCAAGATCATTTCGAGTAGTCTCAATCCTTTGGACTGGAAAATCCAAGAAACAGGATTCTTTTTCATCAAGTCTTACCCGGCAGTCATCGGTGAAGAGGCTGCTGGCACTGTGGAAGCTGTTGGTGAGGGTGTCACTGATTTCAAGGAAGGGGATAGGGTGTAAGTGGTATCGTAGATGATAGGACAGTATTGACGTTTCTTCAATAGATTTTTCCAAGCGAACATGGGTAGCAACGAGTTTGCCACCTTCCAACAGTACTGTATCGTAGTTGCTGACTTGGCTGCAAAGGTGTTGTAAGCTCTAACAAAACCAAGTTCCGCGCATTGATTGCTCCTTAGATTCCGGAGAACAAGACTTTCGATCAAGCGGCTTCTGTGCAGATTGGCATCATCCCCTTCGCTGTTGCCTTGTATGCACAACAGCCTCAAGGACTGGCTCACCTTGCGCCGTGGATAGAAGGTGGGAATGGCAAGTATACTGGACAGCCTATCGTAATCATGGGCGGTGCATCATCCGTCGGGCAGTACTGTACGTGTGGATCCAACTTTGTTCCTTGGTTGAATATTCACAAAGTGCATAGCCATCCAGCTTGCTAGGCTCTCTGGATTTTCCCCTATCATTACCACAGCTTCCTTGCACAACGCTGAACTCCTTTCCTCGCTCGGCGCCACGCATGTACTCGATCGTAAGCTCTCCACTACTGCGTTGAAAGACGCAATTGTCAAGATCACATCGATTCCTATTACTTTGGTCTTTGACGCGATCTCTCTTCCTGGCACACAGCAAACCGCCCATGACATCCTTACTACTGGAGGAACGGTCAGTAATAGTGACGCATCCTCAATTGGATAAGAAAAGCGAGGATAAAGTTCTTCACCCAGTGTTTGGCAGCTTCCATGAACCTCCCAACCGCGAGCTGGGTAAGAGCTTCATGCCCGTGTTAACTCAGTGGCTCGCCGATGGGACAATCAAAGTTTGTCTCCACGTCCATGCACGTATACTGCATACTCACATTATTTGTACATCAGCCAAACTTTGTTGAAGTCGTCCCAGGCGGGCTGAATGGTGTGTCTTCTGGTTTGCAGAGACTGAAGAATAACCTCGTCAGCGGCAAGAAACTCGTTGTTCGCCCTTGGGAGACTGCGTGAAGACCACAGACCAAGAGAGGGATTCGAAAGTACAAGGTTCATTCGACGTATATGTTATTAACGACTCAAATACTATGTGCGCAACAAAGGAAATGGAGACTACAAACACGTACAATAGCCTGAAATCGATGCGTAGGCTCTCACGTTAGTAGAGGGGAAGTTGCTCTAAGTTGCTTCGAATCTTCTCCTTGAGGATGATCTGCGGAAAAAAACAAATGAGGACAGACCCTTACGTGCCGAAAGAAAGCAGTTGTTATTACGCTATGGGGTCATCAGAAATGTAATGCGACCTTCGACTCGTTGCATCTACGAGATGCATGAAATATCCACGCCCTTACAAGTATTGCAAAGATGCATACCGCTCAGTGAGCATTCTACCAAGGACCTGTGGATAATACATAGATAGATAAGCCGTGCACGTTTTATCAATACGTCCTTGTCCCAACAGAGATTGCGGTGACATCTCAGCAACACAGTCATTACTTAGCATTAATGTTTACGCACACCTGTACCTAGCTTCCGTTCAATATATAAGCAAGCTGCATCTCTCCTATTTGTGCTAGAACTCGCAACTCCCCGTATACGTAGCGCATCACCCTCACTTCCACGGCGCTTGATATCGAGGGATTCAAGCGTCCTGGAAGGGCGGCAGAGACAAGTAAGTACGTCGATGGTTCATAACGTTCGGTGAAGGTATATCCGGTGAGAAATGTGGTAGGCATAGCCTTATCTGTTCGCGTCTGAGGTCTATATATCAGTGAGCTCCACATAGAAGACGCTCCACCAGGAGAATGAAACCAAACAGAGTACTTAAACAGCATCAAGTATGACTATGACGAGTATCGCACAGCTCAACGATTTAGCAACGCACCTGGTTCACTGAATGAATGGAAATGTTGCTGGGGAATTTCGCTTGATGAAAGAGCAGAACACTCTGCGCGAAGGAAGTCCTGCGCACTCTATACAGGAGGTTAACCAATTCAGCATCTCGATCCCGCTGGTGTGCACAATCAAGATTATCCGTGGCGCAAAACATGATGGTTGTCTCTAGGAGTGTTGTGACTTGATTCATCGCCAACAAGAAGTGGAACAAAAGCCTCAAGTAGAATGCAAGCGGACTACTTGTATAGCAACATTGGGAAATAGGCATTGGGATCATGAGGGGCGTCCGGCGCGAGCTCAGCTCTCCATTTCTTGAAGGGTGTGGGCACCTTCGGGGGAAGCTTCGACTGGTCATACACCTTGTGCACAGACGTGATTGTGGCAATGGCACTTGCCAAATCCATGATCTCCAGAGTCTTTGCAGGAACGTCCGATTTCTCCCCTTCCTTGGCTTCTGATGGTGCAGGAATACTGTGATTACATGTCAGTGGGAGTCCACCACACAGAGGACACGGAAGCGTACGCCTTGGCTTCAGAGTGCTGGATAAGAAGTGTCGATAAGTCGGGCTGCGTGACTACAGAAAGTTGGGGATATGCCCTCCGAACATCTCTCTTCCAGTATGGATTCTGGGCGGGGTCAGAAGCTGACAAGAAAAAGGATGAGTAGTGGATGTAGTGCGAATAAGAGGCCTACCTTTAGTTGCTGGAGAGGAGTACTTCTCTGGTCTGGAACCAGGCTGCGGCCATCTGTAGATTCCTGCTAGTGGGATACCACTCGAGATTTCGGGATTAATGACCAGAGCGTCACCTGGTAAGACGCGTTCACAGAAATTGGATATGTCGAGGAGATGAAGCAACTCACGAAATTTCTTCCAAAAACCTTTCGGATGAACATGGTAGAGAGTCGACTCCGCCTGCTTTCTTCGTGGCCGCCATCTGGTAAAGTTCAAGTTGAAGCTCGGGAAACTGCGGGCATTGCGAGCGAATAGATTACATAATGAACGCTATATCAGCCTCGGTTGGCAGCGACGGCACTCACAAGCAAATTCCCACTGCCCTAGTACTCATAAGTGAATGTTACTAAACTGATATCTGATTCTTCAAGCTCATATCCGCACCGACACGTCTGTCAGTGATATCTGACGCAGGCTTTGCAGAGTTGCACTAGAGCCCAGTGCTCTATCTGTTTCGCCGGTTCAATATGAGTCATGCCAAGATCTTACAAGACATGCCAGGTGTTGATTGGCCAGCGGACTGCTAGCCAGTCGACACATGGCAGTGATATGTTTCACTGGTAATTGTGCTCATCACATTCGCCTTTTCGCACTTTGACTATGCAAGTACCCGTTCAAGTTCTATACTTAGTCTAGGACCACCTGTATTGGGCTGATCCAATGATAGTTTATGCACAGTGGTGCCCAATATTGGTGGGTTAGTCTCCCCTAAGTAGAGACGGAAGACGATCGATCCTTGACAATTGCCGTTGTCAACGTAAAATCACGCAATGCATAACGCCATCCTCATCACATTGCTAGTGAATCGCGTGTACTGGCCTTGGTCACGATATAAGGTGCTTGTTGCCTGAATTGACGCTGTATCCTCAAAGCTATTTTACCTCCCTCAGCTCAGCGCGCCATCATGGGTGTGAGTGTCACAGTATTTGCCCATAGTCATGCTAATACCACCACCTCACAGCACCCCCCGGATACCGGTCTCAGGACTCCTGGCACTGACTCGGAATCTGAGCATGACCGTCACGAGCTGGATGCTGGTCTCGAGGCTATTAACACTGAGCGTGACCCTCACGAGCTTCCTACGTTCGATTCTGAAAGTCTCACAAAACCCACATCCACCATCCTCTATCTACCTCCACTACTTTCTTCTCCACCTCACGAGCTCAGGATACTACCTGACTCGCTAGAACATCGGCCGACCTTCACAGAGACCCTTCTCCCAGATATAGACCCCGTATCGCTGTCATTGCACAAAGCTTTGCACCACTTCCATCCGGCAACTCCACATTACGCTGAAGTACCATACGAGGAAGCGTTCAATTGGCCCGAGCTTGAACTTCCGGAAGACGAAGAGCGCGAGTGGTACTGTGTTGTCTTTCGTAGCAAGCGAATACCTGGGAGCGACAGTGGACGTAAGTTACGATTATCCGTACTCGGACGTTTGACTGATTTATCTCACATTTACAGCCCTTTATGATGCAGACAAAAAAGCTCACGAGGAAGCCGTGCTTAACGGTGGGGTATGCAATCAATTCCTCGTTCATTGCTCCTACCAGCTCGTCCTGACCTTGCTATCCTCTAGCTCATCATGTATTGGTACGGCGTGCCAAATCCACAAACGGGCATGAACCTCGCAACGTGCATCTGGCAGTCCCGGAAACATGCGGTAGCTGCCAACTCGCACCCGCATCACATCCGTGCGATGGCGCTTGCAGCGGTCTCATATGAGATATATACTCTAGAGCGATATAAACTTCGAAAGTCACGGGGAGAACGTGGGGTTATCATCGCACCGTTTGACGGAACTGAAGTTGTGTGGTAACTCTCCAACGTTGATTCCTTATTTTTACTTATATACCTTCGCAATGCTTTCGTTTCATTTAATACCTCATGTCGATTTGTAACTTAGAGAAGGAATCGTTATACTGGTAATGGATAAGCAGGTCTGGAATGCTCAAGATTCGTTAATGATGATCCGTCCACGATTCAATCGTGTCATGACTAGTGTCTGAATGCTGCGAAAACAATCCTTCAATTTCCTCAAGGCCAACGCCGCCTCTCCCTGAAAGCGATCGACGCGATAACATCCATGAGACAGTCGATCTTTGTTCTTGCCGAGGCGGGTGCTGGGTACTGCGCGTTTGGCTTGAACGTTCTTTCTTCGGTGTTGCTGGTTGTGATGCTTGAGTTGGGCGCGGGGGTGTGAAAGGTTGCTCGTGGCTCTCCGGAATGCATGGTGTTATGCGGTCTGCGGAAAGCTTTGGAGAGACGAGTTGGAACACGATGAGACGAATTTTTTCATGGGGGCTTACCATCGGCTCCTGCGTTTTTACCTGCTCTTTTTCTACATCTGCCATGCCAGGGACCGCAGGGGATGATGGTGCACCCCGAAGCGGTGAAATAAAAATTCCCGAGGCTGGAGCGAAGACCCCTGTTCCGCTTTGGTCATTCAACTGAGGAGATGGGGATTGTTGGATGACATGTCCGGATACAGGTGAACCGCGAAAGGACCCCTCAAGAAGGCCGCATTCTATGCGCACGTCAGGTGCTTCATTGATTGTTGCTTGTTCGTCAGCGACACTGCGGAAAGAATGAGGCAAATCCGGTAAAGGGCCATCGGGCTCTTCAAAGACGGGAGGAAACGCGGCTGATGCACGGATGTTAGGAGTTTGCTGGTTGGTCAAGCTAGGATCAGGCAAGGTTTTTCTGAAGAATGGCTGCCAGTGGAAATCAAGGCCGTCCAAGTCAAGCTCGTACGATTCTGGCTCCAGAGGGTCAGACAGTGATGGGTCTTCAGTTGGGGAATCGAAGTACACTGGTCGAGAGACGGTAAATGCCGGTCCAGGGGTAGAAAATATATTCATCGTCAGCTCGTTCTCTTGCAAGTCAGACGTCAGTGTGTTAGGAGCAAGAGCGCTGAAAGCAATAGACGATCGGCGGCGTAAGGAGGACAGGAAAGTTTCCGACTCTGGCGTAGTTCGACGAATTACAGAGGGTGATGTGAACTTGGCGTGATTGACACTTGCGTCGCTAGACAAAAGTGGTGTGTTGATGTGCGCGGAGATCTGCTTTAATTCTGACAAGCGGTCTAAGATCGGTGGAGCATTTGAAACGCCGCTGTATTGTAAAACGGCCAACGAGCCAGGAGTGGAAAATGGACGAAACCCAGGGGTGTCTTCTCCGAAATGGAATGCATGTATCTCCGCGTTGACAGTCGTCGGTTCACAAGGTAGCAACCCATCGTCACAGAAGGTACAGTCAGCAGACGGTAGGCGCGATTTTTGATGAGATGTATCATCATTTTCCGGTGCGTCGGCGTCAAACGGTAAGAATGCAAACATGCGATCTGTACTGGCCTCTTGAGAACAGGGTCGAGGTGAATCGTTTCGAGTTCTGGCCGCCATCTCGTCTTCGTGAATAGCAAAAGGTGGAAGCAACTCTCGAAGCGGATGCTCAGGCTCCAAGACGCTGAACGTACTAGCGAGCCACAAGGGTAGGGCCTTTGCCGGTGCCTGCCCTCGAGAACCCTGATAGCGGCAATAGCCAAGTTTGGGTTCTCATAAGTAGAAAAGCGCGCGCATATAGCGTACCTTTCTATATGCTTTGAGTTCGCGCTGTACTATAGGAGATTTCAACGGCCTTTTGTTCATCTTCAATACAGAAAAATCCCTTCCAAGTCTACCTTCGTGGCTATATGCGTCTACAGGCGTCTTGGGGAGATCATAGCTGCTGACGGAAGAAGACCCGGAGGAACGTGCGCGCTTTCGATGTGTTGTAGGGTCAGAACTGTATGAATGTGTGACGTGCACTTGGGCAAGCATCCGATCAAAACGAGTATTAAGTCCCAGGGTCTTTCTGCGTTTCAGAGGTCCTGGCATATTCCCTGATAAAACGTTGTATCCATAGCATCGCGTAAGCTTCACTTCGTCATAGAAACATACCAACTCCTCCCACTCCTTTGTATATCATCGGTGAAGCGCTGAGACTCTAGTATTCGAACAAGCAACAATTGAAAGTATCATATTTTGGCTCACCTAGCATGGCTCAAAAAGCTAATATTCGAAGCACTGGAGAAAGAGTCCGCCTCCGAGGCGTCGCACTGCAACAATGATCGATGACCGGGCATCGTTGCAATGTCCGTCGCCCTTGCGTTGCGCTTCAAGCTTCAACTTGGTCCTTGGACGCCTGAGTAAGGAATTGTCTGACAAGTCTAGGTCCCCGGATCGCCCGGGACGATCATACTTGCTTACATAATGACACCCCAGACGCGGCACCCGACCTGCATGCCGGCATCACTTTATCCATTGAAGCGCGTGGTATCACTTTCAGGTTTGTCCTTTCCAGTGCTTGTCAGCTGGTACAGTAGGTGTGAGTTTCCCCCCTTAGATATAATCTCTCTCTGACGCGCAAACTCTGTAGTAGCAGGCAACCGGGGAAGGGATTCCGTAGTGGAAGACATTCAAGTTTACTTCCGCTCAGCTTCAAGTTCATAGCGATAAGTCCCTCGGATCTCCAGGTGACCTCATTTTCGAGTAAATGAATTACGGGAAGTTTGGATTACCCTCCTTCACTGGAGAAGACGGTCCTCCAGTGAAGACTTTCAAGCAATCATTTAATTCTGCCGAAGCCGAGCTCCCTCTTTACCTGCATACGAGAGAACCGAAAGTTCTAAATAGATGGCAGAAGGGCGCCTTTACCGCTTTGCTTGCTATATGTCTGGCTGGCCTTTTGCTACAGAGATACCAACCTCACCGGCACACACACACGCAACCTCAGACACAATCCCGCAATCCTGCCTATCTCATAGAAGCGGAACATGGTGCCGTCGCTTCTGAGAACAAACGGTGTTCAGACATAGGCATCGACGTGTTGAAGGAAGGAGGAAATGCTATCGACGCCACCATCAGCGCCGTTTTTTGCGTTGGCGTGGTCAACATGTTTTCGTGCGTTATCTGCGTTTTTGTCCAGAATTAATGTTTTAACGTAAATTAGCTCTGGCATAGGGGGAGGGGGATTCATGACGGTTCGCATCCCACCCTCGTCCGAGGGTGGTAGTTCGGAAGTATATACCATTGATTTCAGAGAAACTGCACCCGCTTTGGCAAATAGTACCATGTACAAGGATGATCCAGATGCCGCGCGATGGGGCGGATTATCAGTTGGCGTTCCCGGTGAAATGCGCGGACTCCAGGAAGCACACAGACGCTGGGGGACATTGCCGTGGGCTAGACTTGTGCAGCCTAGTGTAGACCTTGCTGCTGAATGGACGGTTGACATAGAGCTGGCACGACGTCTGGAGGTAAAGCAATAGACATGCGAATCCGAGGCGTTGATTGATTACATGCCCTCTAGATGTTTGCACCAGCTATGCTTCCTAAGGAAGACTGGAGATCGATATTTGCTCCTGAAGGACGGATGCTGCTTGAAGGCGAAACTATTAGACGGACGAATTACTCACGCACACTTTCTGCTATCGCTTCGGAGGGACCCGATGTTTTCTACAAGGTTTGATACTCGACAGTGTTTATGTCGGAGCTGCGGTTAAGCTATCATTGAGTAGGGCCCGATAGCTGACTCCATCATACGCAAGATACAAGCCACAGGAGGAATAATGACGAATGAAGATCTAGAGAAATATACCGTGAAGGTGGATCATGCTCTTCAAGGGACATATCATGACAAGAAAGTGTATACCAGCCGCGTTCCTACTTCAGGACCCGTCCTCCTGCATATCCTGAACATCTTGGAACGTTATGATCTCATCGGTGAAGGTCGAACTGGCTTAAACACCCACCGGTTCATAGAGGCCTTGAAGTGTAAGCATGCGCCTTCCTTTGGCTTGTGTCTTGTACTGACGGTGTGATGTCAGTCGGTTTCGCAGCTCGGCGAGTCCTCTTCTCCCAGTTTCTTACAACCAGCTCACAATACACTAGCACAAGGATTGGTGACCTGCCATATATTACCAATGGAACAGCCCGTATCGCCGAAATATCCACCAAATCCTTTGCGGACGCTGTAGCAGTCAACCTCACTGATGTATGATTTTCCGTGCTTTGTGCTTTGCCGTTTCTAGATGACAATCTAGGATCGTACCCATCCCCCCGAATATTATAACCCAGAATTCGACGTGAAGATTGATCATGGGACTGTACGTGACGTGTTTCTGGTTCATAAACGCTAAAGCAGGTCATTATATTCCCAGAGTCATACATCCGTGGTAGACAAGGACGGGATGGCCGTAGCATTGACGACCACGGTGAATCTTATCTTTGGATCCATGGTTCTCGACCCCGAAACTGGAATTATCCTAAACGACGAGGTGAGTTCTCGCACGTGACAACTTGTTTGGACCATGTGAATAATATCCAGATGGACGATTTTGCGGTTCCTGGATCGCCTAATGGTTTCGGGTTGTGGCCCTCACCGTGTACGACTCAACTCCACCGTATCGTCGCACCGATCTAATCATCATCCTTCCCTCAGATAATTACCCCGAGCCCGGAAAACGCCCCCTATCCTCAACGGTACCAAGCATCATCGAAAACGCAGACGGCTCCTTTTACCTAGCAATCGGAGGTTCCGGAGGCGGACAAATCTTCGGTGCAGTCCTCCAAACCATCTTAAATCTCGATTGGGGGATGGACGTCAGCAAAGCTATCGAAGCCGGAAGAGTGCACGATCAACTATACCCATTAACCGTAGACGCCGACGATATCGTGCCTGGTCTCATATTGAACGCTCTCATAGACCGCGGGCACAATGTCACAGGCATGTCGTCATCTTTACCGAAGACATCTTCTTTTTTGACTCACGGGTTGTCGATGCAGTGTCAGATATCAACCGCATCGCTGCTGTCGTACAAGCGGTGGTTTCGAAAGATGGCAAGATATTTGGTATGTTATCTTGCGTGATTTTTGCGTGATTGAAATTTGACGACGTGGTACAGCGGCTAGTGATTCGAGGAAGAATGGTGAGGCCGCTGGATATTAGCCGCCGGTTTGGGGTCCATTTTGTCCGATGCGATGATAGCATCCGTAGCCAAGTATTTAACAGCAATTGCATTTATGCGAGTCTAGAGTCCGACTCCGAAATAACGGCATTTTGTTTAGCATGAGCTTTAGAATTAAACAGGTACAAATGAGGACAAACTGACACGCTTCACCTCCATCCTCTTGCCAGGTGGTTTACACAGAAACCATTTCAGATTTCAGATTTGAAATGGACAGTCTGGACTGGGACCTCGTTTCTTCATACGCTGGCCTGTTGTGTTTGGCTTCCATCTCCATCTTCGTCGGAGCTCATGGTTCACTTCCAGTGCGTATTGTATTGTACCCTGCAATTGGATCGTTCATGCCTAAAGTAATTACATTTTATGTAGACCCCAAAGAAGTCGGCAAAAGGGCCCAAGAGCTTGCTGCAAGATGACGACGATGAAAACGAGGATATACCAGATCGTTTGTCTTCTGGAGATGCGTGGCTTTTCCCAGTCGTCAGTTCCTTTTATCCTGCACACGATATTTGGCTGAACAAAACCAGGCAGGCTCAGTAGCTTTATTCGGAATGTACACCATAGTAAAATACTTTGGAAAAGAATGGATAAACTACCTTCTCGCATGGTACTTTTCCCTTGCAGGTGTAGGTAGCGTGTGGAAGGTAAGTCGCGTCGATCATCGTATTTCTTCTTCTGACCCCGTGTTTTTAGTCTGCTGCGTCGTTTATGAGAAGCGTGCTCGGTAATGAGCGGTGGAAGACATTTGATCGAAACAGGCTTTTGGTTCTAAAGGGTCCACGGGGTTTGTGTTTTTTACTCGTGGTCATTCGTGGTTCTGACAGCGCCGCGTAGAATTGGTTTCTGTTTCATTGAGGACCCCGACGCTGTTGTTATTTCCTCTTGCTTTGATACCTTCTGTGTTATACAGCAGATCAGAAACGAGTCGCAAGTCTGCGCTTATAACAGACATACTCGCGCTTTCGTTCTCGCACAATGCTATTTCTCTCCTCAAGCTGGATTCGTTCAAGACGGGATGTATACTCCTTTCTGGATTATTCGTTTATGATATTTATTGGGTATTTGGTACGGACGTAGTGAGTGGTTTATTGGGATGCAAGACGCCGCTGATGGGTGTTAGATGCTGACAGTAGCTACGTCTCTGGACGTTCCCATCAAACTTCTATGGCCAAAATCTGTAGCGTTTGCGAGTGATCGCGGATATACGATGCTGGGCCTAGGGGACATCGTGATCCCGGGTACATTTGTGGCCTTGGCACTTCGTTATGACCACGCACGTGGTTATAAAGGGAAGCCGTACTTTTATACGACCCTGGCTGCGTATTTTGTTGGGTTGTTGAGTACGATGAGTGTGATGCACGTGTTCGGCAAAGCCCAGCCTGCTTTGCTTTATTTGAGGTATGTGTTTTTGAGGTGAAAAAGCTACTAGTGCTATTTCTGATGCGGTTTAGCCCCGCTTGTATTGTGTCATTGGTTGGAGTAGCGTTTATTCGAGGGGAGTTCCTTGATGCTTGGAATTGGGTTGATGATGGTGATATGGATGGAGACAAGAAGGAGATGACGGATGGGAGCGTTGATGATGGTGAGATGAATGGATCCAAGTTGAAGAAGAAACGAGAATGATTTGAAATAGAAGGTTTAAGGATACATAGAGTATGGTAGTGGATGTACCTCGGAGAAAATGGAGTGCCAAGGGAAGTGTAGGTCTCACAGGTGTTGTGCCTATGGATTTGGAACGAGGGCGCATCAGACACACGCCTGTTTGAGTTTGAATTGACTTGGTGTGGTAAAGAGTTTAAGTTTGGATTGTGTTGAGGAAAGGTGATGGTGGCGCGGCGTCGTGTGAGATGATAATTCGCACGTAGAGACGACGTGGATGTTAGATGCGGGCCGAATGAAATATGATTGGATCAAAGCCGGGCGAGACGGTTTGACCTGAGTATACAATGTACACCTTAGTAAGATACCCTTGACCAGAGATGTGGGGATTATACGGAAGTGACAAGATAAAATTAGCAAAGAGGGAAGGAAGTTCCGTCCGGCTTGGCAGTAGAAGAGAAGGTGTGAGAGAAAGATGAGGATGAGTGACGGCTCGAGTTTTAAAATAAGATCAGGGGAGATGAATAGATCGTTATTATATGTATGTTTATTTAATAAAATAATGAAAGCCGCGGGTGTGTGGGTCACCATGCGGCATACGCCACCGAATATTATTTGACCCCCGATCACTCTATTAACATGTGAAAAGGGTAAAGGGGTTTAAATTTAAAAGGTGTCAGGGGTCAAATTTAACGGACCGTCGTACCCTCTGCGTCCCTAAGCTAAGAGCCCTCTTCACCATTTTGTTGTTCCTTTCCCTTTAGCTTGATCACCGGGTTCTCCTCTCTAGTATGAGTTCATCAGGAATCGTATTCGACGATAATAAAAATATCGTCAATCCATGGCCGGTACCCGAACGACCGACGCTCAATACTTCCTTCTCTTCCGAACCTAGCTCATCATCTTCTTGGTCTCAACATCCAACACCATACATGATCCACTCAAATGACGATCCAAGTCATCATATCTCATCAAACGAATGGAACTCTTTATTTTCTGCACCACTCAACCCTTCAGTATTCGCTACTTTAGCAGCAAATGGCGTTTTCCCTGTACCTCGTCCAGATCATCAAAGATTTAACGAACAACATCTTCCTTCATCTTGGTCTCATAGACCTAGGTCTCACTCTACCATAAACGATCATTCTTCACGTCCACCTCATGCTCATGACCCTCGTCCACGTCGTACCTTGGTATTTATTTCTCTCTATGTCCCTCACTCCGCAGTATCTTAATTCACTCTTTTAGAATAACGATACCGTCTTGAACGTCAATTTATCTAGACGTTCAGATGGTCCCACCACTTCATTTCCCCCAGACCTCCTATCCCCCTCAACAACAAATTATCCCATTTTCGATCATCCAGTCGAACGCTCTAATATTGGCTTACCCCCATCACTCTGGATGTCCCCCGCATCTACAACCCCTTCAACTCCACTATACTCGCCCCTAACGCAGCTCACAATACCCTCTCATCCAGAGCCTTCTCCTCTTTCTTCCAATAAACCTTCTTCCCCATCAGATTCCTTGAATATCGAGTCAAAATCAGCTATATTCAGCGACATTTTCTCAGACGACCTTTTTGGTTCCCCGAATCCAGACCCTTCCCAGAGCACTTTCACTTCTCCCAGGCTGTCTGGTTCTCCTGACCTCGAATCCACCCCTCCCTACGATGAGAGCGACCCGGAAAAACTCGCAAAGCAAGATCCGCTTGCCACTCAAGTTTGGAAGATGTACGCAAGGCAAAAGGCAAATCTTCCTCACGCTCAGAGAATGGAGAATATCACTTGGAGAATGATGGCCCTCGCTTTAAAGAAGAAGAAAGAGGAGGAGGAAGCTGCAAATGCAAAGACCGATGTCAAATCAGAAACTACTTCAACACCTATCCCTGATCCACCTCCATCCGAAGAGGAAAGAGGTCGAAGAATCGATAAAGGTAAAGGAAAAGTCCAGGTCGTTGGTTTTGACGGCACAAATCAAGATGGCGCAGAAGATGACGAGTCAGTTTCCATTTATTACGTGATACTAGACGTCCTTCTAACGCTCATCTAGCATCGTAGCAATGGACTGGCGTGCAATGAGCAGGTCCCGCTCTCGCATATCAATGGACTGGAGACCTCAATCCCGTTCCCGCTCAAGGCCACCCCAATCCACTGCTTTCTTTGATCATCATGGTATGATGTCAGCTGATACGCGGTATCAATTTCCCTCCACCAACCACCACAACGACAAGTCCATCGACAGACGCAATAGTTATTCAACTAGAGAATCCCATCTTGAAGGACTCGCCTTCCTCACCCAGCATACCGATACCTGGCGCCTCCACCACTCGTCCTTATCTAGGCTCTTCTTCGGCACCTCGTTCTGGTACTCTTCCCGCCGTCTATGAAGGCCAAGTAGATCATGATCCACACTCGTTCTCACACGGCCTCCATCACGACCCACAACTCGCTCAGCTCAACCACTCCTCGTCTGCCCTCAATACCCCCGCTTTCCACCCATCCTCGCTCCCCTCTTTCGGCTTCCACGGAGGTTCGAAGCTGCTGCCAGATCAGTCGCCCAATGCACGTGCGTTCCCCAGGCACGTGCGAAAAACCAGCTTCGATCATACAGTAAAGCGGGAGGCTTTATTCCCCGGTCTCAGCGGCAGACACCAGGTCAACGGCAAGCCCTTGTCGCCTGATAGTCTCATTGGTCAGAAACGGAGAGCGGAAGCACCTCATGCAGAGAGCATGCTGCGTGCAGATCCTTCCAATGTTGACGGCAATCCCCGCACCACTCAGGAGCCAGATCAGTATGTGAGCACGAGTCCCTTCCCTTCTACCCCTTTCAACTTCTGCTTCCCGCGGGACTACGGGATGTTTGATATGCACGGTGGCTCACACAACGAATTCTCGCATATGCTTCACGCCACGGACGATTCCCATTCGTCATTCCACGATTCTCACCCTTTGAATGGTTCTACATACTGCTCGTCCTCGGGCGTCAACGAGGGTCTGTCTGCTGCTGCTGCGGCCGCCAGTGCGGCAATGGCAGAAGGTTACCGTATGAGCGCCGCTGCCAACTTCCCATCAGACGACTACAGCCATCTACTTGGACTTCCTTTCAGCAACTTAGATGCTAGCATAAGCCTGGCGCAGGGCCCATATACGGTCGATCCTACACAGATTGGCGAGCATGGAGATGGGGTCTTGCAGAACTACCACGCTAGTCCATCAAGCGACGGATGGGGCAACGGCCTTACGTCCAGCTCCACCGCATCCCCTGAACCATATATAACCTCGAGCGCTTCCTCGCCTCCATCTGTAGAAGGGACCACCACGGGCTCCAACTCACGGAATCAGATGCGAAAGATCGCCTCGTCTAAACGCATCGCTCAGGAGATTCGGCGCAAGAAGTCAGGGTCAGCCATGAGCCCCACAATAGGAACCATATCGCGATCGGCGACGAGCACCCCGGATCTAAGTACGAGGGAGGGAAGCACTGGAACTGCGAAAGGCAGTAGCGATGATGGAGATCAGCCGCCCACATCGTGTACCAACTGCCAGACGACGAACACTCCACTTTGGAGACGCGACCCCGAAGGACAGCCTTTGTGTACGTTTTATTCGCCGTTAATTTTTTGGGGTCGAACTGACGGTGTTTGAATACAGGCAATGCATGCGGTCTATTTTTCGTGAGTGATGTGACGTACAATTGACGTCGCTTTGATGCTGATCCGAGAAAAGAAACTGCATGGTGTGGTTCGTCCGCTGTCGTTGAAGACGGACGTCATAAAGAAACGGTTCGTAATTATTCTTTCTTTTAGAATTTCGTGGTCTGATGGAAATGGAACTTTTTGAAGGAACCGCGCTTCTGGTGCGCCTAACGGAAATGCACGCAAAGGGGGCGCTGGATTGCCTAAACTTGCATCATCGAATACTCGGCCCCGTGCGTCGACGACTAGTACGGTGCCGACTGGATTTGCAAATGGTCGAGGAACGATGACTGCAAGTAGAGTGGGGCTGGGCCCGTCTCCCCCCGTCGCCATGAAGAGACAACGTCGTACGTCTACGAGCGGACAGATGCCTACCGCTCCTTCCAGGCAATGAGAATGATTCTAGCGTTGCGAAGCGATTTTGTTTGATGACCGTTCTGCCATATGTGGTCCGCATGATATTTTTTTCTGCTCTTGCCCGGATCGCAGGATGGTACGTAGATATTCAATCTCATAGATTATTTTCCCATCCTCTCTCTCTTCTATCTTTGCTTGCATACGTGTACACATGTCGTTTTTGGTCCTGTTCTTGCATGATTATGTCTTCCCGATGTTATTCCCAAAGAGGTGTAGAATACGACGACCCTAGCAGTACGGTACCTACCCTAGGTTGGACACGCGAATTGTATCAGAAATTGCGCTTCCATTGCTTGGCGAAGAAACATTGTGATTGGAAAGTTTTGCGTTCTTTTGCAAAAAGTGTTTTTTTGTTGTTTCAAGCGATTCACATTGCGACAACATTAAATCTTCATTCAACCTGGCTTCATTCTTCAAATATGCGCCTCCTCCTCCTCCCCAACGCTCCCCGATGCCGCCGACCTCCACCTCGGCCCCCTTCTCAAATGGCCAGCTCCAACCTGTAGCTTCAAAAGATATTAAAGAAAGGCCGCCGTGTTTCACGTACTGACCTCGATTTTGAACAAGCACTTCGGAACGGGGGTACGGTAAAGATTAAAGAGAGTCTTGATATTAATACCTTGGGCGTATCAGACAGCCCTGCACCTCCTGCGCATGAGTTCTCGCCTAGGCCTCCATCGCGAGCACGCGCCCAAGCCCAAGCCCACGTCTACGCTCACCCCCACGCACCGCCCACCCCCGTCGTCGTTCCACCAACTCCAACTCCATGTCCCGGCCCCAGCAGTGCCAGATGTTCCTCTACGACATCTTCCAATGACGTGTTTTACGACGCTGAAGACTCTGATATGCAGACTAGAAGGAGGAGCTTGTATCGTGCCCCTGGGACGAGCAGTAGTCCTGACCTTGCTACGCTTGTGAGGAAGGCGAAGGAGAGGGGAGGGGTGATTCCGCAGAGTGCGCAGATGCAGGTTGAGAAACGCGCTGAGGGGATGCACCAGCAGATGCCGCCGCCGCCGTTGCCTGTTTGTGGGGGTGGGGGGAGAGGTAGTGGTGGTGGGTCGCGTCCGAGGTCGTCGACTTCTGCTGCACCTTCTTCTAGTTTATCACCGGCTCCTCCTCCTCCGACGCTCCATGTCACGCCTGCGGCGAGGCCTTCGAAGATCGGTCTAAGGGAGTTGTCTAGTCCGGGGAGTTCGGAGTGGGTGATGCCTAGTCCGCGGCCGCGGAGTGGGAGTACGAAGGATAATGACAAGGTGTGTTTTCTTTTCTGCGTGTGCTGTGCTGTGCGAGGGATTGAATGGGCGCTATTAGGCACCGAAGAACACTGTAAGAGCCAAAACGAGCGCGTTTTGGGGTAAAATGCTGGGTCAATCGTCTACCCGGGATCGGTCGGTGAGTGTGTTTGCTTTGCTTTGGGATCGACGTGGGCTCATGCGATATTTGGCTTAGCGGACGGATGCAACTTTGAGTTCTCCGCGTTCAAGACCGTCTTTTGTGGATAGTTTTGCGCCTCCTGTGCCCCCTCTACCTGACGACACCACCCCCCGCTCGTCCGCCGTATCCCCCACCTCTGACGTCTTCACAAACTCCTATACAAGTTCCACGGATCACAAACCCCTACCCCCCATCCATCTCGGTCGTCCAGCCAGTAATGATTCAGACGATCGGTCTCTTGTCGTAATCGACCCCATGTCACGAACACGAGATCGAACGCCGTCTCCTGACACGCGTCCAAGCGACAAACCAAAGCCAGAGGGCAGGTTCATTAGTCATAACAAGCGACGAAGCATGAGCGTGAGCGACATCGATTTACAAAAACTAAACGTTCCTTCCTCGCCTGCGCCCACGCTTCCTCCCAAAGACTCTGTACCTCCAACCGAGTTCCAAGCTTGGGAATCTTCTTCGTCGCTTCACGGCATTCTTAGTGATTTGAAAGGTGTTTTATCACAGCTGGATCCGGAATCTGGGTCGTCTTTGGATTTGAGGGACCCTTCTACGCCTGCGAGACGGGCTGCTTATACGACGCGGTTGAAGACGGGGGGTATTCAAACGCCGGAGTTTAGGTATCAAGGGGATCCTTCAAAATCTCCTGTGTTGCCGCCTGTCCCGCCATCTACTCCTATTGTGACTTTGCCCACTCAGTCGTCGCTGGATTTTGATACGGATATATATTCACCCTCGAGAGGTGGGCTTTCTGTCGACCCTGTCGTTCCTCCGCGTTCGTCTTCGCTTCAAACGCCTTCACGGTCCCAATCTGGACCTGGACCTGGACCTGGACCTGGATCTGGGTCTGGAGCGCTGGGTTCGCCGAGAGTATCCGCACTTCGGCACGGGTCGAGTCCGTTGAGGAGTAAAGGATACGGGAACCAAATGCAGTCGTCCTACCGTGATATGTCTCGTCTTCGTGTGCAGCATCATTCTGTGGCTTCGAGCTCTGAGCCTTCTTTACTTCCCGTAGCTGATGACGGGCGGTCGTGTAAGTTATATTTATTTTTATGCCTGGGTGACGCTGATGACGTGTTTTTTTTGTGTCTAGCTTCGTCTCATCAGGAGCTCACGACTAATGATCTCGTTCTCAACCGCTATGCGTCCAATCCGTCGTTTGCACGGACGGATGAAACGGATGAAGAGAAGGGCAAGGACTTGGCGGCGAAGTGCTATACCGAGGACGAGGAGTTCTTGGCAAAGGAGAAGATTGCAGAGTGGTTGGGCGGACAGTAAGCATGTCGTCTTTCATTTCACGTGACCCATAACGAGAACGTTTTGCGCAGTGGGCAAGTCAACAAGACAGCACTCCATCATTATATGGGGTACTTTGACTTTACGGGACTGCGGCTTGATAATGCGTTCAGGTGGGTGGGTGACTGAGATGCTGGTGTACTGTATTGATTGGTTCTATAGACGGCTGTGTGCAAAGTTGTATCTCAAGGGTGAGACTCAGCAAGTGGATCGAATTCTGGAGGAGTTTAGTCGACGTTTCTGGGATTGTAACCCTACGCGTCTATACGGCAGTGCCAGTGCGTCAGCAGTTGTATGCTCGCCAATTTTGCTAACCTGCTCTCTAGGCGTCGTCCATGCGGTCGTCTACTCTATTCTCCTCCTGAACACCGACCTCCATATCGCAGATATTGCAAACAGGATGTCAAGGAGTCAATTCGTCCGCAACACGATGACAGCCATTCAAATGCAGACTCACCCAAGTCGCTACGGCTCGAGTCAGGACCTGAACGACGACAATAGCAGTGGGCCACTGACGGGCTCTGATGGCACTGAGACGCAGTCCCTCGCTCGGTCGAAAAGAAGTGGTAGTATAGCAAGCTGGAACAGTATCTCGAAAGATACATTCTTTGCTTCGGCTGGGGTTTCTTCTACTGTTTTGGCAGCACAGCCGTCGCTGAATAGCAGCACGACATCTTTCCACCACTCTTCTGGTCCGGAATCGAAACCTCCGAGTACTGCTCCTTCGACGGTTGCGTTTGATAGGAACTGGGAAATGGACATGGAAAGCCTGCTCAAGGTAGCTTCACAGTGGTTTTTGATAAGTCTTCTGGCACTCATGGATTCTCATAGGAAATGTATGCTGCAGTCAAGAGTCAGCAGATCTTGCAACCCCTAGGAACCACGTTCATAGCTCGTGTTTCAACGTCATCTCTCAGTCCAGGGGCAGCACATCTCATCGGTCGCAACCGCAGCTACCGCGGACCATCAGATCGCCTTACTACGCTCAAACGAGGTAGTATCCGGGGCATTCAGTCGATACTCACCCCGAGCTATAGTCCTTACAGCAGCAACAGCAGTATCGATGGACGTGTCAGCCCGTCACCGAGTTTTGCAACTTCGACTCGTGAGGTAGGCATCCGAGACATTCGACTATAGGGAGTACTGACCGCGAATCTGCAGGGCATGCACAGCTCTATGGGTGCTTTCCTCAGTCCAGCTCTCGGTTTCGCCTCCAACTTATCGCATACGATCATCAAGGAGCAGGAGGACGAGGACCGAAGCTACCGCAGCCATGATACTAGCTCGACAAATATTAGCATCACTGATGAAGAACTTGCGCTTCTCGGGGCGCCATGGGCAAAAGAGGGGATGCTTTGTCGCAAGCAATACTGGGAGTCTGCAGGCAAGAGAGCAAAGTCCAAGAACTGGATGGACGTCTTCGTGGTGATTCAAAGAGGGGAGTTGAACATGTTCACTTTTGGAGACCATGGTGGAGGTTCCTCTGCGGTCGTTGGTGGCGGAAATTGGCTGGTGAGTGATATGCTTGCTTTTCGATTATCTAGCTAACCTCCTCTCGCAGGAAAATGCCCATTCTGTTGGCACGGTGCAACTAGCCCACTCACTGGCTCACTCATTGCCTCCACCAGGCTATAACAAGCAACGTCCCCACTGTATGGTACTCACCTTGTCCAACGGTGGCGTATTCTTTTTCCAAGCCGGCACTGAGGAGCTTGTCAACGAATGGGTGTCGACGTGCAACTACTGGGCGGCACGTACTAGCAAAGAGCCATTAGCAGGTGGCGTCTCAAACATGGAGTACGGGTGGAACCGCGTCACCGATGCTTTGCATGGACGCTCTGCATCGGACGAACAGAAACCCGAATACGATCGCGCCGATTCGATGAGCGTGCGGAGCGGGCGCAGTGGTCGAAGCAAGCTCGGGTGGAAAGAGGGTGCCGCTACCGTCCGCGGTCATTCGCCGTGGTCGGAGAGATTGTTCATCAACGAGTGGAAGCCTCCTATCCCACCCTCGATATCCAGCATTCACGACGAGGAATCTCAGCTCGAGGCCCTTCAAAAATACGTGCATATGTTGAAGACGGATTTTAAGCACCATACCGAACTGAGGGAACCAATGGCTGCTCTGGTATGCCCTGTTGATATTCCCACTCGCGTCAAGCTTATCTCTATTGTAGTATCCGCCGCGTTCAGCGAACGGAACGAAAGCCCAGAGTAATTGGGAGAAGAAGTCGCAATTTCTACTCACGGAAATCGTCAAGTACGACTCCTATGTCGATTCACTGCAATCCGCTATGAATCTGCGTCTGAAGAAGAGAGGTGAAAAGGCGCTCGAACACGCCCTGGTTGTTGCTGTACCGGACGACAGCGACCCCGCGGTAGCGTCTGGCAACTGGAGAGGTTACTCGGAGGAGACGATACCCGAAGGCGACGAGCCCCCAGCAAGTACAGTACCCAGGATGTCGCCATTCCATCGTAGGGAGATGGAGGAAGGGTAGTAAATATGTTAATTCCTGCTAATATGCGATCGAGCCTTGTTTTGATGTATCGGTGCTTCTAGGAATATTTATGTATGATATTGCCTTTCTTATGATACTGATTTCTTATTACGCTAGGACGATTTGAATATAGTGTTCCTAAAATCTACTGACTATAGTCCCAAGTCAAAGAAAATATTGACCCCTTAATTGTTGCATGGACCGTACTGGCAATCCCGTGAATTTAGTTGTCTTAGTAGGTAACTGACGTATTGGCGTACCTTTGCAGCAGATATAAGGGCCTGAAGACCACTCGCTGAAGCCTCTGGACTCCATTGAGATCCTCCTTGATTCCCGGCATACCACACAGATCCAACATCATTTGTAGAATTGGTCGCGTGCTCTACGACACCCGAATACTGACAGCCAAGGAAATCACTGTACTTGGAGGTGCGAGAAGCATCATTGGCGTTGTCCAAGTAATACTGGACGTGTTTGGTCCAGATACCCTATGAAACCTGTCAGCCAACAACTTTCTTGACTCATCGAGGACCCGACCTTAAAAATTTGCTGTTGGTAGGGAAAGCGTCAGGCATGTGTATTAAAAAAAACTCGCGGAAACACAGTACCTGATCGTGATTGCAGGTTTTACCACCAGACGCCGAGTCACAAGATTCTCTCAGGATGCCATTGTCGGTGAGTGGGCTGAGGTAACTCATAGTTGCATCCAAGCTGACTTCAGCCTGATCCAACAAGCTTGTGTTACCCGTTGCAGCATAAAGAGCGGCAAGACCTGAAGCGACAACGGCCTTTGATACAAGTAGTTCGCATTAGTTGCTTATTGAAGACGATCGTCGAACATTTGACATACTTGGTTATAGGTCCAGGTGGTCTAGCTCGCGTTGCATTTAGCAATGGTCACTGTAGCAGTAATTGGACGCACTAACTTGCTCATTATTCTTGCAGGTCTCCAAGTTGAGGCCATCGTTGAACAGTCCACTGGAGCCACGCATGCCGGAAGCGCTTACTGCAAACGCCAGCTCACAACCTCGCATTAGGAGCGAATATGAAATACATACACCAAGTCCATTCCTGTAACATTCCTGTCATTGTTTGTTGTTGAGAAAGACCATGTGACAATCACCTTGTTCGCATTCTCAAGATACCTTTCGTTCTTTGTTCGCAGGTACCCAGCAGCCGAAGTCAACAAAAACAGTTCATTAGTGATCGCATTCTTATACGTGTGATCAGTAGACCACCACACTTGACAGTCCGACAAGATCAGTTACAAGTAGGAAGTATGGCGATTGACATTACCTCCACCTCCACAGGTGTTATCCCATTCCCCTGCAACCATGTCATAAATTTTGGCAGCACTAGACTGCGATCCGACATCAGAAGGGCGTTATGAAAATAGAGGGCAAGTTTTACAAGGTATGCACTGTTATCTTGACCTCTCGCAGACTTGTAGTCCGCGATTTTCCATAGCGCCAGAATGATCCACTTTGAGTATTCAGCTCGGCGTTTGGTGCATCTGATTTAAAAAAAACCTCTCACCTGAGCATCATCGTTACTGCCACCAAGGATGTTCGCCCAGTTTGTGTTAGAGTCCAATGCTGCCTTCCCTATATACGAAGTATCTGCTACATTCTGATAGTCGTCACCACCGGTTGACAGCATTAAGTTGTGCAGGTCCTCTAATGAATTCTTGGAGGTAGATCAAACGCTGATGAGGTCAAGAATTTGTATGTAGCTGGCACCATACCGCATCAGTCCACAACTCGCCATCGTTGTACTGGCCTGTGGAACTATTGTAGTAATGCAGCTGCAGTTGGTTTGCGACACGCTAGACAGAACCATGGATGTGGTACTTTCAGCAGCGCGACTCACAGCATGGCTAGCGAATAAAACGTACTGTCGCACTGCTCAAGGTCGTAGTGCACTGTCGCCTAGAAAGCGCAGCCGCTCCAGTCTCCAGCAAGGTAGCGATCACAGCTAGGAACGTCGATGATCTGAACAGCATCAGAGCCATGGGGGAATGTACCAGACAGTGCTCAGTGTCAGAGCAATCTATATTCGTGGTGAGTCCGTACGTACAAGTCCAGCAGCTAGTCAGCCATTTATTCGCTACCGTACTAAGTCGGTTGTACCCATTGCATAACCCGCAGCGAGGTCAATCTGCACGTCTTCTTCAAGGTTCCTGAGCGGGTTGCAACTAGCGAGAACTCTGCTCTGCAAGATGGGCCTTTGGGCAGGTTCGAGCTCAGTGAGTTTGGAGTCTCTGAGCTCGTACGGAGACCATCGAGGGTCCGATGCAAATTAGACTTAGACTTCTTGAAGTTAGCCTCTAGTACGTAAACTTTGAACAACACGAACTGTTAGCAAAGTTTACTAATAGTCAAATTGCCTCGTTCTCTACCTTTCTGTATACCTGACCGGCGCAGCGATCAGCTGTGAAGATCAACTTATACTTACTGACATGAGGACTATAAGATACTACAAAATATTAGCCTAGTCTCGAACCAGAGCGGGCCCGATGAAGTACAGCGGTGTTGTTTTCAACTCGGCACTTCAGCATCGGAACAGATGAGTGCCGCAGCCACCCATGTGCATGAGTACTTGAGTCCCTGTCTATTGCGCTTCGCGAATTTTGTGTAAAGAGTCATGCGCTTGAAACGTCGACTTATTTACATAAAAAAACTTTCATATGTAGATTGTATACACCTAAGCGATCTACCCTTTTGTGTAACAAAATGGGTAATGTCATCTTAAGCCAGTTTCGTTGGGTATCGTGGCCTGACTCAGTCGAAGGAATTCACCTGTGACCAACAACAGACTTTGGCTGATAGGGTTCCTCCAGGTACTCAAGCTCTTCCGTGGGATCGACATGGTTGCTGCTGGCTAGGTTGGGGTCTCGAGAGCTCAGAGCTGACGCTCTATAAATTATAATTTGGACATCAGAATTTTGTCGGTCGCAAGTCATTCACCACATTATGGCATCTACAGCGAAGAGCAAGGATCTTCATATGTTTATCTGTTCTTCTTCAAGTTATTCCCATCGGGCCGTGAATCTGGCATATCATGATTCATGATATATACAACGCCAATAGCAAGGAGCCGACTCTGGTGCCACGTACTATCGGTGATGAGCGCTTGAGCAAGCGATCACCGGCCAAACACGATACAAGTGACTCACAGATCTAGATGGTCTGGAACGCATGATATTGAATACACCTGCGCACCTCTGCACTTATCTGTACTACTTACAGCCACAGTTCAATGTTTCAGTAGATGAAAGGGTGAGGCCTGGAGGCACCATTGAGTCAGAGCGCGCCCGCCTTTGAAGCCGATGCCGCTTGAATGATGTCTAGCGAGCGCCGCAGTTCGACTCCAAGTATTGGTACTACATATCTTCCTTTCCATGGCATGTTACTGATCGTGCACAGTTGAACGTTCTCCAGGACTAGCCAGGGGATCGTCGTGAACAAGTCGTAAGCTTGCGAATGTTAAACTGAAGCTTACTAAGCGAGTGGTTGAACATTGAACGCCTCCCGACTTCTTATCGTCTCTTTCTCGTTGGTTCGAGAGAGGTATGCACCATTAAATTGCCCGGCTGCCTTAATTATGAAGTTGATGGGCCCCACGAATGAAACCATGCTGTACGTATGAGGTTTTGACCATCGTCGAACTCACCTACACAGGATTTACGAGAATCAAGAAGCAGTAGTGCGTACTATTAGTGTGTTCATAAGAAAATGCAAAGTTATGATGACTTGACGGTGGCCCGAATACGAAGAACTTCGATGATATTTGAGTCATGACGACTTCTGGGATCACCGGCACTCATCACCATTACCTACCAGGTTCTGCCACCCTCTTGGCGCGAAGTTCTGCCAAACCGGCTGGAAGAACTCGGCAGTCCTGCACACAATACTACCGCCGGTATTCATAACTAAGTCCTAATAGTATTAGACTGCCCCTTCACCTTCTGGCCCCTCAGTATCCAATAATTATCCATTTAGGTGTCCGTTATGCACGGGAACTTCAGGTGCATATACTTAAATTGAACGTAAAAAAAATCATCAAATCCAGAGACAGTCGCCTCGTTTACAGTGAGTAATCCTAAAACTCAAGGCTTAAGGGCTTGGGCAACTTGAAGATTGTATCCATTTCACATCTAGCTCTTCCTGGACGTGCCACACCGCGGACACCACACAATCAAAATTTTGACGGTGGGTAGTTTCCTTGCACTGACGGTCATCACTGACGCATATACTAGATACCATGAAGATTCAGTTCACCTACCTCGCCATCCTTGCCGCTGTCGCTGGCCCGGTGAAGGCAGCTCTTAGTAATACCGACGAACTCTGCTTACAGGCATGCTACCGTCATGCGTACGACTGCGCGAAAGGGTGGACACCCGTCAAAATCCCTACCACAGGCTGCTGGGATTGCTGCGTTGGCATAATATCTGAGGAGTAGCGACTAGTAGCGATCGAGTTTGTATAGATGGTGTATTTCATCTAGTTACCTGGTATCATAGGGACTATACATGTGTGGATGCTAAGTAAATAGCGGTGCCAACGAAAATGACTGGAAAATACGCTGATGCTGAGAAGGGCCGAGTTGTGCCTTGTTCACCAGTCTGAGGATCAAGTATTACAATAGACACGACACGTCACCATCGGTATAGTCAAAGGTTAACGAAATGGGTAATATCATCTCAAGCCAGTTTCGTTGGTTATCGTGGCCTGAGTCGAGGAAATTCACTTATGGCCAACGACAGACTTTGGCTGATAGGGTTCCTCCAAGTACTCGAGTTCTTCCGCGGTCAGAGTGATATCAATGGCACCTAAAAAAGAGTCAGATCGGTACATTCAGTTGCAAGTTAACACGCATACCGAGAAGATCTTGCAAGTTCTTCAAGGACGTGGTACCAACGATTGGCGCTGTGACGACGTCTTGTGCCATAGACCAAGCAAGGCCTATTTGTGCCATGGTCGCGTTTTTCTTCTTCGCAATTTCCTCGAGGCTGCGTCTCTTCAGAATCTGCTAAGTAGATGGTGGGGCGACCATTCTCACCGGTTTATGATGTCTTTATCAGACTCATGCTGGACATACGAGTTGATGCCCCTAAAATATCATCTTTATAGGTAGTCCATCTGGATATGATAAACAACTAACTTGTCGGTCTTTCCACGAATTGTTTGCTCGCCAAGAGGGCGGGTGAGCAGTCCTCGGGCAAGCGGTGACCAAGGGATGCATCCAACGCCAAACATCTACATAATCAGGAAAGAAGGAGACAAAGACAAATAAATCAAACCTTGAGCGTGGGGAACATTTCTCGTTCTTCTTCGCGGTAGATCAAGCTGTGGTGATCCTGCATAGAAATGAAAGGTGTGAGGTGGTTTGCGATCGCGTAGTCTAAACAGATTCATGCGGTTAAAATTCAACTCGCCGATGCCAGAGCTATGATCTTACTTTGCATTGCCTGGACTGAAGATGCATTGAGGTCGGAAACGTGCGCAGAATGGATGTCAAAACGTACATTGATAAGCCCAGCATGAAGACATGCCAATGTAACGGACATAGCCTGCCTGCACGACGTCGTGCAGAGCTTGCATCTAAGTACGATGCAGATAAGCCAACAAACGCTGAAGCTGATGCATGGTGCTGATTTACCGTCTCCTCAATCGGCGTCTCTGTGTCGAAGCGATGACCTGAAAATCAATCAACCTTGACTCTTTGGCCGAATATCGAATGAAGACAAACACTGCAGGACATCAACGTAATCGAGTTGCAAACGCTCGAGACTCTTCTTGATGGATGCGAAAATGTGCTATTGATGTAAGATCAGATAGTGCAGTAAATCCAAAGGAGCCAACACACCTTGCGACTCAAACCCCTTTGATTGACGTAGCCTATTTGATCAGGATGTGCAGCGGACTGGAAGACCTTTTCACTTGGGGTGCGGCCAACAACGTTATAGACCTAGTAGAAGCTTGTTTGTTATGAATTATAAACACATCGTGAGCCTGACCTTCGTCATGACCACAATCTCATCCCGAGGTAAGTTGAGCTTTTTGATCGCGTTTCCCAGTATGACCTCAGAAAGTCCATTGGAGTACATCTAATGATGTGGGTCAGTGATTCATACCCAATGTACGAAGGTCTCACGTCTGCTGTGTCAAAGGTGTTGATCCCCGCATCATAACTTCAATACCCAGGTAAAGACGCGTTTCATTGAAGTTACGCGGCAATACTCACGCAGCCTTGATGTGGATGATGGCCTCTTCCTCTCCGAGGACCCAATCTTGCCACTCGCTGGTACCTGCGTTGAATAATCAGGGGAATTCAGTCATTCACATGAGCAAGCACTCTACACACCATACTGCATTGTTCCCAGAATTATCTTGGAAACCTTGAGCCCAGAGTTGCCCAGGCGGACTTCGTGGTAGTCAGTCTATCAGCAACTTGAACCTCGGTGGGCGAGCACTTGATAACATACCGTAAGGCATTCCCTTCTGTGGGGTCGACATGATAGCTGGGTTGAGTAGTGGGGCTCCTGAGAGCTCAGAGCTGACGCTCTATAAATTATAATGATATCGGAGCTTTATCGGCCTCAAGTTGTTCACGAGATCATGGTATATATCCCAGTCTGCAGGGAAGCGCAAGGGAGAGAGGAATCTTCGTATTTTTATCTGTTATCTTCTTCAAGTTGTTCCTATCGGGCCGCGAAGCTGAGATATGCGCGAATAGCAATTGGGAGTTGACTCTGATTACGGTACTATTGGTATGGTGAATGGCGTCAATGAGCCAGCGACGCGAGCAGATGGGCCCAAATATGTAAATACCTACGACACCATCAAGCTGAACAAGTACTTCAGTGGACGAGGTGAGGGACGGAAGACAAGAGAGAATTATTACTAATTATATAATAAGTTGTGTGCCTTACCGGACTTTTTCGACTAATGTCTCGTGCTCTCTTTGGTTTCTGAAATTCTGTCCAACGTCGTAAGCTACATCAACTCGGACAGCACCACAACTATCAAGTTGAGCGGCCCAAAGCAGTCAGGAAAGAGCTTGCTCGCCCTTGCACTAACCTGTCGCTCATTCTCAGAGCAAGCATTAGATGCTCTCTGGGAAACCGTTACATGCATTCATCCCTTCATGCGATGCGCTGGGATCGTGTTACCGGAGAGACGGCAGAGTGACATTGACAACGACTCGGAAAAGTGGAGCATTGTTGATTTTTTTTCTTTGAGATCAAAATCATATATTTACGGATGCGTAGATCCCAACAGAGTCCCAGCTGATCGCAATGCACATCGCGTCCGGTTCATCATTATGCCAACGTATGGTTGGTCACGTCTCGTGCAATCCTTTTTACAAACCCTTGCCTTCTCCGCGAAGATCCTGATGCCAAATTTACGAGGCTTCCACGGTTACGTCATACCGGATTTGTTCCATCTGCTGCGCCCCCTACTTGGCCTGCGTCTGCAGAATTTTTCAGAGGACTGCAACGCACGTGGTTTTACGTTCTTCGTATTCATGCTGTCCATCGCTTGAAAACTTCGCGATTCGGTTCAGCACGTTGAATGACACATGGGACGCGCACTCTGCTCGGGCAGCGTCACATTCCATTCAAAATTTGCAGAAGCTGCGTACAATCACTGTACCGGCTATTGCCAAGGACGCCCTGGCGCATCTGGGTGGCCTTTTCATGTCTGACCGGCCTGAAGATGCAGCTGCACCCGGGCAGTGATCTCGAAGTCGTCCCGCAGCTCCCTTCCCTTTGAGAACCTCCGGAGTGTTGATTGGGAGATCGAAGACTGTGCAGATCTTGAAGTTTTCGCCCGTCTATGGTCTCATAAACATCATTTCAATTCAAAGTTCACTTCGATCCAGTCCTGCTGCAGATCCTTTTGACTCGATCCACACCCGAGAGGCTTTCAAGTCTCTGCAGTCTATACACTTCTCCGAATCTTCCGGGTGTCGAATCGCATCCACCATAATTATCACGGGAGACACCATACGGCTACTCTTACACCTTAGTTGCCTTCGGGTTGTTGAATTCGAAACGAAATCCTCTATTTGGATTGACAAGGATGACCTGAAGAAAATGGCGAAAGCTTGTGTACTAATTATCACTTTCCTACTCACACAATATCCAACTGTGCTCCTTCACGAATGTAGACCTGAATCGTCAAAGAACATATGGTGGCGACCCTATATCCCTGAATCATCTTCCAATTTGATTATCATGTGCAGCAGTACTGGTGATACATCCCTTCAATCCGTCTAATGATCCGTGTATCTCCTACTGCTGCGTGCCGCCGAAGTTCTCCCTGAGTCACTTACCGGAGCACTAGCCTCGATTTCTCGAGCGAGTCTATGCAGGCTGGTGACGAGCCTAGCAGATCATGTCGGGAACGTCAGGTAGAGATGCAAAACCCTCCTCCACTTCAGATCCAACGTCGGAACCACACGAAAATTCTCGGTATCGAGTATTTGGCGCCTGAACATGGCGGCGAAGCAAGGCAGAGATGGTTAGAGCTTGTGCCAGTAAATGTTAAGCGAAAGTCAAGCGGTCAACTGCAGCTTACTAAGCTCCCGCTCATTACTTCTTGTCATCTCTTTCTCGTTGACCACTCGATTCGGGAGAGGTATACACCTCAATCAGCACTCGGTTGCCTTACATATGAAGCTGATGCCCCCACGAATGAAATCATGCTGTATGTGCGAGGTTTTGACTATCGTCAAACTCACCTCCGCAGGACTGACGAGAATCAAGAAACAGTAGTGCGTACTATTCGTGATGCAAAGCAGCAGGATATCACGGTTTCTCGACGGTGACAGAGACAACGGAACCCGAAGGACGTAAATGATGTTCGAGTCATGCCGCAGAGTCTGATGATCACTCTTCACTGGGATAATGGACGCCAAAGGACTAGCGGACGAACTTGTCTCTCGTGGACTTGTGAATCCTCCAATGGACTTTCAGAGCACCTTGTTGTATTTTGAAGAATACCTCTCCGGATTGTGTGAAGGACAGCATCGTAATCCTTCGTTGTCACCTCTCTTGACTTAGAAAAGACGGCAATTATTCTCCATGATGTGAGTGTTTCAATATCTCCAGGTTTGAAGTATCGGCCCCTAAAGGGTTGGAACGAAGGGCGAGATATTCTGCGATACGGCGATCCGTCATAGGACTTGCAGATCGCCGATTTATCAAGGATAGGCGTGCAGGATTAATATTGCGGGATTCGCGTACCTATGCGCACACAGCGAGAGATTTGCTCGTATACTTCCGCGTCCTTCCACAAATGCAACAGTAATAGTGACTTTTTTGTTTACTCGTCTACAATGTTCCTTGACTCGACTCGACTGCATGAATAAATAGCTGACCACATCAAGGCACCAGTTTCCCACCCCAGGTCGAATCCACTCGAGTCGATCGTCACGGCATCTACAATGAAGGCGTAATGTATCGAGGATGGGACCGAGCACGAAGCATCGTTGATCACGCGTTTTTTTCCACAAGGATGGGGTCGACAGGTCAGTGCTCGCGCTGTCCACCGCCGAGGAGCCGTCCGTCTCAGGCGCAGGCGCATCGTGCTTCACCTCCCCGCGCTTGCCCTCGCTGCTCCATCGCTCTGCACTCACATGTCTTGCCTGTCGCGAGCTGTTCTCTCTTGTCGCCGTTTGCGAACCCAACTCATACCACTCCCATCATCATTATCGCCTTCTCCTAAAGAAGTCACGCCACTGTTCCTTTCCCTCGCAAGCACCACCACGGGCGTTACCGACGAGGATTTCGTTGGAATGACTATGGGAGAGTAGGGCGGGGGCACCCTTGGCGAGGACGGAATACCTTGAATCGCTGCTGCAGCTGACGCTGCCCATGCCACCATACCCCCATTCCACGAACTCAGGTTCGTCACGTGCACTGGCAAAGGGTTTTGTGGGGGTTTGGCGCTTTGAGCCATAGACTCGTCCATTGAGCATTCGAACGCCGTTTGTGGGAACTGTCGGGCGCGTTGGGGTGGACTGGGAGGGGCTGAGGATGTTGTTTTGGGGCATTGTATGGCAGTCGAGGGAATGGGGGGAAGAAGAGGTTCTGGGGTTAGATTGGGAGGGTGCAGCGGGAGAGACGTCTTGGTTGGCTGATAGATGAGGTGCCAACGCAAGCGAGTCGGGAGAGTGGGGCACCGAAGTCATATGGTTGAAGACGATCGGTGGGCAGGTCGGTGGAAGAGCGTTTGAAGACGTTGAATTGGCGGGAAGAGGATGTTTTTGGTTTGGAGGGTGCGTGCTGGATGTGGACAGTGTTAGAGGACAGTGGAGTGTCCATCACGGCATCTGAACCGAATTGAGGAGTGGGCTCAGGGAGGGGTGCGAATTTGATGTGACGTGATGGGACAGTGGCACTGTGCGTATGCGAGCAAGAAGAGCTACTGACATTCAAGGATGACGGGGGTGGCATATGTCAGGTGGCGAGGGCAGGTAAGTAAGTTCAATGGGATGATGTTCTTGCGTTAAACAGTTGACTGCTTTGAAAGAGATATTGGGAGTTGAATGATTTAAGTACAGAACAATGAAATGAAATGTGACAAATGGGTTCGCTCCTCGACGTCGAACGGACCGTCAGTCCCCTGGCCTGCAGGGTAATGAGATCGAGATTTGGTCTAGATCTAATACCCATACCAAACTGCTTCTGGTATTAAGTAGCCAATAAGTAGCATCCAATTAATACCGGAACATCGTTATCAAGTGTGTATACTTGGTGAGAACCGCTGAATTCCCTCTCCTCCGGCGTGCAGATATATTATATATCAATATCACATGCTCTCACCTTGAGCTTCGAATTCGCAACGTGGATGACAATTCTCTGTTCTCTCCACTCACCATGAGAAGTACTAATCCAAATTCCCCGCTTCGCATTCGATTATCTCCCGGCTATATTCCAGCACCTTCCAGTACCCGTAAGCTCTCAAGGCACCCGTTATTACAACCCTCCGTTCCACCGGTCTCTTCCTTCCTTCCTTCAACACATTTATCGTTCCTTCTTCTACGTTCTCGAATCTTGCCACCACAGAAGCATCTCCCTTTATAACTTCTTCTCCGTGATCAGCTCTACTTCTGCGTGAGACTGCTTGTTCCGGACAGTGCTCGTCATCACCACCGTGTAGTTACTCAGCCTACTTTCGCAAACTATCACTCGCCCATGTCAAACGCCACCTCCTGTGCACTTGCCGCAATATGTTACTATTAATGGTACACGGACCTGCCAAGCTTAGGTATGTAGACGTCCAGCGAATTCCTTGGGACCTCCATAGAGCTTTGTCGCGGCCCATGGCATGAGTCGTGGTTCCAACCCTCAGGCATCAGTGTTAATGCGTGAACATCTGCCAGCAGAGTCATGCCAGTGCCCTGTCACATCGTGTCTCATAATATCCGTTTCCTTTCCTTCGTGTCTCCGTGCTAGCAAAAATTACTTGGACGGGATAGAATACAGCTCAAGTTAAAGATAGCCTCAACGTTGCACATGATGAGGGGTGCCATCAAACGCAAGCAAGTCACATCCTGTCATACAGTTCGCAAGTTCCATCACTTCTACGGCGCCGTGTTTGCTATTGGCTCATGTGCTTGGTAATCCTATTACAGTACATCAAAACTGGGCCGTTCGTTCCCCAGATGGCATGACTTGAACCGTGGACGTGATGGGGGGACATTATTTCCTCTCTGTGCTGCACTACTTCATCCATATCTTGGCTTCTTTGCTCTGTCAAAGCAAAGTTCGGCTTCTTGACGGTGTAGGCAGTGAGTGCTACATACGGTCATGTTAGTGCTTTTTTAGTGCTCCCATCTACCCTTCCATCTACCCGTTGACATCGGTCACCCTATCAACGTCCGGAGCGCTAAGCCAGGTTAGGTGTCAGTTACTCCAAGCTCATTCTCGCCATTTCCAGCAGAGGACGTCCGACCTCCAAGTGCAAACACCTTAACTGGACACGAGTTCACATATACAATTCGCTGAGTGAAACTCTTCCAGGACCTTACGTCGACGGGATAAATCAATGCCATCCTCACCGCCGCTGCACCACTTAATCCCAGTCATCACAGCATACGCATGTCTTTGCTCTGTCAAGGCAAAGGTCTCAGATACAGTAACCTCCCGCCGGGTTCCTACTCGCCCAGAAGCCTCCGAGCGTCGCCGACCAGCCTGGCAGCGGAGACTCGACTTCGAGGAAAACTGTACAGCCATCAAAGCCCGCACCCACCAATTCATCAACTTCAATACATCGAAATCAGTCCGCGTCACGATCATGAAGGATCATTGATCAAATGCTTGATTATCCTTGAAGACTTCCGGGGAGAAGCCCCTCAATAACAGATGGCGAGCCACAGCCCGCAGGCACAAATCTGCACATGGAGATTACAGCGCGATTTCCGCTAATGGCGGCCTTGGTGCGGGAACATGTCAGGGTGTTAGTGACCGGCCATCTCAAGAACCTTCCACTTGGAGTTCATGTTCAAACATATTAAAGTCGTGGAACTTTGTTTTGCACTGTGCAGGGCTTACCAATGCCAAGGCTTTACAAGGCCGGAACAAGAGCTGGAGCTCTGGAGGGTGCATTCGTATTTGATGTGGAGCGAAAGGGTATATATTAGTGCCCCGGATCTCAAGTGATGCAGCTGATGCAGAGTCCTGAATGGCCAAGCTGTTTGCTGTCTTCACCAGGTCAGCAGATTAGTTCGATGTGGGGGTGTGGTGTGGACTGTATCTGATGTACATAATCGCGGAGAAAAGGAAAGACAGCGGATTCGAATGTCCGCATTAATGATCGGTGGCGGTTGACCGTGTGACCTTGCATAAGTGCGCTGTTCTGTTCATTCAACGCATATCGCAGCACCACGTTGGCTTCGGTCACTGCATATCCTAAGTAGTGGTGGCACGTCAAAATATTATTGATCAGTAGCAATACAACATCATCGATAAATATTCGACACTACAAAGCAGACACGGAAATCAACAGAATCGAGATTACAATAATTATGAAGCGATATCAGCTTGATCATCGACAGTCATCGTATCTTCTACGGGTTCAGTACCTGCATGGCCGTCATCTGGCGAGATAGATTTTTCTTGCTTCGGGTCCGCGTCTTCAGAGGCCATACTGACCCCAGTAGTGAAAGATTCCGTGAGGGAGCTCACTGTCGTTATGGCCATGTCCAATACTGCTTCGACGCGCTTACGAACTGTGTCACTTGGACACAACACCACCTATGAACATGTCAATTGGTTGGACGATGAAAATATCACCGTCCCTACGCACCAAGGTCACCAAATTAATGTGTGCGTCAGTTTCTCCAGAGTCATCCATCCGCACGATCAACGCTGGCTCGCTGTTTTCGCCATGTTCATGTTCACCACCTACTTCGGGCATGTGTAGCTCCACGTCACCGAAATGGGCTTCCAAGAACCATACAATCCGCTGGATTCTAGTGATAGACTGATCACCTTCATGATGATCCGAGTGAGGGTGGTGAGAATGTGAATGCTGCGAAGAGGTTACTAAACAAGCTCGTCAACATCCACAGCAGGTAGTGCAACGCTTCACCCACATTTCACAGAGGCGAGACTTTTGTCAACGCCCGTTATAAGAGCTAAAATAGAATCGGCAATCATATCGTTACTTGCGGTCGAGTCCCACTCAAGCGTGAGTTCATGTTCTCCAGTATGTTTGACATCGACGGCACCCATAACCTGTCAAGGCATCAGTGGGTAACCTTCAACTACTTCGAATCGGATGTTTCTTACCCTTATCGTTTTCACGCCATCTTTGTCTACGCCCTCTTCAATACTACCATACATTCCTTCCAGATGCCACATCACAAGGTCCCAGCCCACACCGAGGACTATTTTCTGTCGCTGAGTAACAGTACAAGTTGACAACCCGGCAAAGTCCTTCAAATCACGCGGATCGAGAAGGGTGTAAGAATAATCTTTCGAAACAAGCAACCCGGATATGACGTCGTTTTCTTGAGGAGTCTTATTAGCCAGAGTACCTATCGCCTAGATGAAGTTGTGTCAATTAATCCGTGTAAGTTAAGATTGAACTTCAAGACCTTCGCCACACGTTCACCACGGAAGGACAGCTCGAGAGTTTCAAGGTTACGAGGGGTGTGGATCTTCACGTCCTCGTCGCGTTCCTTGAATCTTGCAGTCATGGCCGCTTTGAGACGGCCCATTGCGGTTTGCTCGCCGTGAACTAGAACCTTTTGACAGTAGGACTTGAGTAGGGCGACATCAAATTTGCATGGGCACTTACCACATGTTGAGCCTTCACTAGCTCGATGAATTCCGAGTTCTGAGAATAGTCCACGTGCGCACTGAAAGAAAGATAATCAACTGAGATTTTTCGCGGGATAGTGTTGCCCTTCAGTCCAATGATCTCGTCCGGTTCAGTCATGATGTCCTGATTTAAAAAGTTCAGAATCTTGCCATTCATAAAACGAAGTGACGGGAGAAGACACGCAAATTGCGCTGCAATTCTACATGTAAGATATGCCACTCACCCGGGCCAGTGTTCCTTCGATAGAGTATCCGGTGATGATGAGTCCATTTCGGGAGTCAGGAGCCCAGAGTTCGAGTAATTCACGACTAGGCCCAGTTTGAAGAAAACCTGGACTTGCAAGCACAACACACGGGGGGCCCTCCGAGATTTTTCGTTCCCAACCGCGTGGTTGTGGAAGATTAGAAATATGCCTATTACAGAGGTAGTCAGGATGGCCTCTGAGGACGTGATGGGCCACGCACTTGAAGACAAATGGGTTGTCTCGCTTCGCGAACCGCGAGCGAATGTTCGAGTTCATTGTATGTATGTACGTCTGATATACAGCCATGCATTTACGCGCCAGATTAGAAGCGTAATAAATGGGCACGTTGTGCAGGTCTGGGTGCTTCTTCCAATATTCATCGAGGATAAGGAGAAGTTCCTGAGCTCGTCCGAGAGCAAAAGTGGGTAGAAGGACGTGTCCTCCACGCCTGATGATTGAGTGAATGAGATTTGTAAAGCGCAATTCCTTATCATCGCGACCCTCTAAGCTCTGAACGCCATATGTACTTTCGACAATGAGGACATCCGGTCGGACAGGTGGAACTTCTGCTTTGACAAGATGTCGGTCTTCTTCGCGAGAATAGTCCCCTGTGTACAAAATCTTAAGGCCGGCTATATCGATGAGAAACATGCATGCACCCAATACATGGCCTGCATGATAAGGAATGAACGAAACTCCAGGACAAGGTGTTATCAACTGGTGGGCAGAGACCGGAATAATCGACGACAGCGACATGGACATTTCGAGAGGAGTATATAGAGCATCGGAAGACGATGAACTGTCATTGTGTATTAATTCAGCTATCTTCGTATCAGTGCTCTAAACACACCTCATTCGAACAAAATCCTGCATCATGAATTTGTGCACAGCCTTCGTAGGATGCGTCATGTACACCTTACCCTTGCCATCCCTGAAGTTGGTCTGTTATAACGTCAAGGCTAAAGTCCGTTGTGAATAAAATATAGCCCTGCCTTTTCCATGATATAGGTTAGAGCAGCAGCATGATCGAGGTGGAAGCTGAAGATTGAATTGAGTTGTCAAAATGGATGTTTGAGACGTGTCGCGCACTGAGTGATTAAAATCGCATCTACAGTGCTCCAATCAAGTTCATCCACGAATGGTAGTGAGGCCATGCCACTGTATGCAGGGTGCACCCCTGTGTCACAGACGATGGTTTTCCCTCTATACTGCAGCACGCAGCATGATCTTCCCACCTCTTGGCCTGCACCAAGAAGCGTGACGCTCAGTGTTGGTGAGTCTGCCATAGCTTTGCTTGCAGCGCGTTCAACTTCTGCGTCCAATCCGATGACAGGTAAATCCAGAACAGTCTCAAGTTCACAATATAGCCAGACTTAAGATCGCAGGGGAAGCAGAAGAAACGGTGGATTTCTTGCACTGAGCAGCTGGGGTAGAGCGAGCGGGGTTACTGACGCAAACTGAAAATACAATCAACTGACGTAAGCGACAACTTAGTTTTACTTACTATAACGACTTCCGTTCACGAAAATTCAACGTCTCGACTCTTGAAGGGTACTGCATGGGCAAGTCCAGCAAAACAACAAATAAACGCACGGTTCTTGGCACCCAGGAAACCCGCAAGAACGCAGTCAAATCTTCTTCCAAGAAGAAGCATAAGCAGCGTTCCAGGGAGCAGATAGACCAAGCTAGACACGCTCTTGATTCTGGCGCTCAAGCAGTGTACGAGGTGAAATGTGAATCAAAGTTGGCTCCTTGCAATGCTCACGAACATATTTTTGAAGGCGATTGGAAGATCTACAACCTCGCACTCCGAATCAGCCTCAAATTCGAAACAGATCATGTGAAGGCTTTGACAGAGACCATCATGAGTCTTTGATACGAGTCACGTACGAGGATCCTCACTCACGATCCATACGTTCATTGAATGTCTGTTTCGTAGGCCTGTCATATCCTAGCAGCCTCTGATGGTAACAAGACACCGCGCGTTCACATACGCCTCTCTGCGCATGTCCTCGTTCTGAGACGAATTGCGAATGATCACCGAGGCAAGGTAAAGTTCTCGAAATGTTCGTCATTTCTTGTGAGCCTGACATTGTTATCCCTTGGGCAATCAAGCGCGACGCGTAGTCGTCGGGAGAACCGCATGAGCTAGATATCTGCGCGAGTATACGGTTGTGAATCGTCATAGCATAAACTGAATACTCGTTCGAGCTTGGAGAATGTGTCATAATATTCAGAACTCGAGCTCTTTGGGTGTTTCTATGCCCTGGCGTCGGGATAGACTCTAGGCTCTAGAACACCCACAAAACTCAAAGCTGGTCAGGTTGGTGCAGATTCCGGGGTGTTGTTGTTCCGCTAAACGTCCCGGACTTCTAGTGCGTATTAAGTACAACATCATATTTGCATCGATGGGGCAGTGTGGGTGATTGCCTTTAAACCTAATCTTGCACAGTGTGGCACCTGCTACAACCATACTATGGATCTGGCGTTTCGCATTTCTTTTTTGACTGGCTTCATGCGTCCAAGTTGCAGCCAACTCATTGCCAACACCAAACCCGCATCCACTACCCTCGTGCTTTCCATGTAATTGACGTTTTCGCTCTTACTCCCGAACTACGCGAGAAAGAACCCATGGTCTCCCATGGCTGCCTGATATGTTTACTTCATTAAAATGTCGAACATGATCTCAACGGGTGAAGAGTACATTGGCGTACTAAGTGAGATATAGGTCACTCCTTTCCTTCGTTGAATCATCACTGATCAGGATAAATTTGGGAATGTGCTGGATTACGTCCTATCGTAACGATAATTCCTTTCGTTAGTATTCGTGATGGACGGTCATTTCGTGAGTCACGCTTTTCGCAGCATCAATGCCATCACGAATAGACCGTAACCGATAGTGGGGTCGGGGAACGAACGAACCTGAAACACGCTCTCACGGACTCTATTGTCACACTTAGGTGAAACATGAATACAACAAACAGGCCGTAAAGCTTCTGCCAGTGGGCGTTGCGGATACTAGCATCTACTGATTGAGTGATAACCTCGAGAAGCATGGGGACTTGATAAAGTTGGCCTTGGTGTCCTTTCCCTATAACTACCGACGTCCCTCGCCCATTTCGAGTCCCCGCCAGATCGCGTTCTCTTCAACAGACTTTGGCTTCTGTGAGACACCTCCCTCCCCCTTTCAGACGTTCCTGTGCGCAGTATAGATCATGTCCGCCACGGATGACATACAACCTTTTGTGAATGCCGCTCATAGTATATGGATTACTCGTATTTGCCAGTGTGAGTATTAGGCATGTTTCGGTCGACATTTCAACTTACCTTTTGATACAGTGTCTCCTTGTATCATTTTCATTTACGATTACTGTATGTCCTGCTTTCGTATCAAGAGCAGTCTGCGCTGACGCTTGTGGTCAGTGCTCACGCTCGATCGAGAGGTGCCGTGATCTTCATCATTGTGTGGTTCAACTCTCTCATCCTATATTAGGTTGAATTCATATGGGTCAGTCTTCGTCAAGTATATGAAGGTCTGGCTTGCTGAAAGCCAGTGTTATAGAAACAGCCTATGTCAAAGTCCCACATACTATATATCATTGTAAGGCTGCTTCCATGCTTGTAGAATGTATTTGAACGATAATCAGGTAGAGATTTGGCGGCGGTACAATTATCATGTGAGTTATTGCTTGTTGAAAATGAAGAATATAGTCGCTAACTTCCTTCCTAGTCTCTCTGCCGCAGGTGGTCGCAATTTACCTTGGGCTCGCATTGTCGCTGACTGACCTTCTACTCACTAGGATTTATCAGCCAAAATACTTCTCCAGAGGTATGTTTCTCATAACTCGCACCACATCTGGAACTGAACCCTTTCAGTTGTAAGTTGTACATTATGAGCATCGGCATTGCATCAGCCATTCACCCCAGCATTAACACAAAACAATTACATTAGCTGTAAGCAGGAATTTCTAGCGATAATCTCAAGTCTAATATGAATCTTCAGGTCAGCTTTTCCTAGCATCTCAAGGGTGGATCAGCTTTTGCGTCCTTTGGGCAGTTCAGCGTAATACATATTTTTGCTAGCAGACGAAAGTACTCATCATTGCACAGTCATACTGCAGCTCCGACTCTATGCTCTCTACAGTCGATCTCAAAAAATCCTAATTGCAATGGCGATCGGGTTTACGACTGAGATAATGGTCATGTCCGTATTCTTCGCGATAGGCACGGCAAAGGACACCAGCGAGTATCCACTTCCGCAATCAATCGCTCTGAAGCTGACATTGCCTCCTAGTTACAAATGAGCCACTGCCAGGCATCAGAGTCTGTGCCGTCACGCGAGCAGCGCCCGTGGTTGCGTATGTATGGCTGCCCGATATTGTTTTCGAAGCATTTCTGTTCCTGCTTGCAGCCAGGATTGGTTTCAAGCGCGGCAGATTCGGCTTCAACATCTTCCGCATGGAGAGAAAAAGCCTTATAAACGCTCTTCTGTACGGCAACGTCCATTACTTTTTCTGGTGAGCAAGGTCTATTATATCCACAATGCATTGTTACGATTGCATCTGGCAGCATACTCGTTGCGAACGCTGTGAACGCGGGAATCTGGCAAGGGTTAGGGGTAGGTCGGAAACCCAAAGTTGTGCTCCTTTAACTTACCGCCCAAACAGCCTAGCTGGTTTGAAGTTCCAGAGGGGTTTGCGGCTGCCATTGAAGTCACCCTTGGATGTCGGATGGTGCTGGACCTTAAATCAGCATTGTCCGATTCTGAAGGCTTGCGTATCTTGGACTCATTCCCACTCAAAGAGATTATTTATGCTAGAGCGGCTCCGTCAACATTTTACTCCGCGGCCACCTACGAGCTCGGCGCTTCGCAAGGTCAACACCGACTCACTCAAGAAATTGAAGCAGCGTCTCTAGCTAGTTCTGAGGAAAGCTCTCGAGCTCTCTCAAAGGGAGATAACAAGACGTGTGTCTGATGTGACAGTCTGTTTCCTACTCAGAGTCGGCTAGATATGCACCACTTTGATAAAAGTTCATGTTCATAATCCTCTTGATATATCACTTTTTACAGTACGAGCGTCAAGGTCTTACTATCATTCCCTGTAATATGCAAAACTTTCAGTAAAACTTTTGTAGCTCCTCAACCACATCACATTTTCTTTTACGAATTTGCCTCATCATGTATTCGTATCTCCTCCACACAGATCTGATTTTTACTGATTTTTAGGATAATGTGGTGTGGTGTCGGAGCAAACCCGTTAAAACTCAGGCCTCAGGGTCCACCTCTAATCTGCAAATGTGCAGTCACGTCGTGTCACGCCTCGGCACAGCAGCGGCACTGTTGACTTTCACTCTCCGCAGGCTTCAAATTTTGAAGTGCTGGCGCATCGCGAAAAGCTCGAAAACAGTGGATATGGCAAATCATTGAGTATTATGGTTCATCGATGCATCTACTAGGTTTCGTAAGGTTCTGCGCACGTACGAAAGGTATGGTATGGCACGTTAAACTGGCCATCTGCTGCCAAGAGGTTTTTAGCCCTCTTCTCTCTGACAGCCTGGATAACAGCTGCAATGTTGGCCTCATGAGTGGCATCTTCTTCGGCTTTTGTTTGGACTGCTTTCCTGCGGTGTGGTGCCATTCGAGAGAATCATGCGACACGAAGTGACCTCTGAAAGACTTTGAATGCTTGGCTACAGAGGATAGATGCTGTGTGTGCCGAGGAGGAGATTGAATTTCTTATGCATCTCCCCTGTCCGGTGTCACGCTGTTGTACTCGTCCTTGATTCTACTACTGTAACGCCTCAACGCAAGAGTGTAACCTTTATCGCATTGATTTTCTGACATCCCTATACTTAAGGTATTCATTATGCTCCAGGTAAATTTTTATGAATACATTGGCAGGATCTTTGGGATCTGGGTGATTTGTGTTGGGCAAAGGTTGCAAATTACCACTATTTCACCCCTCACAGCTGCAACATCCAAGAATCTTTTATTCTACTTGTACAAAACATCATTTCTAGGTACTCCGCATGTGCCTGAATTTTTTCGATGCGAGTTGAGCACGATGTTGAAATGTTATGAACTTTTGCGTATTAGCAACCGTTGACATATTACAGGGAATGATAGTAGCTACACGGGTATCCAAAATTATTACCTCCTTGTTGGGGGCAACTGCGAGGGGTGCGAAATGCACGACAAACCAGTGCCTCCCAACAATTTGAGGAGAGGTAGGGCATCAATAATTTAACGCTTCCAGCACTGCATGCTGCCCTTAAAATCGGGAACGAGGTTGGCATCGATAAAGATCTAGATCCTATCCATCACCGCCGAAATCAAAGAATACTTTGATCCGAGCCCTAGCTAGAGACATGAATGATCCGGTCATGCAGCCTGACGACCAGTTCGCCTGCAATTTGAGGTGCTATCTGTTCCCGTACACTCGGCACCCCCAGAAGTCGGCAGGTCATCACACATTTTAGCGGGAAAATGTGACACTTTTGTTTCAATTGGTCACATGCAGTCACACAAAACCCTGCGAAAAAGCGTGACTGCCGACTTCTGGGGGTGCCGAGTGTACGGGAACAGATAGTGGTGTACAGAGAACAGTACCACTAAAGTCTCTCGCTGAGATTCGCTCTCCAAACATCACACCAACGGCATGCAAAAGCAAATTCGCACATCCATACAACATACATCAAATCCAGCACGACGATAACCAAAATTAATCAACGAGTCCAGGTATGAGTCCAAAGCAACTAAAGTAACTAAATATCCTCCCAATTCGCTTTAGGCGAGCTAATCGACAACTTCCCCTGCTGTTTCCTCTGCCTCAAATTCTTCACCTCCGTATTAATCAAATCCCGAAGACGCTCGAGGTCAAGACTGCGTTCTGCACGAGAGCCCATGAGCACGTTTCGCCAGATGCCGGCAGCAGCGACGGAGTTGTCGATGTTGAGCTGCATCGGGCGATGGAGGCGGACCATCTTTTGCATGAGGTGGTCTGGGTTTGCGTAGATGGCACCGGGCCATGCTACTCGGATGGCGAACCACCAACCAAGAGGCTGTGTGAACGAGTTTAGTAATTGCTGCGCATGTAAGATATCAGGTTACTCACCCGTCCATCGGGAAGCGTCCGCTCAGGATACGAGTCGTATGTAGTCAGTGCACCATCAGGGAGCGAAAATCTAATACAAGAATGTCATTAAATTGCGCAACTGAAATAAAGGCAATCGACCAACCTGTGAACGACCCAATGATTTGCATCCGACCGATGTTTCGCAAGCACAACGATCAATCGCGGAGCGCCATCAAATCCAAAAGGCGCCCAAAGATCCCTCAGCATCCCACACGCATCCCCATGCCGGCCATTGAAAACAGCGGTGCTGATGGCATCTGCCATATTCGGAGGGACGAAAAGCCTATCCACCCGACCGCCCGGTGTATCCGTCATGCGGCTTCTCACATAGCGTTTGTACGTCTGCGTCGACCAAATGCTCAGCGCGACCTCATCCACCTGCTGCCCTCGAGTTGTGCTATTGAGCGCCGCATCGATTTCGCTCATCGGCCAAATAATAGCCCAACTGAGGAGGCGCTGGTGGATGCGTTGCCATGGTGGGGGAGTAGGCTCGCCATAGTCGTTACTGGGATTCCAGACTTGCGAGTTCTGAGAAGGCACCAACTCGCGTCGACTGCCCTCTTGTCCTGGGAGTGGCGGCAGAGGTGGAGAAGGCTGACGGCGCTCGGTGTAGTTGCCCGAGTCGGGAATTTCAGGCAGTCCAGATTCGGTGAACGCCCCGTGACCCTCCTCGAACTCGTCCTGATCATCTCTTGCGACTTCCCAAGTCTTGTGCGTGATGGCCGATTGGCTTCCTCCAGGCTTGACACGCAACTTGTACAGCTCCTCCTCTAGGAACTGCTGACCCGGAGAGTCATCTCGATCGCCGCTCAAAAACTCGCTCAAGGCTCCCCGTGTCTCAGTGATTGTAGCAGCGACAAACCGCTGCTCCATCTCAGTGCGATCTTCGTAGAGTTCATCCTCTTCTATTAGAACGGATCAGTATATTCATCTCTGCTGCGCAACAAAAAAAAGCGTACCAATCATAGCGGTTTCATTTTGGTACATCGACTCCGGAATCGTGCCGGTCGCCTGCGTGTTGATGTTCACGGTTTGGGTGCGGGGAGTTTGACCGTACTGATCCATGTTTTCTGAATATTCCGTCTCTCCTCGGTACTGATCACGAGAAGCAGAAGACTCGGCGTATGATTGCTGGCTGCGAGGTGGCATGGGCGCATTCAATGATTGAGGGCTGAGAGTTTCGAGACGCTCTTGGACTCTTATCATTCCGTTCATAAGCTCTTTGGCCCATTCAGGTGGCTCTTGCTGTTGCAGGTTTAGTGTCAAACCCGAACGTCGCAAACGATTTGAGCGACTTACTGAATGGGAAGGCTCAAAGGACGCATCCAGGTGGACGCTAGGATCATGATCATGGAACGACTTCCTGTACTGTCGCATGGACTACTAGGATGTAAGACATCATTTAGAATAAAAATTAATCAGTTGAGCGCACCTCTTGGTCATACTTCAAGCCCAGCTTCTTGACGCGCTGCCTCAAAGCTTTCCTCAGCGCCCTCTTTACCACCTCATGTGTCGTGTTATCGTCCATTTGGTGAAGTAAAATGCAAAGATCCATATCGTGGAAGTGAGAGTTGACGATTTCTGGTTCGAGAGCACTAGGGGCGTATGACGTACGATTGCCAGCACCACGTGCAGCCAGTGCCTTTTGTACCATCTCCACCTCAGCCTGGTTCAGGGATAACGATGGGGAATGCGGACGAGAGGGGGTGGGCGTCGCTATGCCACTGCCATCTTCTTCTACGCGTGCCGGCGAGCGAGCGCGGCTGTGGGATTGATGGGTATGGTGCGAATGGTGCGACTGGTGCGATACATGGGATTGATGAGTCTGATGCGAATGGTGCGAGACGTGAGATAGCTTGCTGCCGCCTGCGACACCATTCAGCTGAGACGAATTCACGTTCAACTGAGACAACGCGTTTGATTGTGAAGACATCTGCCTCTGGACTTGCGTTGATGCAGCAAAGAGTAAGTCTTCGTGGGTGGCGGCATGACGGTAAGGGGAGAATGGGCGATTGTGATGTGAGGGCGATAATGGGCTGCCAGCAGCACTGATTGGACCTCCACGTTTCGATGCAGCACCATCAACGTCACTCATAGGGCCGCCACTCACTACTGAGCGTATCTTCTCTTTTTCTTTCAGTTCCCGATCCCTTTCGGCAGCCTTTCTGGCAGCCTTCAAAGGGGCTTGACTGGGAGAGTCAGATGGGGACACGCTTGGTGCACGGTGGTGGGATCGCGGGGAGAGAGGAAGTTGGTTCATTCGTCCTGGTGGGCTAAGTAATGTGCTGGGGGGTAAAGGAGGATAATCAGTATGGACCTGTGATCTTGATCCGGCCCGCGACCGGCGAGGGGACAAGGGGGGTTCGTCATGTGCGGTGGTGCGCGCTGTGTGTGCTTTGCTTGGAGTATTGTGGTGCTATAATATTTCGATCAGTCACATTCACAACCGATGACGCTGAAACACGTACGCCGCGAACAGTGTCCCGTGAATCGCTCTCAACCATGGAATGAGCTGACTTGTGTGATTTTGAAGGGGGACCGCTGACTTGGGAAGTAGTAGACTTGCGCGACTTGGAACCGCTGGGTGTGGAAGGAGGTTCTATATTGATATTGAAAGTGGTAGGTGAGGCGATAGACGTTGGAAGGGGTACTCTTGCTGCGCCGGCCACTGTAGAATGCTAGAGTAAATTAGTACGACGGTAAAACTCGGGATATGATGATGAGAGCCCGATAGCGACGTACCTCCCATGTATTCCAGGGAGGTGCCCCGTTACTGAGCCCAAAGTCAGGTAAAGGACCCTTGTTGCCAAACGAAGGGCCAGAGTCAAATGACTCATAACGCGAACCTGGTGGATCCTGAGGACCAGGTTTGTGCTGGCAGTACGTCGTTCAACACCATGGGAAAGCCAGACGAAAATCAAAAAGATATTAAATGTGATTTGTGCTTACCATTGCAGAATGAGCATTGATGGACAACTCGGTCTTTTCACCCTCCTGAACATTTGAATCTAGATCGTCGGCACCATCATCATTACCAAAGGTGCTGCGCCTTGTAGATGGGAGGCCATTACGAATGAGAGTAGAAGTAGGTGATCCGAGACCCATTGATTCTCTTTGCATACCCTCTAGATATAGCAGTACTATTGAACAGAACACTATGAGCGAGAGGCGTGTATTGAGGTGAAGGGCTTACCTTTCTCGTTGGGAGCTGCAAAAAAAGGAATAGAACGAAATAATAAACTGATGAGCTATAGAAATAAAAAATGAAGAAATGGACGTACCTGGTGTGCTGGAACGTAGAAGAATTGGCCTTAGGGATTCGGAACCCACTTCGGCGAAAGACATGTCGGAAATATGAAGGCTTGATATAAAGATATGTGAAAATGGATTGTTTTAAAAAACGGGGGTGTCGCTGATGGTTAAGTATAAGAGTTTAGTTCGATGTTAGGATTGTTAGACAAAGCAGAAGAAGAACGTTAACTAGCAGTTAGAGTGGAAGTTACAACAAAATACAAAATGAACCGTAGCGTGAAGAACTTCTAATGTACCGATCGAATCAGTCCTAAGCCTAATCACTCTACAAATATGTACAAATAACCTCGCCACAATAATAAACTCATTGTTCCCGACAACGTAATTACCCGCGGGCACCCCTCGGCACCTTATGACCTTGTCTTTGTTCTTTCTCTCACCGAGGGGGACGTAAGTTAGCATCGATGATGTTATGCTCGACAATAATCAACTTATCTTGAACTTCGACGATTGTTGCTACCTAACACTTGCGTATCACCTCCCCGGGGGCCGGTACGGAGTGCCATATCCTGGTGTATTCATTTCGTTCCAACTTGATCAGATTTCCCACTGACTAGTCTGCTGCAAAGTCTTCCGGTTCTAATTCGAGATTCTGGCTGGCTTCTTGGTTTCTTGCGCTTGTCCAGACATTTCATCAATGATCGATGATCCAGTGCTCGGGTACATGTTATCTGGACTGTGAATCCCACGGCAACCAAGAGTACCAACAACTGTTCATACGAAGAAGGGATTGATTACCTGGAAATTGATCGTTGGTCGACCGGTCATGTAATGGACCGCCGCGTCTCACAGCTAATAGTAGTCGACGCTCCGAGAGATTCTGATCTCTTGGTCTAACTTCGATCGAAGTTGAAAAATCTTGGTAGGGCATAATGTATCGATAGAATCTGCTACAGGTCAATGTCAATAGAACAACACATACGACGAGCGATAGAAGGCAAAGGCAAAATGTTTGTGAGACCAGTTTAGAAGCAGCCACACAGCCGACCACTTCCATGCTCTCCGGTGCTATTCCCCCCTGTCGGTGGCGGTTGTGAATTAGGGTTCGGTGAAGGAGGAGGAACATAGTCTTCATCGCGTATCAAGTCATCGTCGATATGGCTGGGAGCACCTGCTGCAGCATGTCGCTGAAAATGAGTGGATGAGACCTCAAATGCGGCTACAAAATCAATCGAGCGTACCAAGTCACCCCACGCGAAAGGAACATCGACATTAAGCGGCGATGCATGACTTGCACGAACAGGCCACCAGGTTGATAGGTGGTTTAGGCGTGCTGTGAAGGTGAAAAGAGCGGTAGTCAAGGATTGGCCCGGTTGGGTGGCCAGCGGTGGCATAGAACGAGACTGAAAAAAGGTAAGTCAAAAGAGCCATTACGGCAGTCGATACTCACGTTCTGGCGAGGATCTGTGTGTGAAGGCCCCTGAGTCATGACCTGCGCCGAGGGAGAGATATTGAGAGGTAGGGGCAATGTCGCAGGAAACTGGAAGGGGATGATCGAATCAGCTGCAAAGGAAACAGGTACAAAAGACATACATCTAGAAAATCACGGGGCTGATCAATGTTTGTGCGAGAAGGAAGGAGGTGGCGAAGGTAGTGAAAGAATCCATGTTGCTGTAGGTCTCTTGTAGGAGGAGGTCTAGGAGGGCAAGATATGACACGTGGTATCACTGGGTTACGGCGCACGGCACGACGTGTTGCGTCGAACTGCGATACTGGCATTGATGGAGCAGTGTAGTAAAAGAATAGGGACACGCACATTGAATAGATCGGGAATTTTTGATGCACTTGTCTGCAAGAGAATGTTCTAAGCACACAGCCGGATAGATATATGCGAGGCAAGCATACACTTGGCTTTTCTTGTCTTGTGGGCCGGATGCTAGCAAGGATGTCGAGTGGAATGTCATATATGTGGATCTTGGTATCACCCAAGGTAGTGTAAGCCAGTTGATGTGAATTGGGTGAGTAGATAAGCATGTCGAGAAGCTGGACGTCAAATGAGGCGAGTAGCTGGCGAGACTGGAAGGCCCAGAGCTTGATGGTGTTGTCATAGGCAGTGTTGTCGTAGGCAGTGCTAGCGAGGAGAGCACAATCAAATGAAAGTGCTAGATTGGCGATAAACCGAGTGTGCCCTTTGAAAGGAGCTCCGACAATCTCCAGTATCGATGCATCGAACTCATAGATCGTAATGGGGTCATCCCGGACGTCTATGCGGGGCTTGAAATTCTTGAAGCTAAACGCAGCTACGATGGTTTTGTCTTGTGTTGTCCAGAACACCGGCGTGCGCGCAAGTGTCCAATCGCCGCTGTAAGAGGAATTCCCAACCGAGACGACTAGTTTCTGTGTTTGGACGTCCCACACCTCAAGGCGCTTCGCTATATCTAACATGACCGCAAGCTTCTTCGAGTCTCGCGAGAATCGAACTGAGCCCAGGCAATGATCATTCTTGAATGGACCAGCCACGAGTTTGCCCGTGTCCAAATTCCATATCCGCGCTGTACTGCTTCCAATACCATCCAATATGTAGTCTATCGACCCAGCCGCGAGCAGCGTGCTGTCCGGGGAGATATCGATGCATTGGATCCACTGTGGCTTTGAGTGAGATTGAAATATTCTCACGAAGCCTGTCTCAACCTCGCAGACTTTGAGCTTCCCTCCCTCGGTGGTATGGTTACCTCCACCAGCAGTGACAACCCATCGACCATCCCTTGATACCTCCAACATATCTACTCTCTGCTCACAGACATCCCGCACCTCCTCAATCTCCTTTCCCTCCCGCAAATCCCATCTCCGAATGGTCATGTCCAGAGCTCCGCTGATCATTTGCTTCCCGTCCGGAAAGTAGGAGATGGATCTAACTTGGGGGTATAGGTCTCGCTCGCCATTCCGAAGGTTGTAATTGAATCGTTTATGACCCTCCAAAGTCATGACCGGTGTCAGAATCGATTTATTTGCTGCTACAACGGGCTGCATCGAGCTGGAAGCCATGGCCCACCACCGACGATGGAAGGTTTCCCAGTTATTTGGATGTGTTCAAAGCGTCGGCGGTGTATGCTGTACGCCTGACGTTGAGTGATTTTCAAGCTTAACTCGTTCAAGAGATTCTGCACGTTGCCTGCTGAAGCAGATTGTCAGTTCAAATCCGTACGCAATGCTCAGATGGGTTTCAAGTTCCCAGGAGGCCAGCAAGAAAGTAGAGCGATCGCTGGATTGCATTGCACAGCAAGTCCTTTTTATTCCCCACCCTGCCTCCACATTCCCAGCTTATCAGTCACGTCATTCCTGTGTAGGAGCGCCCCAACTCAGCCACTAACAACTTGGCGCCAGTTCGGACGGCATTATCACTTGAGACAAGTCACTTGTTGGCGTTCGTACTCATTGAGGCTTAAGTTATGCAACACTACTGCAGTTTCTCAGTTTCTCATCCGTCCAGGAGACACAGACACTGTGATCAAGGGCTGCCAGTGAGCTTGCATCCAACGAAAGACATAGGTTTTGTCGTTAGCTTACATGTAGTGGATATCCAGACAACATTCAATTCCAGGGATATGACAGCCTCTTATCGATAGTATAATGTATGCGATGAATGGTAACAATACAGCACAAACCAATGAAGAGTGGAAACATCCCATCGACTCGGAGGTGGCAAAATCACTGCGAGAATGTTTATCTCGATTGTATTACCCCACCGACGGAGAAACCTGCAGCAGCGTAAAATCCAGTACTACAGCACGAAAGCTACCCATCCCTTATAAGAGCGCCCTTGGTTAAAGCTCAAATTTGATACGCAGGTAGAGCTCCGAAGCCTTCCTCATCTCTTCAACTGTCGAGGGAGGCGCGGGTTTCCCGTCGAAGTCGTACACCTGCTCCGGATAGTACTCGAACTCTGCAGGGGGTTGTGGGACGCAGTGTGCTGGACGAACGTTGTAATCGTTATAGGAAAATGGGTCTCCTGGCTTCTTGGGAAGCTGAAGTAGTGTGGCATTGGCAGACTCGATTGAAACGTCGTAGTCGAAATAATTAAAAGGTGTCAGGAAGAAACTGAATAACACAACGAGTCAGCACGTCATATCAATGCATAGCTAGAATATAACCTTGAAGCGGCTGTATTAGTCCTGGTATTCGGAACATCCTCTGATGCAGGCTGTTACCGAACAGTTTAACCCCACATCAAAATTTTCGACGAAGGTAAACTCACGAGGTGGTGCATCCCGACGTTGATCCAGGTCACCAAATCCTCTTGAGTGATGTTTTCACCGTGCATCGAGTCTGCTGTTTTCTTTGCTCCGCCATTATCGGCGGGTCGTCGTATCAAGAAACCTGCGGTGCAGGCATGCTTCACTTACAATTTATTCCTCACGGTACAGCTGTATTGTATATCCTCATTAGGTGTTATATCATTACATATACCAGTCTCAGTCTGGAAATTCCAGCAGAGATACACGTCGTGAAGCACATCAAGCCCAGGGCTATTAGAAAGCGTGCATCCAGATGACTCACCACTTCAAGAACATGATCAAAATCCGTACGGCTGGAGGCGGCTAATGCACTTTGATTGAGGCTTCCTCCAATACTCCGCCGGCGTCGCAAGGAAGAAAAGTGCATGGGCGACACCTTCGAGTGGAGGTGTATCCTTCGGCTTGGGGGAATTGACGGGCCAAGTAGGGAGGAAGCACATTTCCTGCAAGTAGATCATACTCAGTCCGGTCGGCTCGGAAAGAATTTCTTTATATCCCACCTCTCGACCGCAGGCAGGTCGGCATTTGATCCATATACTCCGGTCTAACCAGGACATCAACTTCTGGATGTCTTGTCTCAATTCGTCCATTAATCGAGTGATTTCAGGGTCACAAGTGTTCCGAAGACGTCATTAAGAGTATTTGGTTTATCATCACAGAAGTGTGCATTGTGGCACAATTCTTGAACATAAGGGATGCCCAATGCGGTGCATCTACGCCTGAAGTGTCTGAGCTGGGAACGACGGTGGAATGTAATAGGTATGGCGTAAGCATAACACGGAGCTGAGCCTGCGCCAGCTTCGCTCGTTGAAGCAGTTCTTGCGAGTCTGATGAAGTAAAATTGAGGAGATGCTGCATCAACTCCAGTCGATCCACGTATCGATCGACGATGACATGGATAAGGGTCTTCTGGTCAATGCCGCTGCCCACCCAGTCTGGTCGACTGACAACTTCCGTAAGCTTTCTCATCAACCGCGAGATGTCCTCTGATGATATCCCGAGCACGCGGTGGTCGCACCGTTCAAGACCCGCGCAAACCAGGACGAGGGAAGGTGCCAGTGCAGTATCATACAATGAGATGAGACTAGTTAGGTCGAGCACAATGCGCGATTCTCCTGGGTAGCGATTGTGCCATGAGCCAGCGTGCATGCTCTCAAAGCTGCGAACCCCTGCGCTCATGAGTAAGTACTCGTCAATCATAACGGCACACGAGAAGAAAATACTGACAGATGCCATTCAGAATCAAATGGAGGAGGGTGGTAATACGACATGCAGGAAATATACTTTGTATGAAAAATTGACGGCCCTTTTGGTGGCGTTTGAATCGCGTTGAATTGTTGAAGCGCCTCTGGAGGCGCTTCACGCGATTCTGAATCGGATTTTGGACTCTTGAAACACCTGTTAATAACTTAATCTATATATACTTGTCTTGTCTTGCCTGCAAGCAACCGCCTCCCTCACTCACGCTGTAGCATCGTGCCCCGCAAGGTAAAAACTATTGAGTGGCAAGGGTCGAGGGAGAAAACTGAAAAATATCCAAAAGTTGAATAATTCACAGTACTGCACGCAATGTAAAGCTTTATGATAAGCATTAACGACCATTTTTACGAGAATCACATTGTGAATCGGAAGCCGCGACGGATTGACAGTGACTGAAGATATCTGGATTCATGCTCGAGAGTCCACAATCGGTTTCCTACATAATATGCCCCACATTTTTTTTGCACTGCATTGCATTGCTGTCCACCGGTTGTGCTCAGTGGCTTATGTGTATTTTAGTCTGCTGAAAAAGCCTTGACGTGAGTCTTCCATTTCTCCAGCACCTACATGCCGTAGAAAGTGCGCTGCGGATTGTCTGTTAACAGATTGCCCGCCACTGTGCGGCTGTCCTCTACCTACTGAACTCTCTACTTCAATAGGCGTCTGTCACTGCATCTATCTTACAAAAATAGACTCAACTTGACCTTTGTGACCAGTCGCGACCTAGGCTATGCACATGCGGCATTAGCTGCTCATGCGTGGCGGCGACCATCATAGGTTCACGGTGGCGCAATTCGCTTTATAGAGGCATTGTACAAAATGTTTCTCTCTCCCATACCTCCTGTTCTTATCACGTCTTCAACTCAACTCGTTACTCACATGCATCGAGCTCTGTATATTGCCGAAATTTTACACCTCATCAGCTGCCACACCGACAATGGCTCACTTACTAGCCTTGCGTTGACGTGTCGCGCATTTGAAGGTCCAGCACTTGATGCCTTGTGGAGGAATTTGCCATCCATAGAGCCGTTTATCAGGTGTCTACCCAAAAATCTCTGGGGTTTCAATCATTGGGGAGAACTTGTAAGCATTTCACATTCGCGCGATTTCTCACTCAGTAATCTTGTGCAGATACTACTCAAGCCCATCGATACCGACAATTGGACCACTTTTCGTAAATACGCGTCCCGTGTGCGCTCGATTACACAGTCTCAAGATCCATCGCCCATCATCGAGCATCTTCGAATACTAATGTTGTCTTACCCATACCCATCCTTGTCCATGTTTCCAAATCTTCGAAGTTTGACTTGGAATGCCGGTCACACCCACCTAGCCATCGAGTTCTTGCGTATGGCATTTGTGCCCTCCCTTGTTTCCTTGGACCTACGAATTACCTCGATTTCGCCAGCCCTCATGTCCATCCTTTCGACTCTCGGCACCACATGTCCTAATCTCACCTCCTTTCGACCTCAGGTAGAGAACCCGACGATGAACCATGATATTGCGCCCTTCATAACACAAACGATCTGCCAGCTCCGTCATCTTTGTGCCTTGTCTGTGTGTCAGCTGGAAGATCAAGGGATGGTGCACATTACACAGCTCAAGTCTCTAAAGATACTGTGGCTTTATATAGAGCCTTCTTTACTCCGACGCATGGGGTTGCCACCACAATCGCTCGGTTTTGAACATCTGGATCTCTTGGGCCTTCAAGGTCGCAGACTCGACCACATGACCGACTTCTTACGTTCTCTCCGGACCATCCGAAGCAAACATGTTACGGCCGTGTTTTCCAGTACTTTTTTCGCACAGCGATCCAATTCTGTGTCCCGGTTCTGTGCCATGCTCCAAGAGAGATGCGACAATGACACCCTCGAAGCCATAACACTCTGCGAACGGCTATACAACAACTTCGACAATATAACTGCGCAACCAAGTGACTTCGCCCCGCTGCGCCTTCTTCGCAATTTAACCCATTTCGATGTCGAGGCAGGATGCACCATCTCTATCTCCGATGACGAACTATGCGAGCTGGTAAACGCATGGCCCAAGCTCAAAACTTTCAAGCTCAGCTGTTATCACGACAGGCGCCAGTACTACGCTGCCTACCTTCCATGGACTAATTAAGTTGCTCCGACTTTGCCCTGAACTGGTATCTCTTTCTCTCGTCATCGATGCCACGCAGCTTGATGGGATAGATGTCAAATCCCCCGGTAATGGCATCCGTAACGAGGGTTTGAAGGAGCTTGTCCTCGGTAACTCAACTTTCGACTCTGCACTGGCGGTGGCTCTGGTCTTCAGCAACCTCTTTCCTAACCTGGAGGAGGTGAATCTTGGTCCTTGGATTTCTGGCCCACTGGATTATTGCGTGATAAAAAGCAGGAGATGGATCGATGGAATTCGGTCAATCGCTTACTTGGAAGCTTTTGTACTGGCAGGGTGCGATGTTGATGGCTGTGTCTATGTAAATCATCTATGCCAGCGACTACTTATTGTGATCACAAATAATTGTTTCATTGGTTTACTGGTATGACTGAAGAGGCAAACATGTGTGCCTGCTACCAGAGATTGTGCGAATTACAACAGGTGATGACACCGACGTTGCGCTTTGACGCGTTTTAAATTTGTCACACATGCACGTGATCGTGACCCTCGCGTCCGCATCACGTGCTCGCACAAGGAAGTCGCGAGTCGCGAAGCGTTGTCTTCCACTTTGAATTCTTAACCACTGACGATGGCGAGCTCTTCGAAGGCGATCAGCAACTCAGCACATCAGCAAGGCCAGACATGTATCGCATTTTCGCGTGACGGGAAGTAAGTACATAGGGCTTTTGTCACGAGTTAATGATGTAACCTTTTTTTGCTAGGATTGCTTACACGGGGGGTTTGGAAGCATCAGTACGAATATGGCACACTGACCAAGGGGAGGACCAGGAGCCCGAAGCTGCGTATGAAGCTGATGAGGGTATCACGACCATCGCTGCAGCCGTGCGTGGCTCTTCATGCACTCCGGGTTCATATAAGCTAACTCCCAAGAACAGAACGACTACTGGCTTTCTGGAGGCCACGACTCTCAGGTGCGAAAGTACCTTCCTGGAAAGGCACAGTTCGAGGGATTTGTGGCGCACGTGGCTGGAGCATCGATCAGGTCTTTAGCAGTGGATCCCTCTGGCAAGCGAGTTGCTGTCGCTTCTGAGTGCGTTCATGCATGTATCAGCTCTTGTGTATACTGATTGTGTCGGTGCAATGAAGCGAACTCTCAGTCAAAATCATTGATTTGGATGAAATAACGAACGTGACTGTACTGGAAGGAGGGCATAAGAAACTCATAAGAAAGACGACGTGGCATCCGTCGGGCTCTATTTTGGTACGAGTCTTTGATAAGATTCATGTTAGTACTCAATTAATGGCCTTTCGTCCCTCAGACAACGAGTAGCTCGGATGGGACCATAGTAGCATGGAATATATCTGATACTGAAGCCAAAGTTGAGAACGTTATTGACGGTATAATACCCGCAGTAGCAGATTCGGAGTAAGGACTATTCATCTCATTTGCAGAGAGCTTTTGCTAATTCTCCTTAAGGTCTCCGGAATTTATGCATGATTGTTCCGCCGTTTGGCATCCGTCAGGACAATATTTCTTTGCGGCATCACGAACACATGGTAGGTGATCATAGCATTAAGGTAACATTCTCACTTATACGTGACCAGAAATTGTCACGATTTCACGCACCACATGGATCAAAACTTCATCTCTGTCTGATCCAAATACCATCGGTGCAACAACAGCACTAGCTGTTTCAGCCAATGGCGTGTACCTTGCAAGCGCTTGCAACCAAGAGATATTGGTTTGGAGTGTGCAGACGAAGCGGGTGCTTTGGAGGTAAGCTTTGGATTTGTCTCGTCTTCTATCCTCGTAATTCGTCGCAGGCACCCGGGCACACCAAATGCATTCACTATTCAAATCGCCTTTTCACCCACAGAAAATCTCTTAGCATGGACAGATACAGATGGTGTTCTCTCTCGTTGGCGGGATGCAATCCCTGATAGCTCGCCAGATCCCGTCCGCCAAACGGCCGCGAGCAGCGCTCAAGGGACGACTACAAAGCGAAAGTCCACTCCCCCACTGTGGGGTGAAGAAGCTGATGTTGATGCGGAGGGAGGTGACCCCTACGGCGATGACTGGATCATTGATGACCTTGGCAATGGAATGGAAGATGAGCCTGAGGGTGCAAGAGCGAAGCGCGCAGGTGATGGGTTCGTGAAGGAGATGGGTAAGCCATTACCGCAGGGTTCCTCTTGACAGTGAGTTGACGACATTTAGTGAGCATCACAAAGGCTCAGCCCGCTTTCCAACCGGGGTCAACGCCCATGGAAAACAAAAAGCGTTATCTCGGTAATAGACCTTACTTGACATGTCACATCTCATGCTTATCTTGGCATAGCATACAATATGGTTGGTGTCATTGAGGTGACGGACCAGGACACTCATCACATTGTCAATGTCGAATTCCACGACCGGTCAACCCGCAAGGGATACCACTTCACTGATCACTTCAAATATGACCTTGGTTCCCTTGGTGAGCATTTTGCTACTTCCACATGCAAGTCTGACATTTCACAGGTGAACGTGGTGCACTCTTCGCCTGTCCCCCTGAGCTCGATCACCCAGCGCAAGTAATATATAAACCTTACGGTACCTGGTCCACGCAAGGGGAATGGACATATGCCCTTCCAAAAGGTCATCGTGTCCTTGGCCTTGCTGCAGGCGGTGAGAGGCCGATGCGGTCTCTGAGAGATCCTTCGTCATCTGGAGGTGATATTCAAGGGCAAGGGAACATCGTCATCGCGACCAGTTCCGGAGACCTCACGTTCTTGAGCGGGTCTGGTATGGAACGAATTGTCCTCGGCGTGGAAGGTGAATATGTGACAATGGCTGCTGCCGAGGAATATGTGCTGGTGGTGCACCGGCCGGGCGCAACTACTATTGATGGTAAGGCTCTTCACCTGTACAAGAGCATATCGTTGAATAGACTTGCTCCTTCAGGCTCCCAAAGTTTGGTTGCCACACTGATATCCTTTGAAGACTTTCAAGTTCTTCAAGAGAAACCACTACCAATACCGAAAGGTCACACTCTTAGATGGATTGGAACTACAGATGAAGGGGTATGTGGACCTCATCGTTGACTCACTCTTCTTAATTGGCGTGCTAGGCCCCGGCAATATACGATTCTGCAGGCTACATGCACCTCATGATCCATCATCGACGTCCGAACCGTGCAGCGTGGGCGCGTCTCATGGACACCAACGCGCTGGAGCGCAAGCAGGGTAAGGACGAGTCGTATTGGCCTGTTGGCCTAAGCCAAGACACATTATGTGTCTGATTCTCAAGGTAAGCAGCTTAATCCTCGATGACCGCATCATCGCTGACTCCATCTCAAGGGTCGTCAAGACCACCCTGGCTTCCCTCGGCCTCTCATACAAGAGCTTCCCTGTCCGCCTGCCATTCCGCAATCAGGACCCCGTGGATTCACCAGTCGAAGAGCGGTATGCCTTTTCTCCGTCTTCGTAGCTGATTTGCTAAATACCAGATTTATCAGTATTGCACGGGAACGAATCTACGTTAACCTTGCTCGCGATGCCCTTGGTGATGAATTAACCTCTCCCGACATCGATAAACGCGAAATTGAACTAGACAAGCAATTGATCAAGCTCATCCAGGCTGCCTGCAAGACGGACAAGGCGCCGCGTGTGATTGAGCTCGTCAAGCGGTTACATTTTCCAAACTCGATTACGGCTGCCAGTCAACTTGCAGGGTTCTACCGTCCTCATTGGTTTACAGGAGAAGATAGAAGCAATTAAATTGTGGCGGGAGCAGAACGCAACACCAGCAGAAGAGGCTAGGGAGGGGAGACAGGGGTTTTCCTATGAGGATGCTCCATTAACTCGACCAAAGCCTTTCCAGAACTTCAACCCACCACCCAAGGTCGACAGACCTGGTCTGACACGATCTGCTGGGATCGTCGAGCCAACGGAGTTCACTGCGTCTAGTGCTGCGATCAGAGCAAGTCGTACGCGAGCGCCACAGGCTTCTACTTCCCGTTCAACGTCTCCTGAGGGAAAGAGGAAACGCAACGACAATGACGACGACCTAGTATCTAACACGTTCGAACGTCGAGGTAAAAAGGCGAGCCGTTGGTGAACCTGATGCCGTGGTGCCATCACCAAAGCCAAGTACGTGCATATTTATTCAACCTGGGGCTGCGTAATTTGAGCATGAATCATAGACAACCCATTCGCTCGAAAAACTGGGCAAGAAGTCAAGAAGAATCCTTTTGCAAGGAAACCCGAGCTTAACAAGCCCATTGAGAAGAGCGAGAGCTTTTTCAACAAAGTCGAGGTCGCGGAAAAACGTGAGGAACCGTGAAGTTCGGCTCCCTGTCTTCCTTTCTTAATCATAATCAATAGGTCCAGCAGCAGCTAAAGGCAAGGAAAAGGAAAAGAAGGAGCTTTCAAGACAGAGCACTCTCTTCGGTTTGCCTTCGAAACCTCCTAGCAGAAAAAAAGGAAAAGCAAGGTTCTTCGAAGAAAAAGGTCGATGCTGCACTTGAAGCTCAAGAGGACAAGGCAAAGCCCTCCGGCGGACTCTGAAGCTATGGATGTGGAAACCCAGGATGCCACACTAGGTAGATAGCCAAGCTCATCCCGACCCATCAGACGTTCAGATGGATACTCAGCCTCTAGAGGATGAAGAGCCCATTGATTGGCCGGATTCACCGCCGGCTGCTACTGTCAACGACGATGATTAGGTCCCACTTGTTTCCCCCGCTTCTCGTCCATCATTGTATGCATATCATCAGTTGTTCTGGATTGTGTATCTAGATCATGTCCCAGTCTATCTAACGCTGCCCTTGTGTCGGATCGATGCTTGACTTGAGACCCTTTGTTCGAAAAGTCCCTGCCTCCATTGCGGTCCACTACACATCATGGTCCCTTCTAAACCAACTCTCCTGATGTTTGGACGAGACCTGTCCGAAAGTTCAGATCTATGTAAGCAGAGTCCACCGCATGCAAGTTTTTAGAAAACACCTGATCGATGCAATTCTTCTGTTGAATTAGCAGTGCCAGGCATCACATCGCAGATGATTGACTGCGCATGATAGACGCCCAAACTTGGCCGATGGTGGATGTAATTGAGGGCCAAGGGTAGGATGCATGTCAATGAATATTTTCAGTACCCACTGTCATCGTTCGGGAGCGAAATACCTACTCAAACAGCCAAAGGTGCGAGATAACTCAGACATGAACTACCCATCTCCTGCTCGACCTTCATTTAGAAATGAACTGCAGGGTAACTCTCATTCAACAATAATACAGACGTACTAAGTTGAAGTTCGAGATGCCATGATAGTAGGTAGCAATGCTGCCAAAGACCTTGTCCCGATCGTCCTGCGAATGATATCCAATATGTCTATTTGGTGCACTGAGTGCATTGCCCACATTACACAACAGTGAATACGCCAAAGAACTGTGAGATGATTTTAAGAGGGCCCTGTCTCAATAAGTCGCTAAGTTGATTTCTATGAGCAGATCACTTATCAGGAACCGCATTTACAGTGTCACAGTTTCGAAACGGAAACGAGGCTACTGGCATGAGCTTTTCTCCGTGGATGGGAGGAAGGCCCCGGATGGTGTTCTTGCACTCTTCAACGTGTTTTCGACATTCGCAGGTGTCCATTATAGTTGAACTGCGTCCGAGACCGACTCGGAAGTGATGGCCAATGCACCAGTTGGCATGAAGAAATTAGAGGATAACATGAACAAGCACCTAGTCGCATGGACGCTCTCGAGACGGCCGGTGTCCTTCATCTCTACGATCATGATGGTGCAACGTTGTGTACTAAAACCAACCATAGCAGAAGCTTCCAGAGGTCAAGGGTACATCAATTCGAGACTATCCTTAAGCTTCTTTCTTTTACGGGAGCTTTTGCCTGATTGTGTAGCAGAGTTGGGTAAGTGCTCTTCAGAGAAGGGATCAGGCTGTATCGATCCCTGAAGAGAGAGCATTTCGTTCGCCACAGTTTTTCTGTTCACAGAACTCGATTAACCTTCCTTCCCTTGAAAATCATTGTTCACTCACCCAATGACTGTAAATTCTAAATATCCGTCTGCTCCGCCAAGCTTCGTACCCGTCACACGGTGTACCCATTGTCCGCTCGTCTCCGCTACTTCTTCACCTTCCGCCTTCTCACCCTCAATATCTTTCATTCCCGTATCCCCTTCTCTATCGACGGAAGCCTCTGCAGCAGCTTCTCCATACTCGGGATCATTTTCCGCAGGACCATATTCGAATTCCCAGATGTCTTGTGGTATGTGATGTCGCGGTATGGAAACTGTTGAATGTACGATGGATAAGCAGTGAAACATGGTCAGGAGAATACAGAATAATTTTGCCAGCTATGAAAGACGCTGTCATTCGATTCGAATAATACATGGTACAGGAAGCACATACCAAGTTTCATGGCTATACTTGGACTCCAGACCGTAGCATCGAAACCGACGTTACAGATCGCGAAAGGGCAGTCGGCATTTATGCTCGCTGTTGGACTGAGGAAGTGCAAATTTGAATGATGCCAAAAGAACACCACTCAAGGACGGGATATATCTTCATATTCATTCAGTATATAAGAATCGTCCAAAAAACGTGCCATCGCACCGCATAATCATGCTATCTAACATTTCCTCCACGCCCGCGCGTAGATTACTGGCGAATACAGGAGATACAGAAAGTGTTATGGTTGCTTTCAGTCACCCGGAATTCAGTTGTCGAAGATTTGGTGCGGGACTTCCCCTTGTCCTGTTTCAACTTCTCTTTCTTCTTCTTCCTGGGTGAATCATGGTCTGCGTCAGACGCACGATGCTTGCGCTTCTTGTGACTTGAGGTAGAGATGGAAGTGGTCATCGTGATATGAGATTCAGCCTAAGCAGAAATTTTGGCCAGAGTAGATCATGTGACCCTCCTACATTTTGTAGCCGACGAAATTTCGTTTGTTGCCAACATCTCACCAACGGCGACGCTGCAGCAGCCCTCTTATGTTCCATTTCTTCCTGTTTCTACTTTCCTTTTATTAGTTTTGAAGGTTGTGATGGTGAGTCATAGCTGCCTTTTACTTGGATCTGTGGACTGACCGGCATTGCAGTCGGCCCCAAAAATCATCATACAAATTCTCGTCACAGGTGCACAAATTTTCGGGAAGGCACTTTTTGAAGCCGGGAAGCAGGCAGCTAAAAGTGCGTACTTTAGTATTCTATCTTTGATTATTCCGGTATTCACATCTTTCGTTTCGTCCGACTGCAGACGCAAAGCACACCCCGCAAGGCGCAATAGGATCAGATATTGCGGGCGTTCGTAATGCTACCTCTGGCTCTTTGACGGATAAACTTACCCGAGAACACCGCATGACACTGGATGAGGCTCACCTCATTCTGAATCTGAAGAATGGAGAAACCCTTGAGAATGTGTTGAAGGTGAATTCATATTGCTTTGTCCGACTGCATATCATACTAACCACCATGCCAGAATTATGAACACTTATTCAAAGTGAATGCTCCCCGGCCAGCCCCAGGTCCTCCGACAACTGGTGCAAGAGCGGGCAAACAACCTGCACCGCCTACGCACTCGCATTACCTCCAGTCAAAAGTTGTGCGTGCCCGGGAGCGTATCGAGGCAGAGTTGCGCGTCATGAAGGAAGCAGATTCAACGCCTCCGCCTCCCGGAGCTGCTCCCCCTTCGGGTTCAGCACAAGGGAACGCGGGAGGCTCGAGTTGACCTCTCGTGATGATTTATTATATCCGCTTTCGATACGTTTTGCTGATTTTAGAGAAACTCAGAGCACATCCCCATTCACTCAGCATGCTTACTGTACACACAATACTATTACAACATATCTCGTATCGTTGGAACGCGACTTCAAGACCTTGAGCCGCCTTATTAGGCAATGGGCGCGCGCTGTATCCTGCATGTACGACCAGTCTCTAAGATGCAGATGGAAACTACGTGCAGCGCCTAAGTCGGTCGACGACCATTTGCACTCGTTAGTATCTTTGTCGCTCCGCATCCAGATGGCATTTCGACCAGCGACAGGACGACGGCGAACCTGCGAAAGCGAGAGCCGTGGTCCGACTCCCGCCCGCAAAGAGTGCTGTGCACGAAATCGGAAATTAAGTAGAGCCAGACGAAAAGGCACACCCCCCGCGGTTGATATTTATCGCCCAAATGTACCGCGGCGCAGATTCGTGAAAACCCGAAGGACCTGGGGACCGAGTCGCGAGTGGTAAGCAAGGTTGTCGATCGGTTATTGTTTGAAGTCCATGATATTGGTAAGTATAACGTGAACTTCAGTCAGCAAGTACTGACTCATACACCTGGTGACCTAGCTACCGGGATATTACTGATTGACGACGATCCAGTTTGAAGACAAATGCTGAGCGCTAACTTCAGTAAGAATTCCCACTAGCACTGTTATAGGCATCTTAGCCGGTGTCCCTGATTACAAACAACCTAGTATACGCGTATACCTGGCCCATCAGCTCAACGTGAAGCGATGCGATAACAAATGATCTGCCTGTCGTACATAAATACGGGCATTCTTTCGTCGAAGTCACCCACAGTCCGATTAAATCACCATGCCCGAACAGTTGACTTTGTACCTTAACAAGGTGAGAAATGATGGAGAGGGAAGAGGAAGACTTATCTGATCCATGACTCCGCAGCTCTCGCCCTATAGCCAGAGGGTGAAATTACTACTCGCATTATTTCACAGATCTCTGACACAATTGATCAAATTGGCAGGTCGAAATGGCTCTTATCGAAGCTAGTGCACCCTACAAGACGTACGAAGTCGATCTCTGGAACAAACCAGAGTGGTTCGCTGGTAAAGTGAACCCCATCGGCCAGGTATGTGTGATGACATCCTGTGTCTATTGCATACGAATGCAATGTTATATAGGTGCCCGCTGTGACATACGGGGGACCCGATATCGATCCCGAGAATCCATCACCCCTTTCCGCTAAAATTGCAGAATCGAATGTCATCCTCGAGTTCGTGGCGGACCTGTATCCAGACTCTGGCCTCCTGCCGAAGGATCCTGTCCTGCGTGCCAAGGTCCGTTTCTTCATCAATGCGACTACGAAACTCGAGGGTCCGCTTCAAGCCTTCATCCGAGGGCAAGAGTCATATGAGCACATCCTGAAGGAGATTGAATTTATCCAAGGACTTCTCGAAGATGGTAAAGATTTCGCGGTTGGAGATCATTACACCATTGCAGATGTGTCCATCACTCCGTACCTCGCAAGGCTCAAGGTCATCATCGAAAATGACACAGGTAGATACTCACACCTGTGCTTTTTCCCGAGAGGTTGAGTCTGATTAATGGAAACAGGGAAATTCCCTGTTGGCATGGGGTATAAGCTAGGCGAGGAATTAAAGGCACCCTAGGTTCGCCAAATTTACGACATACGTCGAGCTAATGCTGGAGCGTCCGAGCTTGAAACAAACCAATGACGAAGTGTGTATACATCCACGCAAATGACTAATTACTCACTTCTGCGCTGCGTTTAGGAGTCTGTGATCACATTACTTCAAGAAGACTTTCGCGGAGCGTGTACAGTGACCTTCTAACAAGATAGTTAGCTGCATAGCTGTCAGAAATTTGCTAGGGGATCAATAGAAAAATCATAGTTGGCAAGAAATTCTGTGCGACAGAGCACCAACTTTAACTAGTACACTCCTCCATCTACTCGGCGGCCAATAGTGGGGAGGTTGAAAATTAAAGTTGGCAAACCAAATCGGTGTGGAATGTACCTCAGTGAGAGTTGCTTGGCAGGACCATCTTTGATATATATATAATTTACTAGCCGTGTCGCGTTTTCAAGATCTAAATATTCCTGCAAGTCAGTGGCTCGAATTTGACAGAGGCCAGCCATTTCTACATATTTTGATAGTCTCCCCTAGCCGGACCCAATATTAGTAGTAGCAGGGAGTATACAAAACAACCTGATTGGTCATCATATCAACCAAGTGCTAAGTACTATCAACCCCTGAGATCGTGTCGTCGATATTGTACGTCCCTGCCGATCGATGATTCGTTTTAGCTGCTTGGAGGTCAGAATGAGTTGCTAAATGTTAGAGCCTGCGAAAACTCAAGAGAGATACTCACCAAGGACCGAAGTTGTCCATGGATGCACAGACGGCCTGATACTATGGTTCCCCACCTCAATTCCTGCAATAAGCAACCAGAAAATGTCCATACAGATGCACATGCTGTGTGCATCGAAAAGGGGTGGATCAAAACACCAAAACCTTCCCTTGAGGTTTATAGTTTGAATACACCACCATTCTCACAGTCTTGAATCATTTATGAATCCATTTGGATATCCATCTCTTGTGCCACCAGCCCAACCATTCACACCCACAATCAGTAGTACTACAAATGTACTATACAAGAATGCTACACAGCCATCATTGCCTTCTGTTAGGTACTGTGCCGGCTCAAGAGGCAGAGGGGTTGGGGCTTGGCTTCAGCTCTTGCGCTGCGCCCTTAGCCGAGTATGTGCCCCGAATTTGGAGCGGGTCCGACATTGTCCGACGGTAGGATGAGTGGACCTGCTTGGGTCTGCTTTGGGGGTTGGGGAGTAAGAGCTGCTAGTGGCTGGACCGACTAGGAGCAGAGCGGGGAAGGCGGGGAATAGTGCGGAGGATGGAAAAGGGTCAGAGGGGAATATTGACAGGGGCAGAGAAATAAGGGAGAGACTTAGAGCATGGCTCTAAGTTGGAGTGGAGGGTCGGAGGGTCAGAAGTGACAACAAGCTGAAGCTTGTGTCCAGAGGAGGCAAGGTCCTACTGAGAATTCTCACAAGTAGTAACTGCGAGAAGACAAGTAATATTAAGACTAAGGAAAAATATCTAAGTACAGGATATGTTATATACTTCTATGTGAGGCAGTGATCAGGATAACTATGTAGTAAAGCTATGTACCAAGGATATAGTTTGTAAGTACTTTACATAGGTGAAGACATAAGTCGGAGCGGATATCAATATGTAAGTGTTGGATCAGCGATCGGGCGGTAATAGGAATTACTGGTGATCCAGAAGTAAGAGTCTATGTACCAAAGGGGAAAGTGTATGTCTAAAAAGGGAAAGGGATCCAGTTGAATGGGGAGGTTTATGGAAGGGGACCGGTTGAGCGGTTGAGTGGAAGTGTAGGGTGGAATGTGGGTTTTGTGATAGAGCGGAGTGGAGGATGGATGGGGCGGAGGGGGTCGGAAAGCGGAGCGGATATCAGTATCGGAGCGGTCAGATCTGGTATATGACACCTTCCCCACTTGTTGGATTATTTCACAGTGGCTCAGGTGTAGATTCAAATAGCTCCTCATGATCTCAGTCACCATTATTATCATCTTTTCCACCATCACGGACAAATAGTCCAAACATTGGGTGAAGGATCACAACCATCATCAAAATGGGTGTGAATGTTATCGCAGTCTTGGAACCATATTACAGATACCCCCACTGCTGTTGGAGGCACTCCTTCATGGCAGCAGTGGACACTGGCTCTTCAGGAATGCTTCGAGACTCACATGGCCAACATCACTGCATCATGTGGGTTCTCCTTCAATTGGGTGGAAAATCAAGCTGTTCATAGCTTCATGAATGAAATTTTCCCCTTTGCAAATTCAATCTCAAGTCATCAACTGTCCAATCACATTGTTCCCTGTAAAGTTGAAAGGTTCCGACAAGCTGCCAAAAACTGCTGTTGTGGAAGTGATGTGACACTCCAAACAGATGGATGGACAGGAGTAATTTTCCATTACCTGGGGCTTTCATGATCACAACAACAAATTGAGAGGCAAGATATTTTTTGAGTTTGCCTGCAATTATTGAAGGCTCTTTGTTGAAATCAGGTCCACACTGTTTGAGTCACAGATGTATCAGCTCAATGAAAAACTGCCCAACATCTCAAGGTCCTCATAATCAGTGTTATTGAAGAGGTTCAAACAACCTGGAAGGCAAATGTCATTGCTGTCACATTGGATGTATCAGGGGAGTCTCAGGCAGCTCACAAACAACTTGTCATGGAATTTCTGTGGTTGGTATCTGCAGATTGCTATGCTCACCAGGTAATAATGTCTGGTGTTTTCTCACACACTTGTAACTTGTTAATAATTTTTCAAAGATAAATCTTGTTGTTGGTGACTATTTCAAGACTTCTGGTGCTGTAGTTTACCTGGCATACTCCAAGAAAGCTACAGAGCTCATTACTTGGCTTTGAAGCAAGACTCTCATTCTTGCATCACTAAGAGACATCCAACACACCCTCAACTCAACAAATCCATCACAAACTCAGTGTGTCCTCACCATAGTCTGTGCTGTTTTGACCTGGTGGACCACTCATTATCTTGCCTTCAGACACCTCTTGATCTAAAATTTGCACTCAACATTCTCGTTAGGCAGGAGAAAGGTCTCGGGTAAGATTCAAAAATAATAATGGGGGATGTTGGCTCATGGAAAAAGGCAATTGAAATGCTGAAATTGATTGAAGACCCAGTAATGTGGATGATCTTAGCTTGGTAAAACACTGTTGTTGTTTCCTTCATTGAGTGTCAGCTAAATCAAGATTATTCTACTAGGATGGTTGTTCACCTGCAGCCCTTATCATTGGTGATCAACATTGCTCAGGCTGCCCATTGTTGCCTTGACAAAGTCTTGATCATTTTCAGCTTTCTGATATCAAAATATGTTGATCTACAAGGGAAGGCAACATCAGTAGAAGAGCAATCAATGATCCAGGCCATTATTGATTCTCTCAAAAAGCACTGGAGCAAATGCAATCAAGATGTGTTTTTTGCTGCAGTTATTTTGAATCCCCTCTATAGGATCAAGCCCTTTGCTCGCCTTCACAAATTCACTAATGCTGGAATCATGACACTATTGGTCAAGCTATGGGATCAAATTTTCCCCAATACACCCTCAGACCAGTTCCAAACAGAACTCTTGCAGCATCTAGAAGGAAACAAGGACTATGGCAAGGAATTTATCAATTGGGTGGACTTGGTTCAAAGTTCTGCTGAGACCAAGGCATGTTTAATTATTTTTGAATATTTCTTGTTGTCATTCATGACCTGCACATTGCAGCAAAAATGTCCTGACCCTCTCAAGATGTACAAGGGAATCTGTTTTCAAGACACACAGCCAACACCACTGCAGAAATTCACTCATCAAATATTTTCAATTTGCACAAACTCAGCCTCTTGTGAACGTCTTTTCAGTCTTTTCGGCACTGTACTCACAAAACTTCAATCACATTTTGGCCTTAAGGGCCTCACAGACTCGGCAGAATTGTGTTTGCATTTGTGAGATGAATACATGCAAATGGGAGATGAAAAGGGCTGCCTGCATTGTGCAAGAAAAATAATCCCCAACCCCCTGCATCCACCTCCACCAGTTACTTCTGAGACTTCCATAGACTCTCTTCAACCTGATGACCTATCAGTGTCTGAGCATCTGGAAACTCATAATGAAGATGAAGATGACCGCTCACTTAGGTCTATCGCATCTGTTCTTGCACAATGCTCCTTCAACAATGAGGACACTACAGCAATGGTTTGTTGATCTGAGTGATGCCAGAGACAGACATGGTTGTCAAATGATGCGGAAGCGACAAGTGCACCAGCAGGATGAATTGCAATGGCATACACAAGGTAAGTATGTCCTTTCCATAGATCAATGGGTTCAAACTGGTCCTGAACTAGGTTCTGAATGGGTTTGCAACTGTCAAGCATCAGCCAAACTCTGAATCTCTGGAGAGGTTCAGTTCTGAGTGTTGGCCAAACCTGGAACCAGACTGTGAGTCTGGTTCAGAAAGGTTCAGGTTTGAACCCAGGTTCAGAACCTGGACTGCAGCAGCACTAGTGTGAATGCCATGAGGGTGTTCAGACTTTGTTGGTAGTTGAAGTCCAGATCGAAGTCCAAGCAGGAGACATCAGAGTGAGACATTGCGAGCTCTAGTCAACTGCACAACATGCAATGATGTGATGTCGGTACAATAATCAAATAAGTGACAGTCTATTTTTCTATGTTACACTTTATTACTTATCACTATGCTAACTACCTTAAAACTACGAGTTGTCAGACTGAACATCTCAGTCCATTTCCCGAGACTGAGATGTAAGTTGAAGTCCCTGCTTTACCTTAGAACTAGAGCTAACATACCCATAGATATATTTCTTATCAGGTACTACTATAGTCGTACTACTGAGTCCATTTCCTGAGACTGAGATATATATTTCTTATCAGCTCCCATTTCTCGCTCACTCTAAGCCTCTCAACACGAGAGTTGGTTCAGGGTCTGCAGGAACCGAGTAAGGTCTGAGTGATAACAGAGTACCTACAACTCTTTGCAAATTTACTGGAAATGAACAGCAGCATCGCGGCACACATGCCTAATATGGGTATATTTATGATGTGATATTCGAATCAGAATTTTTCTGCCTACATCAGCAAATGCAACTTTGTTCGAAAGCACTCACAAAACGCTCGTGTGTATATTCTTTTTGGTTTAGTTCAAGTTTGCGTTCATAAGCACACATTTTTGGTTATATGTTCAGCATCTCCACCAATCGTATGAGTGCGCTACTGAAGTCGTAAGCGTTCATTTCAGTGGTTTTGCAGATGTACCGAAAGTCATCCAGCAGGCAGGCATACATCTTAGCCGGTGTCCCTGATTACAAACAACCTAGTATACATGTATACCTGGCCCATCAGCTCAACGTGAAGCGATGCAATAACAAATGATCTGCTTGTACATAAATACGGGTATTCTTTCGTCCAAGTCACCCACAGTCCGATTAAATCATCATGCCCAAACAGTTGACTTTGTACCTTCACAAGGTGAAAAATGAGGAAGAGTGAAGAGGAAGACTTATCTGATCCATGACTCTGCAGCTCTCGCCCTATAGCCAGAGGGTGAAATTACTACTTGCATTATTTCACAGGTCTCTGACACAATTTATCAAATTGGCAGGTCGAAATGGCTCTTATTGAAGCTAGTGCACCCTGCAAGACCTACAAAGTCGATCTCCAGAACAAACCAGAGTGGTTCACTAGTCAAGTGAACCCCATCGGCCAGGTATGTGTGATGACATCCTGTGTCTATTGCAGACGAATGCAATGTTATATAGGTGCCCATTGTGACATACGGGGGACCCGATATCGATCCCGAGAATCCATCGCCCCTTTCTGCTAAAATTTCGGAATCAAATGTCATCCTCGAGTTCGTGGTGGACCTGTATCCAGACTCTGGCCTCTTGCCGAAGGATCCTGTCCTGCATGCCAAGGTCCGTTTCTTCATCAATGCGACTACAAAACTCGAAGGTCTGCTTCACGCCTTCATCTGAGGGCAAGAGTCATATGAGCACATCCTGAAGGAGATTGAATTTATCCAAGGACTTCTCGAAGATGGTAAAGATTTCGCGGTTGGAGATCATTACACCATTGCAGATGTGTCCATCACTCCGTACCTCGCAAGGCTCAAGGTCGTCACCGAAAATGACACAGGTAGATACTCACACCTGTGCTTTGTCCCGAGAGGTTGAGTCTGATTAATGAAAACAGGGAAATTCCCTGTTGGCATGGGGTATAAGCTAGCAGCCCATAATGTCATATTGATACATCAAAATACTACTATAGCCCTAAAATAGGGATACATCTTTCAGTCTCATTGCCCACTGCCCAAAGGGATGTATCCAAGGATATATCAATGGTGAATCGAATAAGAGCTTCTCCGTGCCTGCCCAAACCTTATGTGAGAGGGTCAATTGCTATAATATATACCTCCACCCCTCCATGGGGCTTCTTGACTGATCTGGGTTGGTTCTTCAGGGCTCTTCCTGCTTCTCTTTACCCGGCGGCTAATGTTGAAGCTTGAGATAGATCTTGCACATTTAAATGAAGTGCTGCTGACGCACCAGTTCCTGGGTTGTGTTTGAACTGTGTGAACGACAGAACTCCGAGTGCCACATGACATGGTTCAAGACTGAGTCTGTCTGAGTCTGTTGGTTTCAATGCTAAGTCCTCTTGTCACATGACATGTTCACGCCATCGAAGTATTGAAGTCGACTCACTGAGTATCAAGTCTCTCTCATGCCAGTGCTAATTGATTGGAATATGAAATATATTTGGATAGGTACACAACTAACACTCAAGATTAATGCACTGACACTACAAAATGATGCTACAAAATTAGACAAAGATTCAAGTAATAGAATTTTTTTTCAAAAAACTCGACAGATGCATGCACAAAGACATGCGCCGGAAATGCGGAATGTTAATTTTTTTGTTTCCTGGTTTCAGCATGTAAGTAACTGGGTGCGACACACAGATGGGAGTACTGAGTCTCTTACTGCTTTTTGCGACTAGGCACACCTGTTGCACTGTGCTCATGTGCTGCACGCTTCCCAGAACCAGTGGAAGCATTATCTCCTATGCTATTGGCAATAACATTACGCTTGGAGGGAACGGACTTTCGACCAGTCCTTCGTCGATCAGAAGGTTCGCTGTCGTCAGCAAGTGAGTGCCCAATACCACCGGTGACCAGGCTCCATGCAGGGAGGAGATACAGGTGGCGTAGATATAGGTGGTGGTGGGGGCGTCAGACTCGCCGGCTGAGATACAGGAGGTGGTGGGGGCATTAGACTCGCCAGCTGAGATACAGGAGGTGGTGGGGGCATCAGACTTGCTGGCTGAGAGGCAGACAGGACCGGCAGTGGTGTCAAACTCGCTTGCTGCGATACAGGAGGAGGTGGGGGCATCAGACTCGCTGGGTAAGAGCTGGGCAGGAGCGGTGGTGGTGGTGGTGGTGGTGGTGGTGGTGGAAGTTGTGGAGATATAGCGACTGGTTGAAGGGAGATGATGGGAGTTATGGACTGCGGAACATGCGGCAGCAGCAGTGAAACTTCAGGTGCAACATATTGCAGAGTCAGAGAAGAAGAAAAAGGTAAGTTTGACTCTGGTAAGACTGACCTATCAAAATTTGCAACCTGAGCAGCAAGGTTGGTCCAAAAGTTGTTGTCAAGGCCCCAATCATCGCCAGTGGTGTTTCCAGGGAGTGAGCTCCGTCCAACTGAGTCAGGCTGTGTAAGGGACGAAGACATGTGAGAAGTCTCAGGGCCAGATTTGTCAGCTTCTCCCATTCTGACCAACTCGCTGGCAGAGTCAACTGATATATCCACTGATCGTAACTTGTCCAGCGACGTTGACGTTGAACTCCCCAGATCAGCTGTTATTCAAGTGAGTTTTTTTTACAGTCTTATCGGTGATGCAACTCACGATACACTCGGTACAGGTAGTCTCTAAATGGAGCTATGATTCCCCTCTCGAATTCTGGATACGCTTTACTGAAGTCATTCCCAAACTTCGTGTGACCAACATGAAAACTTTATTTGGGTGAGTGTCAAACACTATTTGATAAGTAATTGATGCATGCCTATAGACATCGATGGAACCACTGCACTCTGGGGACGGTCCACCGGCCAGCAGTGAAAAGGAGAACCCAGTAGCTTCGGCCAGGCCCTTGAGGAATTTGTTAGAGATAGCAGCAAGTTTTTCTAGATTTCTGTATTTATGTAAGCTGATGCTCATCAGGTGAGCCAATTGTCTTACCTTCCATAGTCATCATGGCTCCACATTCTTGCTTCATCGCCCTTCTCTGTCTTCTGATCCTCAAGATACTTCTGTACCTCTGCCTTAATCTCGTCGGTCTCTGCACTGTAGAGGCTCGCTGTATGTTGCTTTGCAATGGCGACACACTTTCCATTTGTAAGTGTCTTGTTCTCAACTTGCAGTAATTCTGCTTCAACTTTCAGCGCTTCGTCTACCATTGCCTTTACACGCGTTTGATAGTAAAGTTTCGAATACGCCTCTGCTTCCTGAAGGGAGCGCGTTGGCTTCTCGCATTTGGCAACACTCCGCAACACTGCTTTGAAGACATCCGCAGCCTCAGCCTTTGCTTGCTGTCCTGTTTTCGTCACGCCAAGGCTATTCTTGAAGTGATTTTTTAATTTCTAAGGCCAGTTTATTAACATGATGAGAGGGTTTATGGCTAATGCATACCTCTTTTTGGTCACTTTCAGCCTTCTTCATGACGGTGACCTCATCCTGGCTCAATGGTCCAACAGGAGGCAATCCAGCTGGTCTTGGCTCCGGGTATGAAATGAACCAGTTCTCGCACAATTCAGTGAAAAAGTTTGACCAATTTTTGACCTTGTCAGCTTGCTTTGCACGGTACTTGTCATACCAAGGTCCTAACCATTCCTCCTGTTCAGGAGTGCTCCATTTTGGGGGCGCCATCTAAGTATATCAGCATTTGTTATCCAACTACCGTCATTTTGGAAAAATCACGTATGTTGTTAATTTAATATGTGTGTGAGGAAAAAAATTTGATTAGCGAAACCAATAACAGTTTAGCCTGATGGGATATTGTCTCACGCACTGACCCGATGATGAAGACACTCAAATCTGACTGTACAGCAGCAACAGGTAAATTTCTCTAGTGCAGCACTACTACTCTGTATCCCATAGTGTCTGGAATACGAATTTTTTGTCTGCATATATTGTGTGAAGCTCCATACCTCCCACTAGTGCACAACAAAAAATATCTTCCACCGCACGAATCACTTCCTTCGCCTCCTTGGAGGCATTGGATGCCTTGAGAAAATTTTGGCTCGTGCCTTCTCATTCTAATATATATTGCTCACTATCATGCAACTCCTCAACAATTATCTCTAATGCAGATAATGTTCCTCGAATCTTGTCCAAGTCACCAGTCTCAAGGAGGTTGCACACTAGAGCATCTATCACCTGTCCAGGTGGTCCACCTAAGTATCGTGATAAGTGGCCTTTTTTTGGCTGTATAATTGAATGTTTGAGTGTGCAAGGCAGTTGAATTTGAATGAAACTCACATGGCTTTTGTTTTCTGCTGGCAGTGAGCTCTGCTCATGCAAGGATCAGTCATATGATCATTGGTATCACTATATATGATTTTGACAGTGAATATTAGCGCTTGAATAGATGTGAATAATGAACATACCCGACAGCGTCTTTTGAGGGCAAAACTGGTGTGACATTTGCTTGCTTTTGATGATACTTCGTCTTGAGTCTTGCACTGATTTTAACTTTGTTCCTGGTCGAGAGTGATTGAGTACAACGAACAAGAATGACGTGTATTGAATAACCTTGCATAGTGCGCCCATCAGTGCATTCGTTTGGCTTCCATCTGTTCTTCCGGAGTGTTATAGAGTTTGGGCTGACCCATTGGTAAAAGGGTGCAAGTGGCTGAGAATTGCGTACATGGTATTTGGTTCATATCTCATTGGACTTTTATAGGGCTTTTACTCCTACACTTGACAGTGAATCAAAAATCTCACTCATACAAACTATCGAGTCTGTTTTAACTGTTTTAAATTAAGCACATCAAACCAAGTATACATTGTGATAGCAAGACATAGGTACTAATCATTCTCTACACGGTAGGGCCAGTAGAAGATATGCTGGTGTCTGGGTTCAACACAACGTCCATCCAAAGTCCCACAACAACCTGAGCAACCGTACATAGAACAAGCACGTCTTGGGCGGAGCCATGCCCAGCGCATCCAACTCCTTATCATCTAGTCACGGTCAATGATCCACCACCAGCATTGAATGAAGTAGCCGACTGACCTGTTTTCTGCCTTTTTCAGCTAAACGAAGTTGCTTCTCTTGACCTTGAGTCAATTCATCCTCGACAGGATGATCAGGCCACAGTATATCTTGCTCAGGCCATCTCTCCAACCACTCACTATAGAACTGGACCCAGAACGCAGGCTCAGTCCTCACATTTGAGCGATTGGAATTTGGTTAAGCAAGGCATCAACCACGTGTGTTGATCCTGTGTTGGCTGCCATTTTTCCGTCTGACCGCATGACTTCAGCAAATAAAATAATGACAACTCATTATGACAAGCATACCTTTTCAGCATGCATAGTAGGAAAGGACAAATGATAGCACTGGACAGTGGAGAATCTAGGTATGGTTCAATCTTTTGTGGGTTGGTTCATTGTCCCTTTCGATATATCATTCTGTCCACTTGGATGTATCACGATTCAACGAGCTTACCACTGCAGTTCATTGCCTGACACATGGGCCATGGCTGAAACACAGGGTTGTCCAAGCAAAAAACCTCGCCTAGTGTGCACATTCCCTCCCCACTGCTGGCACCTGACACATCTTTCTATAATGTCCAACACCACAGAAATTTCACTGTTGAACCTACAGGACAGATCAATCTACGGACCACATATCTTGATGGCAGGCATGGTGGCTACTAGTGCGGAGAACCCAGAACTCGAGCTCATCATCAACTACTGGGACTAACCTCGAGGATCCTTGGAACGAGTCTCATGACGACACTGGTCTGTTATCTGATGCAGTGCCTCACAACTGGCATGGTTGGAAATGCACGACGAAGACGGACAGCTGGTGTGAGCTAGGACATTGGAAATCTAGCTCGAGCTGACCTTGTTTCTGTTTGATAGGATAATCCCTATTCATCTTTGGCTCCCTGAACATCAAACCTATCTTGACTGAATTTATTCAACTGGAAGGGCGTGGTGAGGCAGATTACTCATGTCATGGCTGTGGAGATTTAAACTGCAATATTTCGTTGCGATGATTGCTTCTCTGTCAATTTATATTGCCAGTCATGCATTTGCCGCCTCCACCAGAACATGCCCCTGCATCGGCTTAAAGTATGATTTTATGAATTTTAAGTATGCTTGCCGCTAACACAGTTGCACCAGATGTGGTGTGATGAGTATTTCCACCCCATAATGCTCAAACAACTCAGGTTTGCGTGTACAACTCAGTCACAGCACTGGTCAGCCCTGCTACAACCCCAACCCAAACCTGCCTACAACAACGATTTCACCGTTATAGATGTTCATGGGATCCATGAAGTCACTCTCAACTTCTGTAATTGTGAACAGGCATCCTCGCATTACCAACAAATCCTTCGCGCTCACTGGTTCCCAGGCAACATCCACTGACCCAAGAACAGCTGCCACATTTACAGTTCTTGAACACTTCCACCTGCTATCATTCGAGTCCAAAGTATCTGCTTTCGAGTTTTACCACTGCATTGCGCGTCGGAGTGATAACACAGGTGTCAACCCTATCAAGGTGAGTCATATTTTGTAACCTTTATCAGCAGCTGATTCATCTTGGGTCCATAGGATTGTTATTCTATCTTTTTGAGAATAATGGCAGAGTGGCAGCAACATCAAAGCACTCAAACAGTGCGCGGTTGTGGTCACGATCCAGCCTGGAGTTGATGCCACTCAAGAAGGAGAACTCATTGTTCTCTGTCCTGCATGCCCCCACCCTGGCAAGAACTTGGCTGAGACATTAACTGATGTCACACCAGGAAACCAGGTAAGTTTTCATCATCTCCTTGTTTCAGCCATGTTCTAATCATACACTACAGATGGATCTACTCCTTATTTTTAGCTATTGATGCCAACTTTCGTCTGAAACGTCGCTTGGTATCTAGCTGATGCCAAGGACCCTGGATTGAGCTGAGGCTGGGGATACTTTGTCGAAGAAAGGAACTATAAGGCGTATCTTCAAGAAAACGGAACTCTGACACAAGAGGTGAGCTAAGTATTTATTGTGTGCAACTGTCGCTGATTTGAATCCCTTAGAAAAGTACCTGTGTCAGTCATAATGCAGTCAACATGGCAGATATGAAAGCCTCAAAGGGACTTGCAGCGACGGGTGTGGGCACCGTAGTGTGCGCTGAGGCATGACATGCGGTTAGCCAATGGTGTTGGTGATCTGCAGAAAGGTGAAAAGTAAGTATTCGTGTCACTGGAGGATCGCTACAATTGATTTCATTTGGATAGATACTTGAATATGGACTATATTGTCTTCTCCGTGTTGTCACACTTTTTGTCGATCCCAGCCATCAATTTTTCTTATGATATCACATGCCAGTGGCACAAAAAGCTTTGGCATCGAGTGTCAGCAGTCTCTTCCCTTACTGACTTCATCCCAACATGCAGTCAACAATACAGGTTTTTCATTCCGAAGTTCCATCTTGCGGCACACATTGCAGCTTGTCAGACTGAATTCTCGTTCAACTGGTCCCCTCATGTTGGAAGAACGGACGGAGAAGCACCTGGAGCTGGGGCTGGGCTGACATCAATCGTGTAGCTGCAAGCACTAAGGAAATGGCACCTGGCACACAGTCGGGATATCTTGGACGACCACTTCGGTGACTGGAACTGGAAGAAAGTAACAGCGCTTGGTAAGTCTCGAGTCTCAATTGTTCATTTGGCTAATATATAACATTTCAAGGTCGAACTCTTCTGCATAAAATCAAAGATGCCGTCGACACCGAACGAGACCATCACCATGCCTTGGCGGACTTAGAGGGATCCATCAAAGAGTCAGGACTTAGGTGCTGCGTCACTTGCAGCTTGGACGAAGGAGATTGTTGCTTGGGAGAACGATCACACCAAAGCCAAACCCCTTCAACAGTCAAAGCTGAGGTAAGTCCAGAATTTTTGCAATATGATTATTATCTGATCGGAATACCAGAAGTGACACAGGCTGCTGTTCGTCTAGCACTCGTTCAACAAGACGTGAAGGATCTGGAAGAGGGAACATCAATTTCGCTCCATTCTGAGGTGACACCCAGTATTCTTATCAGCACGGGCTTAGACCTTGAAGATGCGCAGTAAGTAACAAATTGAGCTACGCCTCCTCCTACTTATTTATTTCTAGACGACGTTTACGAGTAGATAGCGCGAACCTCACTCAACATTCGACAAATGATCAGCGGACCAAGATTCTTACGCGTAGCAACAGCCTCCAGCGCTGCATCGATTCGTGGATTATGGTCCAAGTCCTATACATGCCTTTCATTTCTCACATACGTGCAACCAGTGTCGAAGTCTCTCAATCTGATGAGGTCACTGGCGATGCAGCCAGTGGCTGTCCAAAAGCAAAACCGGATTCTATCAAGCCCGAGGATATCCTACTCCTCCTTCCATCCGACATCTGTAATCGTATGGCATGCGATACAAAGCTGCTCCAGGTTGAGTGGTCGTTACACTTGGCACAGGCTAATGACGCACTCAATGAATGTCATTCTCACGTCCACCTCCACCACCAACTTCTACGCTTCAAGGCACAACATATACGTGGACAAGGCGCCAACACCCGCGCACAAAAATCCATTCAAGCCGTCGAATGTAGGCTCATCCTTAGTCATGAGAAATATTCACGCGCCCGGCAAGCTCTCGTTCATCTATCAGCACATCTAGGGTACCTGGGCTGGGAGCATAAGTTGCAGCCATTGAGGAAGTCCGATCTTCGGCCAATGGGGGATCTCGGAGGGCGTACTCAGGGTACTGCAATCATGCCCTGGATCTGGCTTACACATGGGATTTCCGCGGATGACAGCGACGGATTGCAGGATTGTAAGTCATTGTTGTTTACTACATTTCTAATGGCTTAATTGACACATCTCATCTAGCACTACATATTGAATGGTGTAAGACAAGAGCTCGGCACAATCGGTGGTTTGAAGAAATTCAATTGCTCTTGGAGGAAATGCGGCGTGTTATGGAGTTTTTAGCTTGGCAGGCCAAGTGGTGGGACGAACGGACAACATTGCGGGTAGCCGAGCGGTCTGCAGATGTCGAGGGCTTAGCGGCATATGCCAAGCGTCAGGCAGCCATCCGTCGATCCCTGGCCGCAAGATTTCGGGCGTTGTGGGGCAATGTGCCCACTTTAGTAAGCGCAAATCTAGATAATACAACGGCTGATGGCCCAGCAGAAGAAGGTCCTTTTATTGATGCACCCCTGCACGAAGATCTTGATTATGTAGATTGATCAGTATGCCCTCGTACTTGTACCTCGATGAAAATACACTCGTCTGACGAAAAAAGTAATCCATCTTCATTGAGATCTCAAGCATTTGTACTACAAGGGTGCATCACTGTGCGGGCAGCTGTACTACAAGGATGTATCACTGCATGGACAATGAGACTGAAAGATGTATCCCATTTTTAGGCTTATAGCCCAATTGTATATATCCTTCCCCCATCATCTGGTGAAGCTAGGCGAGGAATTAAAGGCACCCAAGTTCGCCAAATTTACGACATACGTCGAGCTAATGCTGGAGCGTCCGAGCTTGAAACAAACCGATGACGAAGTGTGTATACATCCACGCAAATGGCCAATTACTCACTTCTGCGCTGCGTTTAGGAGTCTGTGATCACATACTTCAAGAGGGTTTTTGCGGAGCGCGTACAGCGACCTTCTACCTGATAACAGGATAGTTAACTTCATAGCTGTCAGAAATTTGCTAGGCGATCAATAGAAAAATCATAGTTGACAAGAAATTCTGTGCGACAGAGCACTAGTAAACTCCTCCATCTACTCGGCGGCCAATAGTGGGGAGGTTGAAAATTAAAGTTGGCAAACCAAATCGGTGTGGAATGTACCTCAGGGAGAGTTGCTTGCAGGACGATCTTGGATATATATAACTTGCTACCCGTGTCCCGTTTTCAAGATCTAAATATTCCTGCAAGTTGATGGTTCGAATTTGACAGAGGCCAGCCACTTCTACATGTTTTGATAGTCTCCCCTAGCCAGACCCAATATTAGTAGTGGTAATAGGGAGTATACAAAATAACCTGATTGATCATCATATCAACCAAGTGCTAAGAACTATCAACGCCTGAGATCGTATCGTCGATATCGTATGTCCCTGCCGATCGACGATCCGTTTTAGCTGCTCGGAGGTCAGAACGAGTTGCTAAACGTTAGAGCCGCGAAAACTCAAGGGAGATAAAGATACTCCATGAGGCAGTCTCGAACCGCTGTAGTACTATACCCAGCTGTGACGGCAAGTAGAAGTTTCTTTAAGACTTTAGATGACGGCACAAGGTAGAGTACAATCTCGCGCAATGTCAACCAGATACCAGCCCTGAGCCTAGTTGTGATTGGGAGAAGTTCTGAGGGCTAAGTACATAAACACGATCTTTAAATATTATCGATAAGTACGAAGCCTGTGATTAAGGGAATAACGAATATAAAGAAAACTTATCGTGCGGCCACGGAAACGACTAGTTACCGGGCCTCGAACATTCTATCTCTCGATCAATCTGAAACCTTTCTTCGTGCGAGGCGCGCTCGCCACACCAGCTGTCTCATTGGAACGTCTGGTTTATTATTCATTATGACATTGGGAGCATCAGGTGCATATATTAAATTGAACGTGGCAAGTCCCAAATTCTCAAAGACAATCGCCTCATTTACAATAAGTAATCCTAAGACTTAAGCCTTAGGCAACTTGAACATTGTGTCCATGTCACAATTAGCTCTCCCTGGACGTGCCACTATTAGCACCTTCGCGTACACCACACAACCAAATTTTGACGGTGGGTAGTTTGCCGGCACTGATGGTCATCACTGACGAATATACTATGCAGGTACCATGGAGATTCAGTTCACCCACCTCGCCATCTTCAGTCTCCAGTCCATCAATAGGAGTCACCATAATGTAGCACCTGCACATCCTCCAGATCTGCGGCTACTTGTACCGAAACAGTAGGTGTCAACGATAAGAGATGATGTCCGTTTCGTAAACAAGGATCGGATGCCAGCTCCAAGATGCGTGTGACCTGTGACATTTGTTGTTTTTGTGTACTCTGGTAATATAACGATAATGGACTCTGAAAAATACCGGCGGCATGACAGCAAATCGAACCGTCACCAAACGTCCACCATATCCGATAGCCCTGAGTATCCATTCGCAGGACGTTCTCTCATGTCGTAGATCATCGATCATTGCTGACTAGTATTTTTCAGTAATTTCCCTGTGTCTTTTCTACTAAGCATCGCTCACCGTCGAATACAATATGCTTCTTTGTATTTTTGGGCGCTCTGCATTGGGCCTGCGAGTGCGAGAGCCGTGGCTCCTCCCACGCCTTGAGTAATGTGCACGAAATCAAATACACGATACTTCATCACAACTCAATGTGCATTTACACGAGCACACGAAACATCGAAGCTCAGAGTTGGACGTCTCCATCATCCAACCCACACTTCCCCACTGCATTCTTTCAACATGGCCCGGCAGACTACCCGAGAGAACGCGCTGAAGGGAACTAGTCACGGTCCTCCGAAGTGGAACCATTTGTTACACTAGGTTAGCCGAGGGATGTGGGCAGGAAGTGGGGTCGCGTACCCATCTTCAAAACTCAACTTCCGTCATGAGTAAGTCTCATGGTGGATCATCATGACTCTTAAACATGATGTTCGGGCATTGCACCACTATCGCCGTAGTATAATAATGTAATGCATCACACATAGTAGCATATGCGCGCTGCAGCATCTCAGCATTAGACAATTTGCATTCTACTTCAAAGGAAGTCCAAAAAGATCAGATCCCCTTCCTGAACTCCCTTGAAGCAGAACAACAACTTGAAAAAATTAAATCGTGTAGAGGATGTACAAAGCAGATTCAAAGCACATTGGTGAAAGAAAATATGAACCGTCGAAGAGCGTGCTGATGGTGGTTTATGTAAGTAGATGAGGGGTCAAATTGAGCACTGCAAGGCAAATGCCGGCGACCCCCCAGCGCAGCCTGACGCGTACACCAACTCAATCTCGAGAGAACGCGTCAGTGACAAGTCCTATCTTACTACTCTTTACTTCATTGTCCACTGATTCATCGACCATGGTGTGTACAATTCACAAATTTCTGAAAAACACTTATATGAATCATTCATGCAGGCCCGAAGATATGACAGTACGTAGCCTAGCAGCCAAAAGCTGTTGAATTCATGTAGAGCGACTTGAACCATTGATTTACAGGTCGAACCACGATATTCTCTCCGGAAGGTGCGTACATATCATTATTAACTAAATGCACCATATCTGATTCACTCTCTATACACCAGGCCGGCTTTACCAAAGTACGCTGCTCACCAGCAAGTTGCAGATTGGATTACGACCTGACCTTATTATTTCCAGTCGAATATGCCATGGAAGCCATCTCACACGCAGGAACGGTCCTCGGCGTACTCGCAAAGGATGGCGTTGTCCTGGCCGCTGAGAAGCGTGTGACAGGGAAGCTCCTCGATCTTTCCAGCGCGAAGGAAGGTAGGGGCTATGGTGGCAGCTGGAGAGAAGATGTTCTTGTTAAACTCGTGAGCACTTCTCCCACAATTGTGTCAGAAGCTTATTGATTTCCGAGTTCGGCAGAAATGTGATCGGAGGCGTTGCAGGCATCACATCCGATGCGAACTCGCTGGTGAATTACGCGCGGACGGTGGCCCAGCAACATCTTTTGCAGTATAATGATGATATACCAGTTGAGCTTCTTGCACAACGATTGTGCGATATGAAGCAAGGCTATACGCAATTTGGAGGTATGTCATCCCATCAACCGTCTGTCAAGTCCTTAACAAGATGTCGCTCAGGTCTACGCCCTTTCGGTGTCTCCCTGCTATACGCAGGCTATGACCCACATTATCATTTCCAACTGTACCATTCCGACCCATCTGGCAACTACTCGGGGTGGAAAGCAACATGCATCGGGGCGAACAATGGCACAGCACAGAGCTTACTGAAGCAAGAGTACAAAGACGACTTGGGCGTCGAGGAAGCAATTGGGCTTGTACTGAGGGTAATGAGCAAGACGATGGACAGCACGACCCTCGGGAGCGAAAAGCGTATGTTTTCATCCTATTTTCTTTTACAGATACGGCGCTGATCTATCATGACAGTCGAATTTGCAGTCCTTACATACGACGAGGTAGCGAAAGCACCAAAAGCTAAGATCTACAAGCCAGCAGAAATTGACGCCCTCCTTCGGGCGCAAGGGCTTGCAAAGAAGGATGAAGATACAGAGATGAAATGATACATCATACTCGTAGCTGTATTCGTGTACAATAATTTCTTCTTTCTGCTTGACCTTTTTGACTCTGAAGTGAGCAAGGTACATATATCGAAGCAATGTGAGCACGATTGATATACATGATAGCAGCCCCCCTAGCGTACTAGACTCCCCTAGGCAGACCAAATAGAATGAAGATAGACCTTCTATATTCTGATGTACGTAGATCAGTGACACGCCATCCCTTTTCCAGCGGCGCCAGTGGGCTCCATAGTTGCACCGAACACGTAATGTCCTGCTGCGGCGCCAAGGATGACCGCAGCGATTAAGTATGCCTGCGGGCAAACGAATAAGTCAATATTTCAGAAACAAGCAGTCGAACCTACGTTGTATGTCATGAACACAAGCATCAGGAAGAAAGATAAGCCCACGCTGGCTCCATAGAGCGCAGCACGCATGACACGGTACAGAGGTGGTACGGCGCTTCTATAAAGACATGTGAGCTGGCACAAGCGGGGCACGTGTAGCATCCAGCACACACCCTTGCTTTCTCACCACCCTCACGCCATTCAACAATGCCGTCTCCTCAGCATCACTACGTTCAGGCGAACTCCTCGCACTCGCAGTCAACGGCGTCCTACGCCCGCTCAATTTCACCGCAATGTGCTTGTCAAAGTCCCTCGAGAACACGCGGAGGTACTCGTACAGCACGCCCAGGCCAGCGATAGCGAGGAAGGAGAAGAAAAACTGGACGTGCGAGTGGATGTGCCATTGAGAGAAGACGATGCAGGTATTAATGATTTGGGTGTTCCTGCCAGCAATGTAAGAGGTGGGTGGGTTGAGTTTTAGGGTTGGGATGAACCTACCAGAGCATGTACATAGAGCACCTTGGGCCCATGTCGTGTCCGCCGTGATCCATTGTGTTGCAGAGTAGTTGAGTGAAGTACTATACTACGTGTTCAAACGAGTTCGAGAACTTAAGAAGGCTTGGGAATGTTCAAACTCCGAATACGGTTTGATCAGCGGGTCTGGTTGGACAGCTGGCAAGCCCTAGTGGGACTCAGAGTAGTTTTTGGGACGCTCGCTAAAGTTTGCTAAAGTTTGCTAAAGTTCGCTAGAGTCTTACAGAACTCCCATAGAGCTACAAGGATCAGCCACCAACACACTCGGCACACATCGGCATGATGGTGGACTTAGAAACGACACTTGTGTATTTGCGAGGCTTGCATGCGCTACAAAGTTCCAAGGGTGTGTTTGATAGTGAATGGGTGTGTAGCAAAGGGGAATAGGGACAACATAGCTAGCAAATCAATGTACTCCATACCTGAACCCACTAAATCAAAAGAAATGCCGAAAAAAAAGAAGTCTAGCAAAGTGATAAGGAGTCCTCAAATGAAAGGAGTGGGGAAGCGCAAAGTGAAAGTGGGGAGGGGGTGGAGCATGCAAGGATGAGTAAGAAGAATGTCAAATTGAGGGGGGTTGAGCGCCAGGGGAACACCCTAAGCTGGAGACGCTGGGTGTCATACTGCTGAGCAAGCTGAGCGCCAGCAACATAGTCGCTGTACTTAGCACCAGAAGAGGACTGACATACTGAGCACTGGAAGAAGACTGAGCGCTGGGGGAGCGGGCTGAGCACCAGCAATATGGCTGCCGCACTGAGCACTGGAAGAAGACTGAGCGCTGGGGGGAGCGGGCTGAGCACCAGTGACATGGCTGCTGTACTGAGCGCTAGAAGAGGACTGAGTGCTGGGGGAGTGGGCTGAGCACCAGTGACATGGCCGCTGTACTGAGCGCTAGAAGAGGACTGAACATTCCTTGAACTTGAATGAGTGCTCCCCACTGGATGTATGAGTGAAAATAATTTTGATGCGTGATCTGATCTGGGTTGTGATGAGGTGGTGTTGGGTGAAGTAGAGTCAAAGTGAGGGTACTGGGGGAAGGGCACTGAGCAGTTAAGCCCGGCTGAGATCCGTGAAAAGATTGCACCGGCAGCCTGATAAGGCTGTGGGGTGATGATTAGGGTAAAGGGTGGTAAGGTGCCGGAGGTGCACACACCTCATGTCCATATCCATCGACAGCTTCCTGAATTTGTAGTCGGCATTGCGCGTGAGGTGCCAGGGTGAGATCTGAGTCTTCAAGGATGCCTACCATGGTCATCTGAGGGATGAAACAAAAGGTCCGGAACAACCCGGAAATTCAATCTCCGCCCTAATTTACATCATAATCAGTTACATGTGCAGTGGGAGATAGGGGAATTGATCCCCCTTGACCTTCACCATGCCTCGTCCATCCAGGCGGACAGATATGTTGCATGAAATTGACCAGGCTGCACTCTCACTAGCTAGGGCTGCATATCAGCATGCCTTGGTACAAGATGATGAATCTATGGACTCCATCTCAAGCTCTTCAGATTTGGAATCAGATCTCAGTGACTCTTTCATGAACATTGTGATTACCCCTCCTTCGCCTCTTTCCCCATTCTTCTCCGATGACTCAAATAGTGACTTTTTGGACTCTGACTCATCTGGAGATGAAGCTGATCATCTTACTGCCCATTATGACCGGATTCGAGACTCCATTGAGGCTCTCCAGGACGAGGTAGAAAGAGCACATGTACTCTACAGGCCTGATGAACCTCCCCTACGAGCCCCACAGCTGCACCTTCTTGTTCATTTTGAGGAACACTGTCCTCACTTATTTTGGCAAAAATTATGCGTCAACCCAGAAATCTTTGGTGACATCCTGGATCTAATCTCTGACCATCCCATTTTTCACAACAACTCACACAACTCTTAGCTTCCCATTGCTATACAACTTGCTATTTTTCTTAACTGTGCTGGCCACTACGGTAACACCATATCTCTGGAGGATGTGGCTCAATGGGCGGGTGTTAGTGTTGGATCAGTTGTTAATTGCACTAATTGTGTAATGGTTGCCCTGCTTAATCAGCATGATGCATTCATGGGCTTTCCTCCACCTGATTCACAGGATTTCCAGCTTGCTCGGGATTTTGTTGGGAAGACAGTTTGCCCTGAGTGGCAGAATGGGATTCTAGCTGTTGATGGGACAACAATTAATCTGTATGAAAAACCTGGTTTTCATGGTGAGGTTTTTTATGATAGGAAATCAAGATATTCCCTAGGCTGTCAAGTAAGCTTTATCTTTCTTTGTCTATGATTCAAAAATTTAATTTAATTCTAGGCAGTTATTATGCCTCACAATCTTCTTATAGTCGATTATTCTCTTGGTCACCCTGGAAGTGTCCATGATGCATACACTTTCAGATCCACCCGTCTCTATCGAGAACACGACACCCTTCTTCCAGATGACCACTGGGTCTGGGCAGACAGTGCTTATCCAGTGGAGACATGGTGTATCCCCCCCTTCAAGAAGCCCCACAATGGAAGTCTGACAAAGAATCAGAGGTCATTTAATTATCACCTTCCCCCTTCCCCCTTCCCCCTTCCCCCTTCCCCCTTCCCCCTTCCCCCTTCCCCCTTCCCCCTTCCCCCTTCCCCCTTCCCCCTTCCCCCTTCCCCCTTCCCCCTTCCCCCTTCCCCCTTCCCCCTTCCCCCTTCCCCCTTCCCCCTTCCCACTCCAATTTTTAATGCAGTGTTTTCTAATTTTAAATTTATTTAGGTCTATGTATGAGTTGAACACGCATTTGCTGCTCTGAAAGGGCGGTTTCAATCCCTTCGAGAGCTTCAACAGAATATTAATTCTGCAGATGACCTCCAACTGGCTATCTGTTGGATTCAATGCTGCCTCATACTCCATAACATGATTATTCGGTTTGAAGAATACCATGGGATGAAAAATTCAACAAAATGGGCTTGTAAAGAGGCCAAGGGTTTTATGCAACAAGATGTTGAGGGTAATGGATCAGACAACAATGGAGTGTATGATGGCACTCCAGGTCAGGCTTGTCATGCAAGGTTGATGGATCTCTTATTTGACAGCCCCAACTCAAATGCAAGGCGTAGACAAGGATAGGCAACTTAGGACTTACATAGAACCTTTCACACAATTTCATTCACAAGGCAAACATAGTTCATTAGCAATGGAGTCTATGAGAATATCAGCAGAAGACAACAAAGATGTACAGGTCACACAGTATGAAACATATGTAGTAGCATGATAGTAGCATGATAGTCAGCATCGTGACGAGAACAATCATAACAATGAGATACAGCAGCAACTAGCAACTAGCAGCAAGCAACACACACACCATTAAGACCCATCCGCACCGCCAGCATTGGTAAGTTGACAGTACTCGATCTTAAGATGTAACATTGCTGCCTCCTTGTTGTGTGCTTCCTTCATTGCGTTGTGTGCACTGACCTCTGCTTCACATAGACGGATCTTCATAGCCATCGCCTCCTGAGCACGCTGATGGACGGTGACAGCTTCCATGTGCTCCTGCATGCGCTGTTCGTGGAGGAACTGATGCTCCTTATCTTTATGAGCAAGGTTCAGCTTGGCCATGTAGCGGTCATTCTTGAGCTCATAGCGGGACGACCTGTCCGACTGCATACTCTCAATTTCATCATGGATCCCCTCAACTCGCTCTTGAAGTTCTGACCACTGCTTCTTCACTTGCTTACCTTTCTTGGATGATGATGCTTGTGATGTGGGCGTTGTTGACACTGGCGCTGATGATGATGATGTGGGTGTGGACTGCCACGAAGAGCCTGCAGAAGTAGTACAGCGTCCAATAGGAAGAGGGGACTTGAGTGACCCAGTGCTTGTGCGTCTCATTGGATTGGTCAGTCTGAAGGCAGAGCAACTGTCATATAATGAAGTCACCGCTTTGTCGGGATAACTAAAAAATTGCGGTGGGGGAGTGATAGGAGGCGACAGAGATGATGGAGGGAGCTGCCGTTTGGTTCTAGTAATTTTGGGCCTGGGCGGGCTGTCCAGGCTCACAGCATTCGCATTCTGCTCACTGTAATCCTGTGTCGCGTGACTGTCCAATTTGTAGCCACCGAAGTCCATCCCACCATCATCAAGATTGCTGCCATCATCGTCATCAAGAGATGGATCAATGACATTGGGGGGAGGCGCAAATTGAGAGTGGGGGGGCACACCATAAGGGGGATGTGTACTCTGGGGGGATGGAGCGCCATATTCAAACCGGGGGGGCTGATTGTTAAATTGAGGGGGCTGAGCACCAAACTGGGGGGGTTGAGGGTCATAGTAAAACTGAGGGGGAAGAGCGCCAAACTGAAGGGGCTGAGCGCCAGTGACATGGCCGCTGTACTGAGTGCCGGGGGGAGCGGGCTGAGTGCCAGCAACATAGCCGCTGTACTGAGCGCTGGGGGGAGCGGGCTGAGTGCCAGCAACATAGCCGCCGTACTGAGCGCTGGGGGGAGCGGGCTGAGCGCCAGCAACATAGCCACCGTACTGAGCACCAGAAGAAGACTGAGTGCTGGGGGGAGTGGGCTGAGCACCAGCGGCATGGCCACCGTACTGAGCGCTGGAAGATTGAGTGCTGGAGGGAGTGGGCTGAGCACCAGAAGAAGCCTGAGGACTGGGGGGAGTGGGCTGAGCACTAGAAACATGGCTGCCATACTGAGTGCTGGAAGAAGACTGAGCACTGGGGGAGTGGGCTGAGCACCGGCAACATGGCCACCGTGCTGAGTGCTAGAAGAGGACTGAGCATTCCTTGAACTTGAACAAGTGCTCCCCGCTGGATGTAGGAGTGAAAAGAATTTTGATGCATGATCTGATCCAGGTTGTGATGAGGTGACGTTGAGTGATAATGCTGGGTTTGTCCCTCCAATGGAAGCAATGTCATCATACCAAGGAAAATCGTCCAAGATTTGCGCTTTGAATTTTATCAGCTAAATTGTTAAATAAGTATTTTATTTAAAATACACACCTCACAAGTTTATAGCGGCATTATCATCGAGTGGCATGACACCAGCACCTGTCACATGTAGTTTATTGTACCATTCACGATACTTTTTCTTGAGACTTCGAAGGGAATATGATCAGCATATATACAGATGGATAGGAGATCTCTTACCTCATGATGTGATTATTTGTTGAGTCATGAAATCTCTCCGGCACGTTTGTATATATGGGCGCATATTCTGGATCGCACTCAAAGACATACTTTGCGATTCCACTGCAAACCAAAAGCTTGTCTTTACCCGAGAGGTGATCACCATCAGGATGGGCCTTCCCATCATTGAAGAATAAGAGGCGGGAGTCAGCAGGGTGAGTACAGAGGTACTCGACAACCTTGTCGGTGCACTTTGGATCAGCATTCCATTGGATACAAAGTTCCTTGCCAGTACTAGTACTGGCAGTACTGGCAGTATTACCACCTTGCGAGCCACCGTTCTTGGCTTTTACGCAGGTAACAGCTCGTTGGGTGTGGTCCATGATATTCAGGTCCTTTCAAGAGAGTCTCTGCAAGGCCTTGAGGTGCGCAGAACGACAACAAGGTGGTGGTCGAGTAGCAGGCATGTGTTTTGAAGTCCGCCATGATGCCAAGGTGTGCTGCATGTCTCATGTGTGTGTTGGTGGCTGAACCTTGCAGCTCTATTGGGGTTAGTAGAACTCTAGCAAACTTTAGCAAACTTTAGCAAACTTTAGCGAGCATCCCAAAAACTCCTCTGAGTCCCACTCCTATATAGCAGTGGGCGCTACATCTGCAAAACGACGAAATGAACACTTAACTTACGCGCGTTACAAATACTTACGAACACTTACGACTTCAGTAGCGCACGCATTTAATTGGTGGAAGCACATTAGCTGACAAATTTACATTTGATTGAGATTATCATGTCTAAGATAACTCGTAACACTATCAAGATAATCTACTGATCAATGAGTTTTGCTATGAAGAAGTTGAAATAGTGCTTTCCACCTAGCTAGCAACATTGGAGAATTCCTAATGTTATTGTGGATGAAGTTCAGGAGCCTCATATACATAGTGTGAAAACTGAGGTAAGTAAAGTCCATTTGCTTGAATATACCAGTCATGAACTCCTGCAAGCTGCAACATGCAGCTGTTCCAGAGATCACCATGATATTGTCGAGGTCGCTGTCCAATTTGATGAACTTGTCGTAGCCATCACAAAAGGCAGCATGGCTTGTGATCTGGATAATCGCTTCGTGCTCGAATGGAAAGCAAACCTCTCGGCCATCTTCAAGCTGTTAATTGTCTTGTCATACTCTGAATGGTAGCACTTGCAAAACAGTATGTACTCTCACTGGATCACCAAATATAAAATTAAGGCTATTGTTTCCAATGAGGAATTTGACAGTTGACTTGTTGTGATTGGCCTGGACTGTCGGGTCAGTCCAAATTGAAATTCAAAGCTTGTAAAGATTGTTGACAAGGTCCTGTGCACACTGCTTGAAGCAATTGAGTAATGTTGACATTGGCATGATGATGGTCTTGTATAGCGAGGATATATTTTCATTGGTCTATAGTTTGATCAAGTGATCTAGTTGTTATCGTATTAGCGCTTACTATCGATCTCATATTAATGGGCAAGTGACCTTCTGCGATAAAGGATGAACATGCAGCAGTTAGTGCGGCCTGCACTACAGTTAAGCGACTGGAGGAATTGTGGAATCTGCATGTATTCAGTGTTTCGGCGATCACATGGTTCTTTGCATCCTTTACAATAATTTTCACCTGTGCTTTGTTGATTACAGGTACTGTGGCAGCACCTGAGCTGTCATAGTGCCCTTGACCTTGCTGGCGACCTGTATGGGCTGCAGTAATAGTCGATGGAGAGGATGAAGAGGTACTACTAGTAGCAATCAGTGTGATCTCCGAATCTGCTGCGAGTGACTCCCTCAGGGGTCTAACAGGAGGGAGTTGGTACCATTGTGTAGTTGGTTGTTGTATCCCCATCGTCGCATCTCTCTAAATATATGATTAAGTGCAACTCGAAGAATATAAATATAAGGCCCACATAAATGATGCCATCAGTATACTCTTGGTGTGATTTTTCTGCACCATGAAGAGGCATATATGTATACACCATACAATACCGAGATGCAGTGTCACCTGAAGGTGTGAACAATCGATGGACTCAATCACGCCCTGCAGTGCAAGGGGCTGTCCCAGTTAAATGTGATGGCCTTGGTAAAGGCATACCATCCTGATGATTATGTGGGATTGAGCTGTAGCTGTCATGTGAGAAAACAGGAGGAGAATTGATGCAAGGCGGCAATTCAGGTGTGTTCATTGACTCTGGCATCTCTGATACATAGCCAACTTGATCGGCTAATGAATGACCTGCAATATTCAGTCCTGCTTGTCAAACAATAGGCACATCCTGTCATGTTGCTGTGAGTCTGTACTAACAGAGGGATCTCAAGGTACTCACCCGCACAATTCTTTGTCTAGATGGTGCATGTTGACTCAAGGTCATCGTGGTTAAGTGCAGAAACGACAATCAGTACTCAGTGTCCATAATAGTAATCTTCATAGGGTAAAAAACAAAGTCCATGAAGCGCTACATTCAAGGTAATTGTAGTTATACAAACTACAAACAAAGATGTCAACACACCAAATAGTTGAAAGTCAAAAAAATAGGTTTGCATATGTACCAACTTAACAGTCATCTAACCCTATCATCCATGCTACATCTATAAATAAATGAGTGCATGTGGCCATATGAAATAACAAAGCTTACTTTGGTATCGGTGAATAAAATATTTGCACTCTGATTCACTCTGACCCTGTTGCCAGCTCATCCTTGGGGGGGGGGGGGGTCTCCAACAGATGAATGATCAGAGTTGTGGGGATCTCTGATAGAGCGTGTATAATTATTGTTGAGGTCTGAAGCCAGTGGAAGAAAAATATTGAGCTCATCGAGTTCGGCATTTAACTGTTTGACCCTTTCCACCTCATTCGTTTGAACTGCAGTAATGAACTTGAAATCCTGAATATGTGTAAAGAGTGCTGCTTCCTCAAATGCCTGAGTGGTTTGATCCTCCTGCTCCTGCTGTTTTCCATCAATAAAATGCTTGAGCCTTGAAAGCTTCTCAGCCTCCCAAACCAAAGTCATTGAGAGATGCCAGTGGTATTCAAGTTCTGTTTCCTTGTAATAAGCAGCATGGCGAACACATTCAGCAGACATCTGCTGCAGGCCTTGAGAAAATATTTTGCGAACCTAGAAAAACAATGATGAGTCACTGAGAGTTGCTGGCAGCTGCATAAGACATAAGTTGGACTGTGAGATCTGTTTCAAATGGTGTTGCCCCTGCTGCCTTCTCATAGGTGGACCAATATCAGCATGTCCAAAGTCATGGTGCCCAGAGGAAGTGGCAAATGCTACCAGATGAGTACTTAGGGGTGATGAGGGACAAAGGTTGCTGGGTGGAGAAGAGCTTTGGGGGCTATTATGGTAGATGCGAGTGAAAGCTTCAGCATAATCAACCTTTGATAAAAGCGAACTAGATTTTGGGCTATGCAGTGGACTGGTTGGTGGGGTTTCACCATTTGATGAAAGCTGGAACAGAGTTGGTGGAGGATACATAACTAATATTCAAGTCCCTTTGAGATTAGTGTGTTGAATGGCAAGCATATCAACAGTCAGAGTTCGAAAGACTTGACACTTTTTGCAGCGCTGCTGTACACTGGCAGTACCTCACTCCTATGGCATTTCCTCAGCTCTATAACTCACACAACCCTGGTTTCCAGCGTGAAGATCCCGACTCTGAGTTTGATGAGTTGATCCAAAAGTAAGTAGTACTATGTGGTGTTATACAACTCACCAATTTCTTTCTCCAGTTTGCCCTTTGACATTGCTGTCACCCAGTGTCCTAACTGCAAGAAACCATGCCAATCGGTTGAGGCAGTCATCGAGCATCTAAATAGTACAGATACCTGCTGGCCAGAGAACCTGAACCTCATTGACAGATCAATGCTGCCAGTCCCGCAGGCTCTACAAAGACTGCCAGAGCAGACAAACTTATCCACAAAATATCACCCTACCTCTGGCTACCATTACCTGCTTCCAGATCAACCCCCTCCACAAAATATATTTCAAGAAATGCAAAGCCATCCTCTTCAACAAGCCAGAGAGACCAATGTATGGTATCCATTTGACGGGCTGGGTGAATGGTTGCTTGCAAAGTTTCTTGTCGAGAACCTTCCCCAGACGCAGATCAACAAATTCCTCAAGTTGGATTGGGTATGTCTAATTGTTATCAAATAAATACTTAACTCATGCACTTCAGTTCCAGACAAGAGAGCGGCCACAATTCAAGTCAAAGGATGAGTTATTCTTCTTCATACAGCAGCTTCCTGGCCACAGGCCAAAATGGCAGTGTATGAAGTTAAAGCTCAAGGGCTATGAAAGTGAACAGCCGATTCACCTTATTTGGAGGGATGGGTTAGAGGTTACAAAGCAGCTTTTTGCAAATCCTGTCTATGCAAATCATATGTGCTATGACCCTCACTATATCTATCAAGGACAAGAGCACCAATTTGGAGAATTCTGGACATCAAATGATGCATGGGCAATTCAGGTAAGTAGTTGCACTTTGGTTTAGAGTTACTCAAGTGACTGACACTTGATATTTAATATAGGATCAACTACCTGAAGGTGCAACTATTGTTCTGATCATTGCTGCCTCTGACAAAACCCCAGTTACAAGACACACAGGTGGCATCAAGATGCATCCACTATTTCTAACTATTGGAAATATCCAGGCTGACGTCCTCATGAAGGCAACATTGCATGCATGGCGATGTACTGCGTTCATGCCAACACCAACTTTCATTGTCGGCTCTGAATTTCAAAGTCTACTCCAGGCGCGTCTGTGGCACAAGTGCATGGATCTTGTATGCTCTAATTTGAAGGTTGCAGCTCATGTTGGCGAGTATATGGTCAATACCTCAGCCAGATTGCAATACTGTTTCACCCCTCTTATCAGCCACATCGCCAATCTCCCTGAACAATTTATGATCTCATGCATCACAAAAAACTCAAGTGCTCTTATATATCCAGCACTTTGACTTTATCGTGCCTGGCCCCAAGCCATCCACAGGCATGTGGATGGTTAAAAGATCATATACTTGACACCCCTCACAGTCAGAGAGGGTGATCAGACATGGATCCATAATTCCTCTCACAGATGTTACGCATGCGGTGGAGATTATACCTGTCTATCGAGGACCATTGGGCAAGGACGTGAATTCTGGGAACTCACTGGAGGTGTTTGACAACTATTTCTTGAATAATTTCGCAGACAAAAAACTGTACCACTCACTATCAGTGATCTCCAAAACCTAGACAGCTTGATTTTCATGTACTAGTAGTGCAGTTATCAATCTTATTCTGATCTGATATCTCAATCATATCATGAGCCTATCTCTTGATCTTGGCCTGATAACTGCAAGGTTTTGGTGCACCACATCTCCAATAGTCATAAATTATGGTGTGCACTGTGTACAAGAGTGTCCCTGAACTATCCCAAAAGTATTGCTCTCAAGTGTCTCTCAAGACGAGTTCAAATACAGATGTAGAAAGTTCTTGCGGGGACAAGGAGGTTCCTCAAAAGTGTAAGTTAGCTTGTTTGTTTTGAAGGCATGTGCCGATTGCAGTACTATGTTGATTGCTTGTTGTGCTGGAGATTAACTGTTCTTGCCTGTTGTCACCCACCAGCACAATCAGCAACAGCAGGCACTGTATCTACTATGAGCAGTATCTCATGTACCTGTTACAGTAACATGAGCGTTACGGGTTATTTCATTCTCTTCGTTCTTTTGACCACCGACATGTGGCTAAGCTGTACAGACTTGTCTAGACCTGGACCATGGTTATGATTCTCTTCTTATTTGTTCTAAAACACAAGAAGCTCTCACTTCTTTCCCCTAGATCATAGCAGCTGCGGCTTCTCCTGAACCCTTTGCCCTTACCATTCAACCGGTACCACTTACCCTTTCTTGATTGTGACTCATACATACCCTGTACCCTTACCGCTCAAACCGGTATCTCACCCTACATATATATATCACTTATCTTGTAGACAGATTCTCTAACTTGAATCTACTCGGTTTTCATCTGATACTTGTCTTTGGGTCTGAACTTCTCTTACCTAAGAGAACTCCCTCTGTGCAAAGAACCATCTTCTCTTAAGACAATACTCTTGAGTTGAAACTCCAATTGACTCTACACAAGTAAGTGTCATGAATTCCAAACACGAATCATTTTTCATTCCTCAGCTTTCCTCTGGCTACTTCAGTTAACTGAACTGGTCACATGACTTCACTTCATGTCACACCTTCACCTCTTCACATATCACCTGTTGCCTCTCTGATTGGCTCCCCAACTCCATGGGCTAGAACAATCTCGCTTCCCAAAGAAGAATCGGTTGGATCTTGGGTTTTTATCTAGTCACTGTCTGACTCATCACTTATATATCATGATGTCATGCTCAGTCATCCGCAGTATTGTATGACTCTTTTCTCATTGGCTGATTTCTTTCATACTCAGATATCTCCTATCAAATGTTATGTATATAAGTAGGTTAGTTAGCGTAAGTACTCCTTAGACTTAACCTCTTCATTCTCTACAGTTGTAGTAGACCTAGACGTTCACACTCAATCTATCTTGTTCTCATCATCATCTATGACCGAGTCCTAGTGGTTGTTGTCTGACTTTACCATTTGGTGAACTCAGGTCATAACAGTAAGGGCCCCAAACCCTACTCAGACTTAGCGCAGGCAAGCTCCTTGCTGGGCTAGCACTGAAGGCCACACTTTGAAACCCCTTGCTGGGTTTAGCACTGCCGGATCTCATCCAAGAGGTTTTGCATAACAGTACCCAAACTCAGCATCATCTGTGTGTTTGCAGGCAAACATTTGCAGACTGAGGCAATATTCAAGATTGTTCTTCTCAATGCATCCAATGCTTCTGTCTCCCTGCTGTCACTGAAGCATGCCCTCGCCCACCCACCATTAGTGAATTGAGGAGTCCTTGATATTGTAGCCATGAGAACAGCTGGAAACCCCAGGTGAAGTTTTGGGCAGGTAATCATGCTTTCAGGTGCGTGATTGGCAGGCAAAATCACAGTCGAAACCAGACTCCAACCCATCCGCCTGTGGGGAGAAGTCCTCTCATCCTAGAGCAGCCACAATACAAATAAAACAAAACATTAGTCATCATACTAAGCCAAAATTTTGGAGGACAACTCCTCACAGAGTGACTGGTAAAACTTGTTGTGGTGCAATAGTTAGGCCTTGTTTGTCCCGCCCAAAAAAAAATCAATCTGCTGCCTATCAAGTATGTGTCAGCCTGTGTCCTGCCCTCCTGCCCCGCCACTCCCATATATGATATTAATATCACCTTCCTACTTGGACAATGTCAGATCTATTACCCAATGTCTGCTCTACAATATATGATCCCAGATGCTACAGTGATCAAAGACACTATTGAAGTTAATTTCAACATCACACTATGCAAATTTCAGCTGCAGTATGCCCAAGCACAACTGGATCAGAAGGATGTTATCACCATTGCTCCAATGGGGGCAGGAAAAACACTAACATTCTGGATTCCCCTCCTTTTCAATAATGATGGCATGGTAGTCCTTATTACTGCACTCAATAGACTCAGTGACCAGAGTATCAATGAGTTGCAGCAGCTGGGTATTTCTGCAGTGAATTTGACTGGTGCAAATGCAATAGACAGCACAATCCAAGGTATGTCAAGTCTTTTTCACTATCATTGCAGTCACCCTGATCTATAAAGCAGATATCAAGAGCTGTAAATATTGAGTGATCATTGTAAGCCCTGAGCTTATTATCAACAACTGGTGCTTCAACAATCTATGGAGAGCAAGGGATTTTATGGTGCATTTATTCAATATCTGTTATGTGAAACCCCTTAGATGAGATCTGGTGGTGCTGTACCTGGCAAGGAGTATTGCAGTGTGGCCTTTCTGCACTAGCACAGCAAGGAGCTTGCCTGTGTGCAGTTCGAGTAAGGGTTGAGGCCCTTACTTGCATAGAGTCAGCCAATTTGGAAGTTCTCAAGGATTCAATCTGGGGCCTCCTGATCATGATGCCCCGATAAGGTCTGAACTCATCAGACTCATCAGACGATGACTTGGTCGATCCCCTGGTCACCACTGGTTTTACCATCTTGCCATCTTTGTTCCTTCATGCTTTGAACTGGAACATCAGATCTTCATCTGTCTGCTGGTGAGCATACCAAAAATTCAACAAGGCTGTTGCATCAGAGTTTTGCAACTTTGATGACTCCTTCAAACGAATGCCCCTCAGAAGATACATGGGTGATATGAAGTCATCCTCACTTTCTACAATGGCGCTCCATGGGACGACGGCCTTGTTGATGCCAGAACAGAGTCCTGGACACATCTGGTTAACAGATTGTCATGGGATGTTTCCGATACAGACTTAAGATAGTGTGTTGTAAGAAATGCCCTCACCATTGCCTTCTTCTCCTTGAGCTTCATTTGCATGGTCTCTGGAAGCAAAGGCATGCCTTCACCATTCACTTCGAGTTTAAAGGCTGATTTCCTCGGTCTTTTTCGACGTCCCCTCTCCTGTCATGCTCCATCCTTCACCTTGGCACCTACCACCGGAGTTATCAATGGCTTCCTCAGCATCATGACAGCTTGAAAACTCACCAAACTGTTCTTGTGCATACTCTTGCCACATCAGCTCAATATCCTCCCAGTCCTTCATCTTCATGAAGCTGTCCCCATCTCCCAATGCCTCATTATCATCGTGCCTATGGGAAATGTGTTGAGATATCAGGTCTAGGATGACATTTGCAATGCACTCACATCCCGAATAGCACCTGTCCCTGCTCATTCTTCCAAGCAGACAACACAAACACTCTCATCCCACATTGTCTCCACATTTCATTAGAGAAATGCTCCATGTATGCAGGTCCATTCTTACCAGCAACTTGCACTTGGATCTCAGGTGGAGGAATGCTGTGAGACCATTCCTCAGCTGTTTCTTTGGCCTTCTCCAACTCATCATCTAACAATTCCTCAATAACCTTCTGGATGGTCGCTTGGTAATGCTTGAACATATCCTGACCTCCCAGCTTCACCTCATATTCCTCCTTGATCCTCTTGAGCACATCATCTCTGTTCTGCTGATAGATCACCATCTTAGGGGTCCATTTCCTCCCATACTTTATCATGTCCTTCCTTTCCTTTTTTTTTTGTTGTTGAACAACCAAGTTTTATACAACTGAGCAATCAAAGAAGAATCAGAGATCAAAACATTTGTTTTGCAACCCGGATGACTGTATCACCTGCTTCCTGTTTTTCCATTGACAATGGTCAAGCTTCAGAGCAAACAACCTGGCCACTCAAGCTATGGCAGTGAAAATTCCCACTTTTTCTTCCTGTTTTGCAGCAGTCCATTCAGGAAGGTAGTTCTTCAGCTCTGAAATCTCTTGTGCCATGAGCTTTTGTCTCAGTAGTAGATGTCTTCTGTGTCTTCTGTCAGACAAGTGAGTGGAATCACCCAATCTTGCCATGGTAAAATGGAATGGATAATGCACAGACAAGAGGCAAGGTCAAACAAATAATGTTCCTGAGGTAAATTTTGAACAAACCTTAGATCTTGGTTCATCAATGTATTTCAGACACACTGCCTTTCATCCAAATAAATTTGTAATGAACCAACAATATGACTGTATCACATCATAATGGAATCACAATTGGTTTGACCTTCCTGAGCTCAACCTCAGCTCACAACATCAGAACTAACATGAAGATCACTTAATCGACCCCCCTGCAGAAATCATACAGGATGAAAGCAAGGGGTTTATTCCTTAGACTACATCTCCGGCTCTACCTTAGGGTAGTCTACCTCAGTTCCATTTCTAATCTGGACTTGTCTGTAGTAGTCCTACTCTAGTTACTCCTGACCCTCCAGAGTTCCACCGAACTCCCCCTTTGTCTGATCTCCAGACTTATCCAGACTTCTGTCAGACTTTCCTCCTACCTCTTAGAAATTAAGGGCACATACTCAGGTAAGGGGTGCAGTGCACAAGCTGAAGCCAAGCCCTTTGAGTTCTCCTCCTCTTGAGCACAACCTTAACAAATAGCTGCAGCATGTTGGATTTTCATAGTCTCAAACTTGGATGCCAAATGAAGCCCCGGTGTTACTCTTAGTTATTTTAGGAATAAACCAACATAGATGCCAAATATTGGGAGAGATTATAATTTGGCATGCCACAGTATATGCTTACAGTGCCAAACCAAGTTTTGAATCATTATTGCTACCACCAAGTCATACATAGTCTAACATATCTTAGCATAGTGTTTGTGCTCCATGTAATGAATTGTTCTGTGTGGCAGTCAATGGATAAAAATGTTATATCCATAACTCTAATGTCAGCATTTTTTTGCAACACAGGCTTGTACTTTTTACCCAAGAGTGAACAACATGCATATGATAGTCATTCTCAGCTAGCAAAAATATATTCATAAAGCCCAAATGATACACATCTGCACTATTAGTGACATCATCAATGTGTCTCTCACTTCCACACATTGTGACCTCCTTTATCATCCCTCTCAGGCTGGGTCCATATTTAACTTCATAAATTTATGCTCATATTTTTTCTTCAATCCATCCAATTGAAAATTAGTGTTTCCTTAACATTTTCACACATTCTCATGTGAAAGTGGTCAGCAGATTGTTGCAGATTGTTGCAATGTTTGATCATATATTGCCTTAAATATCATTCTCATTTGTTTACTGGTTCACTTATGACATTTCGCTTAGTTCAGAAAGACAAGTGCAAATCTATCAATTCTGCTCAGCTACTTAGAAGCATAGATGACAATCATCCTGATGATTCTGTCTTATTCTTTCTCCACTGTGCAATTTCCTACTGAATCTTATCATCTTGTCACCACATGTCTGCACCCCTCAATGGTATCACTCTTCAGCACTTTCATAATTCAATATCTGGCTCTAATCTCACTAGTTTTGACAATCAGAGTTTAGCCACTAAGGAAGTTAAACTAAGACATTAGACCAGGACACCTTATTTCTGCCCTTTACTGGGAATTGTATGCAAGGCCCAGCTTGTATGCTTGATCATAATGAGGGACTTGCTGCATAGTGAATCCACTTATATGGTGCATGTGCATGTGTCAAGGCAAGCTGAAAATTCAGTACTGCTTCTGAGTACTGAATTCTGATTGTGCATGTTGTAGTTGCTAAATGCTATCATGGTTACAGAAGATGGAATTTATTACCCTCCATCAAGTATAAACAGCCATATGATTTTGTAAATCATTCAAGTTCTGGTAGCATTGTCCACTGGTATATAGAATCAGTGTATATCTGCCTTCATAATTTAAAAGGTACCTACTTGGCATATTACAATATCAGACCTGGTGAGCATCTTAAGTGCTATGCCTGTACATATTGATAAAAATAAGACCTTGTAGAATAGTAAATAGTCCATTCTCCTCGCTGCGCATATATGTATATAAACTCGCTAGTGTGATATATGTCATTTACAAGTGCTACAGAGTGTAACGGCTTGTGTCGCTTGTACAGTGTGTGAGCTTGTGGGCTTGTACTTGCTTGTGCTGCTGTCCACTTGTACCCAGACTTGTGGTCATTTGTTTGTGATGTCTGTGGGACCTGTGATCCTTGTGCAGACTTGTGTGGACTTGTCAAGTATGTGGGAATTGTTGCGAAATCAATAGTTTGCTGATGGAAGTACTTCCTGCCTACATCCCTGATCAGCTGCAGATGCGCCGCTACTTTTACCGGTCCTTTTTAATGTGATCGCTGGGAGTGCAATTATTGGAGTGCTTTGTGGCTTGAGCTAATTCCAATGGAGTGACTGGGATACTCTTAGCTAGTTCTGCTTCTTTAAGTACCGCCCTAGAGCAAGCTAGTAGTTGGATCTAATTAAATCCCCTCATGTTCATCGGCTTATTCTCTACTAAGACAGTGGGCCACAGCAGAGAGATAGAAATTGTTACTCACCCTGGTCGCATAGTTGTTGCCAGACTTGTGGTTGTCTGCACAGGACACCACACCGGATCTATTTACTGTGGGAATGCTATGGGAAATTACCCTCTCCTACCTCAGCCTCCTCATTTTGATGTGCTAGATAGAGGTGACACTTACCTTCATATGAGAGCCCCTGCCTTAATGAACTGGATATATCGCCAGGATGTCACTCCATTTTATTCCATTGTCCTTAATTGGCACAATGACTACTATGTGGATCTAAGAGATCCCAATATGAGACTCAAGTATACGCCAAAACCTCAATTCAACATCATACGAAATCCCCACATGCCTCCACGAAGGCCCTACTTTTTTCAGAGGCTGAGTCTGATCACCCAAGTCCAGGTGGCCACAAAGGCCATTAATATTCAATGATGTCACGGTATATTTTCTCATATTTTTTAAAACTGCCTAATGAGGGACTTGCTGCATAGTGGATCCACTTACATGGTGCATGTGCATGTGTCAAGGCAAGCTGAAAATTCAGTACTGCTCCTGAGTACTGAGTTCTCATTATGCATGCTGTAGTTGCTACAATGCTATTATGGTTGTAGAAGATAAAATTTATTACCCTCCATTAAGTATAAATGGCCATATGATTTTGCAAATCATTCAAGTTCTGGTAGCATTGTTCGCTGACATGTAGAATCAGTGCATATCTGCCTTCACAATTTAAAAGGTACCTACTTGACATATTACAATATCAGGCCTGGTGAGCATCTTAAGTGCTATGCCTGTACATATTAATGATCTGGACCATCTTTCTTGAATTAGACTATTTCAAGGAGCAGGAAAGATATGAGCTTAGGAGACCTATACATGATTTAAGTGGTGTTCCTAGTATTCAAAATCTTACCAATGTCTTCACCACATACCATTTGTCAGCACTCAACAGATAGCATCTGAAATAGTCTTATTAACTGTAGTGTATTATGTTGTGTTTTAGATCAGGCTAAACCACCATGCCAGTCCAGTCAGTTTGTGCACATTGCATAGTGTCATTGGAATTTAGACAAAGATGGAATTGGACTCATCACCAATGTGCGCCCAGACATGTAAATCCAGCTTAATACTAGTCCAGTTCATAATGTCTGGTGCATATTTTTATAGCACCAGTTACCATGTCCCTTCACTCAACTCTCAACCTCTATCATCTACAAATAGTTTGCAAGTGTGCTACTCCCTCACTACTACACACTATCATTACAGCTCTCACTGCATCACCCTTAGACATCTACTTAAGGGTGTCTTCAAAACCATAGCTGTCTAAACTTACTGTCATTTACAGACTGCTTGTGAGTGTGCTAATCTTTAGTCATCCATACCCTAACTGAGACCACCTCCCCTACTGTCCTCACAGCACACTACCTCTGTATTCCAGCTGGCTGCCAACAACCACATGCAACCATCTCCTTTTCTCATTTCAATCCATAGCACACAGCCCCTGTGTCCTTCCAACCTACTGTCTGCAACTGTCTGCTCCTCTCCTATTCTAATCTCTAGTGCACTATTCCCTGCATGCTAAATTTCATACAAATACAAGTAGCCCTTCCTAGGTAGTTCAGGTGCCCTCCATCCCGGTAAATACCAACATGATCTTGCCTTAACCCCTCAAGGTGTATGTTCTGCCATGAGGGGAGTCCAGGAAACTGCCTTCTTTAGCTCTGTCATACACTTGGAGTTGCAGGCAGTAGCTGGTGAACAATGGATCATAGCTCAACTGGCAGGCATCCTATTGTTTTATATTAGTGTTCCACACTTTGCTCTTGCAGTTCCCCAGATTATCTTACCCCAGGTCATTAACCTCAATAGATAGGCCATTTTTGGCTGGGTTACATATTAGTAGGGACACTACAGGCTGATATCTCTCCTTAGGTAGTTGTACTATATGCCACATAAACAAGTCAACCAAGGACAACCAGTTCCTAAGCCAGGAGGCCATTACTATACAGTTCTGTGAATAGATTGGAGAACTTAGATTCAACAATGGTATAGTTATCTTTGACTTAATAAACATTTAGGACAGTAACATATTAATTTAAGTCTTTGTAAATCTTCCTTCTCTTCTGCCACACAGTACTCATATAAATAAGGTCCAAATCCCCCCTTTAATAATCTCTGATGCTGATTTCTTAAATCGCTCTGGTGGTTAGTATATATGATGAAGTCCTTCTTTGGGATCACTATCACCCCAAGTGCCTTATGGAGCCATTTGGGCTGCAATAGTAGTCAAAGCAAGAGTGTAATATGTACACCACCATGGGCCTCAAGATCTGTAGGCTGGTGTAAAACAGGAAAAGCATAATAATTTATTAGTTATGGAACAGAGGGTAGGTGAAGGCAGTAATTAACTGTGAATGAACCCCTTTGAAACTCAAATGATATATGCACCTCCTGGCATTGGGTCAAGGAAGAAGAACCCATCATGAAACCTCTTACATTGGAGGATATCAACAGGATCATTAATAAACAAATTGCAACATTAAGCATGAATAACCTAGAGAAGAAAGGTTTTTAGGAGGATCAAAGTTGACTGTAAACTTAGATCAGAACAATTGTTTTTCTGTTCTTGGTAACTTGACCATTATATTTACAGAAGTATCAGAAGTTTGTTCTGGAAATAAACAAGAGCATTTCTATTTGTCAGTTACATTGGAAGGAAATAACAAGAAAGCAGACATCAATGCTCTAGTTGACTATGGAGCAACAAACCTCTTCATCAGTGAAAGGTTTGTAGAAAAGAATCAAGTCAAAATAAAGCAGTTGTTGTGAGCACTGCTAGTCCACAATATTGATGAAACTAAAAACTCTGCTAGACCAATCAAAAGCTATGCAAACCTAAAACTTAGAATAGGGGATCATGAAGAAGATGTAGCCTTTCTGATCACAGATCTAGGAACTGATGATGTAATCATTGGAATAGACTGGCTATGGTATCATAATCCAAGTATAGACTGGAACACAGGAAAGGTCACATTAGATCACTGCCCAGTTAAATGCAAAGAAGCTAAGGTTAAGAGAAGGAAAATCAAAGCAAAAAGCAGAAAGACAAGATCCCTGCTTTATTATCCATAGAAGATAATGATGATGAAGTCACCATGGAAGATCCTATAATATTAAGGATAAAAGTTGATATTGAAGAAGTTGAGAATGAGGATTCACCAAGGAACATGTGGATCAGATACAAAAGTTTTGTAGCCTTAGAATTAGCACAACAAGAGGAAAAGAAGAAGAAAAAGAAGTCCATTGAAGAGATGGTCCCAGAATGGCTCCATGACTATCTCAATGTTTTCTCCAAAGAAGAATCTACTTGATTCCCAGAGTCAAATAAATGGGATCATAAGGTAAAACTCAAAGATCCAAATGATCTTCCTCTATGTGAAGGCATCTCCCCTTTCTCCTGCAGAAAATGAGGCATGTGAAAAGTGGCTCAAACAAGAATAAGAACTGGGACAATTTAGAGATTCAGAGTCTCTAGTAGCAGCACCTTTCTTCTTTGTGGCCAAAAAAGACAGAAAACTTAGACCCATCATGGACTATTGGAGGTTGAATGAGAAAACCATCTAAAATACATACTCTCTTCCTCATTCTTAAGATCTAATTGATAGTCTCACTGGTGCAAGCCTCTTTTCAAACATGGTCGTTTAATGGGGATACAATGATATTAGAATGAAAGAAGGAGACCAAAGGAAGGTTGCTTTTAAAACTTCTTTGGAACATCATGAACCAGTCATAATGTACTTTGGCTTGATGAACTCTCCTGCTACCTTTTAGACTATGATGGACCAGATCTTCCAAAATCTCAAGGAAGGGAAGGTTGTTGTAGCATACATCAATAACATTTTGGTTTTTACCAATAACAATGTAGAGAAACATAGAAAGGTGGTATGTGAAGTATTACAACAATTTCAGAGCAATGATCTTTATCTCAAACCAGAAAAGTGTTCCTTCAAGAAGAAAGAAATGAAGTTTCTCAAACTTATCATCAAAGATGGATACATTTCTATGGATCCAATAAAGGTTAAAGGAGTTCAAAAATGGCCTACTCCCACCTGTGTCAAGGACATTCAACAATTCATAGGATTTGCAAACTTTATCATCTATTCATTCTTGGATTCTCAAACATTGCCAAACTCATAAATGAACTTATCAGAAAGGATGTACCATAGAAATGAATGGACAAACAAGAAAAGGCTTTCCAGACTCTTAAAGACAATTTCACTTCCACACCAGTACTAGTTATGCCAGATGCACAAAAGAAACAAAAAAATAGAAAGTGACACATCTAAAGATACTGGTAGTGTACTTTCCCAGTTAGAAGACAACAGACTATGGCACTCAGTAGCTTTCTTTAGCAAATTAATAAACAATGCAGAAAAAAACTATTGGCTATTATTTGTACTTTGGAAGAGTGGAGGCATTATGTGCAAGGAGCACCCAACCCAGTGGAGATTTGGATGGATCACAAGAACCTTGAATACTTTATGACAAGTCAGAAGTTAACTTGCAGAATATGAATTCACACTGCAACACAAATCTGGGAATGTCAATGACACTGCTAATGCTCTGTCCAGGAGGCCAGACCACAGAGGGAGTAGAAATTGACAATTTCAATTGTGTGCTTTTGAAACATGAGTTTTTCCAAATCAAAGCTGCAAAACGAGGTCAGGTGCTGATAGAAGGAGAACAAACACTATTAAAACACATCAGAAATTACACAGACCTAGATCTAGAAGTCTGAAATGCTATTGAAACCCTTGAGAAAGCCCCTGTACAGTTGAGAAAAATACTAAAGGAGTAGAATACTGAAGATGGACTTATTATGTTTAGAGGATTGGTTTATGTTACTAATAACAAAGAACTTTGTTGCTCAGTGGTAGAAATATTCCATGACTCACCTACAGCAGGACATATGAGATGTGCCAAAACTCTTGAACTCATTTTCCGTAACTATTGGTGGCCTCAGATGCAAAAATGAGTCAATGACTATGTAGACAGACGCAACAGATGCAAGCAAATGAAGGTGTTACCATCTAAACCTCATGGTTACTGGACATTCCCCATTCAAATATCTCTACAGCTATAACCCTGAATTCATTATTTTCCCTAACTCCTCCAACACTGTTCCCCAAACCAATATGGATACAACAAGTCCTGTGAAGGGTAGGACAAAGTTGGGTCTGGCAACAACTAGCTGCTATATCTAGAGAGTAGACAATGTTTGACTCTAAAGGGTTTCTGACTAGACTCTTTGGCTCAAGAGATAGAGGGAGGAAAAGGATAAGGGAGAGACAGTTACTACAAAGACAAGGTTTAAGAATGTATTCCAGGAGCTGAGTAGTGAGCTGAAGAAGCTGTAACCAGAAAACTACTACGGGGATGCTACCAAATAACCCAAATTAATGGGGAGCAACCAGAACTGGAAACTAGGTATGTCAGGTAAAGACAGGTATAAAGTTTAGGTAAAGAGGAAGATAATTATGTAAGTAGTAAAAGTGCGGACAGAATGTAGATATAAGAGTAGCTATGGGGAAACAGCCAATACAAACCCATAGGGAACTGGTTCCTCACCAATTAGAGAGTAGTAGAGATAAAAGAGGCACAAGAAGAAGCAAAGGCAATGCTAGAAATAGCAAACAATCAAATGAAACACTTTTATGATCATGGAGTAAAGAATGCACTAGAATTGGAAATTGAACAGAAGGTGTGGTTAGATGTCAGGAACATTAAACAATGATGTTTAAGCCAGAAGTTGTCAGACTGCTGCCTTGGCCCCTTCGAAGTACTCAATTGAGTCGGTTAGGTAAACTATCAGATAAAATTACCAGAATCATATCATATCCACCCAGTATTTCATGTGGGATTACTCACTCCACATAAAACCCCCACATTAACACCTCAAGTCACCCCATCATGCCCACCTCCCAAACTCTTCCAAAATGAAGAAGAATATGAAGTAGAAGAAGTGCTATCATCCTGGTTATACTGAAAACAGTTGCAATACCTGACAAAATGAAAAGGATATCCATTGGAAAGTTCTATCATTCTAGTTTTATAAACCTCTGATTTTTTTAGAATGGAGACAACACAACATTTGTCCATCCTACATTCACAAGGATGCTTATCCTAAAAAGGGGGTAATGTCATGAATTCCTAATACAAATCATTTTTCATTTCTTGGTTTCCCTCCAGCTACTTCCTATTCCAAAACCAGTCATGTGACTTCACTTCCTTTCACATTATCATCACAATGTCACAATTTCACCTCTTCATATTTCACCCACTGTATCTCCAATTGGCTCTCCTATTTCATGTGCTAGAACTGTACAGCTTCATATCACTTAATTTCTGTCTCTGACATCATGCTTATATATTGCTATGTCATCTGCAGTTATTGTATAACTCTTTTCTCATTGGCTAATTGTTTCATACTCAGATATCTCTGTTTTAATGTTATGTATATAGTTAGGGTGGTCATAGTTAGTACTCCTTAGACTTGACCTCTTTGTTCTACAACCTGGTAGACCTAGATATTCATGCTCAATTCTATCATCTTTTATCATCATCTATGACCAAGTCCTAGTGTGGTTGGTCAGTCTTTACGATTCAGTGAACGCTAGTCATAATAAAGTATTGAGTATTGAGAAGGTACCAAGTACTGAGTATTCAGTATTGAGTAGTACCAAACTTCATCATCCAGGTTAATAGGATGCAGGTGTTCCACTTTGAAGTTTCCATCCATCATGAATGACCTGATGTATTTCCAGCTTAGAGTTTTTAATATCCTATTGCTGACTTCCATATGGAACAAGACTTACTCATCAAGTGATTCTTCTCTTGACAACAATAAATTAATCCCAGGCTGAGGACATGTTGGGCAAAATAATGTGAGATCTCCTAGCTCGGGTGGGTTAAAACAATGGCCAAAGCCATACTACTTCATGGTCTTCAATTGCCTCCACCGTCAAGAGACCCTCATAAACTCTTTATATTGGTCCTTTCAACATTATTTGTCAATAATATCCCTTAGATGATGTAGATATTTTCTTACTGAAATGAGGTGTGGAAATATGCTCAAGGTTATTTGCCAAAGCTTGTTGTAATAGTTTATTGCTGAGGTGCCACATTCAAGATTGTCCAGTAGAAAGTCATCAAGAATATTAAATATCAACACAGTCTTCAGCTTGTTAAAAGATGCAGAAAAGAAGCCATGTCAAAACATTTAAGTGTCTGGACTCATGGCATTAGGACAACCACAACATTGAATATTGAGGTGATGAACTCCTGACTTGCCAATAATGACCATGGTATTGTTCTTTGGCTGGAACTCAGACCCTAAAACAGATAATAGATCTTCAGATTTGATATGCTCTTTGGATTTGTCTTCTTCAAATAAATTCCACTTATCTGTGATAACTGGATATTGCTTTCCATCATGACTGAAGTATATGACAAGTCCAACATGAGCAAGACAACTTTGCTCAAAGAATTAACCATTCTACTAACTGATCCAGTGAAAAGGATTGTATTGATGTTGACTCCTGCAGCAGCCCGTGCAATAGAGTGGCTCCCCAAGACAATCTTGACATTTGTATACCCCATTCTGGTTATAAATGAAGCATCTCCTATTTTCAGGCAGAGCTTCTTGATCTAGGAGGTGATAGAGATATGATTTCTGCTTTGGCAGCCATTGCCTAAGGTAATTATTCTGACTCTGCATTTCATATATTTACCTATTATTTGAATAATGGTCTAACATTTTAAATGAACTTGCTATGGTTTTTGGGAGGTGTAAAAGTTCAAATGACCCTTGATTGAGCTCATAAGTATCATCAGCAATGTCTTTCCAAAGAATGGAGCCTAAACAGGCTCAAGTGTTGGTGATTTTGAGGGAGGGGTAGATATACACCTGTTGGTATGTTGTCTCACACTGGCAAATAGGACCTTGACCCATATCTTCCTACCTTTCCTACCCCTTGCTTCTACCCAATATGATTTCTGCAAGAGGGTGGATTGAGTTATCCTTATCTTAGTTCTGATGTCATAAGTTAAGGTTTAGCTCAGAAACGTCAAACCAATTGTTATTCTATTATGGTGTCATCTCATCTTGTTGTTGGATCATTATGAATTTATTTGGATGAAAGGCAGTGCATCTAAAATATATTAATGAACCAACATCTAAGGTTTGCTCAAAATTGAACTCAGGACAATCATTTCTTTGACCTTGCTTCTCCTTCATGCATTCTTCAATCTATTTTACCATGGTAAGATCAGGTGATTCCACTTGTTTGAAAGAAAACAAAGAAGATATCTACCACAGAGACAAAAGCTTACAGAAAAATAAATTTCAGAGCTAAAAAACTACCTTCCTAAGTTGACTGCTGCAAAAAGGGATATGTGTAGCTAGGTTATTTGATCTGAAGCTCGACCATGGACAATGGAAAAGAGAAAGCAGGTGATACATTCATCCACATCGAAAAAACAAATGTTTTGATCTCTGATTGTTTGATTGTCACTCAGATGTATAAAACTTAGTTATTTAACAACCAGCAAAAGAAGAAAAGGAAGGACATGATAAAGTATAGGAGGAAATGGATCCCTAGGATGGTGATCTATCAGCAGAACAGAAATAATGTGCTAAAGAGAATTGAAGATAAATGTGGGGTGAAGCCAGGAGGTTAAGATATGTTCAAGCATTACTAAGTGACAGTCTGAAAAGTCATTGCTGAATTGTTAGATGACAAGTTGGAGAGGGAAAAAAAATAGCTGAAGAATGGTCTAATAACATTCCTCCTCACAAGATACAAGTGCAAGTCACTATTAAGAAGGGACCTGCATATATGAAGCACTTCTCAATTGAGACATGGAGACAATGTAGGATGAAAGTGTTTGTGTTGTCAGGTTGGAAGAACAAACAGGGATAGGTGCTATTCAGAATGTGAGTGAATTTTATAAGTCATCCTAGATTTCAAATCTCAACTCATTTCCTATAGGCATGATGATAATGAGGCATTAGAAAATGGGGACAGCTTCATGAAGACAAAAGACTGGGAGGATATTGAACCAATTTGGCAGGAGTATACACAAGAACAGTTCAGTGAGTATTTAAACTGTCAAGATACAAAGAAAATCATTGATGGTTGTAGTGATAGGTGCCAAGGTGAGGGATGGAGGAAGACAAAAGAAGGGAGGTCAAAAAGGAATGATAAAACCAGCTTTTGAACTCAAAGTGAATAGTAAAAGTATGCCTTTGCTTTCAGAGATCATGCAAATAAAACTCAATGAGAAGAAGGCAATAGTCAGGACATTTCTTACAAAGCACTATTGTGAGTTTGTCTTGAAAATATCCTATGACAATCTATTAAATGGATGGACACAGGAATCCATTTTGGTATTAACAAGGCCATCATCTCACAGAGTGCTATTATACAAAGTGAGGATGACTTTGTATTATACATGTATCATTTAAAGCAGCCTTGCTGAACTTTTGGTATGCTCAACAGGAGAACAATGAAGATCTAACATCTGTCAAACCTGTCAAAGATTATGCTTAACTTGTGTCATCAATATCCATTTCAATGATCTCTGTGACTGGCAGCTTGCTAAATTGTACTGTTAGATGATAGCTCATTACCCTTGATGGTCTAACTAATCAACCAATATAATAATTTGATTCTTCAAATGCAAAGATTGTTTGCAAACTGCCAAAAAGTGAATGTTATACAAATAACCCCTAATAATAGTGGGACTCAGGTTAGATTTTGAATGTTGGCTAAAGCTTCAACAAACTTGCTTAAGCCTGCTAAAAACAGCCACATGGACAACAAATTTGCAAGTCAGGTCAGCACTGTAAGGTAAAGCTTGAAGCACCATGCCTGCTATTTTCCAATAGGTCCACCGTTCTGTGTGACTTTGAAGTAACCCTTGAGTACGCTCGACGGTGATGGATCCCAGGCATCAACATCACAACACGATCATCCAGATGGCGGCGCTCTTGTCCCCATCCCCAAACCTAGGATGATGACATTCTCACTGATACCTTGGTAACTTTTCTGACTGATTACCCTACTAACTGTTGCATTCTATTCTACTCTGATATTAAGAAAGCATCCCCCTCTGCTCCTGGCAATATTCCCTTGGGCAAAGACAAGGCTAAGGTCAATGGGATTATCACCAAGCTCATCTTTGAACATAGCAAATACAGGCCTACCTACCATAAGAATCCTAAGAAATTTCATGACTCTGTCAACAATTATATTGGGATGTATGTACTCTTATCTGCTTTTTTTTGCCGTGCACTGATAAAATAATAAAAATCCTAGTCTCAAAACTAGATATAAGGATCTGAAGGCTAAATTCAGTGCAACCAGCACTGGCATTGTGCCACTTGACGAAGCCTCTGCAAAAACTTGACTGATTGAAATTTGTAGAAGAAGTTCTTTGTGAACTTCCTTGGTATACTCAGCTTTACACAATTTGGCACTCAAATCCCTTTTTCGCTACAAAAACTACTTCCTTCAAGCCAGGGGCTGACCATGCTGGTGACATGTATTCACTTGTACATCCATGTGGCAGGGCTGGCCCCTCCATACATTTAAGGGGTGCCACTAGGACTCAGCCCCCCCTCCCCCCCTCACTGCATAAACCAATTGCCTATTGACCCCTGTCTGCTTGAAACAGCTCATCCCCCTCCTAATGACGCTAATTCTCCTAATGCCGACATCATCATAGACAACAACATTCCTGACCTTGACAACAACAACAACAACAACAACAATTTGTATTCTGCTGCTTTCTGTGTCCCTCTTGGCAATGCACTAGACTACTTTGATGATGATGCTGGCAATATGCAACCTGTGCAGGACAATGTGGACAAAGACTGTGTGATGTACGATGATACCTAGCAGGGCCCTGATTTCAACCTCAACAGCCGCCCAAAAGCTGCTGGGAAAAAACAGCAACTTCCGTTATCACTGTCTCCTTCTCCTGTCCCCCCATCCCTTTTGAAGCACCATAGAAGTCTCCCACTCCTTTCTATGATAGCCACACAGCATTTAGCACTTAGAGGCCCTCCAGCCGTAGCTCATAATGCCAACCATCATCTATTGTGTTGTCACTAGGGATGACCTGCAGCGCATCAACTCCTTCATCAACAACTCATAACACCTTGTCGTCGGACTCTCCTGCTTCTCCGACACCCCAGACCTTGTTATCAGTGCAACTGAAAAGCATGGGCTTGAAGAAGAAAGTGAAATCAGACATTCAGAAGCAGGTTGAGAGGGTTATTGGTGTGATTGAGAGCATTCAGTCTGATGCTGTGTCATGCCATGATTACAAGTACAAATGCTTCCTTGCAAAGCTCAACATGAAGCAGGACTACCATTGCAAGACAAAGAAATATGAGTGGCTTCGTGACACACATGCGCATAAGGCCATGCAAGCCACTGCCAACCACCAATGAGAGCAAGAGACTAAGGATGCTGAAATTTGGCTTTATTAGACTAATGTTTGAGTGCATGAGGCACAGGCCTTAGCACTTGACAAGGAGGCAGAGACCTGGCATCTCAAGATTCAATTTCACCAAATGACACAGAGTGGCAGTAAAGCTTCTGCATCTGATGGAGGTACCTAACTCATTCGCTGTTGTCATTTGTTGTTGCTGTCACATTTTTTTATCACGATTGCTGTTGTTTGCTGTCACATTTTTTCTGCCACTATTACTATCTGATTACATGTATACTTTCTTGCTGTTGTAGCATTTGTTAGATTGATGTTACATGTGTTGTATAATTGTTACATGCATTCTTGGTCAATGTGAGCATGGTTAGTGCTCATCCTTCCCTACATTGTGCCCTTGAATGAGGACTGTCAAAGAGCTCATCCATGAGCCTTACATGGGTGGCCAGGCCCAGAGTTCCCTCATATGACCTGTCACCCACCACTTCATTACCATCTGAATCCTCAAACTCTTGAGGAACAAAAGCTTCACCCTTTACATGAGCCCACTCCAGAGACTCCTCATAGTCTGCATCCTGCTTGTGATGGTGGGTTTTGAAGTAGATGATCATGTTGTGCAGGATAAGACAACACTTAATCACATCCACAGCAATCCACAGGTCCTTCTCTGTCTGAATATTGAACCAGAGATCTTGGAGAGACTGGAACCGCCCCTTCAAAACAGCAAATGCATGCTCAACATGTACACAGATCTTTAAATTCATCAACAGCAAAAAAATGAAAAATATATTAGAAAGGTGATAATTAAATGTCTTCTGGTTCTTTGTCAACCATCCATTGTAAGGCTTCTTTAAAGGGGGGATACACCATGGTTCCAATGGATATGCACTGTCTGCCCACACCTAGTGACCATCTGGCAGAAGGTTGACATGCTCTTCATAGAGGCAAGTGGATCAAAAAGCATATGCATCATGGATACTTCCAGGTTGGCCAAGGGAATAATCCACAATCATGAGGTTGTGGGGCATAATGACTGCCTAGAATTAAATTAACTGATTGTCCATGACAATAAAATCAAAACACATTACTTGACACCCAAGGGAATAGTTGGATTTCCTATCATAAAATGTCTCACCAAAATAAGCAGGTTTGGTAAAAACATCTATAGTTGAGCCATCAATGGTGAGATAGCCACCCCTCCACTCTGGACAAGTTCATGTCTCAGTGAACTGCTGAGCCAGCTCAGCATTCTTAGAGTTATCTTCTGGGAAGAAGATAAACCAATTATGCTCCTCGAGTAATGTAATTATTATATGATTAGTGCAATTGACCGCTGACCCAACACTCACACCTGCCCATTGAGCAACGTCCTCAAGTGAAATAACATTGCCATAGTGGCCTGCACAATTCAGAAAAATCTAAAAAGTATGGGAGAACGCATGCCAGGGGGAAGGTGGGAAGATTTAGGCATTTCCGTGTAGCGCACATGGTTTCAGCAGTGACACTTAATGATGATTTTGGAAATATCGCGTGCTTTTCATTTTTGGAGTTCCATTTCCCTACGAGTTTCAAAACCCTCGCAATCTAAACACCTCTTTCCCCCCACCATCTGTTTCCTCGCACACTATATTGTTGAAATCCTTTCCCCAGTGATTATTGTAGATTTGTAGTGAAAATTCCCCTCCTGGGGTAAGCTTTACTTATTTAAATATACAAAACAATAATAATAACTTGAAAAATTCAAAAAAAAGTGATTTTCGCTTTTCTGCTGTTTTTAGACCGTATTTTGGACCATTTGGACCACATTTGGACCTACCTTGGACCTCCCTTGGACCCCTGGACCCTCCTGGACCCTTTTGGAGAGCAGGTTTGTGTGGTGTGTTTGTTGTTTGTTTCTGTGCCCAAATCCCATGGAGAACTGGGGAAGTTGGGTACCTAAATACAAGACGAACGTGCAAGGAGTCTTGCAGGCGTCTTTTGCAGTTGTCAAAGACTGTCCTGTGACATCTCCGTATCAAGTCCTACCTCCCTGGCTGCCTGTTTTTTTTGCCGGTTGCTATCAGCTTTTGCTGGGACTCCTGATAGCACTACAGTGCAGAGATTTGGTCGGCGGGACACTTTTTGCGTTGAGTCTGACTGCTGGGTGTTCTATCTGGCAGTTGCTCACAGTTGCCTTCCTATCCCCTGGGATAATATCTCAGACAGCATTTTTGTTGTCTTCAGCACTGGCATACATTGATTTCCTGACACGATCCTGTTCTTGGGAGGTGCAGACTTCTTCAACCACCCACACACACCCACTTTGTTGGATTCCGACCTATGTGCATATAATGTGTCTCTCATGTCTTTCTCGCCTAATTTTGCTGCAGTGGTGTTTCTATCCTGTCCATTGCTATATTTTGCCTCATTTTTTCAATTTTGTTACTATGTACTGCCATGTTCATACACAATTTATATATATATATTGGAGTCCTGCTGATTAATTTCTCCTTAGGCTTCCTTCAACTCCACCTACTTCCCCTCAATGAGCCCAGTCTGTTGCATGTCAAGCCAAGAGAAATCAACATAATCTTGGCTCACCTCCTACATAACATTTACCACAAAATGACCATGCCCCTGTAGCACCAGATGCTCCCCATATGGTATGTTTATTTTGATTGAAAACTTGACTGTTGCTGACTTATCCTATTCAGAATATTCCTCATATGCTAGGAAATTTAAATTATGCTCAGATCCCTGTGCAGAGATTTCCTGCACGCAATGCAATTGAGCATCATGAGGCGCATCGTCAGTGGCGTGTTCATCACCCACCACCACCCCCACCTGCTCCAGGCTTTGGCTATTTTCCTCCTGCTCCTGCTCCTGCTCCTGCTCCTGCTCCTGCCCCTGCCCCTGCCCATCCTCCAGGGTTTGGTGGCTATCACCCTCCTCCTGTCCCTGCCCCAGCTCCTCCTCCTGTCTATCCTGCTGCTCAAATGCCAATATATGGTGCTGTATATTATGAGGGTGCAGCTTGCCCTCAAAACATGCAGAATGCCCATCCCTTTCTCCCTGAGCCTGGTGTTCAGGGAGTACAAGTCGACCATAACTTCAATCTAATGGAAAATTTCAATCGTCTTCATGAGGATTGTCAAAGGCAAAGACATAACAAATAAAGTCCTGCTCCCAACCCACCACCTCCTGATCTGCCTCCTGCTCCCTTTAATCCTCCTAATCCTCCTCACCCTCCTCACCCTCCTCACCCTCCTGCTCCTGAACCTCATTATGCTCCATTTAACATCTAGTTTCATCACCATTTGCAAAACTTGCAAAATCAGGTTGAAGACATGGAAGATCCACGTCTTCTCCAACTTAGGGAGGAAATAATGCAGCAACAAGCAGAGGAGGCTCACTAGTAGCAACAGCTTCAGCAACAGTTGCAGGATCGTCAGGCTCAAGAGATGGATAGGCAAGCACATATTTTGGAAGCCCAGCAATAAGCTCTCTTGCATGCACAGGAGGAGGAAGCACATCATCATGAAATAGCTCAGGAGGAGGAGGAGCGACATCTTCAGGCAGAGCAATGTAGGTTTATGCATGAGGCACATATGGAGGATGCTTGGCAGGACTATCATAATCCAGGATCACAGGAGCAGCATGACCAGGATGAGGAGAGAAGGAGAGCTCAGGAGTGTGAACATCATCAATAGGATAATCCAGAGGATCAGCAAGATGCTAATCAACCACCACCACCACAGAACATTCCTATTTCTGTTCAACCACCACCTCAGAATGTCCCTGTTCCTCCTGGAGGTCGTCCATATACTAAGCCTGTCAATCATCACACTGTTGGTCCTCTCACTGTAGAGTGTCCTGACTGTCATGCCTACCACTTTGCAACTGAAAGACTCACCAACTCCTCTGCACATGCTCCAAAATTTGGTATGTGTTGCTTGCGGCCAAGTTGATCTTCCACCCCTCCGACCATGGCCTCCTGAGCTCCAGCAGTTGTATTAACAGTGTGCATTTGTCACCAACATTTGTCAGTACAACAGTACTGTGGCATTTACCTCTGTTGGCGTTAAAGTCGATGACCTTGCTCTTTGAGGCTCTGGCCTAAGCTCCTTTCGCATCCATGGATCTCTCCATCACCTCATGGGAAGTCTTATGCCTGGAGAAGCTCAACAGCCTGCCTATGCTCAGCTTTATGTCTTTGATTCAGAGCATGTCACTGATGTTCATGTTGACAGAAATTGCAATCTTGATCCTCAAACCCTCAGACAGCTCCATGATATGCTCTACAGACACCATCTCTATGCTCAACTTTACAAGGCAGCCTATCAAGTCACGATAGAGAAGCCTCTAGAGCAGCACAGAGATGTTCAAGTACACATTCACTTCAAGCCAGGCTCTGATGGTTGAAGATACAATCTTCCTACTTCCAATGAAATTGCTACCATCATTCCTGGAGATGGATCTGAGGACGTTTCTGACAAATGTGACATTGTATTGCGACTCCAAGGTGGTCAACTTCGCTGCATCAGCCAGCTCAGTTATGCCTATTCCACCCTTCATTATGTCCTCATGTTTCCTTCTGGTGAGGAGGGCTGGCATCTTGACATTCCTCTCTGTCTCCCTGAGGGTGGTTGTGGTCGTGCAAAAAAAGTCACACAGCTGCTGTATTATGGCTATCGCCTTCACATCCGTCCACCTGCAATCAAGCCTGACAACATCTTTCGTGCAGGACAGCTCTTCCAGCAGTATGTGGTTGATGCTTGAGCTACTATTGAGCAAGGCAATTTGAACTGGATCAAAACCAACCAGAAGAAGCTCAGGGCAAACTGCTACAGAGGCTTGACAGATAATGTCTTCAATGATGGAATCAATGATCTGGCTGAGACAGGGTGTTCCTTCATCCTTTCTTCCTCTTATAGTGGAGGTCCTCACTATATGCATCAACTGCTCCAAGACTCCTTGGCCATATGTCGTGCATGCAAAAAACCAGACCTCTTCCTCACCATGACTGCAAATGGAAGTTGGCCTGAGATTACTGACAATCTTCTCCCAGGTGAGTTCGCATTTTTGGCATTATTGATGTTTTCATTGCTGATCAGTCATAAAGGTCAGACTGCTGTTGATTGTCCAGACTTGGTGGCTCGCGTTTTTTTATCTCAAGCAGCAGGCCCTCTTGAAGAAGGTTCGTGATGGCTTTTATGGAAAGGTCACTGGATTGGTGTACACCATTGAATATCAGAAGCACGGTCTCTCTCACATGCATCTTCTCATCTTCCTTGAGCCAGAGTACAAGATACGCACTGCAGAGCAGGTCAACTCCCTCATCTCTGCTCAGATTCCTGACCAGAACCTTCATCCACAACTCTATAAAGCTGTCAGCAAATTCATGCTCCATGGTCCCTGCACTCCAGAACGTTGCTTGAAGAATGGTCTTTGCAAGAAGCATTATCCAAAGACCTTCTGTCCTCAAACACTCATGAAGGACGATGGCTATCCAGAGTATGCACAACCTGACAATGGCCACACTGTCCAGAAGCCTAATGGCAATGTCTTCACCAACAAAGATGTTGTTCCTTATCCTTCAAAGCTGTTGGCAGAGTTCAACTGTCATATCAACATGGAGGTCTGTGCGTCCATCAAGTCTGTCAAGTACATCCACAAGTACATCTACAAAGGACACAACCACACTACATTGGAGATGGGAGGAGCTGTGGATGAGGTCAAATCATACCTTGACTCCAGATACATCAGCTCTACCGAGGCTGCATGGTGCATTTTTTAATTTAAAATGCATGAGGAATGGCCTATTGTCTACCACTTGCCAGTCCACCTCCCTGATGAGCAGATGGTCATCTATGATCCTGAGGATAATGCCCAAGATGTTCTGGACCGTGCTGCAGCCAAGGAGACTTGCCTTACTGGATGGTTCATAGCCAATTCTGATAAAGACCTGGTAGCAGCTGGAGCACGCGATTATCTCTACCAAGACTTTCCCTCCCGCTTTGTCTGGGTTGACAGGAAGACATGGAAGGGATGCCAATGTGGAAAAGCAATTGGAAGGATGTATGCTGCTGGACCCAACTTTGGAGAGAGCTTCTATCTGAGATTGCTTCTGACTGTTGTTCCAGGTGTGTATCATTTAATCCCTCTCATATCTGCCATTGGCTTACTATTGTTTTTTGAAGGGGCTACCTTCTATGAAAACCTTCACACTGTTGACGATTATATCTGTGCTACTTTCAAGGAAGCATGTCAGCTCAGAGGTCTCCTTGATAATGATGGGGAATGGAAGCAGTGCTTGCGAGAGGCCTCTCACATGTGCACTGGACATGGCCTGCACAGTCTTTTTGTCATTATACTTCTGCACTGCCTCCCTACAAACCCTCATCTGCTTTGGAACAACTTCAAGGATAATTTTTGCAATGATCTGCATCACCGTCTCATTCATCAACTGCACATCCAGGATCCACTCCAGAGCAGATCCATGACTATGGTCTCTATCTCATTGATGGTCTTCTTCACAAGAATGCCAAGTCCCTCAAGGTGAAATTCCCTGACATACCTCGCTCTCATATGAACTGGGGGGACAGGGAGGGAAACCAACTGATAGTTGAGCAACTGGACTATGACCAGAATGTTCTCCAGGAAGCTGTGGATAGAGGAGTGCCCACCCTCAACCAGGAGCAGAGACAAGTCTTTGATGCAGTGGTTGAAGATGTCATGAATCGTGATGATAAAACACCTGAACATCCTCACTTTGTGCACAGTGCAGGTGGATGTGGCAAGACATATCTCTGCAATCTCATTGCTTCCAAACTGCGTGCTGAGGGCAAGATTGTTCTCTGTGTGGCTTCCTCTGTAATTGCTTCTCTCCTTCTGCCAGGTGGACGAACAGCTTATTTGCATTTCAAGCTCCCCATCCCCATCCATGAGGACAGCACCTGCAACATCAAGAAGGGAGATCCTGTCCATAAGCTTCTTAAGTGCACCTCTCTGATCATCTATAATGAGATACCAATGCTCCACCGTCACAACCTGGAAGCCTTGGACCGTACCTTACACGATCTTCTTGGTGTTAATGCCGACTTTGGAGGAATCACTGTGCTGTTTGGAGACTTCAGACAGACCCTGCCAGTGGTGCCTCATGGATCCAGGGAGCAGATTGTTGGTGCCACTTTTTGCAGATCTCACCTCTGGCCAAGACTTCGCATCTTCCACCTAAAGACAAACATGCGTCTTGGTCAAGATCCTGCATCTGATCGATTTGCTGCATGACTTCTTGAGATTGGGGGTGGTATGGGCACAGATGGAGATGGCATTGTGACTCTGTTAGAAGGAATGCAATGTCCCAACAACAACATCCCATCACTGATTGACAAACTTTACTCTGATGTCCTCCAACCTAATCATCCTCCCTTGCCTGACTCCTACTTCCTGGACCACACTATCCTCTCTGCAAAAAACACTGATGTGGACGAGATCAACACCTCAATTCTCAACTCATTTGCTGGAGACAAGAAGATGTTCACAAGCGCAGACTCAGTAACAGACAGGCAATACAATTACATCCCTCAAGAATTCCTCCACACTCTCAACCCACCAGGATTCCCTCTGCACAAACTGGAGATGAAAAAAGGGGTCCCTCTGATGCTCCTGCGCAACTTGGACCCCACACAGGGACTGTATAATGGGACTCAGATGATCCTGGTGGATTAGAATACAAGAATTCTCAAGTGTCGAATCCTTAAAGAGGGCAACAATCAAGTGGATGGTCAAGATGAGAATACTGTACTAATTCCTCAGATGAATATGGAGGTGAGTGATGAAGAAAACCCTATTCCTCTGAAGCGTCAACAATTCCCTGTGCAACTTGCATTTGCAATGACGATCAACAAGGCTCAAGGTCAGAGTGTGAAGTGAGTTGGTCTCAATTTGAGGACACCTGTGTTCAGTCATGGACAGCTGTATGTGGGTTTGTCTCGGTGCACTCACTCATCAAGAGTATTTGTGATTTTCCATGAAGATGAGGAAGAGAGAAAGACAAGCAATATAGTGTACACAGAGGTAGTTAGAAATCTGATTGAAGATTAATGTATAATAGATTGTATAGATGTGTATGTTTTATATGACAAATATTTATTTATTGAAATTGTGTTAACCTCTATGGTGAAATGATAAAGACTGGAGGTGCCAATGGGACCTCCAGCAGAGTGCGAAGTGCTCTGCTTGCTTCCTGTGCCAAAGGCACAATGGGCTTGAACTAGTGGTCAGCTGGATGGAGACAGGGAGCTGGGGATTGTTGGACTGATTATGGAAGATAGGATGATTGGAGATCTGGTCAAGGATATCATCAAAGATTTCTGGATTGACACACAGTTTCTGCCAAAACAAATGAGGGTGGTGTTCCTTATGATGAACCAGCATGTGCAGCTGAGGTTCTCATGGAGGAGGCTCATCAGGCTTGTGGAATACACATGCCCTTTCAACCTCATCATGAAGAGCAGTGATAGTGTGCTGGAGGCAGTCATAGCATACAGCATCATCATCAGATTCATCACTGGAAAGATCTGAACTGAGGCCTGAAAGGTGGGAGGATATAGGGAACATGGGGGACATAGGGGACATGGGGAATGGTGAGGTGAAAGCCAGATCATCATCATCTGAAGTGTGAAGCGAATTTGAGTCAGTATCAGAGTCAGAGTCTGACCATAAGTCTGAGCACTGGTTATCATCTAGGAGTATATTCTTATATTGTGAGTTAGCTAGTGCAAAAGCAGCCAGATCAACAGTGTGAAGGAGGCCTTGATGTGTGGAAGGACAAGGCATGGTGGTGTGTTTTCTTATCTTATCAGTGCTTCCAATCTTCAACTGATTATTTCAATTTTAATTGGAATTTCAATTTCAAATCTGTTTCAATTTCAATCTGAGTTTCAACTTCTGCCACAGTCAGCATCCATGCAGCTGTGTTTGTTGAAGCTTTAGCCAATGTTCAAAATCTAACCTGAGTCCCACTAATGAAATATTTTATTAATCAATGTTCAATTGACTGGTGTTTGTGTAAAACTGTTTCCTTGCCAGCATTCATAACTCTTTGCCACTCATTACATTAATCTTATTAACTTTAATGTCTACCCAAGCTGATAACTCCATGACTGATATTACTGGCCAGATTATGGCCATCATGTGGGCTACTTAATGGATGTCATCATCACCAATACCAAGTGATGATCCAGTGCAATAGTCTCACTTGTGGGGATTTTGAGTGCCTAGACATAGTTCCTATACAACATTTGTCCGAGATTCAGGTACCGATCTTTGTAGGTAGAGGCATAGTGAATGACAGAAGCAAGGTGGTTAGATAAACTGAAAATATATTCCATGGTGCCAAAATCCTCGAGGCCAGTGCCCTTGATAACATTAGGGTGATTCTGATCCTGATAGGCATAATTGTGCATATATCCATAAAATACATCCATACACATGTAAGAGTTTGATGCTGCAAACTTTGAACTCAAGGAACTGGTCGCAATTATGGTCAAGAGTTTACATCCAATGTCATATGCAATAAGGAGGTTTGGGCCAAAAACTTCCAGGGCTTGGTTCACCATGGACAAGGGATACTTGAAGCTAGGTATTGAAATTGCTTAGTTGCGTGATTATTTACATGATCATGGTACATACAGCTCTCCACTTCTAACCATGTCAGCAATCTACAAGATCATCCCATGCCTGCACACAAACGTGAAAATGCCAGTCCCCTCAAATATGCCCTAGCTTTTTTCTTCACATCAACAGTGGAAGCTTTCCAGCTGTCCATGCATGAAGTCACAGCAGGGTCACAGTCTGGTTTGGCAGATGTGATGGAACTTCTTCAGCAAAGCTATCAACATATTTCATATCCAAAAATAGTTACTGGTAAATACATGAGAGGGAGTTGTTGCCATCAAAGACAAGCATCCACCGGTACTGGAGTTCAGGCTCACTATCAAGCTGCATGGATATGAGGTAACTAACATCATTAAAAGATGATATTATGTATCTCATAGCCACACAGCAGGCATCCATTGGTTACTCTCTAGTTAGATAGATTACAGATAAGCACTTCTCTGACTTGTTGATCAACATCACATCACATCACAAGGTATACGTCAAAGGCATCAGCAAGCACTGTGTGATAATGTCATCTGTATTGCCACTAATCAAGGGTATTAGGGAGAAGTAGACTAGAAAACATGTGATGTCTCACCTTATACAAATCACATATAACTTTGCTGAATGCTTTGACACTGAATGATGGCTTGCACAAACAAAGTCAGTGATAGAGCTCAAGGGTTATGATCGAGATTACAATAGATGACATCTGTGGTGTGGTGCCAACATAACCACCGAGGACAGGTGCCTCTGCAGTCTGAATACTCTCAGCTCACAGAATGACTGCCATAGTTGCCAAGGTGTAGATGTTGATGATGTCAGTGGTGAAAGATGGAGTTGTGTGATTATAGGATGGGTTACTGTGTTGCAAAGGACATAGGTACTGTCATGTGAGATAGGCAGCAGCAAGAATCTTGTGCAATGGGGCCCAGTTGGCCTGCATATGCTGCAACCTTTCCTGCCATGTATGCTGATTCTTGTACATGCGAAATCTAAATGGTCAGTCTATGAGGAGAAGCATGAGTCTGGAGATAACTTACTGGTTGCCTGTAATGTCCCGCATTACATCAATGAATGCAATGTCTATGGAACCATCATTAGATATTGTCTCCCACTGGTTGTCATGCTCATCATTGGAGGTGCTTGCATACTTTGAATTGTCCATATATTGATGGTTAGGGCTTTGAATGTCAGCAAGAATTTGATGTGAGTCTGAGCTAAGGCCTATGGATGGTTAGATAATAATGATGCAACAAAGAAAGACATACATACCTGCAAGATTAGCAGAAAACTGTTCTTACTGTCACCAACACTCACTGATGATCTGAGCCTGGCTCAGCATCCTCACTTGAAATCTTGTTCCCAGCGGTGAAAAACCAATGACCATCTTGACTGAACAGGACACTCCATATTCCTGCCACTTGGGAGGCATTGAGTATGTGAGCATAGAGGAAGGAGAGGAAGATGTGGTTGAAACATGTTAGTAGTTAGGCTTTTATACAGATGTACTCACAAGGTTTCAAAGGGAAGCTTACTACTGGCATTATTGGCACAGACACAAAGACATGGATGGGTGGGAACAATGAGCACTAAGCAGCAGTCATCAACAGAGTCATGTGCTTACCTGGTCAAAAGGTTGCACAACAGTACAAGCCCAACAACACACTTCTGCCTATCCTAGTGTATGCACTTGCACTGGTGTCACAGAATACATTGGGAATAAAAAAAGAACGAAAAAATTTGGTGGAGAACTAAGGGATATACTGTGCTTGTTGTGGGAAACAGCAAGCAGATGTGTGGCAGCACAGCTGACATTGAGGTAAGCATAGCAGCTGTTAGTGGTGGCATGTAGGAAGTAGCGGGAACAGCTGTGATCACCTCATACATGTTATAGAAGGGGACTGGTCGGGTGGTTGAGCGGAAGTGTAGGAGCGGATGCAGACGATGATTGGACGGAGCAGAGGACAGATGAAGCAGAGGTGGTCGGAAAGTGGAACGGATATTGATATCAGAGTGGTCAGATTAGGTATATGACACATAGTAGGACTCATGTGGGAAGTCCTTGATGCAGAGTTATAGAAATACCACTTGAAGATGATTAGGTTGAAGAATGGTCAATCTCTTCATACTGCCAGAGGTTGTTGCAATCTGATGTCCCTAGGATATTTTCCAGAATATTGTGACCAGATGTCATGCTTGGTGAGTTCAGGGTACTGTCTGAATGTACTTGTTTACATTCCATTCCATATGGAGCTCAAGAAAGTTATCATCTCTATTGTGAAACAACTATATATCATCTTCCAAAGAAGTGGCGTGATGCATGGGGACTTGATGCAGAAACATGTTACTGAAGCAGCATCTAAACTGATCAAGTCCAGTGACTACCTTTGGCTTCCTGACCACCTGGACCTCATGTAATTTAATGCTAATAAGCTTGCCATGCCAGGGGAGGGTATGACATGCTACTTAGCATGAGAATTTCCTGTTCCCACTCACCCCCAATAACACCTTCAATAATGTCTGATTTACTATATATGCTAAGGTACTTAAAACAGCGTCTCCATTCAACTGGAACCTCTTTCCCCTTTTAGACATATACTTTCCCCTTCAGTACATAGACCCTTACTTCCGGATCACCAGTAACTCTTCTTACCGCTCAATCACTGATCCAATGCATACATATTGATATCCGCTCCGACTTATGTCTTCACCTGTGTAAGTACTTACAAATTATATCCTTGGTACATAGCTTTACAACATAAGTCTACTAATCACTGCCTCACACTTAGAAGTATATAACATATCCTGTACTTAGATAGCTTCCTCAGTCTTAATATTACTTGTCTTCTTGCAGTTTCTACTTGTGAGAATTCTCAGTAGGACCTTGCCTCCTCCGGACACAAGTTTCATCTTGTTGTCACCTCCAACTTTCTGCTCTGACTTAGAGCTGTGCTCTAAGTTTTCCCCCTTACTTCTCTGTCTCTAACAATAATCCCTCTTTGCTCCTATCCACCTTCTGCACTATCCTCCGCCTTCTCCACTCCGCTCCTAGTCGGCCCGCCGCTGGTAGCATTTACTTCCCAACCCTCAAAGCGGACCAAAGCGGTCCACTTGTCCTACTGTCGGACAATGTCGAACCTGCTCCAAATTTGGGGCACATACTCGGCTAAGGGCGCAGCGCAAGAGCTGAAGCCAAGCCCTAACCCCTCCACTTCTTGAGCCTGGCATGGTACCTAACACCATGTCACAATGCTCTGGAACTGGATGCATTAGTACAGCCTGCAGGTGCATTTCCAACTTTGCTGCCTGAAGAAATGCCTGCCAATATGATGGGTAAAATCCAAGCTTCAAGGGGTCTGCTTGTTTGTTTGTCCCTTCCACTTAGTGCTTGGGTTGGTCACACTTATCAGGCATAAGACTACAAAATCAAGAACAGCTTGAAGTAGGAGTGGGGGAAGGCACATGATCTGACTAAGCAACATGGCTAGGTTGAGCCTTTGATAAGGAGCGCCCACAAGAGGGGGGCTGTGTGCAACTGGATGATGTGGTTGAATGATGAGGAGCTAGTCTATAAGTAGAAGCATGAGAAATGTTTGAACATGGAGATTTAGAGTGACCAACAAGGGTTGATAGAGTTGGGGAGCACTAATAAGGAGACAGTCCATAGGTGGAAGCACAAGAAATGTTTGGATGTGGAGACTTGAAGTGAGTATCAGAAGAACATTGAGGTCTATGAGTAGAACATTTTGTAGATGGCACATTTCAAGGTACACATGGAGGTTTTACATGAGCAGATGGAGCACATGTACTCTCAATAGATCAGCAACAAGACACCTAGTTAAAGGAGATTAGAAACACATTTTGGTAAAAATGAGGACTTACACATTGGTTTGTGTATTGACAGGGAGACTTCAAGCAAGCAAGCACACCCAAGTGCCTACTCTTTCTTGGATGCAAAAGGGTAAAAAAGGCTCTCCTTCCTGCCCTCAGTGAATTCATCAGTGTCAAATAGATCTGAGAAGGTCAGTCCATCCTCAGAGTAGCATATCCCAGTACCCTCATATCACTCCTTCAATGACCCTTCAGCTGCTCTGAAGTCATCATCGATAAAATTAAAGTCACTATCAAAGTTGGCATGTGCTAGAACCATGCCTAGTAGGTAGGAAGGAGGTCATGGAGGGATTTAGCTTCAGCTCGTACACTGCACTCCTTAGACAAGTATGGTGCCCTTTTGTCATATCCCATACCTCCAGACCCAGAATTCTGGATCTCCCCTGCAAAAGTCCGGTTCTCCATCCTGTTGTCCGCCCAGTGCTCCGCCTTCATCTCATACTCACTCCTATCTCCTTTTAGAATACTGCTATCTGGCTACCAGTTGTATGTCTTTCTGCTTTGCTTACTGATCCGTCCGTTTGTACTTCATTTCCAACTTCACTGCTTTGATCTGTTATACTCTTACTAATAGACTTTCCATATGCTCGGGGCATAGTTTTTGCTTTGCTGACTGATTTACTTACATGATACCTACAGTATATAAACTCCTGTAATACTCTGGTACTCCTTAGTTCGAATATCATCTTAGTTCTGCTCATTCCTGCTTCTCTGGACTTGAGTCTGATCTCTTGTCTACCTCCGAGTCTTAGGGTTAATCCTTAGGACTATATCTCTGGCTCTACCTTAGGTTAGTCTAACTCTGTCCCGCTTCTACTCTGGACTTGTCCGTAGTAGCCTTACTCTGTTCATTCCTAGCCTTCCAGAGTTCTGCCGAACTCTCCCTGTGTCTGACCTCCGGACTTACCTGGACTTCCATTGGACTTTCCTCCTACCTCTCAGAAATTAAGGGCACATACTCGGGTAAGGGGCACAGCACATGAGCTGAAGCCGAAGCCCTTTAAGTTACCTTTCCCTTGAGCACAACATTAACACCTTAACTTTGAAGGATGGATAGGGGCTGCCAAAGATCAACTCCGATGTG